CCCCCCAAGACCAATTGCGACCTCGCCATTGCGACGCTCGTCCATAGACTTCGTTGTTCCGCCATCTCTCTCCGAAGAGCGCACCTTCATATACCCGACCATCGCATCATCCTGACCGCCGTTCACGATTCAACGCGACCGCCTTGAAAGAGACGCTTTTCAGCTGTCAAGCACCTACCGAGTCTTGCGACCTGAGCCTCGAGGGAGTCTCAGGCAAGCTGTCCGACAACAACACGACCTCATCTGCGTGCCGGAATCAGCAAAGATGGAGACACCTCGAGGCAGCGCCGGTGACCGAGAGTCGCAGCTCGGCTCACGAGATGCGACTCCATCAACTGCCTCATGGCAAGTCGAGGATTCAGCAGAGCTAGCTTACAGAGCGATAGAGCGCTCGGATAATCGGCAAGGTGAGCCTCCAATCAGACAACTAGGGTGTCCCGATCTAAGGTGGACTGCTGAAATTTTCACATCGCCTCACGCTACCAGGTCAATCACCGGACAAGGCTCACGACACCGGAACTGCAGGGGGATCGGCAGGCGAACGTGCCGCATCGGCTTCGTCCTTGCGCGAAGGTGACAGTGCGGAGCACGCCTCTCCAGGTGTATCAAGTTCAGATGCGCGAGCTCGCCCAAGGCCTTCCGCTAAAGCTAAAGGCGAATCCGCTGCCAGCACCGAGACTTCTGAGTTCGATCGCTCCGAAGCCGTTGCCAGACGACAGGCTGGACAAAGGAGAGCCGAGCAGTCTGGGGGCGAAGTACGACGTCGAACGGCACGAGACACACCTAGCTCTGCGCGAGAGCAGGAACAGCAAACTTTGGACTCGCAGCATCATGGCAGACTGAATGCGCACCCTCCAGAAGACGACCATCGACGTGGGAGCGACGCTCAGTCTCCCTCGCATCGCTCTCAAGCCGCATCCGACGCTTCCGTGAGCTCGGTCGAGGCTCCCTTGGCACAGGGTCTGCCTCAGAGTCACCCCAATGCCCAACGTGGGACCCCCCCGTACGAGTCACAGCGAGATGCGCTTGCCGATCGTCAGCTCGACGAAAACAAGCAAGAGGGCTCGCATGGTAGTCCTCGGCAGCGCTCATGGGAACGGCCGCCGGGCGGTGAGACCTCGCCAGAGACTTATCAGACAAAGCATGGTGGCAATTCTCGGAGCACAGCAGAGGGACGGGGTTCGCGAGAGCGAGACCAGAGGGATCCCGAATCTCTCCGGACGGAGAGTGCTGAGCTCCGTGGAAGTGCATCCCACAATGACCGACGCGAGGCACCCGAGGGAGAATGGACGAGCGAAGTGCCTACCAAGTATGGCAAGGCAGCAGATGGGGGTCAGCCGCGGCTTACCAGAGCCCTTTCTCCACCGAGGCACTACCGCCCGCGTACCCCTGGCTCTAGGGAACAGACTCCACTCAACATCCAGGCTGTACCTGGCCAGTCGTATCCTTACGTAGATGATGCGCGGGACCTTGAGCCAGCCGAAGGTGAGTGGCAAGTACTCGATCAATCCACCAGGCGCAAGGATACTCAGCTCCTCTTGCTGATCTTGCAGTTGACAAGTTCTTGAGTCTGATTGAGAAACACAATCTGGATGCGAGTGACGAGGAAGACATGGCTCGTAGTGTTACCGAGCTGTATTCCGAGTGGATAGACTGGTGCATCCACTACAGGATCACATCGACAAAGAGCAAGCCAGCTCTCGTCAGCGAATTTGTCAAGGTGCGTTGCTTCATGGTTTCAAGGTTGTCTTGCACCCTGCCCCTGTTGATCATGTGATGAGCTTTTCACCAGGTGCATCAAGGGGTCTACGGCGTGGAGCGGCAAAGGCGGGCTATGGGAATCGTGCAAGGCAGTCGTGCGCAGCCGTCTGCTTCTAAGGGACATCAAGGGCTGCTGGAGGACAGAGGTGATGGGCAGGGGCCGCGGCAGGTCTTTGCGCCTGCAGTGCAATCGCCGGCCCTCATGTCGACCACCTTTGCCCGCGAGGAACAACATCTAGCCGACAGCTCGAGCCCACGATTTGCGGATGCTCGGCGTGGACCTGGAAATGGAAATGTCCAGAGCGCTACGCCGAGCGGCGAACGACGTGCCCCTAGGTACGCCTCTACTTGGAATGTTCCTCCGCCTGGCAGGGGATACGAGGGAAGTGCTCAGCAGCCTGTCGGAGCAGAACGATCCCTCGCCGCTCAACCTTCGAGGTCTAGCTCAGTGCGAGATTATACTCCAGGTCGTCGAGATCCGGAGGCTGCCGCGGAGCGCCATGTACCTCCGGACATCGACCCGCGTGCAAGATCGTTTTACGGGCCGCCTCCCGAGGGTTTGAGTCGTCTGGCACGACCGCACGGCCATCCCGAGAGCAGTACTGCACGGGGCGACATGAAGCCCTACAAGCATGTCTCGGATGTGAGTACTTCTATCACACATTCTGCAAGAAACAAGCTGACATGTCCTTGCACGTCTTCGTCCTACAATTTGTAGCCTAGCCAAAACTTCACGCGTCCCAGCGTACCGCTTTCGACGGTTCCTGATCACTCCCGTGCCTCGGCCACTGGCGGCTATCAGGCTGCTCCTAGCTCGTCAAGAGCGCCTATCACAGATGCAACAGCAGGGCCACCCATGAAGCAACTTCCTCCAGGTCTTTTTGATCAGATGCGAGCAGCGCTCCGCGACGAGATCCTGGGTGAAGCAAGGAGAAACGTGGACCACCACGGTAAGTGTGAAGGTATTCGATGGGCTGCATGCTGCCAGCACTCGTCTGACATGCGCCATTATTTGAAGTCATGCGCCTGTCGAACCTCAACAAGGACCTAGTAGCGCACAATGAGGCTCTCAAGGCCAGAGTGGAGCAATTGGAGATTCAGTCGGATAACGCTGCCAAGTGGATCACATACCTCGCCCAGTCGCAGGACGACTCCACTGCCAGATTGGACGCTCTTTCTGCATCTGCCACAGCCCAGGCACGGGTCGTTCCTCGCGACGTGCATCCTTCACCTCATCTCTCCGGCTCTCATCACCCCGGCAGCGAGGCGCGACCGGCGAGAACCAGCGGCGGATACATAACGGAATCGCCTCGCGCTCGCACTCGTCAGGTCGAGCCGCCGATCTACAAAGACGTAAGCGGAGAATCATACAGGGCGCACAACGGCGATCGTGGTCGCCACCACGAAGAGGAGGCGCGGCGAGACCGTGTTGTCACTGCGGCTCCTCCCGCCTCGATGCCGCCGCGAGAATACCAGCGCCGTGCGTACGAGACCGAGGCGATGGGCGAGACAAACGGTACGCCACTGGCGGGTCGATCTTCGGCAGGGCAAGGCTTGTCCAGGAGCCAGGGGGCGTCTTACGGGGACGCAGGATTGTCTAGATCGCACTCGAGTGCCTCGGCGAGACCTCAGAGCCTGTCTCAGCCTCAGCACTCTCAATCGCTGGATCCTTTGGCCAACGAGCCGCGCTCGACTTTGACCAACGAGCAACCGCCTTATCGACCTTATCTCGATCCCTCGCCAAGGCCGCCCTATGAAGATCCCCGGTTGGTCAAGCGTCCTCGCAACTATTGAACAGGCCTCGAATTTCTTCTCATCTTCGCCTGTACAAGTACTTTCGCTCCGACGACGAAGCACGTCTTTCTTTGCGTCTTTACTTGTCGTCGCGCTTCTGGGCGCGCTCGCCGCTTTACGGCCTTCAGACCGCCCGCCGCCTTCACTTTTGTACACGTTTTTCCCCACCCACGTAGTTATAATTGTATGCAGTCAAGATCTCGCAAAAGCCGCTCAGTCAAGTGGGAGCACGCCGAGAGGGGGACTTGAGCGGACGAACGATTCTGGGACCAGACAAGTTGGGAAAGCGATGACCATTGATTCGCCAATGCGTGACGGGTGGGTGAAAATACAGAACGCGGCGTGAGAACAGTGATGCGAATTCTCTCGAGCAGTTGAGGATCCGTGGTGCGTGACAATGTAGATGAAGGACGGGACCAAGAACCCGAACAGGGAGAAGACAGCAGTGGAGGCTGCGGGAAAGGATCTCGCAATCCACAAGGGAAACGCATACAAGCCGTATCGGGGATGTAGAAGGACGAATCAAGGAAGGGCAAGAACGATGATGATGGCGACTAGCGTCAAAGCGGTGCAAAGCGCAAGCGCATTGATCGCGGCTCTCTGATGGATCTTTCTAACCCTCTCGTCAAGCACCGGTTTGGTGTTGATCGCAAAGCCTGTCCACTGTTGAAGCGCCGCGACGGCCTTTTGCATCGGGTTGCTAGGCGACGATCGCAAGGCGGGCACAGTGGAAGGGTGCTTGTCGTCAGGCATCTGCACTATAGTCGAAGTCGAGATGCGATTGTTGGAGGATGTGGGAGGCAGAGAGGAGGGAGCGGCAAAAGCCGTGCGCGCGTTCTGGAATCCGACAGACACTTGCGTGCCGGGTAATCGAAACGACCGAGAAAGTGCCGTTGGCGACGAACCAAGCTCCGTGGAAGGGGAACGCGCCATCACAGAAAGACTACGCGGCTCGGCCAGGGGGGCTGTGGGACCCTCGGGCGAGCCTGGCAAATAGATAGGCGAAGGCTCAGTCGGCAGCCCTGATGAGGCGAGGTCGGAAGATACGCGAGGGAGCAAGGCCCTCGCCTTGACCTTGTCGGCGTCGGTTGACGTTTTCGAAGGATGGCGGCCGACACACCGCAGAAGAAGCGCCTTAAGCTCGGGTGCCATAAGCCAACCTTGAGGAGTCGCGGTGTGCCCCTCTGCTTCCTCCCACTCCTGCGCCGGCGCCTCCTCGTGACGACTCTTCTCGTGATCGCCATTGATGCTAGCAGCGATGATGTGAGCTGGTCGATCCGCTTTGGCCTCCTCCGTCAAGACCTTCTCGGGTTCATGGTTGCCTCGGAGGCTCAACCAGACGCAGACACCGGTGTATGCTGCCAGGGTGGAGCCGATGCCTGCAGCCCAAAGCGGCAGCGTAAGAAAGCGCCACCATCTCGAAAGATGCGCTCTCTCCCTGTCCGTGGCGTAATGAGGCGACAGAGGACTGGGCTCGATGATTAGCAGGACGGACAGCAGCAAAGCGATGATGGTGCACGCAATTCCAGTGACCAGCCGACCCCACTTGGTGTTGCGAGAAAGGTTGTGAGAAGCTGAGTCCAGGAAGCTCGGAAGAACGTGCGAATCCAAGTGCGCCTGGACTGCGCGAGCCAGAGGTAGAATGGCATCGGGATGAGTTGTGCGTGAAGCGCAGTCGATCGCCTGTGCAAGAGCCGTCTCGGACAATAAGCCCGTGTCGCGCATCCATGCCAGCTTGGGTGCTGCATCATAGGCGGAGCTGCGCTTGCCCCCTATGTACGTGGAGGTGATGAGATTCAAGCGCTTCCGAAGGGGTTGATCCTCCGGAACACATGCCCCTCGCTGGTCCTCCTCCACATTCTCGCTCGCCGCATTGCCACAAGGTGGGAATGTTCTTGCTTCACAGGCTGGAGCGAGCTCACGCTGACTAGAGCTCAACCTAGCAAAGGTAGTCGCGTAGCGGTCGACGGCAACAACAAAGTCCAGAGCGTCGAGAGCGTCACCAGTGGACTTGCTGTGTACGTGCCGAGCGGCCAGAGAGTGTCTCACGTAGCCCGATATCTCTGGTTCTTTGGCACTGCTGAAGGAGGCATCCGTGCCATGCGAAGATGAGGGTGGAAGCGTTGTGCGTCGCGTCGAATTCGATTTGCCTGCTATGGAGTCGTCGAAGACAAACGTCGTGTCAGGGCCCACTATCGCGGAGGAAGTCGAGTGCTTCTTCTCCTCCGCAAGCCCGCCGCCAAGCATGGAGAAATCCGCTTCATAGCTGAGCGGAGCGGACGACTGCGCCTCCTCTCTGCGTCGTCGGACCAAGAACTTGCGAAAGTCGGCTGGACGGCAGGAGCGCGACAAGGGGTGAGTCGAGGTCCACCGGTCGCAGCTGCAATGCGTAATATAAGTAACTTACACAGCGAAATCGGTTGACACGTGCGGCCTTCTACGATATCCTCCACCAAGACAGATGGCCTTGAAGCATGCTTCGAATGTGAGAATGATGCTTCGCCGCTGACGCTGACGCTCTCTTCGTCCACAGGCGGATGCTTGCCCAGGTAAGCAGCAGACTGCATGCGCTTCCATACACCTGTGAACGGTCGACCTGGTCGCAAGGAAGTCGACCCGCATGGCCCAGCGCGGTCCACGCTAGAGGCTACACACGAAGGACGCGGTGAACACGTGGTGAAGCCTGCGCTGGAGCCATTGCACGGCACAGAGGCGCCATCCGCTCCCTGTCTACAGTCTCCTTTGGCCCACCCACCGAACGCATGGCGAGGCGTGTGCGCTAGTGATGCCCAGCCGGATTCTCCTGTTCTCGTGTTCCGACCGTCAATGCCCAAGCCACCTATCAATAGCTCGCCCTGTGGTGAAAACGTGCAGCCTCTCTCCGATGCCGCTGGCTGCTGATCGAACACCCACGGTGCGGGTGTGCCATTATGTGACGTGGACACTGATGGCTCCTCAGACCTCGAAGCATCTGCGTCGCGACCGTCATCAGCGGGCAGGTGCGGCGCGGTTACCATCTTTGGTGTTGAGTGAGGAGAGCAGGTTGGTCGACGCAGCTGCGATGGGCCTGCCGAAGATGTGTCCATCGTGATGCTGGATGTCGTGGGAGAGCCCCCTGGATTCCGTATCAGATGAGGACTTGTGGTGATTGTGAGACTAGATATGTCGGTGAGGATTCATTTCAAGATGATCAAAGTCGTTCGATCTTAGTCCTGCGCGTGCTGTCGGAGCTCTGAGCTGATGGCGGAGTAATTGGCGGTTGACAACGACCCGTACTCTTTGTGCGCTGTTGAGCAAGTCAGGGCAAGGTGCGTCGCGTAACGAGCGAGATGGAAGCGCAGTCGGGTTGGGTGTTCCCTGATCACGAGCGCGTTCGTAGTGAGGTCGTGTGTGTCGAGACAGCGACGCGCCGGACCACGAATCGGCCTGAAGGCTGTCAAGATGAGTCCCGACGCTGTGATGCGGACTCGACAAGGACCTCGAAATGCTGCTTCTCCACGAGTTGCACCGCAAGACGGGCTGAAGCGCCTGGATCGCGAATGCAGTCGGAGTCTGGACGGGTTATGGTGCCGTCATACGCTGATGCGAACGGTGGCAAAGTGAGGCACGGTTTGCAGCGCTTGATTTGAGCAGTCGTGAAAAAAGCACTTAGAGAGAAGCCGTGACCTCGAATGTAGCGAAGCGAAGACCGGCGCTAGGCAGAGAGAGCAGAAGAGAGACGGCAAGAGTCTGACTGGCTTTGAGAAAAGATCAGATGTGGCAGGCAGGTCGGAAGGGGCGAAAGGACCGCGCTTGGCAGGAATGGGCCCGAGTCGCGCGTGTATCGAGTTGGTTGCAAAGGTACTACAGGACTTGGAAGTGGCGGAGTGAAGGTTTGCGCGCAGAGCGCTGCGGGGAGCGTTGATTCGATCCTGTCAACGTATTTCCCTTCAAGAACGCAGTATTCCGACAATTACGTGCCTTGTACGCATTCACATCTGCCAGGAGGAGAATAGAGGCAAAGTGTGGCTTGGGAGCGACATGAGAATGCTGCGTGGGCTGGCTGGCTGGACCAATTCGTTGTTGGCATGACTTTGCAGCGGTCAACTTGTGCGTGTAGTCAAGCCACAGCGTCGTACGGGATCGTACCTGCAATCTTCAAGTCACTTGGCTCTTGCAAGAGCGAATCGTGAATGTTTGTGCTGCCGACGGACTTGTGACTGGCTTAGGGAGTTCCGAGTCCGATCGCCCATTACCCTTTGACAAAAGAGGCAGAGGAGAAGAAAGGCGCGAAGCGCCAGTCTGCCTCTCCCTGCATCCGCAGAGGTGAGGAGGTGCGATGTGGCTGAACAAGAAATGGCGCGAAGCCGCGCGTGTGCCGTGCCGTGCTGTGCCGCGCCGCGTGCGCGCTGATGTGGGCCTAGTGAAGCCACCCCGCGGCCGCTGGCCACGAGCAGACGCGCGATGCTGCTGATGCAGCTTAATCATGCAAACTTTTGAAGTCCAGGCCTGCAGCATGCATGCATACAGCATGCATGCATCATGCATGCAGCATGCTTTGGGATAATTCAAGATTGTGAGTCGTGCAATCGTGGATATGCTTGCGAGTCATGCAGGGATCGGTCTCTGCTTCAGTGGTCCGCCCGAATATTCATAGTTTCCCTGTACAAACCCTGATGAGCATGTGAGCATGCGCTTCGAACAAGCTATAGATTCTGACTGGCCCAGCGCTGAGGAGTTCCCCATCCCAAAATAAATCAGCTGGTCCATGCGATTCTGAGCCATGCGGCGCCTCGTGCAGCATGGATCGAGACGTTCCTGGACTACTGCAAGCATCAAGCGTTGCATACGCTCCGTAGTCCGAGCTGCTGTTGCTGGGCAGCGGCAAACTCCAACAGTCAGAGTCTCGCGAAACCATTTGTATGCGAAATTGGAATGACAAGTAAGCCGATGGTAAAAGCCAGGACCTCGTGGCTCGTTCGAGGCGATGGGTCTGCAAATCGAGAAAAGAACGAAGCGGGCTGCGAGAAAAGAACGAAGCGGGCTGACTTGATACCGATGATGAGCGAGAACACGATACCCTTGATCGACGCATCAAGGGTCCATCCTCTTCGTGAGCAGTGGGGCAATGTCCCTGGGATGTCAGGGGGAAGACAGAGACAATTACAAAGGGCCAGGTGCCTTGACACGACCAACCAGGACGTGGGTGACGGAGCTACGCATCGCAGTTGCGCAAGTGAGGAGGCATAAAGGGCAGCTTGAGCAAATCGAAGCTGTCGTAGCGTCGAAGTGATGGGCGAGTCAGTCTAGACAGCCCTGTGAAAAGCCGGCAGTGACTGCCAGAGCGCCAGTACAACGTCTTCGCGACTTACACGTCCTGCTCTGTAGGCGTACTGAGGGCCACCTTCTCATTCTCCACCCTCACCAGGCCATGCGAATGGAATTTGAACCCTAGATCCTTGGCCTGTCTTCGGATGTCCCTCTCAAACATGGTGCTTCCTGTCCAACCCACAATCGTCGCTCCGTACACTTGAGGATTTGTTAGCATCACGTCGACTCTTCGATGAATCGGTCGTTCGCCGGTCGAAGACGTCGGGAGCACCACTATTTCGGCGATCTGAATCTTGGGCGCTTTGATGTCTCCGCTATTGGATGCGTACGAACGGGCCAAGCAGACGCAGCGTCAGATCAAAAGCTAGCGGTGCCACCCGAACTTTCAGGCGACGCTTACATTTTTACGTCGCGCGAAGGTGCACCTACTATGTGAGTCAAATATGCTTATGATGTGGAAAGGGAAGCGCTGTCAGCTCCCTGCGATCCCCGGGACGCAGTCTGAGTGCTCTCCCTCTGTCTGAGCAGCTCACCCTTGCGCTTCAAATTATCGAGAACGTGATTCAGCATCGAGAGCTGAGTGTTGGGGTTGCTCAACATCTCCTTTCCATCGTCCGACGTGTCGGTAATGATTAGGTCCACGTCCGAGCTGGTAGGCTTGCCTCTCCGGTAGCTACCAGCGATTGTGTACTCAACCCGTGGCAAGACCTCTTCGAACTCCTTGCTAATGGTTTCCGCGATCCTTTCCACTTCGCTCCTATTCATGCGCTGTACCAGATCGGGAAGTACCCTCAAACACTCTTCCCTTCCGATCTTTTCGGTGTAAGATCCCCCACCTGCGCAGAGATCTTCCAGTGTCCTCGCGCCTGCTTGGTAAGCTGTTCGAGCTCTCGTCGGTCCCACCTGATAGAAGTCCATGAAGCTCCTCATGATGGCAAAGCTCTTGTCTTCTTTGATGCTTTGCGCCTCTGCGATGTAGCCCAGCTCGTAGAATTGCTGGACCAATTTGTATATCTTCGCCCCAACACCCTTGAGGTCCTTGGCCGCCCTGACATTCTGTGCCAGGTCATGAGGATACGCTTTGATGGAGCTGATTGCTCGAGCATAAGCTGCCGAGTTGTGCTGGTCTTGGATCGAAGCGGTGGACGTCAAATTGCGACTGGTTCGAATTACTTCGAGTTCATCGACCAGTCGCTGATTGTGCACCGACTTCAGAGGTGTGGGTCTGAAGCAAGCGTAAGGGTGATTGGTCCATTCTGGGACTGCTTCATCCCACTCTGCACCAGTGGTTGTTTGATCATCGCCGGCTTGGCCACCTGCTGACTCCAACTCCTTGCGCTTGCCCAAAGCTTTCTCAGCGGGAGAGCCTTTTTTAGAATTCTCGGGCGTCGAGACGGCGTTCGGGCTGTTGGAGGCTGCCTCACTTGTCTCGCCGGCCGAGGCTGTCCTGCAGGGTATTCCTCGACCTCGACTCGGAGTGCTGGCCATGTCGACCGAATCAGACTCAGACTCAGTCCTAGATTCTTGCGTTTCGCTCGTCGCAGTGGCGCCTGCCAGATCTGGCTCGGGATCAGCCGTCTTCTTCCTCTTCCTCGCCGGCTTGCTTTCCAAGGAATCTGCATTTGTAGCATTGGCTGGAGAGACAGAGCGCGATGTCGCTTTCTTTGGCCAAACCCTAAAGTCATCAAAGGGCAGCTGTATCCTCTGCACTTTGCAAGCAAGAAGCCAATCTTTGTGCACCACCGGGACTTCCCGCTCTTGCAAGTCTGCACCAATAGCCCTCTTCACTCTAGCTGGAGCTTTGACCTCACTGAGCACCAAATTAGCCAGGTCTGCTCTCGCCACTACGGCGCCCAAAGTGCGGACAAGGTTTTGCAGCTCTTCTACCTCCTCAGACGAGAGCTTGTCTTCCAGAATCATGATTCTTAAACTGGGACCCAGGATGCGCTTCGAGGGAGAGCCTTTGGGCGAGGCTATCAAGTCCTCTATGCCCTTGCCTCCTGCTCCTCTGGCCAGAGCGGACAAAGGTCTGTTCTCTTTTGGCCGAGGGGTAGCTCGAGACTTGCGCTTAGGTTGAGATCCTTCTCCTCGTTCTTCTGACTCTTCGAATGACTGCGCGTCGGCCTGAGACTGAGTGTATGCTCGGTACTGAGACCCCACTGGACCTCCAAAAGCCTGGCTTTGAGATTCATAGATGGATTGTGATTGGGAAGAGTGAGAAGCAACGGGCACCAGACCGGGTCTGTGCCTGCCGCTGGGCCTGAAAGCAGGAGAGAATCCTCCGAGACGCAATTGCTGGCTGGAGTTGGATGACGGCATAGCTTTAAGCATGCCTCCCGGCGATTGAGGGGTCGAGAGATGAGCGAAACAGGAAAGCCGGCGACGTAGGCGATCACGCAACGAGAACTCTGGAGGAAGGCATGTTGAAACCCAGGCTGAAGCAGACGGGTGCCTCGCCAGTGAGCATCGCAGAAGTGTATGAGCCATGCGGCGCCTGGAATTCCAATCTTTGCGGAGTATGTGTGTGTCAGATGGTATCTTGTAATGTCAGCAGCTGGATTACTGGAGGCACCAAAGTAGAACCAAATGAATTTTCGGGTCGGGTCGTGTCATGAGAGGAGAGGTAGAAGAAGCAGGTTGGTCCCGGAGCTACAGCATCTGTACAGCAGCACAGCGAGCTCGGTGGGAGGATGAAGCCTAGCGACTCTCGGTTGTCTCGATGGCTGTGGGCAGCGGTAGCTAGGAAGTGCGAGGCAACATGCAGAAGACGAGGACGGCGATGAGTCCTTTGTCAAGGACGAGTCAGCGGTTGGATGGAGGCGCTTTCCTTCGCTCCACCATCCACGCCCTATGTCCTGCTGCAGCTGCGGGATTGCCTGCTGGTCCGCACGCGTTAGTCGTGAATGCACGTTTCCATGCGCCTCCACATGCAGCCTCAGCCGGCGTTGCGTGAGGTTCGGGGTGCACGCGAAGCTTTCATCAGCGACAGTCGTAGGTGGACGACAGCTTAATTTGTAAAACTTAATACTCTCTCGACGAGGCTTCTTTGGCCACCGACAACGACCCACACCCTGTATCAGGCTGACGATCTGTCGCAGGAACATTCACACTTTGGGCGCGGTCAGAAGCACCGCACCCTGAGTGCTGACACTTTTAGCTAGGTCTGCTTTCTCGAGGCAGAATCATGCCCGACAGGCAACCGTTGCCTCTGCAGCCATCCACCATCTCTGATAGGAGCGCTGCTCCCAATACAGGCTTGAGAAACGGTCCCGAGCATCTCCATCTTCGAGGCGCCCAAACATCGGTATCATCTCCATCCTCATCATGTCCCGACCTGCCAGACTCACACCTCCGCCAGCTGCCCCGTCTTCCCCCCGAACTCCTACTGCAAGTCCTCTCTTACTACACCCATGCAGCTCACTCCCGCGATCCCACCACCGTTCGAACACTGCAGGCACTGTCTTGCACTTGCAAGCTGCTACACTTCCAAGCTCTCAAGGTCAGATACGAGGTGCTCCTGCTGCACAGGCACGTAAGGGATTTTAGAACCTGGTTCAGAAAGCTGAACGAAGGCAGACCGCCCTTTGTTTGCGCGGGCATCTCCAGAGCTATCTTCTCAGGACTGGACGATGTGAGTGAAGTTGCCAAGTTGGCGAGGGCAGTGCACATTCACAAGCTGCAATCTCGTGATTGCTTGCCAAGTACTGGATGAGCCTCCAGCGGCCAACGCGGTGGGATTGAGGCGGTGATGCCACCAAGGCACTGGGCTCACGGCACAGAAAAGCCGAAGCCTGACCGCTCGTGCTCTTTGCTGAGCTTGGCACGCACATCCGATCTTTCCTTCTTATCAGGTATCCCGCTTGACCCACGCGTCCACAGGCTGGGAGACGGAGCTGCTCCGCCTGTTGCATTACTGTGGTCAGACAATCACTCATCGTGAGTCCTCGCATTATTTGCATACACGCCCTTCATTGCCAGGTAGCCTTACTGTAGCCGATCCTTGCAGTCTCTCTATGGCATGCTGAATCAAGGACAGTACTTCGAGATGCCTCTCAGGTGCCTAGAAAGAGGCCTAGGCTGCCCGACGGGAGGAGAAGCGCAATCCCGCGCATGCAGCCAGGGTGGGCCTGGGGCGAAGGCATCGACTTCACCTCTGAAGAGAGCTCCTCGTCCGAGTCATCTAGACCCGGAAGTGACTCTGAAAACGAACATCAAACCAGCGAAGATGGCCGAAGTGATATCTCACGCCCAAGACTAGCCACAATGAAAGGAGAAGGAGAGCTCGATGAGGTGCAAAAGGCGAAAGCTAGAGCGGAGGCGTCGGCTGCTCGAGAAAGAGCAAAGGCTATTCCTCCTCGTTGGTTGTCGTCCGAGCTCTCTTCCGACCCTCTAGCTGCCCATCGACATCGTGCTCATCTTCCGAACGAGCCGCTAGAGACTGCAGAAACTTCCATCTTGCCACTACGCCCGGCCGCGAGCACCAGCAACAGCACGTCCAACGACTCCGGTGGCCCGGACCCGGGCAGGCGAAAAGGCGCGCGAAGAGATAGCGCACCAGATGTCGGTGGAGGAGCGACTTCGGAAGACAATAGAAAGCTCTTCGGCTGTTCGCCGCTTCACGTCAGTATTTGCGTTGGGAGCGCTTTGATCGAGGATAGGCTCTGGCCAAGATTGAGACTTCTGAGGCGGTGTAGGGAGATAGACATGTGAGTGTGGCTTGCCTTCGTTTCGGAATTACATCATGCACTTCATCGTCGTTGAGGTTCCTCGCGTCGAGCATTGGACTAACCGGTTGCCATTGCTTTCGTGCCCGTCAAGATTCGTACCCGTGACTACCTATGTCCCGCGCGTACTGACTCTGATATCGACACTTGAAAAGTCGCCTCTGCAGAGGATCCGGATCTCTGGTCCCCACGCGAGTCTCATTCTCGCCTTGGCCCCATTTTCACTGCGAGGGGCACTGAAATCTTCAACCTTTGACTCGTCTCAAGACCAAGGCGATTCAAGCTCAAGAGGCAAAGGCAGCTGCAGAAAGCCGAAGAGACAAGGCAAAGAGTGCTCTTTGAATTTGTCTAGAGGTATCAAGTATTTGCTCTCCTGTCCCACCCTGCGGCAAGCGCTGCAAGAAGAGTTCACAGGGAATCATCAAGAGAGACCCTCTAAGGAAGCGCTTGAGGCGGAATTGTCTCGTGCAGTCTTAGCCGGACATGAGGTGTCACAAGCGGCGAGTGCAGAGGGACAAATGAGAGAGAATGGCAGCGAGAGGAAAGGAACATCATCTTTCGCGAGCGGCCCTCGGAGCGCTCCGACTTGTTGCGAGATACATCGATCGGGAACGTACACATTTATGCGGTCGTTCGAACCGTCTCGCCCACCCCCTTTCAGCTCTGCAGCACCCTCAAGCTCCGGCTCAGGTCGATCATCAATACCAAAACCTGTTCCCGAGCGATCTCACGACACCATCAATCCCTCCTTTGTCGATCCCGAACAGAATGTCCGGGAGTCGGAGAAGCTGAGGATAAAGATTCTGCAGCGCAATCAGTCCGTGTGGGGGAAACTTGCAGTCAGGAGGGAAATCTTCTTGGACAGCGTCAATGGGGGCATGCAGGCTTGGAGTAGGTGCGGAGTGTGGGACGGCTGAAGCTGAAGTGCAAGCGTGCTTCGGTGTTCCTGCTAGACCTTGCTGTATCATATAAATGCGCATCAACGCTTCAGTAAACAGGTTGATGAGCGTCTTCCTGTTGGCCGACGAGCGCTTTTTGAAGGGGCTGTTCGCGGCACTCGGACTCCATTGTCTTGTCCAAGAGATACCTCAACGGAATTATATCCGTGACTGAATGATCTGGACGCTGATTTCAGGAGCGCCTCTTATGACTTCGGATACTCACACTGCAGATGCGCCTTGTCAATGAAACACCATCGACCTTGTAGAACACATGCGCGACAGATGATTGCTCCTATCGTAGTCTGATGGTTTTGGCCAGTCCTCATCAAGATTCATTTGTGAAGATGATTGGCTCGACTTACCAAGACCGAACGGTGTTCACTGCTCACGTGACTTGACCATCAGTCGGGCCGTGCGCCCATCAACATGCGTGATCCAGTCAGTAGTGAGTGATTGCTCGGCGCGTAAGGCGTTCGGATGTATGTGGGCTGAAAGGCTCACAACCTCATCGAGATGAGTTACGAGTCTCGACACTTTGTTTCAGACCTTGTCGTATATACATATAGGGATGAACACAATTCTTGTAAGAGGCAAGCTTTACCTACGGCCGAATGAATGCACAAGAGCTGGAGTGCAAAGAACGCAATCAGTCAAGAGTGCTGGCCCTCGCGAAGGAGTGGCAAAGTCTAAGGTACACACATCGCTCGACGTGCTCGCTCTGATATTCGATGCATCGCCCACCATAACATAAATTACTCCACCAAGCTCGCACATGTATTCAAGAGGTATCGTCGGCTAAAGTCAGACCGCTACGCTTCTGATGCAGCGAGAGATGCACCTATAAAGCAAAAGGAGATCGAAGGCTTCGACATGACCGAGACCGCGACCACGTCGGGTCCTGTTGGGCCCACGCCGATAGAGGCAGACGCTGCTCGGACCTTCTCTCACCTCTTTGCCGCCGCAGAGACAGCAGTTGACCCTCACCCTGCGGCCGCCATCAGGCACTTCAAAGTTCAACCTAGCCTCGCTGGCCTCCCTCACGATATCTTGCTGCAGGTGGGGTCGAGCGCAACGCTCAGCGCTCATCGAGTCACTTCCGGACTGATCGTCTTGCCCCTTTCTTTGCCAGATCTGGACCTTGGTAGATGATCCGAGCAGGATAGTAATGGTCAGCAGACGCTTCAACGAGATGGGCAGACTAGAAGATTCTCGCGCAGAATGGCTATTGGCTCACTACGACGTGCGCGACGTGTTCTTTGAATCCATCAAGAGACCAAGGTTGCTCGACCCCTGGCTCATAAGGAAGTTGCTGGATCGAGGAGCTGTACTGTCGCGCGCTCTGGTCCAAGAAGTTGTGGCGCGAAGCTCGGCTCCCATAGATGAGTCGTTACATGCTTACGTGGACTCTCCACTCAGGTGGGGCCAATCGGTGCCCACAGCAACCGTCCTGGCGCTTCTTTCAGAGGGAGTCAGATTGTATGCATCTCACATGACGCTACAACCACGGGATCAGGAGGTCCTCCAGCGTAAGCAGAAAGTCTCCCTGGTTTGCAAAAGCATCGACTGACACCGACAGTTACTGCTTGGGCCCATGACCAGTCTACTTGTGCATGCCTTCCGACCGCGCCTCTCACAAGTCGCATCTCTTAGATGCATACCAGAGATTTAACGTGCGTTTTGTGAAGGGACAGCTGGTTTCAGCATACCTCCCACTGCACCGCTGAGACTTTCTGCTTCTCTCCCACACAAACACCGACTGTCCTTCAACGATTTGCATATCAAACCCCCAACACTTTACGCCGCTGAGCTTGAACACAGCAAGCAAGCGTATTTCTGATCGGTTGAAGGAGATTCTGCCCGATCGGTTCATGACAACACGCGAGGGCGGTTGGCTGGGCCCAGTTCTCATGTTGGGTGATGAGGAGCTGATACGTGCTGCTCGATTGCACGGATTCAGTCCCGAAGTGAGTTTGGCCCAGAGGTAGAGGCAAATTTGGGCGTCAATCTGACGCTCAAACGTCCGCGATTGTCCAGAGTCTTCCTCAACTCAGTAGGTGGATCTGTGAATTGGTGATGCTAGGGAAGCGCCCCTTCCATCGCGTACACAGCAAGGCTGCCAAGTTGATGGTATGTGCGACTGTCCGACCCTTTGAGGTAGGGAAAGCTAACAAGTACGCGAACTTCTTAGGAGCTTCAGCAGCTAAGAATCCTCACGATCACACGAGCCTTCGCGGCATCGTTGATCTGCAGATTGAGGCTATCACTTGTGCAAACATACGAGCATAGTCCGCGAGCGGCCCGACACAAACTGCAAAGTCATGTTAACAAGGGTTCGTGGGAGGCCTACTTTACTCTCATAAATCTCGATGCAAAAGGCGGACTTTACTTCAGCCTGAGCGAGCTCGTCCAGGAGCTAGTGGAGCAGTTCAAAGCTTGTCCTTCAGATATGACACTGGGTATTTTGTTCAAACAGCTGGAGCAAGATTTTTCTGGTGTCGATGCAACCCATCAGATTATCGTCGCCACATTCTGGGAGGCACAACAGGATTCCCACCCTGTGAAGTGGATCAAAGGTCGCCTGAGCTATCGCAAAGGTATGTCTGTGCATCTTCCTTGTGCTCTGTGTCCGCGGTCTTGACAACTATGCTGGGTTCCGGCTCGTCAGTCACTCTCGATAGCCTCAAAGCGATTCTTTTTGGAGCTCTGCAGCGGTCTGCGCTCCCAGTAGAGTACGCCTTCGAGGAGCTCGGGGAGGAGGCTGGCCGCCAGCTGTTGGTATCGGTGATACCACATCTGCTACGAGAGGACTATCAGGTGAGTCGCAGGGCGAGACTCACAGCGTGCGTGTACTGATTGCGATACGCTTCTTGCAGGGCAAATTGCTGGAGTGAGCTCTTAGAGCGGCTACGAGAGAGAGCGCGTTGGCAATACTGACTTGTGCCTTGACTGCCCCTGACGTAGAAGTCTTTGTAGCGATTGCAATTCGGCGCCTTGGCGAGCGGAAGCTTTCGAAGTGCTATGCAAGGCGGCTCAGTGTTACGGTGAGAGATTATCCGGCGAAGCTGGTTTGTTGACGAATTGAAGTGGTCCCACGCCGAGCCAATAGACTTCACAGTTGCTGATTTGGGGCCACAAGGCTGGACCATCCAGCGATATCGCGGAACAGAACGTGTCCGCACCTGCAGGTCTTCGATTTCACCGCGCTCTGCCATTGCGTACGAAACACGCTTTACATACGGCTCTTCAGCACGTGTTCCCGATACGCCACATCTCACGCTCCCTTTACGATCACGGATGGAGCGTAGCGCCTCTTTCGCAGCTGAGCAGCACAATTCCGTAACTTCTCTGACCAAAAGTCAAGATCTAAAAGAATCAAGGGTGGCAGCCATTGAATTATGCCCTTCTTCCCTGCCACTCGCTCGTGATACTGGGGCCAGAAGCCAAGCATTTCTGTCAATTTCATCAAAGGGGAATGAGTATCACCTCTGCTCTTGCGGCTTATGGCACCAGCGCATCGAACTGTGTTCGACGCAGGCACAAACTGCCTTGCCTGTAGTCCAAGAAGCATCAGAGGACGCCACAAGCGCTCAGCAAGAAGATTCAGAAGGACATCCGATAGAAGACTACTACTCTAGCGAAGACGAATCTTCGGACGAAGACGCATCCTCGGACGAAGACAGTTTCGACGAGGTTGATTCGGACCCAAGCTACGGTCACATCATGGAACATGGAGCTCATGATCTGTTCTTTCGTACAGCGACAAAAAGTGTCCTAGCTCGGCGCTCTGATGGCAATGTACAAGATGTTGACATGGACTGCAAGCTGTCACCCAATTTTGGGTATGTCCGGGCACAAACCGCAAAAGCCCTACCAGTCAAAATTGAGTCGCCTGTCAAAAATCTGGGCAAGCCTAGCACCGATCTGCAAAATCCGGTGGCTTACAAGGTGACTTCGACCGGGCTTTCTTTCGAGGACGTTGCCATGATTGGGCCTTCAGGAAGTCCAGGAGACTATGGCCGTCTTTCAGAATCTTCCATCACCCCCGGACAAGTTCTGCTCAACCTCGTCCCTGCCAAGAGCGTTTACGGTAAGTCCAGGATTCACGTCTTCGGGTGCTCGCCGCATGTATAGCCGAAGCCTAGCTTACAGAGAAGCGATTGTACGATTGTAGCTGATATCGTGTTGAAGCACACTCTCGCTTGTCGCTGCACGTATTCTGTCGGCCTATTGTATCGCAAGGGCGTGCCCCCAACTCCAGAACATCTAAAGATAGCGCTGCACTTGGGGTTGGAACTTCCTGATGACTTCTTCGACAGCGTCATTCAAGGTTCTGAATTTGACTCAGGCAATGGAGGCAATAGGGACGCTCACTCGGAGTCAACGACTCCAGAGTATTCACGGTGAGTGACCATCAAATTAGTGCATGTCCTCGATTGCCTCTCAAAACATCCCTTCTTTGTCAAGCTCGAATGCGGTCACGTCTGTCGAGCTTAGCCTCAAATCGCAAGGTGCTGTCGCCCTGCTGAGTGTGAAGGAAAATGGTGAAATAATAGCGGTGCAAGAACATGCTGAAGGTGTCAGGCAAGATAAATTGGAGTTTGCGACCGTCGCGCTGAGGGCTTCTATCGACGCGTGTGCGTCCTTGACCGAACAACAGTGCGTGAAGCGCAGGTTGCTCTAATCCTTTCGGTCACGCCCCCGGCTGACGAGCATCCTTCCACAGCGATGCCAGGAAGGAGTCGGCGGCGTTGTTGGTGTTAGAATCAGCGGGCGAGGCTTCCACGGGACATGGGGGAAGAAAGCGTCTTGATCATCAGTTCCTCGACAGCGCCAAAATGGTATGGGGCATGTTCAACAATGAGGTGAGGTGGCGTAGTCATCTAATTGAGGACGTTGTTCGAATGAGGGTGTCCACGTTTCTGGCCGCTCATCTTCACTTCTCTGCCCGCTCCTTGTCGCAGCCGTTCAGTCTCACGAGCGCTCAATGCATTGGTCGCATTGACACCCTGAAAATATGGCTACATCACATGCAAGCTTTGATGTCGACGGAGCATACTCGTCGGAGCGCGCTGATCCGGCTTTTGCGCCTCTCGCCTGAGGTCCAAGCTTGGGGCGCGGAACAGCAAGGCCTCTTCGTGAACAGCGCAGCGCAAGTCGTCCAAAAGAGACATCGCAAGGTGCAGATCTATTTAAATTGCCTACAAGACGCGCTTTCGAGTTCTGATGACGAGCGACAGGAGGTCATCGCTGAGCTTCAAGAATTGTGGAAGGATCCCGGTCATCACTCCGATGCTGAAGGACGCGTGGAGGAGAAGAATCTTGCCCAGGGCCTCATTCGGGGAAAAGTTGTCCGGCCCAGAGACGAAGTCCGACGTAGCGAGTACGGAGACCCGGCAAGGAAGCGAACGGCGCGCGATTTGAGTGATGAGGACGATGATCCCTCGTTCGAGCCGAGCCAGGACGACAGCTCTTCGGAGAGTGACACGGGCGACCACAGCGGGCAAGCTAACAAGCGCAATTGCGACCCCAAAGCCTGGGATGACCAGCAAACTCCCTCTAAACGCCAAAAGGCTCAGGTTTCAGACGAAAGTTCCTTCGAGATGGAGTGAGCTACACTCCCCGACTTTGAATACACAAAGGACGATCTACTAGGCCTCTGAATCTGAGGGCCGCGGCACACATGTGCCCAACCAGCGATATCTTTCAAATATGTGTTCGAGAGGCTCTTCATCAAAGAGTCGAGACAAAGCGCAAAACAAACCCCAGCACGAGTGTGTATGGCGTCTTCGCGTCCGAAAAATACATGCGTGTTCATCGAGTGACATGCACTTGGGGTGATGGCACATTGTGCAGAGTTCTTTCGCGAAGTCCCCACATTCTTGATCGGGTCCCACACTGGGATGTATACACGTCGCTCTGTGAGACGCAGGAAGCTGAATGGCAGCACAACGGTCGGGTCGATCGCACCGCACTACAAACGAGATTGGCCACAAGTCGCGCTCAAAGCTTGCTCTTCCACAAAGCCCCGTCAGTCACGGGTAAGCTTAGCTTAGCGCGCGTCCCAATTTGACATGGTCGTGGGTCTTTGCAATGCCCTCCATCAATGCACTTTTCACACCAAAGACCGCCGAAGAAAAAAGACGTAATACATTGATTGGCTTAGTGCTGATGGGGATATGGGGTTATGTTGAGACACGATAAGGGCAAGACGAAAAGGACAAGAATGAATCTAGGGGAGAGCTTTCAGCGCTCGAAGTTGGAAGGTGGCGTGGAACGTGACGTGAGAGATGTGAGGGCGATTGGAATCAGGGGCTTGAAAGGAAAACAGATGGCGAACAGAATCATGTGCAGAAGTATGGCATGCCGAGAGAATCCACGGAGTGGACGCTCAGTGAGCAAGACCCCTGTTCGTCTGAGTTCGTTCCGCTTCCAGCTTCGCCTTGTTGAGATCAAAGGCTTTGCTCCTCACACTTTCTTGCTCGGAGCAAGCGTGCGTCTCTGGTAACCTGTGCTTGCCACAGAACGCAAGGGTGCAGTGTGGGCAAGTTCCAGCCAGACGCATAGCAGCGTCTTTGCACTGTCCCTCGGTGCCTGCGCCCGCTTTGCATCTTTGCTTGCCACCGCCACGCAAGCGCAACACGAGGTGGAGAGTGGATTCCTTCTGAATGTTGTAATCCGACAGGGTCCTTCCATCCTCCAGCTGCTTGCCCGCAAAGATCAATCTTTGTTGATCAGGAGGAATGCCCTCCTTGTCCTGAATCTTGGCCTTGACATTATCGATAGTGTCCGAGCTCTCGACCTCGAGCGTAATGGTCTTGCCAGTCAAGGTCTTCACAAAGATTTGCATACCTCCGCGAAGACGCAGGACGAGGTGCAAGGTGCTTTCTTTCTGAATGTTGTAGTCGGACAAAGTTCTGCCATCCTCGAGCTGCTTTCCGGCAAAAATTAGACGCTGTTGGTCGGGAGGAATGCCCTCTTTGTCTTGGATCTTGGCTTTGACTGTGGAAGACAAATGTACTCTGATGAGCTCTTCGAGCTCGTCGGATCGCATACGTCATGCTGCAAGGGCATCGCCACTCACCATTGTCAATGGTATCCGAGCTCTCCACCTCGAGAGTGATGGTCTTGCCGGTGAGCGTCTTGACGAAGATTTGCATCTGTGGGGAAGTGGCGGGAAGGGGAGTGAGCAGCCAGTTCGATGAAGCGAGGAAAATGGTGGGGTCGTTGGCGCGGACGCTCACGTTGAGGAGTGTGTTGTAAGAGTGATGCGGGGCTGATAGGTTGAGATATCAGGAGGTGGCTATGCGCAGATAGCAACGTGGAGATGGTGGTGTGTGGGAGCTGGAGAGAGCGGCCGAGTTTGATGCTGATCGCTCAAAGATAGGTTGTCTATGCTGTAGTCGAGTATGTCGAGATGTGGTGGCGATGAGGAGAGCAACTGATTGCGTATGGCAAGACCGTCCAAATGATATGACTCGCTCGACTCTCGCACCTCCAGGTCGTACCTCAGGCCTAATCTCGCGTGCTGTGCTGCATGGGCGCGCAGCAGCAGCAGCTACGGCCGGGCGATGAGCGCTTACGCGGCCGGGCCCGCCGGTGTTTCAGATCACCAAGCAAACGATCTCGACACAAACCGCGCAGTCACGCGCGCGCGCACCCGCAGGCGGTCGCCGATGAGCGATGACTGCATATGCATGCGTGCAGCATGCATGCATGCATGCACCCGTCCGCCCGACCGCCGCCTCGCCTCTGGCTCTGCCTGCTCCATGCATGCTGTGCAGCAGCGCAGCTATAGGCATCATTGCATGCTGCTTGCCGTTTTGAGCCCAGCGTAGCGGACCTGACGGTCAGCAGCAGCTCATCGAACATGAATCGCGCGATAAGGCCCCGACTGCCTGCTGCTTGGCGGACAGTTTGGACTTGGCGCTGCTGCAGGCGATCTGTGAACGCGTGGGGTGTGCATGAGTCTAGCCCAGCCTTTGGAGAAGAGGTCGCGTGCTTCGATGCGGGAGTCACGAGTGAGCATCATTTTGCTGGTGATTCGGTACGCATCTATGCGCGAGCCCCTCATTCGATCACGATTGGCCAGTCGCGCACAGCCACCACGCGCATGATCGACGTGAGCCTGCTCCGTAAACAGGAGATGCAATTTTGAATCGTGGATCTTGAATAACCACGAGCGTCACGCTCACCAGTAAGCTGTAGGATATGAATCCCGAGATGGCCCGCAGCGTTCGTCATCACTCGCAATCGACGATCAAGGAGTGCACAACAGCCAGGAAACCATACATCATCTCGGCAACGTCTAGAGCCGAGTCAACTGGAAGTGGAGGATGGATCGACACACTTCACGTGACCTTTTCGAATGGCAGCGGCATGCGAGACCTGCCGAGCGTAAATCTTGAATGGCCGCGCTGCCGTGCGTGCTCTCTGTGTGTGATCTGTCTATAGCTCGGCACGCCTCAATCACAGCCGTTCGTGGCGTGGGCGCTGATGCATTCGTGATGATGTGGAGTTGAGCAGCAGCACACCCGCCACCACTCGTGACTGCCAGAAGCAGCTTCAGCAGCAGCATCAGCGAGGATTTTTATTAAATTGGTTCGGTCGTGCGCCGCAAGAGTCGTGTCATGCGCGCATATGCAGCATGTGTACCCAAGCGCGCTCGGTCAGAGCGTTTCCGCCACGACCGCGCATGGGCGATTGACGCACGCATGCATGCAGCAGCTGGTATACTGTATGGCGCGGCGTGAGTGGACGTGCCCAACCGGACTGAAGCTATTGCATAGCGGGCCTTGCCTATACCCCGCATCCTTCAATTGTAGGCTTGTAGCGCAACGATCCCACAAGCCCCGTCATTGTCTTCATCATCTTTCGTCTCAAAGCTGTACGTGAGGCATAAGCTGTCGCCCGGCCACATCGGTCTACATGGGTTACCGACCCCGCAACGTACTTTGATGGCCCGGTCGAATTGAAGTCTTCATCGATCTGCTCCAAGCTGCAACGGTGACCTGCCCGCTCTCCACAATCTCCTCTCGCAGGCGCTACCTGGCAGGCACATCTCAGACAGCCGATTCCCTCATCGCTTCAATCCCATCTACTGGCATACGCAGCGCTATGGTTGCTGCAACAGCCATTGCGGCTTCAAGGCTGCCGAGCAGCTCAGATGCGCCCGTCCCTCCAACTCGCAAGGCCAGTTTCACAGCCTTGAGTCAGCTTAGCAGCAAGAGCGGGAGCAATGAGATCCGCGGCAGTAGCGGTGACAGTAGCAGCAGCAGCAGCAGCAGCAGCAAAGGACTCAACGCTCAAAGCAGCTCGAGCAAGCTCAGCGTGAATGGTCAGCCCAGCTCACCGAATGCTGGAGGTATCCTGACCAATGCTCACGAGAAGCCAGCACTGACCAGACGAGCCCTTTCTAGTAACTCGGGCACCGGGGCAACGATAGCCAGCGCATTCAAAACCGCCTTCCAACCTCCTCCTCAGGCTGGGAAACAAGCCAAAAAGACGGGTTTGCCATTGGGTAAGAGCTTCGAGAGGACGACGCCACTGGGATCGGATGGGTCCAGGCATGTTGGCGCAGAAGTGCTGCCGTACGATCCGAGAGGGGAAGAGGCTAGCGCAGGTGATGGTGTGCTACCTCCCACCAGACTTGACATTCCCCAAGGTGGCTGGCATGTCCCGAGAAAGCAGAGTGCGAGCGAAGATGCTCCAAGCTCCAGCTCGAGCGAACGACCTCCTCCACTGACCAGCAGCAGCGACTTTTCCAATTGGGTCGCGCGCGACGACTCGGAACAGGTTTCGGAAGATGTCGCTGAACCTGCTTCGCCCGCATCTGCTCACCATTCGAGCGCTTCTGAGACGAGTGACGGCGCGCGATCATGGAAATCTGGGAGCACTGCAGCTACGACGACCGACGAGGCGTTACGACGTGGCAGCGTAGCGAGCACAAGTACAAACGCTTCGAGCGGGTCAAGCAATCATTCCTGCGCCATCCGATTTGCACCTCTGCCCTCCTCAGGTCGTCTCAAACGAGCGAACTCCATAACAATCGGAGTGGCTGCTCGATCTCACCTACTCTCGTCGCAAGGATCAGCCAGATCAAATGCTGCGGATTGGCAGAGTGCTCAGCTGCACGCTCCTGGTGGTCCTGCAGGCAATGGCAACAATGCGAGACAAGCTTGGTACAATGGAGGCGCTAAGCCTGATGATGTGGTGGATATCGGCGAGGAATTGAGAAAGGGAGCTCTGAAAGCTTGGAGAAAGGTCAGAGGCAATGGTGCGCCGCCCTCTCCTGCTGCTGCAGCCGAAAGCTCCAAGAGCTCAACAGCGGGTGGCCAAACATTGCAAGCGCCAAGCAAGGGCGATGCGACACCTCGACGTAGCGCATCCCCAACGTCCGATGAGCAGACGACCGATCATCACCAGACTGATCACGTAGACGGTGGTCAACCGTCCACTTTCCACCAGGCAGACGAAGATCTTGGTGAAGGTGCGCAGACACCCCGAGCAAGACGATTGTCGACCGGCGCTTTCCTGGGAAGCAGCTCTCTTCGGGGCATGCAGGAAGACCGGCGGAAAGAGGTGCTTGGTTTGGAAGGCGAAGGCGGGGGTGAAGATGAGGGCGCTGACAGTCACGAAGCGGAACAGGCTCAAGATGAGGAAGAAGGCAGTATCGTCGCTTTCCAAAAAGGTCTGGGCAGAACAAATGCGGGCAAAGTAGCCAGTCGCTTGTTCGGCTTTGGAGCTGAGACGGAAGCTCCTTCCAGGGATGAGCTGACTGGACAACAGCAGCAAGACGCTACTTTGGCGGACTCTGGCTCCGAGTCGGTAGATAGCTCGGACTCTGGACGAATAGACGAAGAAGACGAGGAAACTCGAGAAGCTCAAGCGCTAGCTGATCAAGCTTTCACAGCGCACTCTGAGAAGGCTTTGAAAGCTGGGGGAATAGAAAAGCAGAGGAGAAAGGTGGATCAGCGTTCTCCTCATCCCTCTTCAGGCTAGGCCCTGTCCCAGATTCTGCCGCTGCATTGTCGCCCCTTACGAGATGACACTCCCTCTCCCTGACATTTCATGCGCCCGTCTTGCAAAACGGCGCGACACTGTACACTACGCTTCGGCCATTGCCTTTTCGCTCTGCAGCACTCTTACCCCCTCGCTTGAAGTGGCGTTGTGCACCTCAGCTCAAGCCGCAGATGTAATGCGATTCACGTTGACACGCTGTAACACTTGGCTCAATGAAGCAGTGATGCGCGACTGGAACCGCGAAAAGAAGCCACGAATCGCGTCCACAAACGGTGTTCGGGCATGCTCACAAAGATGCATTCCGCTCAAGAGGCACCTGATTCCAAATTGACGTTCGACCTGAAGACTAGGCACGCGATTCTCGTATGGCGTTCTGCGTGGCTCAGCGTTGGTCAAGGGGAGCTTAGAGCATATCAGACGAGGCGCAATCTTGAATGATGAATGTCACCCGGCTGTCTATGAGTCGCGAGTACCAGAGAGGCACATGCGTCGTCTTGTCTCTCACAGCTGATACCTCGAGTCACTCTTTGTGCAGCTGGAGTGCGTGCGGTGGTGACGGAAAGTTGGATGAGAATGACCTACTCAACTGTCATCATAATTTGACGCTTTCTCATCTTGATCGATCATGTTTGCGTGAGGATGCTAGTGACAACGGTCTCGGGTGTGAGTGGTGAGTCATGAGGAGTATGTTGTACATTCAGATTACAGACTGCTCTATGTTGCGCAACCAAAAATTCGAGAGGTTGGTGTTACTCAAGACTCATGACTTTCGGCTTAGAGTCCTGCACGTGATCGTGACTCCAACCAAACTCGCATGATCAGCTTAGCTTCCACGTCGCCCGCCGCGCTGCTGATCCCGCCATGCATGCATGGGGCTGCTTATACAGCATATGTCGCACCCAGACTTCTCTTGACTCCAGACTCCACATGTCGTGTCTTTCTCACGCGCGCGGCCCAATCGTAATCTGCCTGCATGCAAGCAGTCACACTCGTCAGATTCGTGCTTTCTCCTTTCCCATTTCTTTGAACACGAACACTCGACTGTGGGACGGCTGCTCCTTCTTCTTTAAGATAGCAGCTTGCGGAGATACTGCACCCATCCCAAGAGCGCTTTATAAGTCTCACATCAAGCTCACAATGACGCCAATGATTGATGAGAGAGCACAGCCAGGAAGTGCTGAAACTGCGCTCTCACTGCTCCGCCCTTTTCCCCGTGCTAAGGACGATGAGCATGCTTGGCGTTCCAAAGATTTCACCCCCGTCAATGACTCCATCAGGGGCGGCATTAGCAACAGCGATCTCGAAGTGGTAGGAGAGCAGGTCAAGGGGGCTTGGTCCCACAGGGACGCAGGTGCATCTTCTTCTGACCTCGGCGAGGCCATCTTCTCGGGATTCTTGGGTAAGCTTGGTTGCGGAGGCCATCCGGTGTGTGCGCGCATCGTGCTCATAATGAATCCATGTCTTGCCCGTACAGACACGACGAAGCTTGGAGGAGCGGGCTTTGCTTCCCAATCTTTTACTCGACCTCTGCCGCAGAAGCTCGACGCGCATCACTTCTCGGGTCTCCGACTCGTCATTCGTCATCCACACGACTCCGCTGCAAGTCAGCCGGCCTCGGAGCCCGGAGGTGGTGAAGCACCTGTGTACAGCTACGTCCTCAACCTGCGCACCGCTGATCCAGTGAAACGTCCGGATGGTCGAAACGAGTCTGCCATCATTTACGAGTGGGACTTCGACGCTAGCAAGGCGCAGGGCTTCGATGGTAGCTCCTATTGCCCCAGCAAGGCTGGAAGTCCAGCGTATGTGGAGGCACAATGGAAGGATTTTGCCGCCACGTATCGTGGTAGGCCTGCAAAGGACGCAGAGAAACTTGACCCAGCTAAGATCAAGGGCTTCAGCATCATGGCGAGAAGCAATTTCGGTGTGAGTGTAGTGCGAGGCATCAGGATACAGACGCTTTGAGCTTGAGCTGACTTTCGAAGAGGTCACAACGCTCAGAAACAATCTGGCAAGTTCGAGCTGCGCTTGATTGAGCTGCAAGCGCTGCGAAGCACTGGCTCAGCTTTTGGTGCCAGTGATGCCCTTGAGCCACGCTTCTCCCCACAAGACGCATCCAACGAGAAATATTCACTGATGGGGTTTCATCAAGCTATGAACCCGTCGAGCGTCCCCCGCTCTGGCGAAACGGAGGAATACCCCGGAAAGCCTCGCTTTGAGGACGAGGACCATCAGCATGGGCTGAGAGCCGCAAAGACATCGACGACTCTACTCGTCTTTGTCTTTGCTATCCTACTCGCACTCGGCTGGCTTGTCTGGTCCAGCAAACCTCGCGCTATGCTGAAAAAGGCTGGCTGGCAGCACTGCCATGATAACTGACCATTGCGTTCACTTTGCTCCTGTATTGTCCAAGCAGCGCTGATGCCTCTTAGCTTTGCTCCCTGACTCTTGCTGTGTCTTGGGCGCACAGCCGCTCAAGGCACCGTACACCTCAAGTCTCGTCACTCGCACCGCAATCTGCCCGTTCTCGCACCAGCGTTGCTGATCCGTCATCGTCGTGCAGTCCTGCTTGTCAAATTTTCAATGACCGTCATCCTTGCCGTGGATGCCGTTGCCTTCGTAGCAATGAGGGGCACCGACTGGCAATAGTATGAACGTCTGAGTCCATTCGCGCATGATTCAAGCTAGTTTGTGATTATATTGAAGCGTGGAGCCATGTAGGCCGCGCTGCGAAGCCACGTGGCACACTCCTGCACTGCCTCAATTTCTGGCGGGCATGCAGCTGATGGATCAAAATTTCTGCCTGGAATTCTACGCGTCCCACTCAAAAGTGCGGTTGAAATGCGGAGGTGCCGTGCAGCACTCTCGATTTTTGCTCGAGGTTGATGGCAAATTGCTCTCGCATCATCCCACCAAACCCTACATACCGCATTCACTTCGCTATTGACAGCTGCGCGCTCAGCTCCTTTGCTCGATCAGCAGCAGCAATTGGCAAGGGGTCCTTTCAAGGCGACCGCTGGAAGTGACTGACTTGGCCGCGAGCCTACATTCTCTGGAGCTCCCGAAGACTCTTCTCGTACATACCCATGATGCCCGCCCTTTCTGCACCTCAGGCTGAAGGCTCCAAGGTCAATTCGAAAACGTCTCGACAACGCAAGCATGCTAAAGTCAGCTTCTTGAGAGAGGAGGGATCACCTAGAAGTGCCCCTGCACCTGCCTCAGCAGCCATCGAGCCAGTAGCGTCGGCGTCGGCGTTGGCGTCCTCGTCCACCGAGCAAGCAAAGGATGAGAGGTCGAATCAGCGACCAAGTGCGGTTTCGAAACACACTGATGGCACACTCGAAGATCCCCCGAAGCGCAAATCTGCGGGCAGAGGGCGCATCGTAGAGGGACTGGCGGCGTTACCATGGACCGCGCTTGCGGAGAGCCAAGTGTCGAGCCACCCCGCCGTCTTTACCAGGGACAACGAGTGAGTGGACTTTCTCATACACGCGGCTCATTAGATCTCTGAATTTGAGTTGCTTCACTTCAGCTACTACTTTGTGGCTACGGGCAACTCTGTCCGCATTTTTGCGCGCTCGACAGGCGAGGTAGTCTCAACACTCTCTGTTCAGACCTCTGGAAGTGGAAGCTCGCAGCCACGGCGGAGAGCCGACTTGGTGCACACAGCTCGTATCACAGCGATAGCCTTACACCCTACAAATCCTCTGCAGCTCGTCAGCGCATCTATGGATGGTACTTTGAAGGTCTGGGACTACCTTGACGCCACGCTCTTGAGATCCGTCGACCTCAAATTTCCAATCACCCATCTGGCCCTCAGTCGGCACCACCCAGAGCACGCATTCGTCGTTTTGAGGAAGCCCCGAGGGGAGGGAAATGCGCAGGAGAAGGCTGAAGATGCTTTCTTGAGCAAGGGTGAGTCCTGAGCATATTCTGCGAGCCCGATGCAAGGTCGCCAACCGTTCCTTGATTTCTGTCCCCGTAGGCCCTTTCAACTCCATCACTACCTCTTTGCTGCTCAACAGCGCAACCGCCACATCGCATCCAGGTGCATCCAAGCCGAGTGATGTTCATCGTCTAGGTAAAAGTCGAGATGCTGCTGGAATATCCATTTCTCCCGACGGCAGGTACTTGGTCTTGATTGGCAATTGCAAGATTTCTATCGCCAAGTTCGCTGCATTGCAGGATGGCTTTACGAAATTCATCACCGACGAGAGCTTGACGTGTCTTGCATTCCACCCAACAAACGGAACATTCGCGACGGGCGATCAGCGGGGACGAATACGTATCTGGCACATGCTGAATTTGCCGCCCGGGGAGCTGAAAGGGGCTGCATTTGGAGAACGAAAAGCTCCCAATACTCTTTTGCATTGGCATTCTCATGCAGTTGCAGGGCTTGCATTCACCCCTAATGGCGCTCAGCTTGTGTCGGGCGGCGAAGAGGCGGTGCTTGTCCTATGGCAATTGGCCACAGGTCAGAAGGAGTTCGTGCCCCGAATTGGGGCCCCCATCGCTTCTGTGGCACTGGCGGGTGGTTTGGAGGGCAGGGGTCTAGAGTACGCAGTCAGACTAGCGGACGGAAGCATGACGTTTGTCAGCTCTGTAAACCTCAAGCCTCAGAGGACATTCACAAGGGTCAAGGTTGGTGAGTCTATTCTGCGCATAATGACCAGAGAGACCTTTTACTGATGTACAGCGAGCCTCGTTATTCAGACGCGTCAAGAAAGCTCCTTCCACCCACCCAATTGATCTCCCTGCCTGTGCCGCTGGCAACGCAGCCAGGTACAGGGACGCTGATTATGCCTGCAGGTCATCCCTCAAGTCTCCAATTTTACGACCCAATCAACGACCGACATTTAGCAGAAATTGAGATCACCCCATCCAATAGGGTATCGAGGCCTGACGACGCGCCTTTGGAACCTACCAGAGTGCTCAAGGTGACTTTCTCGCACGGCGCACACAGCGATCGCACCCCAGCGGACTGGATGGCGACTTACGAAGCGCGTCTCCTTGACGAATTAGAGACGGAACGATGTTTGAAGGTCTGGAAGTGGGATCATCCGACAGGCCGATATGGTTTGAATACGCGCATAGCAGACCCGCACGCCGCCGGTCTTACTGCCCTCAGCTTCTCGCCGGCCTCGCCTCGTCGTGCAAGAGGTACGAAGCCGGAACCGATTCTTTGTACCGCGGCAAAAGATGGCCAGATGAAGACTTGGCGCCCGACCGCTCGAAAAGCAAAGGGAGGTGCCGCATACACCTCATGGTCTGCCCGTTCCGTCTTTGGGTATCGGGGCTGCGTAGCCCACAACGTCGCATGGTCAAGTGACGGATCGTTACTGGCTGCAGCTCAAGGAGCGTTCGTGACGGTGTGGGATGTGCAAACGAATATCCTGCAGACCGCTCTTCCTTGCGAGGATGCTCAGCCAGCAAGCGACACCCTCTTCGCTGGGCTGGGTGACAGGTTCCTGGTCGCAACTAGCCGCCGATCCATCATGGTCTGGGATCTCATCACAGGTCGGACAGCTTGGCAGCTGAGCGTTGCGCATCGCATCGACCAGCTCTTTGCACCCGCCCAAAGTGGTCAAGCCTTTGCGATCATACTCAACATGCACTCACAAGCACAACAAAGGCATATCTCTGTCGTGCAGACCTTTGAACCCACGTCTTCTCGTGCCCTATCGGCCTTTGAATTACCTTTTGGTATTCGCACGCTGGCACCGGTCTGGTCTCACCACACGCCATCTGGCCCAGATACCGATGCTCGGCAGGACATGTTCGGGCCGGTCTTCTACGCCATTACAACTGATCTGCAGGTTGTTGCAGTTGGCAGCACGGCACGTACGACACAGAGTTCTGGATCGACGGCCCGGCCGCTGCACAGCATCTCTGTCGCACGTCGGACACTGTTTGATGATCTCTTTGGGTCGAGCGTTTCGCAGCTCCACTCGATCGAAGCTCCTCCTTCGGCCCTCTCCGCTAGCAAAGACGTATTTGCTCTCTTTGACGCGCCAGCTCACCTTCTCCCGCCCCTGAGCTCCATACTCGATCCTTTTACTTCTGCGCTGATGCCGGCGCATGAGGTTGCGAGCAACAAGGTTGGAGAGGTCGAAAGAGAGCAACAAGGGTCTACGGCTGCAAAGACAGAGGAAGAAGAAGCGCGTGCCGCAGACGGATCCATGACCAGGCAAGAGCCCACGCAGCAGGACATTGACGAGCTAGTCCAGCTATTCCGGGATCACGTCTCGGCGACGACAGATTCTTCAACCGCCTTTGAGACGGAGCCCAAGTCGAATGGCCACATGACTCAGTCTGTGCGGGACGAAAGCGACCTCGATACATCGGCCGCCAACCGAGAAGCAGCTTTAAATGGGAGATCGGCCACAAAGGCAGTCAAACACGCTTTGAAGGCTGGGCCAGCCTCGCTTCGCTCGCGGTCAACAAACGGATCATCGATGTCGACGGAGCCACCGACACCATCACTGAAAGTCTCCAAGAAGCGGAAGCAAAGTGTCGGAGGGCGCTAGATATCCCGCATCATAATGTTGCGTGGGGAAACACTAGACCTATCGCATTTTGAAAACCGCGTGCGCACGTGTCTTGATTAGCTTGAGCCGCGGGAAACATTCCGCAATGCAAGAGCTCGGACGTCTGCGTCTCAGCTTAGAAATCTCCTGAACCGACGGGAGCCGGCCATCGGTTGTGACACTCGAGCATAGCAGACAAGCACGGCATTTGATAATCTCGAGTATGATTGCAGCAAGTCGAAATGATTTCAGCTTGAAGGCTTCACTGCGCACGCGATGACCGATGGACATGAAGACTTTCACGCTTGCGACGGCTAGCTTACCTCTGGCCGGCTAATCTTAGGTGAAGTGCAAAATGACACCAGTGCAGCTGACTTCGAGTGGAAGCCATTGGTCCGTGACTCAGCACCTTATCATTACATTTCAAGCATGACACCTTCGTTCCAGAAGCGATGCACGGGATCTGTTCGCGAAACCTGATTGTGCCTCGAAGGTAGCGCGTGGCGCTCTCATGGAATCGTGCCCTCGGCCCATTGTTGCCTAGAACGTCGACGTCCGTGGTGTCCATGGAGTTTTCCGCCGCGACAGCGGAGATTTGTTCTCTTGTTATATACGCCGAATTCCGGCTGTGGCGAGACTCAGAAACGGAGAGTACGGTATGATTGTTTGAACCCCCCCTTCGACGCTGAGATCGCTTTGGGAAAAGTGGAGCCGCAAACGGATCAGCAGCTACTCGATCGCGACTTGATTGAGGCAGGCGGCGGCGCGACTCCTATGGTACTGCAAGCGCTGCAGTGGCTTATAAGCGAGCGGGAGGGGAATGCGCCGAATGTCCGAAGGACCTGCATTTGTTTCTGATCCGATGCACGGGTCACCTCGCCACGCTGCGAGCTTTGCTGCGAGGAGGATGTGCATCAAATCACGAATACACACAATCGAATCTCGAAATAGTAAGCTTCGGCGCATCGAGGAAAGTGCCTGCTGAGCTTGGCGGGGCGCCCACTGCACCCCACTCGCAAGTCAGCCATGATGGCCGCTGACCCGACACTACACCAAGTCGTGAGTGCGCGTCAAAGGCAGACCGCAATTGATGATCGCTGTCCGATTTCTCGGCTCGAGCCGTCGTGTTGTCTTTCAACGGTCTTTGATAGCATGTGTGAAGCATGAGAGAACCTCTCGCGCTAGCTCGGTGTGATCGCCGACGCGATCAGACGTAGCGCCGGGGTGCCGAGCAAGAGAAGGAGGAGAACCACATCTCAAAGCAGTCTGCTCGGCCTCGTGACGGAACATGGCAACGCTGATCTACAACTGCTGGTAGAAGCCCGGTGCTTCCGTACAGCTTCTCAATTGGTTCTAGAAAGGTCCCGCAGGAAAGCAAAATCGTGGCTTCCAGCAGCTGTGCACAATCATCGGCATGTTTGCGCTTTCTTGGCGCGCACGGTGTGAAGCTCCTCGCTCCCGCCGAAAGTCCGGCGCCGATGAATTGTTCGTTTGATTGCGATCATGACTGCTTGCGATGCTCAAATGCCCCTGTGATATGAGGCTGGTGTCGTGTTCGGTGCGAGGCATGTGCTGGGAGCAGTCGACTAGTCTCTGAGGATACTCCAATGCGGCAAAGAAGAGCGCACGCCCCCGCTGTAGGTCGTATGTCGTCAGAAGGGACGATGACGAACCAGCGACATGCGAGCGTTTGGTAGGGCCCGTGGAGCCGCGCCGTAGCGCTCCTCTGCTGGGGTTTAGCTGATGTCTTCCCCCCCCCAGTTGGGCTCAAAGCGGGCTGCTCGAGATCCCCAATGCCATTCTGCGAGCCTGCTTCTCGAAGGCAGCCAAGCGAGCATTGTGTGCATGCATGCGAGGATGGTTCGACCTTAAGCGAGCTACCCTGCTAAAACTTCGATCGCGCCGCTCCCGAGCGAATCGCGGTGTCCATATGTGGCCAGGCGCCTGTAGGGCCTGACTGAGGGTCCGGAGATGAGACAGACGCTCGGACCCTTCATTACACCACCTGCTGGACGACCCATTCTGCACGTCACGAATACCTCCCAGCAGCACAGTGTGACAGCCTCGAAAGGCTATCACAGCCCCTCATTGAAAGTGCTCTGATGCGCAGAGTCCCCGATGGTGCCAAGTCTGGCTCGGTGCTTATGTGTCGTCCATGCTGTCCTGCGGATGCAGGCGCCTGACGCGGCAAAACCTAAGCGAGGGAGCGCAGCGCAGCTAGGTGAAATAAAAATGAAATGTGCGAAGCTAATCAAATCTTGATTGCATCTGGAGCCGCGCCTCGGATATTGGGGCATGCAATCGGTTTCATCAAGCTGTAAACACCTCGCTTAGCTTGACTTTTCTGGACTTCAATATCAGAATCCGTTTGATTTGAATGTGAACCACTGCCAACTTGCTGCATGGAAGTTCAGGGTAGAAGGGGTGTGTCCATAGCCGAGGTCCTCATCAGGCGATGGTTGGAGTCGGCTGTGCCGATTGAAGCTCTGACATTTGCCACCGCTTCACGCGGGCTCGCATGTGCGGGTGCTGAACGCAGCAGCTAATCATGAGTAAAGTCATGGTACTGTGGACGGCCAAAGGCCAGCGGTTACCACGACTTCCTTACCGTCATGCGCGAGCGGGGACTTTGACACTCTCGCGCCTACTTTTGCAGGATCCGGTCGACGTTGCAGTTTAAACGGAGGATTCGGCTCGGCGTTTTGTTCCTAAGTCGTCCTGCGGCATTTTTTTCCTATCTCCCTTCATCGCGCCGGTCCTGACCGTCCACGTCACAGCTCGCTGGGGCCGTTGACCGCGATGGGCACCTGCTCTGTACCCTTCGACGTTGAGCGAATGCGGCGAATGTGAGTTGATTGTGGAAGGCGTGGCGACCACCTCTCACCTCTGCGCTGACGTCCCTCGAGCTCTCTTCGTGATGGAAGCAGCGGGGCTTGGAGTGCCCTATACTCACCGCGCCCGACCCCTTCCACTGGACCGACAGCTTACAGTGACACGTCGAGTTATCGTCTCGTTGCTTGCAAGGCCTCTTCTTCGACACTTCCTCCTATAGAGAGGGACCCGTCGCGCTGCTCTTCTTGCACCGCCCCCTCAGCTATCCTTTTGATCTGAACTTTCGCGCCGGCGCTCTCTAGTCCTTGAAGATTGGCAAGGGTTGCCGTACCAAGTGCACATGGCCTCCCGCCGTCAGCGCCCCCATTCTCCATCTCTCGTCGGAGCAACCAACGTAAGGCACTGATATCGTCTCCCGACGTCCTTCTAGAGAAAGTTTGTACCGTCGTGAAGTACAAGTCCCTGTAGACGATGGGTCCTCCAGAGCATCTTCGTCACGGATCGATGTCACAACGGAGCCCCGAGGCGCCTCCGCGATCAGGTCATTCTGATCTTGAACGAGCGCTTCGGGTGCCAAGCTCGGTTGCCCAATCAAATACCCGGAAGGATGGCTTCGAACGGCACAGTGGGATGGTGGGCTTTCCCTACCTGCCTCGGGGCGAAACAGGAAGGAGTCATGTTGGGCTTGCCCATTCCCGGCACAGCTACCTTGCACCAGCTGGAGAGATTGGAAAGCTGCCGCGACCGCCTCCGTTGCCTCCGTTGGGCGACAATAGACCAGAGCAGCGTCAGCTTCCAAGCCTTCCAGGTTTGGCTCTACCTCGCATTGGGCAAGGGGAGCGAGACCCCATCTCACACCCTCAACTTGGACAGCATAGAGTGGGACCTGGATCCCACTCTTACGACTCCTCGCCTACGTTGAGTTCGACTTCGGATGCAGGTCCGAGTGCGGCGCGCCTCTACTCGCTGCCGCCATCAGCACTGCCGACGGATGGTACACTGGAACGAAATGTGCCCGCACGGCCACCACGCCCTCGCGCCAGCACGCAGGTGCACCATGGGACCCCGAACGCCAGACCTTCTGAGCCGCTGCACCACACCTACGACGACCATCAAGGCCGAGGAGCCGGGACCGAGGCAGAATGGGACGAAATGCCGCGGTACGGGAGACCTTTGGGTCCGCGCAGTCACGATGCAAGCTTATCGAGTAGCTTGGCCAATGCTGGATCTTCCACCGAGGTCCAGGCTCCTCCGCGCAGAGTTGCCAAGGCGAATGTCGCGAGCGCGTGTATGAATTGCAGGCGCGCGCATTTGGCGTGTGATGGTGAGTCCTCCGTTGTCGCGAGGGGTGGTGGGGCAAGTCTGGTCAGAATGCATCGTGTCCTCTAAGCTAGGTCAGCATACGAAGAGGACGGCAGGCTTTGCCGTTCCTATGTGTCGATATTCTCGGTATGGTACGCGAAGCAGCAAGCCTGCGCTTTCTATTTCAGGACCGGTAGCTGAGACTGGAAAGTCCTAGGTCTTGTTGGACTCATCACGCCACAGCGTGTCGTCCTTACACGGATGCTTGTGACTCCGTCTGCTATCGTCTTGCGTAGCATGGTGATGGAAGCGTCGAGGAAAGCGTGTGCACGCTCGGGAGAGGCGAACCCCAGATCGCGGGTAGCGGGTGGATGAGCTGCGGAAAAAGCCAGTCCAAAGAGGCTGGCTGCCAAGGAGCCATTGGTGTCGCCGTCGTTCACTCGACCAACGACCATGTCACGGTCGCTGCATGTGGTCTATGGATGGTTTAGTCAAGAGTGACGAATCTGTTGGGGATGGAAATTGGCCGCCGCGCGAGACCGCGCCCACGCGGTCTCAGAGACGACAGAGACCACTTGCTGCTGGCTCTCTCATCACGTCGCGCGTTCACATCCACATTGGTCTCAGGCACGCCTTGCTTGCTGCTGCATGCTTGCTCAACGACGAGCGCGTCAGTCTGAGTCTCATCAGCACATTTCGCGTGGATGGCTGTGTGTTTCAGATGCACACCTCGAGTCACCACTTCATGGTGCTCGACGCGTACACGCTCATGTCACCATGTACGCGGTGTCGTCGCACACGAGCGCAGATCTCCATATCCCTGTCGAAGGAGTGTTGTTGTCTCTCTCGATGCTCTCATGGTGCCCAACCTTCCCGGGGCGCAAGCCATGAGAATGTTGACGCTTGCGAATTGGAGCGCTAGCTGACATGCATCCGCTCGCCCCCTCCTCTTCCATCCACCCGTCACTCATGACCATGCTCCGCCCGCCTTGCACGCTTCTGGACGGTCCTTTGCGGGCTTTGCTTCTCGCAGCGCAACGACCTTGCCAGCGATGCAAGAATCTGGGCAAGACGGAGACGTGTATCGATGTGCAGGTGAGCTGACTATGATTTGTGATTAGCAATCGTGACTTGCTCCACTGCGGGTGATTGTGATTGAATCCGACTGTGGGCAGAGCAGCACACGAATGAGGCCGATATGCAAGGGTACGACGGAGCTGCATGCGCATCGCCCTCGGAAGGGCCTTTTGCAAGCTTCCATGATCGAACATGCACGCCATCCACGGCTTATGGAATTCGCACACAGTAGTGCGTCCATCGCCGGCAGCTATCAGAGCACAGGCAGGGGCCCGGTGTGCTTGGCTCGCCCGCAGGCGATGCTGCCCCTACACTCAGAGACCGAATGCTCCAGTTGTGCTTGTCCGTAACAAAAAGATCTGCCACGTGTTGCTTCATGTTTGGTATCCCGGACTTTCTCTGACAAAAGCCGCATGCTCCTCTCCCTCCCCGACGCCTCCCTCCCTCTCAGCACAAGAAGAGGGGTCGTCCTCGTCTCCGAGATCGGGAGGTCGCTGCTGCCGCTGCCAAGTTGCCAGGCGCTCCGTTCTATCCTCCCTTACCCTCAACAGCACAAGAGCCGCCCGGCACTTCACCCGCCAAACGTGGTCCTTTTCCCACTCGCGCCGCTGAGCTCTCGTCGTCGTCAGCGTTCGGCACCGGGCGTGGAGGTGAGCCCTGGCAGACCAGCTACGACAGCAGTCAGAGTACCGGCATTGCGACATCTCGCTCTCCGCCCTCCCAGCCGCGATCGCGCACAGCGACCCATGCCGGCGAAAATGAAGGTTCAGCAATCTTGATCTGCTCAACCGAGCTACGCGCCGCTCGCGCATCAGATGAAGCGCTTTCGCTGTTGGGTATTCACAAGAGCTACGTCGACTTTCAGCAAATCAGCATGCTCGACCTTGTGCACTCAGATGATGTCGGTACTCTCCAGAACCTCTCTAGAAGTCTGATTGAGCCTGTGCAGATCCCAATCTTGCCCGCTCCTTCAAAAGAAGCTCTGCTCTCTGCTTTCCCAGCCAAATTGATCGAACCTGCCTCGGGTACCATCTTTTTGGAAGACGCTATTCGAGTACGGCTCAGTGATCGACAATTCCATCCTTGTGTGGTGCGGCTCTACCTCGGCGGAGGCTTGGGTGCAGACTTGTACCTCCCCGATACGTTCCGCAGCGCTTATATCGTCGCTGGCATCACGCCCACGTAGCCTTCCAGAGGCCAGCCACGTCAAAGTGCGAAGTCAACTACACCATGCTGGCTCTGTGTAGCCGCAGCTCTCGAGCGCGCATATGTGCGGCACCCTTGGTTCAAATGCACCAGGCATCTTCGGGCCAGCATTACGCTTACACGCTCGAGAGACGTGGATCCACGACACCTACTCAAGGCCGTAGTCATTCCCTGTCGAGGCCCTTCGACACGCCATCCGAGCAAGTGACAGGCCTGATCGCTTACATCAGCACCAGCACCGGGCTGGTGCAGCCCAGCTTCTGCAACCCACTCACGCTGCACCATCTCTAGTCACTGGAACGCTTCGATCTGCATCCGGGCCTAGTCATCCACTCGCAACTTTGGCCTTCGAGCTTCGTCCTTTCTGCTTGCTCCTTTGAGCCTTAGACGGAAACTCTCCAAGATTGTTCGCACAACCTCGCGGAAAGGTCCGACTCTTCTCGCCTCTCCGCATCACTCTTAATGCACCATCAGCGAACCTTTCATATCTGGCCACCCTTCGTCACCTTGATTCGCTTTCTTCGCCTGCCGCATCACTCCAGTCACCTTGCATTCTCTTTCGCTGGATTCTTTGCATACGTGTACTACTCTCCGTTGACGCTCGCATCGCTGCTCTCTTGGGTCAGCATCACTGTACATACTTCGGTGCCAATGTCATTTGCTTTGGCGCACCGCGCGGCCTCAAGACGCGTGAGCTCCATTCTGATGAGACGAAGGATCGCGCTTGGGTCAAGGGTCCTCGAGCGGGCGTCGCGCGCTCGCGTTTCCGAACGATGTCGTCGGCTGCCGAACGGCCATGTGCTGAAGCAAGCGCAAAGTGCAGGTCCCACAATGGGGAATGAAGCATCCGATTTCAAAGCGACAATGACAGTCTGTTGATGATGTACAACGCGTATTCTCAAGTGCTATCGGACAAGTACATGGACAAATGCGAAGTGACGAGTTGAGCAGCTTGCGCGCGGTCGAGAGGGGTGGTTGCGATGGTGTGACGCTGGATGAAGCATCCGTATCGGTTGCGGCAATAAAGGAGAGCAACCGACAAAGGCATCGACGCACGTCAGCGAACTATGCTCGACAGCAATATGCAGCACAGTATAGGCAAGGAGAACTCACCAGAGCGACTGCTGTGCCAGTGCAAGTAGCTCCAAAGCAAGCTATGTAACCCTCGTCTTTGCGCTCCAATCCCCGGCCCAGGAGCTGATGATGGACGAGCTTCTTGATTGTCGCCCTGTTGCGCGCTTCAAGCGCGGTGTGGACCGAAGCGCAATGGTTGAGCACTGGAGTATCAGACATTGTCTCGTGTAATGAGGTGCTGGCGGAGCTGCGTCCTGTGTCCGCGGGTGCTAAAGTAGTCGAACGCTTGCCTTGGTCCACCTTCAACGCTCTCAGCTCCATAGCGGATTGCGATCCGAAATCCGTCACACTGTCGCCCGCAAAGGCGTCGTCTTCCAGAAAACCTGTGCCATCCGTGTCCAAGTCGAGTCGGTCGTGAGAGCTATCCACGCCTTGGCTCTCTTGCATCCATGCAGACTGTTCAGCCTCCTCCAATTTAACATTGCGCCCGGTGTCAAGGAAGTCAGCACTGAGCACGGGCTTTTGTTGGCGTCGAGTCCGGCCGCCCGAGCTCAGCATTTGCGAGTCGTGTGGTGCAATCTTTCGTCTCTTTTCCCCCCTTCTGCCAGGCGTGTGGTTGCCTCGAGGTTGCTTGGCTGGCATCTCGCTAATTCGCCCATTGTGAAGTGGACCTCCTGCGTCCGCATCAGTCTCCAATTCGCGTGTCTGCGTCTCGCCCACGCCAAGCTCTCTCTCGGGGGTCGCATGCTCCTCTTTTACAGGCGTCAGACCAAGTACATCCTTGAAGGACGTCAGGCTTGGCACGCTTTTGCTGTGTGACAGGCCCCGGCGCCCCTTAAACCCTTCGCCTGCCGCCGAGGCTGAGGAAGCTTGAGGCGGATCGAGCTTGAAAGCCAGTGCGGGCCGCTCAGGCACGCGATTGGGCTCGCTGTGGCGCTTCTGCGGCCGCCGAGGCACATTGCGAGTGACGTTTGGAGGCTGCATCAATCCGCTCATACTGCTTTTGGAGGCTGTCTGTTTCCCTTCGGTCTTCGTCGGATCGTCCAGCATGACCTTGCGTCCGACCACCATTTGCATCACACACGCAGTACTGTTTTCCCCTGCAGTCTGAGTGTTGTTCTCGACTGATGGTGAACGTTTCGCTGCTCGCACAGCAAAGATGCCAATCTGCGAGGTGACATGGCCGGACCGACTTGTAGAGACTTTGTCAATGCCTGCTTTGGCGTGCGGACCCCGCCCGAAGAGCCCGCCAGATGCTTGGCTATCAACGTACGAGGCAGAAAAGGGATCATCACTCTGACCTCCACTGTCCTGCCCGTTCTGAGATGTGGACTGCGGTCGACCAAAGACATGGCGCGCATCGAGCGATGAGAGCGGGCCATGCTCTAAGTGCAGAGGAAGTACCTGCGCACTTTCCGAGGGCATCGCTGAAGGGTCGCTCGCCATGGCCTGTTTGTGGGACCAAGAGAGTCTCGTCAGCTCATCGCCCGTTGGCCACCAACAGACGAATCTCAGGCTCCACTGGGATCTTGTCCGGCCCCTCACCTCATCGCAGAAGTGTCGCTCAAAGTATCTGATTGTTGCCGGCTCTGACGGATCGATGAACCTGTCGTGTCGTAGGCAATTCGCCAGATCAGCATCGCGGCCATCCCCGATCAGTCGCACGTGCATGTATGCGACTCGAACGCATCGACTCACATTCTGACGTTGCCGCTTGCCCTCCATTCGTAATTCGCGCTTCCACTGCTCGACGATCGCTTTGCCAGGGCCGAGGGCGCTGGCACAGCTCGGCCCCCAACATGATCCTGACCGCTCTGGGCACGCAATATGGCTCTGCCGATACGCAAAGGTCGATGACGGACCATCTCGAGGGCAAGACACAGGTCCGCGTCGGCGTCTGCATCGGCGGCCGCGCTCGAGTCCGAGTGTACCAGCGCATCGCTTTGCGGATCCAGGATCTGCCGTGCTTCATCGTGGCCCCCAGCTGGCGCAGTGTCGGGTCGAGCAGGACTCGTGCCGCTCAGGAAACCCAGAGTGCTGACGAAGGCCACGCCGGGCAGATGGGTCCCATCTTCCAACATTAGCGCTCCTCGCCACAGCAATCTGGCCTTCTTTCGGCTGGGCGTGGCACGAGTTCCAACAGAGCTGGAAGAGGAAGCGGAAGCCAGCCGGTCGTGCGAAGGCACGGATGAGCCGGGAGTAGGTTCGAACGACGCGCACATGGGGACGGTCATGACTGATGTGATCTAGACAGTCCACTCATTTGGACTGCGAGGGAGGATAGGAGACGTGCGCAGCTGAACACGGTGGTCGCAGGAACTGATGAGCTCGTCACTCGTTCCGCGTCTTGCGCTTGCCTCTTGATGAGAGGAGAGTAGGCCGATTCAAGCACCGTTCCGGCTCGTCTTTGGGCGAGACACTCTTGACTCGTGACTGTTTGTTTACCGCGGGTATGCGGTCGAGCTACCCCAACAGCTAGGGTTCGAGTTGGGATGGAAGCGATCAAGCGTAGCCTCAGCTGCCACAAACCTCGTCTTATCATGCAAGAAGCTTGCGACAAGCGCAGTCACAGTGGATTTTCTGCGAGTGATTCACGGTTTTTTGGATGCACGCAGCAGACAAGTCGGGATCGAGTGTGTAGCGGTCGGTAGCCTTGACTGTGAATTTGTGTGTCAGGTGTTGGGCTAGCGCGTCGCGAAGTTGGGCGCGGCCGTGACGCGATTTACGCGAACCCGACCGCGTATATTAAACAAGGGCAGGCAGCAGCTGTTGGCAGCGTTGTTATTTTGATTCAAGATTGCTCCACATGTCTTCCGTGCACGTGCACCGTTCATGCAGCTCTCCACAGCAAGCGCGCAGCAATCGTGATTTGAATGATAGCGGTCATTGCATACACAACCTGCCTAGCTGCTGGTCGCTGGGTTGTTGTCTGGCCACCAACCACATTGGAAGTCCAATCAAAGATTTAGAATCATCAAGCAGCGATTCAAGGTCGTTCCCTTTCGCAAACAGAGTGATGTCGGCAACATACAAGCTCAAGTATTGGCCCACAATTCCAGGACGCGGAGAATACGTCCGTCTGGCATTCAGAGCAGCCAATGTTGCCTTTTCGGACGATGACGACGTGTCGGAGCTGAAGTCCTTCATCACACCTCGGGCGGGTCATTTCGCACCTCCTGTGCTAGAAATGGAAGAGAATGGCAAAAGTTTCAGTCTGAGTCAGACGCCGGCCATTTTGGCCTATCTGGCTCCAAGATTGGGCTTGGCTGGCGATGGGTCAGAAGAGGATAGGGCAGCCGTCGTGAGCAGTCTGACCAAGTTGTCGCTGCATCGTGCTGTGTATATGCATGCTGACAAGTCTGCACCATCTTGCACCACCAGAACGCAATCACTCTGACCATCCTCGACCTGAGCAACGAGACTCACGACACCCACCACCCAATCGCCACATCACTCTATTACGAGGATCAAAAGTCAGAGGCGAAGAGCAGAGCGCATGACTTTCGCCAAAATCGTGTGCCCAAATTTTTTGGTCACTTTGCAAAATTGGTCAGCGAGAACCCAACAAAGTCTGGCTTTTTGCACGGAGATAAGGTAACCACGGCAGACTTGACGCTATTCCAGGTGCGTTAGTGCATTGCTTTCGCGCAAGCATCATAGTGGCATTTTGTTTGGGAAAGAGTAGAGATTGAGCTGACCGGATGGACTGCGTCGAAATCCGCGCAGCTCGTTGAGGGCTTGACTTACGCTTTCCCCAAGTACATCAAGTCACTTACTGCCAGCTCAAAGACAGCGTCCCAAGTAGCGCCAGTCTTTGCACTGAGAGACAAAGTTGCTCAGCACCCAGCATTGGTCAAGTATTTGAATAGCAAAGACCGCAGAGGGTTCAACGAGTGCGTCTAAAGCATACAATTCAAAGGCGATAAAGTACTGGTGTCGAGTCAGCACTGACGAGACCTGCGCCCATCGTCTTCTTCACTCCGCTCAGGTACGGGCTGTTCCGTCATTATGCCGAATTGGACGGTGAATACGAGGAGTGAAGCTCATGCATCAGAAGCGAGCGCCGCTGGTTGCAGAGATGCACAGCAACAGCTTTTAGATGTACAGTGCGCACATACGCGGATGCTTGTGCCCGAAAGTTGGAAAATTTTCTCGCAGTGGCCGATCCCAGCTTCTGATTTGAAGAAAGCGGAATCTGGTGACCTAGTCATATCCCAAGTGACCTCTCGCGCATCTAGCGTGAGTCGGAAGGTGGCTGATTTAGATCGAAAGCAAAGCGCTTGGGAGGTCTTTCAGACGAGCTTGCGTCCAGACCGTGAGAACGATGGTCTTCGGACGGATGACTGGCACTAAGCTGCTGATGTGACTGCCCTCCATGAGAACTGCTTCTGGAGCGAGTTGGCTGCGGGCTGGCGCCTTCAGTCGAGGGAGCTGTCTTGCTCTCAGCCGAAGGCTTGGTCCCTTCCAGTTTTCTAGAGGGAGCGGACGAGCCTGCCTCTGACAAAGATCTGCCCCCTGGGCCAAAATCCGGATCCGAAGCCCGGATAGCCGCTAATCTTGCTTGATTTGCCTCGTGTCGGCTACCGGACTTTGCGGTCCAAGGAGTGCGTGCTTCCCCCGTATAAGTCACGCCGCGATAAGGGCTGTGAGTTTGGCCCTCTGCAAGGTAGATCCTGTAAGTGGAAGTCCCGTGGCCCGTCACAAAGCTCTTGGGGATGATTCTTTTGCCATTCTTGTCACGCCCGATGCCGCTCGCGAATGGGAGGTGCTTGAACTCCGGAGGAATGCCTTTGTTGGTGTGTGTGGGCACCCTGAAGCCTGTCTGAGGCTGACGAGGGGTAAGCGGGGGATATTAGCGTATCAGCTCATCCTCTATGCACTTCCTGAGGTGAAGACATCAACTCACTTCAAAGCTGTGCAGTCTTGGGTCAACATCTCTTGCATGCGCATTGGCTGCCTCCTGAATAGTCGAGGGAAAGTGATGTCCTTTGATCTTATGGGCGTCCTTGATGATGACCGGGGGACCTTGTCTTGCAGCCATTCTTCTGCGTGCCTCTATTTGTGACTTGTAGGGCGAGTCGGAGACCTGAGGACCGACATACTCAACTCCCTTAAAATCTAGCTTGTGCCCGGGAGGCAGAAATAATTTGGCGTTTCCTCTGCGTCCCGGAACATTGTCGCCATGTGAAATTTCCGGCTTCAAGACGTGCCCTTCGCTGTCACACAACGTGCCCGTCGTGTAGAGATGCTCCGAGTCCTTGAATCTACCTCCGCACTTGTTCCACGGCTTGGCCACCTGTCTCGGGCAAGCGGCGTCAGCTCGGATTCAAAGCTTTGCGAATGTGAAAGTTCGCACCTCTACTTTGAACTTACTTTGAATTGGGCCAATTTCGGATTCAGATTATGCTTGTAATATTGGGCTGCAGCCTCGGTGGCCTCGTGGCCGCCAGGTATCCTGCTCTTACCCGCACTGGAATACGTGATGAGCACCTTGCCTGCGGTTGAAGAACTCGTTCCATCCTGCACAGCAGACACGCCGTCTGTCGTGGTCTTTGCGGCTGCTTTTGCCCCTTCTGCTGCTGCTTCGGCATCCTTGGGCATGACTAAGCGCTTCCTGAGGCGTGACTCGAGCTCTGGGGGTGGTGACCTATTCAGGTCGAGTAGCGGGCGGGCAGAACTGGAGGGCGGCGACTGATGATCACGATCTTCTGTATCCTTTCTGTCCATTGCTGAGGCGGAGGACTGACCTGCTGACTTTTCGGCCGTCTCTTTGTTAGCTGAGCTCGACTGAGCAAGAAGCTGGGCGCGTTTCCGACGCTTCCATCTCATCGTCGGGGACGGATTCTGGGCTTTCGCTTCCATGGCTTTTTTGGCTTCGAGATATGGCGACGGTCCCCCAACGTATCCCCGGTACTTCTGACCTGGAGCCAGGTACATCATTGTTCTGATGGCTGGCCTGTAGCCCGAAGACTCTTCCGGCGGGCCGAATATAGCACGGCCGTCTTTGTCGAAGGCGTACCCAATGGCGTGAGCTTGATTGCGGCGCTCACCAACGCGCTTGTCAGGCCAAGTCCGGAAACCCTGCATGGATACGAATGTATGCAGGCGTGGCTCGACTTCCTTCGTATGCCACGACACCGCCTCTTTCAGCGCGACCGCATAATTAGTCTGCATCTCCTGCTTAGCATGGCCTAGCGCATGCCCGATAAAGGGCGGGCCGTCCGTGCTCAAGTGGATGCCTGATAATTCATCGATGTGGCGCACTATCTTCTTGTATGCCTGGCGTTTCCTCGCATGACTCCGTGGACGCTTTGTGCTGCTGCTCTCTTCTACCCTCGGGGCTTTTGTGTCCCGAACTGCAGCGCCTCCCGGCCCCCCTGTAGAAATATCGATCGGGGGCGTATGAGCACTCGAAGTCTGCGCTGCATGGCCCAGTGAGCTCTCAATAGCCTTGTGACCAGACCCTCCCGCCTTCAATAAGGCTTCAGGAGGCTGCAGTCTGCGCTCCAAAATTTCGTGTCCTTGGTTTGGCCTTTTCTTCCTTGGTCGTGAGTAAGGGCGCCAATTGAGGTTCATAGGACTAGGCTTGTCATCGCTAAATACGAGGCTCTGTCTCTCCTTCCTCTTGACGGCAACGAGAGATGGGTCCTCTGCACTGAGCGGGGCCGGTATTGCAGAGGACTGGGCGCTAGGATGAGCATTCGCAGGATACCACCCAGGTCTTCGTTGCAGCTCAGGGTAAGGTGGTACTACGCCAACGTGCTTTTTGTTTCGACCATCCAGGTAGGTGTAATTGGGCGGCAGATGGAGCCTGCGCTTAGTTGGCACGCCCATTGATGCACCGCTCACCCTGCTATACAGGTCTTTTCCTTCTTCGTCGAGAAACCTTGCCACGGTGTATGGCTGATGGTGACGTGCCGCGCTGCCACTCTCCCCGTACGGTCCGTGCGATATTGGGCCGTAGACCTGATGATCAGGGGAACCTAGAGATCAGCCTGCGCATGTGTGGTGTGGGATGTTAACAGCTTGTCACAAACACTTACTCGAATGGTTTTGGCTCGGGGGTCGACATGACTCGCGTAAAAGTCAGCGCTCGCTTGAATAGCCGCGATGTTGCGCTCCGATGTGTTCGCCATGTGTTGACTGTCGACGTACTGTACATGTGCGCGGTTGTTGAGACCTCCGGGCTCCCAGACGTGTGGAGCATAGGGAGGGGGCGCTGGACCTACATGCTCTTGTCCAGCCAGGTGTAGCTTGTGGCCAGGTGGAAGGAATAGGTGTGTCTTTGCGATTGGAAGGTGCTTGATTGGTTCTTTGCTCGGAATCAGCTTGCCATGCCTGGGTCACGCACGCTGCTGTCAGCACGCCGAGCACTAGTCGTGTACCATGACAGCACGCTCACGCATCGTACGCTTCTCCCGCGACGTGGGCAAGACTTTTCCATCCCTTGTCCTTGCTTGAGTGGTTCCAGCTGGCCGTCAGCTTGCCGCATGGAACATCAGTAAATCGAGTCAGTCCACCCATTCTGAGCGCTTTCTCCCTTCACTTTCGCAAGATGGTCCTCTCACCTTGAACTTAGTCATGGCTGGCTCCACATGCTCTGCATGGAGGTCTGCCGCAGCCTGCAAAGCTTGATATCGGGGAGACGAAGGGCTGATACCCGCGAATCTTGTGTTTCCGCTGCAATCGATGACACATTTGCCCGCAACCGCTTTGATTGCCTTTCCAATGGCGCTGCTACCCTCTCCGACCTCAAGCACTGCAGCACAAGATGTCGTCAGGACAAAGAGCAGGTACAGCCGGGGGTTGAAAAGGCGAACGTGGTGTGGAGGCGGCATCACGGATGCGCAAGACTTGCGGCAGAAGGTGTGAGAACGATAGATGCGTCGAGTCCAGCTCGCGCAGCACGCCGGAGTAGTAGTAGCTTGTGGAGACTCTTGAGAAAGGCGACCGCCCTAGACACAGTGCAGCGACTGTCCTAGCGGATGCTGATGGGCAAGACGTCAGTGAAGGGTGAAGGACGAAAGCTCGCCTTACATGGCGGTACCGCTCGTTCTACCCGGAAGGTGGACTTGTCGGTGTGTGTTGCCACCCCTTGAGCAAAAGCTTCTAGTAATCGGGGGCTATCCCCGACGCTTAAGCTCCTTTGCCACTTTGGGCGTCGAGGTGCGGCGCGGGAATCTTCGCACTCGATCACGAATTCACGATGGACGCGTTCCGGCTGCTCATACAGCCATGCACGCCACTCACGACTTGATGCCCTAAGCGTGCGGTTACTAGCACTCGTCCAAAGTCATCACTGAGCGCCTCGACGTCGAGTCGCCACTGCTGGTCTCGCCACAGCGCATGGATTCGATCTCGCTCGAAGGCCAGCATGGCCATGCACGCCCGCGACGAGACTAGATTCCGCGGCGGTGATTATCTACATCCAAATCCTCAGAGCCAGAGCCATTCGAGACTTTGTCGCAGGCTACACAGCAGCAGATGGCTCACGAAAGCGCTGTTCAGAGGGTATGTGCCCCAATGACTGGATTCAGCCCGTGGCTGGGCGGAAAGTTTTGTCTTGGGCTGAAAGGCGACCAACATCTCTGCGGGAAAGACCGTAAACAAGTCGATATGAACGGATTACTGCCCGCCTCGCAGGGCAAGGACAAGCTGTTGCATTGTGCAGTAAAGTGGATGAATCCGGCGTCAGCCAAGAGTCGGTCAGACGGACTTGTTGCAGCGCATCCTCGGTATACAGTCAACGCTCAAGCAGTCTGCTCGAGCACCAGCTCGGGCTTGAGCAACCCGTTGTGTATTCTGTTCAGACTGTCTCGAGAGACAGCACGGACATCCTGCCATGTCGTCGACAGAGTCAAAGACTCTACTCACGTGCAGAACACTTCCACCCTCTACGCCAAACTCCCTCGCAGTCTTATCGTCATGCATCTGCTTTCCACCAAAGATCAATCTTTGTTGAGCAGGTGGGATTCCTTCCTTCTCCTCAACGCGCTCCTTGATGCGGGACACCTGTGAAGAAATTATTAAAGATTGCAGGTCAATTACCTGCCTTTCTCATCCTCGCGTGATGCCTCGAAGATCAGTACTGAGACCCTTAGGCGCGCGGACTCACCCTATCGGAGCTGTCAATGTCCAGCTCGATCTCTGGTTTATCGTGGGGCATGAGGAGAGCATGAGTACCGGTTCACCGAGCTGCGCTGGCTGCCGCACTCACCCTTGCCTGTATGCGTTCGAGGCGGCCAGAGGGAGGGACCAGACTACAGTGAGCACGACTCGGGGCACTCCCGAGGCACAAGCTTTCCCAAAGATTCACTCACCTGTAAGTGTCTTCACCTGCATAGAAGTTGCGGAGTGTGTCAGATGCAAGCCACTTGGAGATGGGGGGACGCATGAGGGCGACTCACCTTGATCAGCATCTTGAGGTAGACCTTCGAAGGGAGTTGATTGCTGAATCCAAGTCTTGCAAAGGTCCTTGACTATCTGTGCCACTGCCTTTTAATCGCTTTCCGCCCTGACAGCGAGCGTGAGGGTCCTTCGATGGATTTCCGAGCAGCGGAGGTCGGCGCGGAAGATCAAGATGTGCGGCTGCCGCGTGGTATTGCTCTGTCGGGGGTCAAGTCGTGGGTTGTGGATGATCAAAGGACGCCTTGAGTAGTGACGGCCAGGTGTACTGCGCGGTGCTCTACCATGCAGGTTCGCATGATGAAATCACCCTGCACGGACACCACGTGACCGCTACCTTGGCGCTAGTTGATGAGTCTGTGCTCTGCAACTCAAGTCACGAGTCTGATGAGTGTTGAGTGCCGTTTTATGCGTTCCTGGCGTGAGTCTGATGCACTTGACTCGACTTCCATCCACACGTACCTCTCTGCTCTCTCAGCGCAATCAGGAGCTCGCCTCCAGCATTTCACACGCCCGAAGATAGCTCAGCGTGTTGGTGTTTCGGCGCACAACAGCTCAGCACCAGTGGTAGCTGCGGTCGCCCGACACAGCATGCAGTCCGCGGAGCCGGGCAGGCTCCTCTCGATCCAGTCCCACGTCTGCTCTGGATTTGTCGGCAACAGGAGCGCGACGTTCCCCCTCCAGCTTCTTGGATGGGACATAGACATTGTGGTGAGCGTGTGACGATCTTCTGATCGCCATACATCACTCGTATAGCTAAGCGGTGTCACTCTCTTCGCCTTTGTGCATGGACGCGCATGTGCTTCAGAACACCACGCAGCTCTCTAACCACACCGGATATGGCAGATGGGGCGGCATGCGCTTGGACGATGCGCATCTACGCAATGTATTTGCAGGTCTAGAAGCGAACGGGCTCAACAGATGGGTGCGTCTTCTGACTGGTGAGTGCGTCGCTCGTAGCACAGCCTCGCGCATCCACGAGTCGCGCAGCTTCTGCATCGAGGTGTTAGCTGAACCTGAACATTCCATTCCGCGCATTTCGCCAGGCTACACACCATCTCCTGCGGCACTGGCCGCCGTCAGCGGCTTCATACGCCGGACGCGTACTGCAAATCCTGATCTGATATACTTGTTGGATCCTGTGCTGGGCGACTCGGACAGGGGATTCTACGTCGACAAAGAATGTTTACCTCTCTATCGCGAGCTGCTGCCCATGTCCAATATCGTGTGTCCGAACAGCTTTGAAGCTCAGTGAGTGGCGATCTTCTCGCTCGCAGTCTTACGCAAGGGCACACGGCTCAGCTCAGAGCCTTCTCTTGTTGATCGCCATCAAGACAACTTGCAGGCGTCGACATTACAGATCGCTCATCGCTTCTGTCGGCCTTTGCAATACTGCACGCCAAGTATCACGTCGAGCACGTCATCATCACATCTCTTGAGCCGCTGCCTGCTGATCTGGGAATAACCGCTACCTTGCCCGACGGAAGTCGTGCGATGGTACAGGCTGGTTCAAGCTTTTCGGTGCCTCAGTCCAGCAATGTGCCCAAATTGGACGAAGTCACGGAACAGATCAATCCCTGGCTCATTGCTTTCCCCGAGGTGGAAGGTCATTTCGTCGGGGTAGGAGACCTCTTTTCGGCGCTGGTACTGGGTCGCTTCGAACGGGAGCATCGCTCTGCTCCCGGAAGCGCGAGCGTCACACCTTTGGCAGGTGCCGCAGAACAGGCGATCGCGTCCGTGCAAGGGGTATTGCAACGCACACAAAAGTACATGGCCAATCTGACTAAGGAAAGCGAGTCGAGCGCAGGATCGAAAGGGATGAAGAATGCAGCAGACGACCAGGATGCGTCGCTTGTGGGGCCAACGAGCTCGGCTGCGACGCCCGAGGATCTGGCAAGCGCACATCTCCAGGTGGAATATGCTAGAGCTAGGGAACTGAGGGTGGTACAGAGCAGAGAGGAGCTGGAGAGACCGAACGTCAAGTGGAAGGCAAGCTGGCTCAAGCGGTGAGGTGTGGTATAGACAGGGATGAGCGTATAGACATGATGTACTAGTCAACCATTTCTTTAGAGACTACGATAGAATAGATACGGGTGCATGGCCGTTGGTTGCTTCAGGCTCGGTCGGCTAATGTACCATCCCAGCCCATACTGATCATCTGCGGACATTCCGGAATGAGCTCTGGCACGCCAAATCTGCCCATTTCTTTGAATCCTAAAGATGTGTAGAAGGGCACAGCTCCTGGAGTAGGCGCTGCGTCCAAGTACACCAGTCTCTGAGGTCGTGGAGGCCGCGCCAGAGTGCCAGGATTTGGAAACACAAAGGGTCCCAGAGAGATGCTGCTGTCTGGCTGTAGAGCTGATGACTCGAACGTGCGAGCCCAGGCATCCCTGAACACACCCGCCATCATCTTACGGCCCACCCCTCTTCTCTGGGCGCTCGGTGCGACAGAGAGGTATTTCACAACTACGTCGTAGACAGGTTCAGAAAGGGGCATGAAAAGGTCAGATCCGAACGCATTCTAAATCCATGCGGCTTTGTCAGTTCGTAAATGTCTCCCATACTTGTCTCGGACTCACAGACCGTGTCTCTACCTTTCACGAATGCCTCTTGAGCTGTCCCCATCCTCTCGGCAAACAAATCCCAAGCGGGCCGGTGAAGCGCGACAGGGTAGGGACCTATTTCGGGCAGTTCGCTGGAGAGCTGACCTCGCGGTGCAGCGATTTGAAGCACGTCTGCGTCCACCCGCTCCCCGAGGACTTCCCAGACAATGACACCCAGAAATTCGTCCGTCGTTGCATCGCGGGCAATGAGCACGCGGGTGACGGGACAGGGCGATGAGGATGTCCCATGCGCAGTAGCGGCTTCGTTTGAAGCGTGACCTGATAGATGCATGGCTGCGATTCCCCGACGCAGCTGACTTGCCCGATATGCTTTCATTGAAGGATGCTTCAAATCGCCAAAGATGTATTGGGCATGTTCGGGATAGCTGTGCGGCGCAATTGCGTAATCGAGTCTGTCAGCGCAGTACACATTGATTGTTCGAACGGATAGCATGTGCTTATTGTATGCGCTTACCTCACCGCCAGCAAAGCGCCGGCTTCGTCAACGTCCCGTTCGGACGATGCGGGATATACCTTGACATTATCCGCCACGAAATTGTAAGGCGAGAAGGACTCATCCGTAGCGGACGCACTGCTTGCGGCTTCCGCTCTGTGAGCTGTCATTCTCGGCACTCTTGCAAAGCTCTGGAATGGCCTGTCAAGCACCCTGATCAGTGGTCCTTGTTCACTGCAGCAAATTCCGAAGTGGGCCGGCCCGCGTCTCTTGCGATCCACGAAGGCCTCGTCTGGTTCTTGCTTCGTTGCGGAACACTTGCTGACTTGCTAGTGTAGGAAGAGGATGGATTTTAGACCTCGCCTTCAACTCGCTCAGCATGTGTTTGATGATCCCGTGAGCAAGGTGGTCATGCTGAAGACTAGCAAATTAGTCGCATCAAGGTGAAAAGTCCACACAAGGAAGCCACCAGCAAGCGCATGGAACAACACATCACGTCGCTCGGTCAGAGTCGTGAGTCTTGCGTGAATGCACGCACACGTGTGTGCATGTCGAGTCACGCAGCAGCAGGAAACCTGCCGGTTCTTCCAGGTTCTTCCACCAGCCATCCTCTCGATTCAAATTGCTGTCATGCGACGAGTCGAGCGGGAAGGGCAGCGAGGCTTGTGCTTTGAAGCGGCAATTAATGGAATAGTCATGCTGGCTCTTCAATGACAAATGTGAATCTTGAATCACGAATGTGAGTGCTGCTTGTTGACTTTGTGACTTTGTGACTTGCTGCATGATCGCCGCGGTATGGATCGATGCCGCCTGCTTATTATTATTATTGTTTGCGCCAGAGTGGGACCGCGGCAAAGCATGCACAGCCCATCACCAGCACTCGTGACTTATAATTGACTCGAACGCCCTTTGTGATGTGCGTAGCGTACGCTTGTGTGTGCAGTATAGGTATTGCGCACGGCGGGTGCATGGCTGGCTGATGTCTTGTCGTTGCGGCCGGTGTGGTGTGTCTGGCAAGGACGCGGCATGCATACATGCGACTACTGTGTAGCACGACTTGCAAGGAGGAGGTCCGTGAGCGACTGAGACATCAGCGGCTATATAGCTTTCATCAAGTCGTGAGTGGGGTCCAACTTATCCTGCTTCCCTTCACAACAACATCCATCACTCGATCGTGTCTACGCCGCTGACGGAGAGGGGACGGACCGGTATGACACGGCGCAGTCCCGTCTATCGGCTTTGTCGAGGTGTTGCTCCGATTCTGGCGCGGTGCGGTGCGCGGTAGCTTATCTGGCTACGTGGCTTGCTTGGGATCCGTATTCAGGGCTCGGTGAGGAGGCGGTGGATGTTCAAAAGATCCATCGTCAGCATCATTCGAGCCGCTCTGTTACACGCCCGCAAGTGATGTGCCAGGAGCGTTCGCTCGTGCCCACCACACGTCGCCTCTGCACTTTGCCATTGACGCATCTCTGTAGACACCATTTCCCTCCGCCGTCAGCTCGCCAGGCCCGACCATGGCGTTCTCAGCACTTGTTTGCGGCGTCTCTGAAGAATTTCAGTCAGTAGTAGATCAGTTACTGGGCTATCTCGCTCAACGATACTCTTTCACCTTCCGAACGCTTCCCTCATCATCTATCCAACTGATGAACGTACCCATGGAAGCTTACCAGAGTCTCGAAAACTTGGCAATCAGCCATCGTGCTCAGCTTCAAGTCGTTTGCCAGCAAATCGGAGCAAGCATTTTGGGGCGCGCAGAGTTGGCACAGCCCGCCAGCCGAGGTGGCAGTGAGGGTCGCGTCGAGATAGGTTATGGCCTGCCTGCACAAGCTTCGTTCCCTGCGCCGAATGATGGTAGCCGTCCGCCTCTTGAGCCGCCAACGCAGTCAAAGTCGCGTAAGCGTGCTCGGGAGACGACGAGCGACACTTCATTCGCACAGGCACCACAAGCTGGTACAAGCCGTGTGCCCATCTTGGCGCGACCTCACTATCCCAGTAGGCAGGTCAAACGCTCTCGCACATCCCACGCCTCGATCTCTGCAGGAGTGGCATCGCCTCACAATTTGGAGAAAGGGACCAGACGACTCGAGGACGACGAGGACTTTGAGATACTCAGTATCTCCAATACAAACTCATCTATCACCAGCATTTCAGTCCATGGAGAGGTGGAGGCCAGTGGGAAAGACACATCCGAGGCAGAAGAGACCAGCGAAACGAAAGACCATGGAGATGAAGAAGTGGTAGCGACGCTCTCGTCTCAAATACGCGAGCTTGAAAACGCTCAATTCAGAGACGTACCATCCTCCAAAGCCCGACCAGCTTCACTGAGGAGCAAGCGGGTGCGCGCTGCTGGGACTGCTGCTGAGAGAGCGCACGAACAGCCGGACATCTCTGCTCCTCATCAAAGCTCACCACTTGCGGTGAGATGCGCGACGTCGAGCTCGCAGAAGGTGCTGACGTCGTCTGCACAGACTACTGGCACAGTGTACGGAGCTACTCAAGAGACAACAGCCCCTCGTCAACTGCAATCGGCTTCTACCGGCCAACATTATTCACTGAAAGGCTCCTCAACTCAGCAAGCGTCATGCATGCCGGCCAACGAAGGTGACACTGCTGCATCGTCGTTGCGCTTCGCACAGCTCCAGCCTGAACAGAGCCAGGAGCTGGCCGCTCTGCCCACACAGTCGCTAGACGTACTGTCAGGCACTACCAATTCACTCCATGCTGACGATCCCAGCCATTTCGCGAACGTCGACAGCACGCAAAGAATCCCTGAAGGATCTTCGACGTGTGTCGCCGCCACCAGAATTTCCTCTCGAAGATCCCTAAGAGACAGGGTCCGCGTCACCGCTGCCAACGCTAAAAAGTCTGAACTGTCCCCTCGCACCCTCGCGAGACACAATGCTGAAGAATACGAGTTGGAAGGCTTCGCTGTGCTTGACTCCGCCTCTGACGTGAGTCTTTACGACGAAGAAAACGAAACGGAAGCAGTCTCGCCTATCAGTCCTCAGGCACACTCTTCCGGCGTTCGTCGCGTCATCAGAAGTGCTGCTTCAGCAGCGCGACCCATCGATCTATCCGGCTCGTCGGCAATCACATCTAGAGCAGTGATGCCGTCTATTGCCAGCGGCTTAACACCACGAGCTATTGCCCGTTTGCCTGGACGTGATCCTACTGCCAGCACCGCGTACACGCTAAGAAACGGGCGTCGCGTCGCCTCCCACGTCATCTACGACACAAGATTGAGCGCAGGAGAGTGGCACAATCAAATGTGCGAGGTGTACAAAGCGAAGGAAGACACCGCCTTGGCTTGGACGGATGGCAGCAGGAAGATGGATGGGACGGCCTCAGCGGCTGCGGTGTTTGAGAAATTTCCGACGCAAGTGGAGCGCTTGCCGAATGGCTCCTCTGCCTTGACAGCTGAGCTGCACGGGATCTACATGGCTGTGCTGACGGCATCGCACCACTCCATAGGACGTCTTGTAGTCTTCTCAGACTGCCAACAAGCCATCTTGGCTGTTGCGGACAGGGGTGAGAACACCTGGCTCAAGACGGTGTACTGGCCGAGGGCGAGCGACCCCCGAGCAGAGAACAGGCTCAAAGCGATCCGACATTTGATCAACGATCTGAAGAAGACCAAAGTCATCCTAATATGGGTCCCTGGCCACAACGGAGTGCCAAACAATGTGAGGGCGGACTCAGCGGCCGATTTTGCCGGCAAGCATTGTCCCGAACGAGATTGTTGCGAGTTTTTCGGCGCTGGAGAAGCGCTTCCAGGAACAAGCTGGGGGCCAGCGACAGCCCCCTCTGTTGCTTCGTATCCATTCACCTTCACGGCCCCCCTGCCCCGTGGTCCTGGCGATTCTGCTGCCATCGCACCATCCAATGTACCAACACCAAACTTGGCAGAGCATGCCCCGCCTGGACCGGTCTCCACAAGTCTCGGCGCAGAAACGAACAGCGTGCCAAATGCCTCAGCACCCCTCGGCGGCAATGTTTCCGCGCAACGCTACAACCTCAGGTCGGGCTATCCAAGCCGACCTAGGAGAGTTGCGTTGACCACGGTGGTCCCGCAACAATCTCCCCAGGCCGTACTTTGAATCGTGTACATTGAACCCCCAAGTACGCAAAAAGTCGGAATTTTTTTTTACTTTTCTCAAGCGCAACTGCGCTTCGAGCTCCATCGCTCGTATGGACAGCCGCAAAGTGCGCTCAAACCCTGTCCTCGGCAGTCGCCCCGGCTGCCTCTTCTCGATCCCTTCACGTTCGCACTGTCAAGCGCGAAGTAATCTGTAGCTCATTCCCATTCTCTCGTCATCAAAGCATATCAATCCCTGACCGAGCCCCGGCCTCATTTCAACCCTTTCCAACCACGCATCCATCATAATTTCGAAAGGTCCACTTTTCCTCTAACGTCCCCCCTACCCACGCAACCATGACATCCTGAATCATAAACGTAGATCTTTGACCTGCAATTCGAATGACATTGATCGCTGTGCACCAGGCACGCTTTTGGAGTGGCAGTGCTTCGCGACAGGATGACTATAAAGTGACGAAGGGTCGTCTTAGACCTTACCATGCTGTGCGCTCCTCTGCGCCCGCTGTAGACACCATGCGTCTCACGCCTGGTGACTCGTTCGTTGCTCGTCTCAAAAGGCGATCGCCCATTCGCAATTGGCTCGCTTGGTCTCCGCTGCATGTCACGGCCGACTTCTGCGCCACTGACCGTTGGGAATCGTGAGTGTCGGTATCCTTCAGCAGACACTTGAATCCAGATGCAAGCAACGGTCGCTGCTCCACCTTTTGACTGGGTGTGGGTGTGAATACGCCACTCATGTTCAGGTGCGTGTGCTTCCATCCGCTGCAATCGCAATCGAAGCGCGAATGTCCCTCACGGATGCATGTGCCGATGTCAATTGCACAGCGATCGGTGGGTGGCCTTGGGGTCTATCGTCGCTGCAGAGAGAGAGAGACGCCGGCCGGCCTTGGCGTTCATGCCAGACTCGCGACTCACGACTGTGAATTCATGTGGACTTGTCGAATTGGTGCGTCGTGCATGATCGGAGGCGGTGCGCCAAAATGCGGGACTACTCGGTTCGTACAGTCAGAGTACCGGTACCTACCGTATATAGCTAGCTAGCTGCGGGACTGCGAGGTCCGATTTCGAGGCGCTCGCTAGCCTAGCCGCATGGATGCTTCTGACAGCTTTGCGTGTCCTTCCACATACACGACACCCTACCTTTTCAAGTGCTGAATGCTTGTCTCATCCTCTCTGGAACTCTTGCATGCTGGTCTGTGAGTGTAGGAAGTAGACCAGTAGGAAGTTGAACAACCGACACAGGCCTTAATGGGAACCCCAACTTTCGCGGAGGTCATTTATACCCCGATTCATCAGCGAGGTGTCTCGCTCATTGGAGCTTAGAAGCTTCGGAAGTTTTCGCAGCACTCTCCCACGAGGTTCTCAAGATCAACCATCCTAATCAAGCATCGCCAGACTTCGCCTACTCGCCTTCGGTCGACTCTTCTTCCCCGCTTGAAAAAGCCGCAATGTCGCGGATGATGATCAATGGACGAGCGCTGGCGCGTATCGGGTTGCTGGTCTCCCTAGTCGGGTTGATCCTGATCTGGGCATATCCACGCCGTCACGATCTTCAAGATACGCTGTCCTACTCTACGCGGCCGCTCTGGGACACGACTGGCAAGGCCGAAGCACCAAATCACATCATCCCGCATCTTCAAGCAGATGGCGTGGCAGCTGATGACGCCGCAGCTTGCGCCAGACATGGCTGGGTGACTAGAGAGCACGACGTCAAGTTGGTGGATGCCTTCTTGATCTCTACAGAGGTGGAGCTGCTGGAGGCCAGACTGAGAGAGCTGGAGGATGTGGTCGACAAATTCGTCATTGTGGAGAGCGATTACACGTTGATGGGGCAGCCTAAGGTGAGCGACAAATGTGTACGGAGGCGCAACTGTGTTACAGGGGTTCCGCCCAAATGAATAAGCACACATTCCACCACTTTGATGCTGACATATCCGCCCCTGCGCACGCTCAAGAACATGACGTTCCAGCAGAATTGGCCCAGATGGTCAAAATGGAGCTCAAAGATCGTGTATCAAGCATACAAGGGCAGAGCGATGAATGCCGGCGATGGTCCATTCACTCTGGTAAACGAGATGAGGTTGGGCGTGTCCAACGTGCTGTGAGTCGCTGTAGCGCGTCTCTCTTTCTCAGCTTTAAGCACTTCTGTCTGACGCTTTGGCACTCGCGACGTCGGCTATCGTGCAGCCGAGGCATGTCGCTTTCCGCGACTGATCTGGTCCTCATGTCAGATATCGACGAGATACCATCCCGTTCAGCCTTGCAGCTTCTGAAGGCGTGTCAAGCGCAGAATCCGATTCATCTTCAGCTGCGACCTTACACCTACAGCTTCGAGTGGGAAGCGGGAGAGGCTAGCTGGAGAGCTTCCTTGCACGAGTGGGGAGCGTCTGGCAACTTCTACGGTCACGGAAAGAGGTCGGACGTCATGCTCGCTGATGCTGGCTGGCACTGCAGGTGAGTGGCAGGACACGAGCAACTCGCGAGCGCAGGAGCGATGGGCATTCGTGTCCGGCTGATCGACACAGCTCGGTGATCTCTCCTCACAGCTGGTGCTTTGCTACGCTTGAAGAATTCGTCCAAAAAATGAAAGGCGCATCGCATGCCGATCGCTTGTACCACAGACTCAACTGGCAGCAGTACCTCTCTCACGAGCGCATACAATCCAAGATCTGCAAAGGCGAAGATCTGTTCGACATGTAAGTTGGCAAATTAACCGCGAGCGGTCTTTCGTATGTAAGTCGAGCTGACTGTTGGAACGAACATCCGCTTCGCCGCAGGTTACCAGAAACTTATTCGTGGTCGGAGCTGATCGAACACTGGCGAGGCTCAACACGAACCCCGAGCGCCGTTGGCCTACCACGGGCAGTCATCCAAGACGCGGACAAGTTCAAATTCCTCTTGCCAGGTGGATGCAAGAGGCAGGCAAGATAGACGTCGAGGTTTCGTATTTGTTGATGAACAAGCTGGACGACACGGAGTCCTCATCTCCGCATGAACATTTTCGCTTGCTAGGCTCTCTTAATGTACATTATGAAAACGCCAAAATCCTGAAGTGGGAGACCGAGGTAAAGCTGTCGAAGGATTGGCGAGAGTAGTTGTCTGAATGACTTGACTCGATGCAAAATCCTCACGGAGGCTCGATCGATACGCCGCTTTGACACACCTATGTGATAGTCGTCCCGTAGGTTTATAAGGCTGCCTGCGTGCCAAATGTTAGCATCGGCGCGCTGTGTATGTTTTTTGGTGGAACCTTTGCGCTGCGCAGAAGCCATGAGTTCCAGCATCGTGGCAAGTCGACTCCAGTCCATTCAACACACTACTTCTCGATGATGATCCAAGCTTCCGGCACCACCAGAGCCTCGTTCCCGTTGCCTGTTGGTCTCATCTCATACACCTCGCAGGTAGGCAAACTTCTGGTGTAGCCAATTTGAGATGTGACGCTGGCCGATGATGGTTGCGCAGACTTTGGTGCTTCCCGCACCGCTGGGCTCTTCGCTGACGCTCATTCTACAATTCAGCCATCACCGCCTTCTGCCGACCATTGTGAAGCCATCCTCGTCGACGATAGGCTCTTGTCTCTGCCTAGGCTGCCTCTGTTGCTGCGCAGACTGACCATCCACGTCCATTCCGTCCTCTCCGCCTTCGTCGTCGCTCTCATCGCTTGCCATGCCCGCATCGTCACCAGCATCCTGTTTGGTGGCCTTTGTCTTGGTTCCTCTTAGACTCTTGGTAGCCTCTTCCAGTCCCTTGACGGCATTCTCAGCCTCGACCTGATCCCCCCCAAAACAGAGCTTGTGCAGGTTGCATATCCTTCCAGCCACATACTCTGCGCTATCATCCTCCAATCTGACTTCGTACTCGTCGTTGAAATAGGCCGTCAATGCGTAGCTTAGATCATCCTGATCGGGCACCACAATCGGATCTCCGCCGTGGGTATCGGCCAGATGCGAAAGGAGGAAATCCGCCTTGTCTTGCGAATCCGAGCCGCCCCACTCTTCGGCGATGGCTAGACGCAGAGCAGGCCATAGGGCGAAGGTTGAAATGAGAGCTCTTGCGAATAGGAGCTGCTGTGGAGTTGGTGCCGCATCGACCGATGCAGAGGTCGAAGCCGAAGCTTGATCATGCGTGCTGGCTGCTACTGGAGGCATGTCCGCAGGGATGCGATTCGGCCGGAAACGCGCCGATTGTCCTGTGATGGCGAGGGCGAGACGTGATGATGGTAGGTCAAGCTGCAACAAGACGTTGATCGTTGAAAAATGATGGCTGTTGCAGAGCGAGGTACGGGGGAATCTTGAGCTGAAGCGAAGGGGAATCGTCTGGGCTTGGTTGGCTGGTTGGCTGGTTGGAAAGTCGAGGCTGCTCAAGAACAAAAAATGAACAGCCCAGAGCTCCCTCCACCCTGGCCGTTTAGCACGCAGGCAGATATTCAATTCCCACGTGGCTCGTGAGGGCCCAACGCGTCCGTGCGCCGCCCTCTCCGCCCTAGCTCAGGCAGCACAGCAGAACGAGCAGCACAGCCCAAATCATGCATGGCGACTTGACTTCACCGGCAAACAGCGTGCGCCCACAGGCAGCTATACGCGGTCGCGGTGGCATGGAACACCGCGCATGCATGAATGGAGCGGTGAAGTGTGATCGGACCACGTTGCTGCCCATCTCCAAGCTGGGCGTTGGTTCACAGCACCCAGCCGATCCAGTCGTGGGTCCCGAATGTGCCACGACCTCAGCAACCATCATCCAAACCGTTCACGTTGCTGATCAACGTGCGGACGCCAAATAATTCAACCATCTTGCGACTTTTAGACCATCGGACCAATACATTCAGCCAACTGACGCTGCCAGAAAATCAGTCTCTCAAGCTCGCCAAAGAAGAACAAGGCATTCACGATGGAGAATTGGAAAGCTTTCACGCAGAACATCTCTGCAAACGTCGGCCCTGTCGGTCAGAGGATCTCCAGAGGCTTCGGAAACCTTAACCAGCAAGCCAAGGAGAGATTCGGGACTGTCGATGCTGATGATATCACCGAGCTTGTGAGTATGCGACTTGAAACTCGGTCACGACAAAGTAGAGGTCTTCGCCATCCATCAGCTCGTACTGCAAGCATGTTGCGAGGCAAAACGCCTGGCGGCGTTCATTTTTGCCTTGACTCTGCGACATGGTGGTGCACACGTGAGGACTGCCTCGACCTATTGTGGACCCTATCGTAGCGGTCAGGTGCTCGCTCCATTTTCGGACCGATCGAACGTGATCGATCGTCCCCATTCGTAGCTCCCTCGTAGCTCCGCACAAGGACACAAAAGCTATGTGCTGATACTCGATGCTTCTCTCTCCTCCACAATTGTAGCCTCAAGAGTACAAGGACTTGGAGCAGCGCGTGGATGCTCTGCGTTCCGCTCACAACAATTTGCTCAAGTCAGTTGAACTTGCGCTCAGCTGTCAAGCGCGCATTTTTGCAGAAAATTGGCCAGAATTCCTGATCGGATGACGTCCATCTTTCACAGGATCGCTCGTGCTTACGAGTCAGAGGGCTATGACTATCCTGTATGTAGCAGAGGACTTTGCGTTCCAGCGCGCAAATTTCTGATACTCCCACATTCCCACACTCATGTCTTCGATTCTCACAGACTCAGGTTCAGGAGTCGATCGGTCAATTGAGCCAACAGATTGGTCACAGCGTAACTTCGTGGGCGTCGTCTGCCACTAAGGGCACTAGTCTGCCAGCTGTTCAGCCCACGGCCGCTCCTCCCGAGGTTCACCGCACCCTCGCACACGCCCTTTCGCGTGGCGCAGCTTCAGGCGCGCTCGAGCTAGGTGCAAGCCCCACCAGTATCGCAGGACTTCCCACCAGCCCTGCTTCTGGTCCAAGCGGAGGCAATCTGGCTGGGGAGGAGAGCAAGCTGGGCGAAGCTCTTCAGAAGTTCGCCCTTGCTCAGGACCGTGTTGGTAATGCTAGACTCGCTCAGGATGACTCTATCAGACAGGGCTTCCTTCAACCTTGGCAAGCCTTCGGTGCCCAGATCACCGTAGCTATCAAGTGAGTCCAGCCACGTCGTGGTGCGCTCATGGTGCTTTCCTCAAGCCTAGTTCTCCTCCAAAATCTAGGGCTCGTCAAGCTGTCCGTGATGCTAGACTGCACCTCGACTCGTGGCGACAAGCTCTCAAGGCTATCGAGGCTGCCGGAAACACCGCCAAGCTCGACTCGCACCGTCAAGAGGTGGAAGCCGCTGAGGACAAGGTGCGTTGACATGCTCTTAGAGCGCATTTCCAGTCCCTGCATGCTCATGTATCTACGTCGCGCAGCTTGTCGAGGCTACAGAAGCGGCAATCGCTTCGCAGAAGGCAGTCCTGGAAAACCCAGAGGGCATCAAGAGCTTGGCTGCCTTCGTCAAGGCGCAGAGCGAGTACCACCAAGCTGCTGCTCAGGTTTTGGCTCAAGCTAGCAGCGAGCTGGCTAATTTGGGTCTGGCTGCCGAGTCTGAGTGAGTGAGAGCGCTGAAGATTGATTCGGAGTTCAGCAACATTCTGACGCTGTGGAAGCTTGCCATCCCCAGCTACAGGGCGACTCGTGCTTGATGGATCAACTCTGGCCCATGTTCCTTCGGCATCCAAGTTCCTGGAACACAGACAACAATGATTCTCTTGGTGTCTGTGATTTGGCAGAGAAGGCGCTTCCTTTGCTCTTCTGATGCACAGGGAACATGTACGATTGGCTTACGCGGTTACGACACCGCGACGTGGCTAGCTTCTATGTCAATACCGTTGCAATGTGGGCTTGTCTCTGGATGTCTGGGTGCTGCTTCGTTTAAGCACGTCGTTTGAGTCTTGCAGGGTCCGCAGGCATCCGTGGGCTCGTATCACTGACAGAGGCGAAGCCGAATGGTGCCGCCAGGCTCTCCTCGTTGGCTGGTCACCGTCCAACATTCATCTCTCTACTCGCTTTGAGCCTATGAGTTGTGAGTGGAATGCTTTGGTCACGACGCTCGACTACATCTGGAACATTCTCACGGTGCGCTTCACGCGACGCGTAGCCTGAACAGCAGGTGACCCTGACCACGCACGTGCATGACTGGTGCCAAGTCTGCAATGGAGCGGTGATTGAATCGCCAGAAGCACTCACGACTTCAGCGCTACACAGGCTTGGGGCGACTCCGTGACGGCTGCATGGCCATTGGACGCTGCCAAGAAATATATATATATACCGGTGCATGCGGTCTTGTCTGCGGGGTTCTGCATGTGGTTGGTGGATCCCGCCTCTCTCGCTCGCTCGCCTGGATGCCTCGAGCGCTCCACAACACAGACGCGAATGAAGCTTCACGGCTCGTTCTCATCAGACTAGTGAGAACCATGAAGCGCCGGACAAGATGGGCGGTCTGTCTGTCTCGTAGACGGACCGGCGGTGCGTACCACCGCAGACTGGCTCCTTTGCGAACCGAGGCGCTGAATCGTGGCCCTGCGTAGCATGCGTGCGTTAGGGGCAGCTATATACCTAATCGTGAATTCGGTGCGGTGCAGTGCTCTGCGAGCTGCCGCTGCGTGGCCCTTCTGTCCGATCTGAGCAAGTCCCAGACCGGTGGCAAGATCTGGCTCGCATGAGGCAAGAGGTGGATTCCCGCGTGGCGCGCTGCGCGACGTAAAGGGTTGCCAAATATAGCTAAGATGGCTGTGGCGCGTGCACCCACAACTGCTGGCAGACGCTCCCTGGGCGTCTGGGTGAGGAAGCTGCGCAGGGCAGAGAGCCGATGCTCGATATCGTGCCTGCTGCGCGGAGCAGTCACAGTCGACCTTGCAACGACGCTCGGATGATTGATTGACTTCACATGCGCGGATTTCTTGATTCCAAGCCGGCCCCAGCAGCAGGCTGCTTGCTAGACCGCTGCTGATGCATGCGCGCGAGGTGCTCAATCGGGATTGTGATCGATATGCCTGCACTCAGACTTTGTAATTGCATGCAGTCCAAGAGTATCCATCCAGGCCTGGCTGCTATACGGGTGGCTTGCGTGCCTTTATTCGCGATTTTGCATGCCTGATGCTGCGTGCCCGCTGTCGGGTGACGTTCCACCTTGGCGAAGCGAGGCGGCCGCGGGCGGGCCAAGCTTCGCTGCATAATTTCTCACTTCTCACCTGCTGGCTGCGAGTACCCTCGTCGTGCCTGAACCTAAAGCGGCTACACAGAATCTTGACCTACGTACTGCACACATGTACCGAGACTGCTGCTACAGCCTTTGCAGCACCTTCAATCATCATTGCCATCACCGCCAGTGCCGTCCATCGAGGATTGATAGATCGTGTCTGGCTTTGAGAGCGAAGCGATCTGCTAATAGCGTGATACTCGTCTCTTGGCACTCCCGTTGTGCAACGCTCGTTGCCGAGCTGCGGTTCTCGCAAGCATACAGTCAAGCTTCAGAACTCTTCGTTCAAGCACCAGTGCTAAGCTCACAGTATGGGTGAGTACTAATACCACAAAGCATTGATTTCTCGGCATCTTCGACCTCTCACATCTCCTGCCTTGCGATCAACAGCGCCCTCCGAGAGAACGCCTCTAGCCTCGGGTCAGCCGGAGGAGCACCGCAACAGTGCTCTTCCGCTTCATCGGCCTTCTTCCTATCCAGCAGCGACAGGTGGTCACTCTGAATCGCACTCTGCAAGCAGCCCAACGCTGCTCTCTTCCTTTAGATGGTTGATCTTCTCTAGCTGGCTCAACATCCTCCTCGTCTTTGTTCCATTGGGATTCTTGGCCGAGAAACTTCATTGGGGTGCTGCTACCATCTTTACCCTCAACTTTTTGGCTATCGTGCCCTTGGCAAAGGTGAGCTCAGCACGAAGTGGCGAGTAGTGAGGGGCATTTGCCTGACCAAACAGCAATGGCGGAACTCGAGAGCTGTCGCGCGAGCGCGAGGAAGCACCGAAACTTGATCGCTCGACTGGGATGCGGTGAAAGGCTGAAGGTGAAAAGTAGGGAGTGTCCCATTTGTCTTTTCGCGCTGGCACGCCAATGTCATCGAGCTAGTGGAGCTCTACTCTGTGCAGACGCGCTCCCAAACTGATTTGGACAATCCTTCCTGCATTTCCCGCGCTACAGCTGCTTGGAGATGCCACGGAGCAAGCATCCTTGAAGCTTGGACAGACGCTTGGAGGACTGCTGAATGCCACTTTCGGAAATGCCGTTGAGCTCATCGTAGGAATCGTCGCCTTGACTCAAGGTCAATTGCGGATTGTTCAAACGAGCCTGATCGGGTCTATCCTCAGCAACATTCTCCTCGTCCTGGGCATGAGCTTTGTTGCTGGAGGCATCTACAAGGATGAGAACTTGTTCCAGACTACGTGAGCCGTGCAACAGCGCTCGGATGCAAGCGTGCAAGCAGCGTAGTGCTGATGCGACTTCTTCCTGGCCCCTGCAGCGCTGCCCAAGCTTCGGGCTCCATCATGACCCTCGGCACAGTCGCTGTGGCGCTCCCTGCCGCATATCAAAGCTCCATCACCATGCACACCCTCCTCGCAAATGCGGGTCAAGGGGAGCCCAAAGGTCCGAACACAGACCCTGAGCAGGGCCTATTGTTCATTTCGCGCGGAACGAGCATCATTCTGTTGGTCATCTATGCCATCTACCTGGTCTTCCAATTGAAGACGCACGCCTACCTATTTGAGGCTGACCAGAACAACGAGGACGAGGAAGAGGAGACGCCCAACATGACGCCCATTGCTGCAGTCATCGGATTGGGGCTGGTGACGGTCGTGACGAGCTTCAATGCTGATTACCTCGTGGGTGCGATCGACGAAGTAGCGCAAGAGTACAAGATCCCCAAAGCTTTCATCGGAACCATTCTGTTGCCCATCGTTGGCAATGCGGCGGAGCATGTGACTTCTGTCTGGATGGCTGCAAAGGACAGGTTGGATCTTTCCCTCGCTGTTGCTCTGGGCTCCTCTATCCAGATCGCGATTGGTCTCATTCCTACCCTCGTGCTTGTCGGCTGGGCTATCGATCAACCTCTGACTGTGAGTAGAAGCGTGTTGCATTTCTGCTGCGCCAAGACCCTGCTCCTCTGATGCCTTCACGCCCTTTCTATGCACCACTTCGCAGCTCTACTTTCAAACGTTCGAGACCGTCGTGCTGATTGCAAGCGTCGTGCTCGTCAACTCTCTCATCCAAGATGGACGCTCGTAAGTCGCTTGTTGTGTCAGCATTCGTGACAAGCAATGCGCGCAAACGTGTCTGACGCCTTTGAACCGTTCGTCTGCAGCAATTACATTGAAGGCGTCATGCTGTGCGCGCTGTATGCAGTCGCTGCCATCTCGTGAGTACGGCCCATAATCACTCCCAATCGCATCAAGGCTAATTCTCGAGAAGCTGACTCGCTCGCGCCACACCTCTCAGATTCTGGGTGGAACCTTGAAAGCTTCGGGGCAACCAAAACCGAAAATCCGTGCCCGCTGTACATAGGAATCAATCGTTTGGGCCGCATGTCAAAAAAATTCTCTGCTGTACATAGTCTACCTCGTAGCCGAACTCGATCGGCACAAGAACAAAAGAACAAGGTTGCATTCGTTGTCAACTTTGAGAAACCGTCATCATCCAGACGATGGCAAATGACCGGATGAACTGAAGGAGCAGCAAAGGGGTAGAAGTACACGTGATATACACTTACATGGCATGTTGAAGGAGTAAAAAAAAGGGGCAAGGCAGTGGGATCAGACTCGAGGGTGAAGCCTGTTGCAAGGATGGCGCGTCGCCATGTGCATCCATCGAGTTGGTATAAGGAGTGTGTGTGAGCGGTAGGCAGATGGCATTGCGATCAAGAAGAAGAAGCGGGAGAGAGCAGCGTGGACACGAGTTGGAGCCTGCTCGTGCGAACAATGTGCAGTGGGCTCCGGAATCACTTGCTGGCGCGTAGGTAAGACGAAAGGCTTTGCAGACTTGCACGTTTGTGCGTCGACGACTTCATCTTGATCTTATCTCCAGCAATCGAGTCGTGCGAGCGCGAAGAAATGTTTGGCAGGTCATTGGCGGCATGTTCAGGAGCGAGAGAGACTGCTCGAATCCTCCTGAATGACAAGCGTCGCCCTATGGACCTCAGACTTCCAAAGCTGTTTCGCCTCGACCTTGCTTCAGGCTGCGGCGCACCAAACTCTGACCAGTCAGCCGCTCCTCCGTACTGACCATCCGCTCGTTGTTGCCAACTCTGCAATGTGGGAAAAGCGTTTGGCCCATGTCCGCTGAAATTCCTGCTTTGACGTCCATTGTCTGAACCCCGCGCCATCTCGGCTTTCCAGCTAGCGGCGACATTGTGCGCAGGTCGACGTCGCGGAGCGTTAGCCTTCGGCTGCGCTTCCAAGCTCCACGGCTCAAATGTGCTGACCGTCGGAGGAGCAGACAGAACATGCGGCTCCAGTTCCACGCTTCCTGGTCCTGTGCAGCCTTTCCACAACTTGGACTCGCTTCCGTTGCTCAAGCTCTGCTGCGATGCCGAAGTGGTCATCGCGGTCATCGCTACAGACGTCTGCGTCGAAGGAGCAAGCGTGGCACGTCGAGACCCAGGCGAGGCGCCAGGGTCCGACGGACGACCTGTCATTCGACGGAACAAGCGCCGAAGCCTACCCGTACTGGCTCTCGTATCAATCTCGTGCGACTCGGGTGCAAGAACAGCAGTCAAGCCGAGGGCAGAGTGATTGGAAGACGACGACGTCATGGCTGTGCTCGCGTAATCTGATGAACTCAGATGATGAGCAGAGCTTTTGGGTGCCATGGCGCTGAGTGTACGTTTGCGAGCGCGGTCTGTGCCAGTTGCGGGCGGCGTCGGATGACGAGCATTCCGCTCCGATCGCCTTTCCGTGCTTTCTCCCCCGTGCCGCTGAGAATTTGGGTATTCTGCCGCTCCGCCTGCGCTGTGCGGCGCCGGCGCAACGCTGCTCAAAAGTGTCGATGATTCTTCGGTAGGAACAGTACGCCTCTTGGGACTGCTCGGTTCCAAAGGTGGCACGATCTCAATGTCCGGTACAGCATCTGTCGCCATATCTCGTTCTGGCGCGCTTTGTCCAATCGACTCCTTGAAGGGGCGAGCAAAATTGAACGCCTTCGCGTCGATAGTCTCAGTCTTGGCCTGAGGGGTCGGTGTGAGAGATCCTTCCGTGCTTCCATCACGGCTTGGCCCGAGATTTCGTACGAAGCTTGCGTCGTGCAGAAGATGTGAAGTATCCGTCGGCGTCGGCGTCACACTCCTAGAAGACGGCCGAGTTGATAATCGAGGAGGACGTCGGTGGCGCGAAGCTTGGGAATTCGGTCGGGGAGGAGGAGTGGGCGCTGCTGCTAGCGCCCTTAGCAGAGCAGAGCTCTCCTTTCCGTCGCCCTCAGCATCATCATCGCGCAAGGCCGCAACAGCGGCACTAGAAGCGAATAGTCCCCCATCACTATGGCGCTTGGACCTCAACGAACGAGCCATTCGACGGGCTGCGTCTAGCCGCAGCGCAGCTTCCGCTTCTGATTGTAAAATCGCAAAAGCAGGCGATCCAATGTCTGACTCAACCTTGGCCAGGGATTTGGGATGCAATGAAGCTGATGGACTGGGCAACGCTGAGTGCGTCGCAATGTAGCTTCTGCGCCCATCTTGGCCCACGACCGAGCGACCAAAGGCATCGGAGAAGGACAAACTTTGGGCGCTCAGAGGCGCGCCAGTCCTCATGGCAGCTATCGATTCCATGCTGAGCGGCTGAGCACCTGACTGCGCACTAGGTCGGGCAGAGCTGCTAGACCTCCGCATACCATGCACAGGTGGCCGCGGGCCTACGGCGTCCAACGCTGCCTGACGGGCAGCTGCTCCGCTCAGAGTACCAGCCGAAGCTCGACGAGCCAACGTCCGAGCTCGATCCAGCGTCATTGGCTGGTAGCGCTCAGGGCGTATATCTGCTGGGGAAGCAGGATATGCCGAGGAAGGTGTTCTGGGCATTTGCCTCGACGCGGGACGCGAGCGCAAAGGCGTCGAGACCAGACCGCGGGTGTGATCACTGCCAAATATGCCGCCATCTCCGTCTGCCTCATCGTATTCTCTTGCCCAGGTGCGTGCTGTGAACGGCGCCAAAGGTGGTCGCTTCGCCTGGGAGGAGGAAGCGATCTGGTGAGCTTGCCGTAGAAGCGCATCATAAGGCGACTCGGGCGAATGATGGGAGAAGGAGGAAGTGGAAGAGGGTCGATCAGAGGCGCTAGAAGAGGGGGAGAGATCACCGTAATCGACGCTTCCGGACGTGCGCCGATCGATCGTCGAGTCGATGGAGCCGGCGGCTTTGTGCATGCTCTGGGATCTCTGCAACCCTTTTCGTCCCGATTTGTCGTTCATCGGCGGGAGAGCAAACGTGTTCCGTTTAGGTGTGGGAGCTTGCGAGGACCAAGCAGCACCTAGTGCGCTCGTGCTGCTCCGCCTATCCTGACCAGCTGGGGTCAGAGGCCCTGCCCTGATAGAGACAGGTCGAGCTTGCGAATGGCGTCGGGCGAATTGCAGTGGATCTGGCGCTTCTCTCGCGGTCCACGAAGGCGTCGAAGAAGCTATACCGACCGAGCTGCTTCTACGCTGAGACTTAATTCCCGCCACCTCTCCCCTAGTCGCTCCTGGAAACGCCACCGGTGTGACCCCTCCTGGTCGACCGCGAGGCGTGGTGTCGCCATCTTGAGAATCAACGTTGCGGTTGGCGCTGCTGGTGCCAGCGGCGGAAGGGCTGCGCACATAAGAGAGTCGTCGGCCTGGTGCTGAGCTGGGTTGGTCCCGCGTCGAGCCAGCCGACCTCGGAGCATCCGCTCGGACTTCGATGCTCAGTCGACGTCGCTCGAATGGAGAAGACGGGGTGCTCTGGGGTAGCATCAGCGGACGTGGTCCGCCTGCGACCACCGACATTGCGCCGCTGGCGTTGGGCAAATTCGGAGGCACCAAAGAAAGACGAGTTGTACGGCTCGTCGTGATCGAAACGCAAGGAGGCGAATCGATCTTGGGTTGCTCGACCCGCAGATCCGAGCGAGGATCCCCAAAGGTCAAGTATGGGCAATCTAGGGACAGCACCTTTACCGAAAGCGATGAAGGAGGTATGTGCGCTCGGAGCGTCAAAGGCGGTCGCTGTGTACAGTCAAGGTGTTGGAGGAGCAGAAAGCGAAGTGGGCGGCGACTTTGGCGCCTGTCACAACGAGGCCCGAGCGAAGTTTGACTTTTCGATGCGTGGCAGCGTTGCTCTTCGCGGCTTGGCACGCCGGAAAAGTTGGACTCGTGACTGGCGCAGTGGTAGGAGGTGAAGTCGTACAGCACGTTGGCCGCCTGAAATGCCGAACGGGAAATTGATCGTCGATCGCGTTGATAGGATTGTTGTGTGTTACAAGCGAGACAAAGTCGAAACACCGCGCTGACGGTGTTTATGGCCTAAGCGATGCATGTATAATGACGATCGTTGGTAGCGTATTCTGAGTGGTAGTAGTAGCGTTGGGGTGGATGGGCAGCCGACAGATGAGATATTGGCTATCCGAGACCATCCATTCGGTCGAGTCGCTGATTGAAACGGAAATGAGCGGTGAGTGAACGCTTCAGCTGAGCTCGCTGACAACAGCAACGATGTACGCGCAGATGTCTAGGCGGTGGCCATTGCGACGACTTCCTTGTGACTGCCGATGCGGCACGGTGTCTAGCCGTGCGCGTCTCAGAGAGGAGGCGAGGCGAGGCGGTGATCATTCACCATTGAGAACAAGTGGATGGCTGCAGCAGACTATATGTGTGTATGTATTCACACCCTAAGCTACAGTACTCCAACTGGCACATCAGCACAGCACCGCGTAGTCACGCTCAAGCGGACTTACAACAGTAGTCTCATCAGCTGTCCACAAGGCACGCCTGCCTACACAACGTGCAGTCACATTCATGAGTCAAAGTGCGAGTGCTCCGATCTGCATCCGCCAATCAGTTGCATGGGGCGCTACAGCTACATACTACGGGCATACGAATTTCAGTACTAGAGCTACCAAATCTATTCATTGTGACTGTGCATCATCGCCCCGACCAAGTCCATGCTCAGGAGCCAGCCGAGGGCCAGCCGCCCGCGACCCCCGGCTATAGCTGGGCAGCGAGCTGGTACAGACGACGGGTAGGGTACGCATGAACAGACGAAGCGGTTCTGAGCGGTCTTCGAAGAACTCTCATCGGCCATCAGCAAAGCAAGCTTCGGGCCTCATCGTGGTGCGTTGCTTGCATGCGTGTCGCGATTTGAGTCGTCGCAACCCAATTCATTAAGCAGGCACTTAAGGGCAGGCATCAGACTGCAGCGGAGCCGCTGCTCCTGCTCCTGCGCCTGCTGCTCCTGCTCCATGCATCCGCTACTGTACACTCAAGACTGTGTAGCTCCTGCATGCACGCGATTATTCCCGCGCTACAATTACTTGATTCTGTCAAAGCCACCCATGATGCAGGCCGAGGAGGCTCAGCCCAAGTGAATTATATTGAGCACCGCCGACGTCCGAGACACCAGCCATGAATAGGATGCTGCACCGCGGCTGCCTCTCATCCGCTGATGCACAGCCCCATCCAAGCCCAATCCTTGGAACAGATTGATCATCTTTGTTTCCAATCCGCCCACACTCTGACGCGCACCTGACGTGTAAGTCAGCGTTCACAATCAAGCATTGCGAGCGCTAATTCTTTATCAGCTAGTGAGCAAAGAAGGAGGGGCCGGGGCAGGACGAGAGGCAGGAAAGGGTGCATGCATGATTAACGCGTTGCGACTTGGCCTCAATTCCACTCACGACTGCCTGCATTATACGTGTCGATCCCTTGTCTGTGCGATACAAAATGAATTGGGACGCGTGCGACCTTTTCTGATCAAGACGGCGAGTCCCCTAGCCGCGATGATCGAAGAGCACTCATCGATGGCGAAACAGCTGCTTCGTTCGCCATGCAAGAAGGGGGGGACGAGCCCCTTACATAGGAGCTGTATAGTTTCGCGTACGTGTACCGCAACGGCTTCAAGAGAAGTTGAATGCACGGGCAAGGAGCTAGGACGTACGGGCTGCGAGGGGAAACAGCGCTCTCCGCACAGCACCACAAAGGAGCATGCTGCGCGAAACCTTTGATGTGAGCTTCGCGCTCCCTTGCGCCTGGGGGCTCCAAAATTGCAAAATGGGTCGACGAGGTCTGTTGATCGAGATCTGCAAAAGTCCGCCGTCGATCTCGAGATGCGGGGCAGCGCAGACTCTTACCCCTTGCAAAATATTCGATTCACGATTGTCATCCCTCGCTGCAGGCCGGTCGGTGTCTGGACGAAGGAGCGGACCTGGATGAGCCATCAGCCGTGAAGACTTGCTCTCGTCAGCGAAAAAGTCACGGCACCCAAACTCCGGTGCTCATCAGACTCTTCTTAGATTCATCGGACTGATCCAATCCCGAATCTTGCATTCGTGATTGATGAGGTTCGGCATCGCGTGCGTACACATCGATCTCGTCGTGGGTCGAGCCGCGAGCGAGCGAGCGACCGAACGCGCAAGCCGCCGCAACTGCATGTATGGTCAGAGTTGAATCTGAATCACAGTGTCTGCGCAAAGTCGCGAGTCGGAGCCACTCGAGGTCGATCAGTTGCTTCTGACAGAAGAGCGCGATAATCAAGCGTCGGATGTCCGACATCCTCTGACAATCCTTCCGTCTCTATATACAAGCACCGCAACAGACGCCATTCCCATTGCCGAGGCCATCATCGGACGTGCGACGCGCTCGGCTCAGCTGGACATGTGCGACATGATACGTACAACCTGGCTGACACTAAAGTACTTGCGAAACAGCGGAGCTTCAAGCTTCGACTCGTCGATTGGCACCCAAACCCAGAGCCTGCATGGCGGACAAAAGAAGATTCGAACTCCAATTGAGGCCTATGTTTGGTTCCCAGCTAGGTGATCAGCTGCCCTGGCCTCCAGCAGCTAGGCGCCCAGCGTCTCATGTCTGGCTCTGATGAGCGCCTTTATTGCTTGTGACTGCCTCACCGTACGATCATCTCCTCCGTCGATCTTCTCGGGGATCTGCGTGATCTGAGCCATGCACAGCAATCGGCTAGCTTCTATCGATGAAAGCCATGAATGCTCTTCTTGCGGATGTGATGGAACCCTTTCCTCGTATGAATAGAATATGCTGCAAAAAGGACCATGCGAGCCAAAGAAGTCTGCGCTGTCAAGGGGCGCGCTGCCTTGTGCTCAGGAGACATGCCTCAAATTTCTGGCAGCCGAAAGGCCGAGGGTCCAGCAGCGCAACGAGATTTCCGCTGTGTGCCTGACACGACCCTCCCTTTGTAACGTCGTTCACGCGGACTGTACTTCCGACAGAGCAATCAAGTGAGCATGAAATGCAAGAGAGCAATTGAAAGGCGAAGAGGGAGCCAAGTGGGGCTCCAAAGCTTTTCTCGACCTGGTCGTCGCAGCATTCTCAGAAGCGTCTGGTTCGTGATTCTACTCAACGTTCCATCCTTCCAGATATCGCCATGCTTACCTCATCTCCGCATTCGATTGGCCGCCGACATTTCCGATTGCTGCGTGACGTGACGTTCAGCCGGAACTTGGGAACAGATTAATTGTGGATGTCATGTATGTTGGTGAGCATGCGCACCGTGCTAGTCGCGCGCTCTCAGGCTCGCGGTAAAGTGATCGGTCGTGGTGAGGCGTTGTGCCGTGCGTGTGACCGATTGCTGCTCCTGATTCGTGCTGACGTGCCGCGCGGGCCTGGCTTGATGGTGATAGTCGGCCTGCGAAAGTGAGCAAAGATGGCCATCCATCCAGCAAATGTGGTAGAGTGCAGCCATCGATAGGAAATAACGCCACGCCCAATCGTGACTGTGAATGCAGTCACAAGTGCAACTCCGAATCTTTAGTGCGTGTCTGTCGGACTTTGGGTCATCCGAAGTTTAGAGCTCGGCGTTCTGTCATGCTTTGACGACTCTGCGCCTCGTCGGTTGCTCGAGCTGCATGAACCCAAAGCTTGGAGCTCAACTGATTGACCATCATGCGTACAACGTTGGAACTCGCGACTGTATTTGAACTTGTTGCAAGCCTTCACGATTCTTCATTTGATTGATCTGCATCAAGATCTGAAATATAAACAACCCGGATTACGTGGCAGCAGGTTTGACCTCTGTGGTCACGAGTGGTGAGTCTGAATTGGATGCAACGCAGGCCAAAAAACCCGACTCTGACACTCACGACTGCGATTCAGCTGGATTCAATCGACTCAAACTGCTGCGCCGGCGGCTTGCTGTTACGGCCGAACAAGTAACACGTGACTTGAGCTTCTGGAGTTTTCTGCGTGCATGATTCACGATTTGATTGGTGATTCGGAACTGAGAGCAGGCGTGCGTGAGGTCAGGTCCGGACGAGGCGAGACCCTTTGGATGGCAATACCGCCCACACGGCGTTGGTAAGATGCTATTGGGCCTTCACCCTCGACGCCTGCCTTCTTCATTAGTCTACGTCATCGACACTCTAGGCTGGCCCTTCTCCTACTCACACGATTCAAAGTCTTGGTCACTGCTAGCGACATGTTCTCACAGCGGACGAGCGCTGGAGCTCTGCGCGGTCTGGCTAGACCGCAAGCCAGGTGTCCCCGGTGGCAATGCAGCTCATCAAGCAGGGCCTCATTCGCATCATCTAGTACAGCACACGCACAATCCAGCCACTCCTTTGCCACTGCGGGCACTCGCCACCGTCTGGCATGGGCAGCGGGTCTAGCTGGGATGGGCGCTAGCCTGTATGGATACAATCTCCATCTCTCCTCCACTCATTCCAACGCGCTCTCTTTAGACTCGGATTCCTTGCCTAACACGGCTCCGTTGGCTGCCAAGAGAGCGAGTTACTCGGACAGGATCAAGGCGCACAAGGGTGGACCGATCGAGCTCATCAGGACCCGGGAAAGGCAGGAGGATATTGAGCAAGAACACGACGTCGAAAACTCCGCCGAGAGCCACAGTGGTGAGTTAGCGGTGCTCGGACCGCACCGCACCGTTCGTCTACAACAGAGTCAGCAGCTCCGCTTCTGTCACTTTACAAGAGCACGCAATTGACGGAACGCATGCCATTCCGCTCACAGCCAACTTTGCCAATCTGGAAGAGGAGGCGGCTGAAGAATCGGGTCAGGAAGGAGCTTTCGATCCGGTCACGGGCAAGCTGAATTGGGACTGTCCCTGCTTAGGAGGCATGGCTTATGGACCGTGCGGAGAGCAGGTGAGTCACGCACGATGTCATACTCATTCCTGAGATTCGGTGGCTGACATTGAGGTGTCGCATATCTCCAGTTCAAAAAGTCGTTCTCGTGCTTCGTCTTCTCCGAGACAGAACCGAAAGGCAAAGACTGCATCGAGTGAGTGTTGCCCGCGTGCGCTTCAAGAAGCGTCGGTCGCACGCTCACAGACGATTCCTTTTTTTTTTTTTTTTTTTTTTTTTTTTTTTTTTTTTTTTTTTTTTTTTTTTTTTTTTTTTTTTTTTTTTTTTCTCTCTTTCTCGGTTCGGCGTGATCAGGTCGTTCATCGAGATGCAAGCTTGCTTCCTCGAACATCCAGAGGTGTATGCTGAAGAGTTGAAGGATGAAGAGTGGGATGAGGCGCAGGAAGCGAGCGGGGCTACGGGTGCGGGTGCGGGTGCGGCCCTAGACGATGACTCCGGAACGCCCGAGGCAGCTTCGGCTACGGCATAAGTCTGGCCTGGTGCTCGCGCTCAAAGCCTGTCGACTTTCACACCACCTCTCAATTGTGAATGCCACCTCGTACTCAGAAGTCATCATGGCCTTGCGAAAGCGCGACAAAGGCACTTTCGGGCGGACACGTAGCGATGTGTGGGAGTGGGTAAGTCACAGTAAAAGTCACCTGTGACGAAGAGCATGCGCACAGCGATCTGCGGAGAGGTTCGAAGAGCACGCGGGCCAAAGGTATCGGCGACTGATGTACCTCGCTTGCAACGACTGATGAAGATGCAGCGCTCGACGCATGGAAATGTCACTGACAGCTGCCCGAAAACGCGTGACACGAGTCGACGAAACCGAAGAACCAGCGGATGGCAGCAGATTAGGGATTCAATTGGGATGACGGTGGTGTCTCGCAGATTGCAATATGATTATACAAGATGGAAGGGACAGCTAAGTAGAATGCGTAAAGATGTCGCGGGCTCGGCGGGCTGCGATGTGTACCTCACATTAGCGGACGTATTGGGACGCGGAACATGCCGCGAGTTCTTGGGTACTGCTGCCTCGTCGAGGCCATCGCGTTGAACATGATTCACGTATCAGAGGTCCATGATGGCAGCGCAGCCGGCGATGACGAGGTCTGCGATACGCTCCAGCGCTTCTGGCTGTTCGTATCGACCTTCGTTGGCGCCCACCAAATCATCTGCGCTGCCTTCGCAGCCTCCAGGAATCGGTCCCTTGGTCAGACCAAGAGTGGCCCAACCCTCGGGAACAAATTCGACACTGCGTCGAGCATCGCAGAGCGCAAGTACGAGCGGAAAGGTGAAAGGCTCCGGCAAGTCAGGCACGAGCTCCTTTCCAAAGGCATCATCCGAGCCTGGCAAGACGAGCGCCGTAACGCGGAAGGGGCCAACGGTAGGTGAACGACGTCGAGGCTGCAGATTCGCAGGTTTGGCTTTCTCCGGAGACGACCATTCGGCGGTGCTGGCACAGTCCTTCTCGCTCATGGAGACGTGCTCTGAGGCGTGATGGCCAAGTGCAGATGCCAGCTTGCGATACCACGCGGGATGGTGCGAGTCCGAGCCCAAGCTAGCGGCAGGAAGTTGCAGAGGTGGTGTAGATGCATCGCGAGGTTCGCGTTGTGAAGAGGAGAAGGCATTGACAGGGCTCGCACCTAGCATACTCGCATCGAAGGATACGTAAGCAATTCGCAGATACCTTCTAGGACGTGCAGTCTGCTTTTCTGCGTCGATCGCGGAGAATAAGGGTATGATCATGATCAAAGAGGCTGCTTGAGATGCATCCGCGTCAGTTCCTAGCAATGCGTTATTCAGCGCCCAGCTCGAAGCGACGAATCCATTATCTCCTGACGCGAAGGGATCGTTCGAAGAGTACTGCGCCTCTGATGTTGGGCTTCTGGACGAGGCTGATTCTTGCGCGAGCACTTCAGCAAGCAGCGAGAAGTCTTCAGATGTAGGTGTAGACTTTGCAGTCCGGCTGATCATCCCCGAAGCGATCGAGCGAGGTCGCCTGAGTGTTTTGTGCCGGCTGTGACTCGGACCCATTGTGTCCGCTGTACCAGCACCTTCCGTGGTCAGGGTTGTAGCTTTGCTTGATGATGCATTGAGCGGCGAGCCTCGTAATGGAGCTTTGACAGAGGGATTCCTGAGCGCGACGTCTTCAGATGTGCTGCGGACCCTGTGCAGGTTGTCTCTTCCAGCCTGCACGCCGGTCATCGCCGCGTAGCCAGAATCGTTGTCCGACTGCTGGGTCGTCAGCGCCTTGCGTAGAGGCTCCCCTCGCATGTAAGCATGATGCTTCTTCAAGTCTCGTGCAAATTTGTCATCGCTGCCAATAAAATCAAAGTCCTGCTGAATGGGCTCGTTTCGCTTCGAGGGAGGAGCTGCCATCGATCTCGCAGAAGAACCCGTGGGTATGCGTGGTGCTTCGCTGCTTATCCGCGTCGCATCGAGAGGTGTGCCAGAATCTGAAGAGATTGATGCTGAAAGGAGCCCCGAATCCTTTGTGAGACTCGAGGACTCGGTATCCATCTCGTTCACTGAAGGTGCACCACTGTAACCCGCGGGCGACGAGCCAGATCCGGGGAGTCGTCGTTTCCTGAACCAGTCGGCGAGTCGCTTGTCGGCGCCGCGGGACTTGCGCTCCGCAGCATGCACATTCATAGGTGTGCTCACAGGATGTTGGATCAGGGCATTGCGAGCTTCTGCTGACGAGTACGTCAAGGAGGTCCGGGGCGAGTACTCATGGAGATCATCGAAGTTTGGTGGCATGAGCGTGTCACTGCGCGTGATCGACGCAGCACCAGCAGACGGCTGCGCGACACCAAAGTTGTAGTTGGAGAAACGAGCAGTCATGTCCTTCGAAGGCGGGTAGCCCTCTGAGCTATGATGATCGAGCGAGTCCACTGGAGCGAAAGCACTAGCTGGTGTGCTGTGGCGTGTGGGGCTAACCGCGCCCTCAACCTGTGGCGTAGGGGTCGCTGCATGCGACGTGGCTCCCAGAGGTAACGCTTCTGTCGAAAAGCTTTTACCGAGTGATGGTCGCCTGGCTTCGACGAAAGGGAGCGGGTCGTGTCTGATAGAGGCTAGGCGTCGCTCGGCGAGGGTCGACGAGGTGAGAGGCTTCCGAGTGTGCCCTGCTAACAGTCCTCGGTCTGTTAGGAGACTTCGATATACCGAAGGACCCGCAAGAATAGTGGTGTGCCCTGAAAGAGCCGCGAAGGGCGAGGCCATCGGACGCAAAGGACGAAGCTCGAAGATCGGAGGCGCCGTAGGGGTGGCTTGAAAGGCCGATCCCGAACTTTGACTGCCGAGGAAGTGTTCTGCGCGAGAGCCAGGAACGTGGTCGGAGACGACGAATGCTCGAGAAGCTCGCAGCTGTTGGCTTGCATCATCGTCCGTACCCAGCGGAGCGACTATCCACTTGCGCGCCCTTGTGGTGGCTCGTGCAACTGACCAGCCTTTCGATTGTGTCGCTGAGCTGCTCATTCGGGTGCCGATCCAATCGGAGGCGCTGCCGATATTGATGCTGTGCTGGCCCATCTCCTCTATCGTCAAGAGGTCCAGAGTTTCACTGGCATCGTATCTCGAAGGGATGAGCGTGGCGCATCGCGGTGCGCTGCTTGTGAAGGCTTGCGCTTCCAACGCAGGCGTGCTAGAAGCTGACGAAGCACCTTGCATAGAGGAACCTTTGGTGCTGGTCACTGAGCGAGCTACTCCCATCGGTAAGCCCAAGCTCGCAAAGCCTCCCAACACTTGTTCGTGATCCGCTGGGGACGACTGCCACGCTCGCTGGCTGATGGAGGGAACAAGCCCGGCGCCAGGTCCGGCATCTATCCCAAGGCCGTCGGCATGCTGTCCATCTTCAAGCAAGCGCTCACGCGTCTGTGCGTCGAGGATGGTCTCGGCGTTGTGGATGGGATGAGCGTGAACGCAGTCATGCCTCAAGTGAGCCGCAAACGTATCTTCCGAATCGTGGCGCTCCTCGCAATCAAACATGTGTCTCCATTGTCTCCCTGCAGGCGCCGGTTGGCTGAGGTCATTTGGGGAACGGTCGCCGCATTCGGTGGTCGATGCAGATGTGTCCTCGTAGTCGGGTGCTGGTAGCGTCCAAGCAGCGCTTTCGAGCGCGACGTAGCCAGAAGATGAGGCCACACTGCTACTTTCCACTCGCTCACCGCCTAGATCCAGTCCATCAACATCAAGCCGCAGAGTCTGAGCTGAGCCCCTGCGCAGCTCCGTAAGAGGAGGGGCTTCGCTTTTCCTGCTTCCACCATGTGAAGCAGCAGTCATCGCGACACCTTCGCGGTGCAGGTGCATGTAGGCGGCAAAGTGTTGGCAAGGTGAAGGTAAAAGATCGTCGAGCACTAAATCCTCCTCGCATTGAGCAAGCCGATGTTGGGTCCCAAATGCGCCACCCGCTCTAAACGCTTCAGGCGGAAGTTCTGATGCAACTCTAGCGCGCGAAATGGAAGATGATGAGAAGTCCTTGGGTGAAGAGGCCGTCGGAGATCGAGGCGACGACCTGTTCGCTGGGCTCGAAGGTGACCGAGGCCAGCGCCTCGACACGCGCTTCCGCGCGGGCTCAAAGATCGGCGAGTCTGTGATCAACATGGCAAATTTGGGGTAGCACACGAAAAGGATGGAGGGGGGCGTAAAGGTCAGCCGAAAGCTCGGTGATGAAGCATCATTTTGACCTAAGGAGGATTGAGCTCGAGAACAGGAGGCGCTTGCGGCGCGATGTTTCACAGATAGCCCAAGATATCGGAACGAGGGGCGACGCACCTTTGACAAGGACGGGTTCTAGTTGCAAGGTGGTTGATGATGCGATTGTGCAGACAGGGTGCTATAGATGCTATGAGGCAAGGACGTGAATCAGCGGACGCTGCTGAGAAACCAATCGAGTGGATCGTGTTGTGTGCGATGTCATGCCTGCGCTCCAATGTCCGACATGCTGCTCCCGGATGATAGTCACACGGCAAGTCAACACCGGCTCGAGGTCCGCGACGACTGAAGAATGAGAGACCAGTCGATCGCCTGGTCGCTGCCGCAGTGATAACACCAGGCGAAGTTGCGTGGATTGAGCGAGTACTGGCGCAGTGCTAATGGAAACCCAGCTGCGATGAGCTGGCTTTCAAAGGGCCAGGGAAAGAGTGGGCGTGGTGATCGAGGTGGACTCTTCGCTCGTGGCCTGCAACTATGTCAAAGGAGTCACAGTGGACTGACTAGCTTGCAGTGGAGGAGCGGCGCGGTTGTGAAGGTTGACAGAGATGCGGGTGATCAAGACGGTGCGCCAGTCGCGAGCCAAGGCTGATGAGTGTGATCGAGTGGACACGACTAAACAACGACCTGCCTCGTTCTGCGGCATGCCATTTTCGTACCATACAGTTGTGCGTATACACACGCGGCCAATGCGTGTCTCGCGTCATGGATGTGTGGCTTGGCAGAGCGCCGACCGCATCTCTTTTGTCCCAGAGGGGCAAAGCGGACCGACGAGGTGCTGCCTGCCCTTTCGCCGGGTCGCCTTTCGTCCGCCTGCATCCTAGCTCAGCATATGATGGGACAAAGGCTCGTCCGCGCTTTAAGGCCGTAATATACATCTATACACCATGATTCGCGCGGGGCAGCCGCGACCAGAGCACAATTAAGCCACGTACGGCGCGCCGAGATCCGTTCTATTCGAGGGAAAGCGCGGCATGCATGCAGTAGGCATGCGAGAGCTCACCGTGGCACGTCATGCAGCAAAGCTCTTGGTTGCTGCTGCTGCTGCATGCATGCATGTCAATTGCATGGTGCGACGTTCCTGACCTTTTTTTTTTTTTTGTGCGCGTGCATGAGCTACATAGCCAGCAGCAGGCGGCTGAAGCGGCTGAATGCCATACGCCACGGCCCTTCACCACCATGCAGAAGCAGCTGGTATAGGTGAATGCTGGCACGCAGAGATCGGCGGAGCGTCGGACGTGCAGAATGCGAGTCCATGATGCAGTCATTCTCTCCGGCTTCGCTCTGCTCGTCTTGATCCACCCCGCTGTCAGTCCTCCTTCAAGACGCAAGAAGCTATGCATGGGTGCTAGGCGGAAGCGCAAGTCGATTTGATGAACTCGATCTCGACTCCCGACATCAAGCGCGCACATCCCCCCTCAGCAGCTCTCATCGCGCATGCTCCGCATCATCGGAGATGACGCCGACGACATCGTGCGAAAGTCGATGGAACGATCGAGGCGGGAAAGCAAGGCGGAGCGGTAATGGGGGCTGATGAGTCTTCACGCATCGCCATCCCACCGTCGTAGGTGGCTGCTCTGAGCCTCAAAATGCCATTTTGGACTCAGGACTGCGTGGGACCGGTTGCCGCGTTCACACACTTGCACGACTCACCTGACTCGTTATTGCTGTATCGCACCTCATCTCTGTACGGTGTTGTAGGCTGTCTGAGTGTCGAGCTGAAACATCATGGGTATTTAGTGTGAGTGGATACATGCTGCTGCATGGCGGCACCTATGTATTGGCAGGACCATGCGAAAGGACCAAGGCAGCACGAGAAACGAGGGCGCTGCTTCTTTTGCTGCGCTGAGTGATTACAGCAGAATCGAAGGCGCTCATTTTGCCCTCAAAGTCGATCGTGACTCGATCATGTGTCTTCACCGGAAACTGCCGGCACACATGCCTATATACACACGCATGCCCATTCTTGATTCATCCATTCCAGATTTCACTGCGCCGCCGCCAGGCGCCAGGCGCACTCGTGACTCGCCAAAGAAAAACAAAAACGTCCGCCGGGTCGATGTCAGCGCCAAAAAGGGGTTGCTATCTTCACATTCGTGCTTCACAAGCTGACCTCTTTGAGGAAATTGATCGAGGTGTGGTGCGTTTGCATGCCAAGACCGTTTGTCTGCTCGCGAGTCAGCCACTTCAATGGTGTACGTCTGCGCTAAGTTGAGCGGGTACGAGGCAGTCCGAGTAGTCTAGTACAGTCACAGTGATGTATACCTGACTGTATACTACTGTTTCTACACTTGTGACTCAAACTGAAAGACTACCGCCGTACTCAAAGTGACCTGCATTTATGCAGAGAGACCCTGAGCTGCCTAGCTCGAGTGCATGGCTACAGCACGCGCATGGGCTATGCTGGTCACAACTCCCATGTATGCGCCGCGAAATGCGCCTTTACTCCGCAGAGGAGCGCCACAATTGAGATACGAATGACGGATGCTGACGGCGGCGGGCTGAAGCTCTTCTGGCCGCGTGAGACGGGCAAGCGCGTTGCAGGAGCAGCATACATGCAGCCAGCGAAAAGCATCTATACTCAGCAGCAGGCTGATGATGATGATCGATCGATGACTGCTGTGGACTGTGACTCTATATATAAATCAAGACTCAAGCGTGTTGTGACTCAAGACTATAGCTGCAGGACGGTGCCGTCGCCCATCGCTGCGCGGCCGGCCCAGCAAACGACCAAGCCACAGTTTTTGCGCGTCCACAGCAGCGCGGCGTGACGATTGATCGATCCGTCGTCTCGCTTCCCGGGCTCGTGCGCAGGCGTTCGCAAATGAGCTAGGACAGGTATACAGGGCATATGCTGTCTGCTTGAAGTCCGGCTTGAAAGTTGATGCTGAAAGATTGACAGCTCCGCCGGGCGTCGGTGCAACATGGTGCCATGGTGGTCACCAGTGTAAAAGTATAGCAGAGTGATACAGTGCTCGTCATTCATGATGCTTGGCGATCCAGTCCACCCTCACAAATGGCGTGCTCCTTGAATGGTTCAGGTCAAAATTATGCCCTCCAATCTGACTTCCCTTCTTCGAACGAGCAACTATGAGAAGAACGGGTCAGAATAGAGCGTCAGGACCACCCCGTCCCATCTCGGCTCACGGCCTCCCTTATTCACAAAGAGCCGTTCATCGGACGGATAAGCCGCTAGCCAACACTTCCGAGCAGTTTGCAAAAGTGAGCGCAAGCGCTTGCAGAAGAGGTGTGCGAGTCTTGACTATGCTGCAGACTGGTTGCGGGCACTCACGACTCTCATGAGCGCGCGGCTGCAGGCACAAGCTTGTACCGATTCGTGATTCGCACAGCGGTCGACCTGCGTGGAACGATGTAGGTACAGCCAGCAGCTTCAAGCCACACGTACGCGTCGCTAGCATCCGTCCGGATCGAAATAAGTGGGCCCCGCCCCCGCGCCTCGTCGAGCAGGTCTCAAGCTGCTATTTAAAGAGTCAAATCATCACCCCGATCCAGGACTCTTGCATGCACCCAGCAGTGCCACGACCAAGTCCTGACCATTCGCAAACGTGTAGCGGCATAGCAACAGTCACGAGTGTGCACGCGTGGGTCAAGAATGTCGGGCTTGATTGTTGTTGCTGTTACATGGACGATCGAGAACTTGACTGGTGAATGCAGGTCCAGCCACACGTATGACGGAATAGACGTGCGATATGCTGTTGTAGCTATGCGATTGGCGGGATCCTCAGCTCGCAGTCAGCAAAGTCACGAAAACACGCAGCAAGGTGAAGCCAAAGCCTTGAAGTGGTAAGCGTGAAATAGGACGAGCTCCCATGCTCGTTTTGCTCATTGTCGGAAGCAAAAAAAGGTTGGGTGATGCCACGAACAACGGATCACGGGAACATTGCAACACCTGCTGGTCCCCCGATGGCCACGGGTCTTGCGCCATATTCAAAGGGATTGTGCTGGAAGCGTGATGGAGCAATGCAAAAGATGAGCGCATGGGCTGAGGGGGGGCCTCCCCCGTCCAGGCGGCGGTGCGAGACCTCACGACTCACATCGTATGCGACCCAATCCCGAGTCGGTTCTAGGCCCAGCAAGCTCTCCAAGCTGCGGTTGTAGCGCGAGGTGGAGGTACTCATCAGCTTGAGACTTGACGTGCGGCTCGCTCCTCGGCGCTATCTCACCTCAAAAGATGTTCTAGCACCTCCTCGCCTCTTTCCACGCCCGCTTCCAGCGAAGCAGCAGAAGCGTCCCACAAGAGGGATGTAGCTTCCCAGCTCTCATCCATCAAGAAGCCAGTCTTGACTTTGTGCGCGCGGAGGACGGAGAGGGTAGAGTTGCTCGACAGTGGCGGACCAGGCAAAGCCCGTCTGCTGTCGTAGAATTGCGGTCGGATGAACGGCTTGATCAGTACTCCCACACCCGCAGCCGCAAGCGCGGCCGGCAGACCTCCATGAGCTGCCTCTTCGGCCTCCGCCAAAACCAGCCTCAATCGACGATGCTGGTGCTTCAGCTTCAAAATTGTGCTTAGACGTTCAGCTTTGCTTGCGTGCACTACGAGAGCCAGCTCTCCCGCGACTACTCGCTGCCAAACGCCATCGTTGTATCCTCCACCTTCCGCCGCATCGTGCGTGCGAATGCGATCCGCTCTCGAAAGCAGATCGCGCAGCACACCAATCTGCTCCGCTTCCGAGATGGATCCAGCGTCTCCGTCTTGCAAGTGCGACAACCAAACGTGAAGCGCAATTTCTTCTTTGAGGATAGCATGCGGGTTCCAAACGTCTTCCACAGCTGTTCGGAAGCGCGTCGATACGCCAGCCACAAAACTGCCGCTAGAGCGCGGAGCGACGACGACGCTGGTAACGCCGCTCGCGAATGCGCGTTGCAGGTCGTTGCTGCCCCACTGAAGCCCATCGACTGCTCGACTTAGGGGCAAAGAACTCCTGCCTACGAGCGTGTTGAAGTTGGATCGAGCGGATGCGAAATCACCAGTAGAAGGTTCGCTCACGATGTCCGAAAGACCGAGCTCAGATCCGTAAGTCGTCAGACCGGGGGTGATCACACCACGTCCCTTAAGGTCAACGGTGTGGTGCGTTTTCAATGGGCACGCTTGCAGGGATCCTGCACAAGTGATGGTGCCCTTCTCGACGTGGACGGTGCCGGTGCCGTTCAGATCGACCAGCTTGACCTTCTCGCCCTGTTGAAGATAGACAGCAGAGACGTTGGCGAGGACAAGGTCATCGAAGCGCCCTGCCAACGCTTCGGGACCAGCATTAGCTTGACCGGTCAGAATGTCCGGACCACTTGTGTTGACGCGATGCACTTCGTGAGCGTAGTCCGCTTGACGCGGCCACGAGTCTGCTGCGCTTTTGCTTGTGTTCTGGTGCGCTAAGGAGAGGTCGAGCTGAAGCGTGCCATCAATGATGGTTTGCAAGGGAGTTGATCCAAGATTTAGGGGATGGTCGCTCCACAAAACCAGATCGGCGTCGTAGCCTTCTTTGATGTGCCCAATGCGATGATCAAGACCCAGAGAGCGGGCAGCTTCGCTAGTGACCGATTCCAGAGCTTTGTTGAAGCCTGCAAGTGCAAAAGAGGATCGAGCATTGCGATGAGCTGCGTGTAACATAAGCGCACGTTTGAATTACTCGCGCCGTCTCACCATAATGATGAGCCTGAGCGACTTGCTGGACGAGCCTTCGGCTATCTGTGACAGGGTGATCGCTCTTGATATGTACCTGCAATCCATGCGATTCGAGAATTGCAGGTGCGAAGGGAGAGCCAGAGATGGCTTCCGCTTTGTAATTGCCATTCAAGCTAAAGAGGGCCACAGCGGGCGGAGCACCGTACGCCTTCTTGAGTAGATCGGGCACCAGATAAGCTTCGTGGGCATGGTGAAACGCGGCCAGCGGGAATTTGTACTCGTTGGTGTGCCGCACGTAAGCTTCGAGGTCGGCTGCCGTGTAGCAGTGGGTATTGACCTGCAAACAGGGGCGTTTGTCAGCCGGGGCCGTATTCTGGAGACGCTGCAGCGTGCGCAACGCCCACCTTGACCTTGCCCCGAAGCACATCGACAACAGCTTCCAGCTCGAGGTCATCTGGGAAAGACTCAGCTGTTTGAATTTCGCCCTGCTCTAATCGCGAACAGAAGCTATCCTGAGATTCTTTGAGCTGCTTGGCGCGCTGAAAGAGGGACCTGAAGCCAAGCGCTTCGTCCATCCGGACGAGCCCATACCCACGCTTGGCGTTCTCGCCGCAAGCCATCTTCATGTGCCTCCATGAAGATTGACCCTTTGCGCGCTTCATGCCGTCTCCAGCTGTAGCATTACGCCCCCATCCTTCGCCCGGTCCCACCACGACGGCGGGAGGATCGACTACCCTGCGCCATGCGCCGTTCCTCGAATCGCTCAGCGTTTGTCTGCCAAGTTTGACAGGGAAGGCTTGGCCGCCAACATTGTTGAGACTGCCCGGTAGGACGAGACCGGTGGTGATGCCCCCTGCAGCTAGCTGATGCCAAGCCAAGTCGAAGGAATTGAGCGCGTCAACTGAGCGCAGAGCCGGTGTCCTCGGAGATTGGTGCGAATTGACGTCCAACGTGCCGTCCAGCAGAGGTTGGGGATACACACCAACATGTACATGGATGTCTATGATGCCTGGTGTGAGCCATCGACCTTTAGCATCGATGATCACGCTGTCGCTGCTCGAAGCAGCTACGGCTTCCATCTCAGCAGTCGTAGCCCTTCCGCCTTCGACCCGCTTGATCAGCCCATCGTTGATCCACACGCTAGCATTCTCTATGACCCCTGACTTTGCATCGGCGCGCCACACTTTTGCATTCTTGATCAGCACGGGTGGCGCTTCTGATCGCGGCTTGGCTCTGTCTGAGCGAACACGCTGGCTGAAATTGCCTGGCGCTCCGGGAGCCACTTTGAGAGCGCGGCACTTGGCCAAATTTGGATCGTCGGATGGCTTGGGCGTCGGCGGAAAGGGCCAGACAGCCGTCTTGCAAGAGGTCGTATCAGTGCGCAGCGTAGCGTAGAGCGTATACACCGCAATGGAAAGGGCGAGCAGGGTCAATCGGATGCTCCAGCTGGCTCTGCTCTTGCGAGCCGTGCTCCTGCCAGTGAGCATGGGCATCTTTTCATCCGCCATGCTTGGATCGTGCTCAACGTGCACCCTCAGACTTGGTTGCTGGCGGTGGCTGTGTTCAGTGTGTACGTTGATGGTGTTGATGGCAGACTTTTGTATGCATCAGGGTGCATTTAATCTACAACCGCGAACGTGACGACATGAAGATGCGCTTCTCCCCTTCGCTGTCGCGAGCGATCCGTGCACCACGCGTGCTTCGCTGATGCGATTGACCTTCTATATATATATATAGCTGTTGCATGGGCCTTGCCGAGCTTCGGTTGTCGCGTCGATGCTGCCATGGTGGTTTGACCGATGACAGCGTGTGTGGGCTGAGACCGAATTCGAGAGCATTCCGAGCTCTGCCTCATGCTTGCGCCGCGCCGCGCCGCGCTCGCGCTTACATCTATCACTCATATATGACTCACGACTCAAGTCACGAGTGACACCCTCCCTGAGTCTCACACTTGGCGAATCAGAGCTCGTTTGGCCGTCAAAAGGATCCACCATTCTCCTTACCACCGACCTCTTGCGACTTCAGCGGGGCCAGCACGTTGGCCACGTGATTTTGCATGCAATAGCAGGCAACAAAAGAATTGCAAATTCGCTCCACAGTCAAGCGCGCTCGCTCGCCTTCGCAGAGATTGAATTGGAATTTCAAATTTGATTGCGGTGATGAAGGTTGTTCTGTGCTGGTCGGATACGAATGTGAGTCCGCGCACCGAGATCTTCACGCCTTTGGAACTCTCTCATCAGATTTGTGGCTTTTGCTGTGGGCGATCAATTAAAGGAGATGCGCGAGGTGGCGGAACGAATCGCTGATGCTGCTGCTGCTGCTGCTGCTGCTGCTGCTGCTGCTCAGAAGTCCCGATTCGAAGCCGAGAAGCTTCGTGCGCGCAGCTAGAGAGAGAGATGAGCGCTGCCTGCGCATGCATGCGTTTTCGAGATCCGCTCATCTCGTCGTGCGTCGCTCCAACCTCGCTGCAAGCGCTTGCTTGCTCTTGCTTGCCGTCCTGCTGCCGTCGTGAAAAGTGTGCGAGCGGCAGCCTCTTCTGTCTCTCTTCTGTCGCTGATTCTCGAACAGGTCACGCGACCTTTGAGAGGGGATGGTGGTGACGGCGAGCGCTTCGGTCGAACTGTGCACCGTCCTCTGGTACTCTGTGCGGCGGCCACTCTTGACTAGCGCTCGGATACGCACGAACCACGACTCTCCAGCCCCGAGTTTTCCTGGCACTTCGCAACACCAGCCTGCTTGTCGCTTGTCGCTTGTGCACGCGCAACATGTTTCTAATTGCCGGCTCCTCCATCACACGTCTCTTCAGCTGCTGGCGATTTGGCCATCGAATGCTTCAATCGTGAATGTGGCCCCCAATAAAGATGTTTCGCTGATCGGTCTAATGCGATCGGACTCCGCTGCACAGCACTCAAATGCGCAGGAAGGTGCAGAAGCCATGTGCTTGCTGCGTCCCTACCTTGTAAATGCGCTGCACGTGCTGCATCCATCACGATCAGCAGCGGGAGAGGAGGAGTTGCACGGAATGTCTCGCTGACATCCGCAGTACCCATCACACACAACGCAGGGCTCGCAAATCTGCTTTAGAGCTGAGGGATTCTGTGAAGTACACAATTGCCTGACCGCGTTTGAAAAGACCGTCTTCCGAACACACGATCAACAGAGTAGGGCAACGCGAATTTCCTAGCGCAGAGCAGTGGTCATCTTACGGAGCATCAAAGGCTTTCCATCCGACTTACACGTACAAGGGGCTATACTACTATCGTGCATGTAATGATGTACTGTACACTCTGGCGAGCTAAAGCGTCGGAGAGTGATCTTTCACGAGATGGGACTCAGACTGGGCGCGTGTAGCAGCACAAGGCAGGCATCAGGTGGGCAGTCAGCAAGAGTCACAGTCACGAGTCACGAGTGGAGATGGAGATGCCAAGCCAGATGCAAGGTCGCGTGACCCAGCAGCCAGTCAGCGATCACGAAGCTCTGCAGCAGGCCCAGCCGGTGATTCGCACGCACGCATGCAGTTGTCAAGAGTGTGGTGCTGCTGCATGCCGGCCCCGCGACTCTCTCCACTGGGTCTCCTCCCTATACAACCTTCAGCTCTTGCCAGGCGGTGTCTAGAGCCATCGAGAGTCTTCGATGTCGGAATCGCCAAATCTCGACTTGCCCAGACATGCACATGCCAGCCTCCATGCAAAGAGACGACGAGCTGAGCGCAACCAAAAGCGCGTCGTAAGGTGGTCCAGATGCAGCCGAGCTGTCTGCACAGGAGAAGAATGACGAGGAGATTCTCCTCTGTAGACCACGTAGGTACCTATGCTGATGCACTTGACTGCTGCTGATGTGTTTTCTGGGCCCAGACTCCGCTCGATGTGTGAGCCGCAGAGAAGCCACGGGATGGTCATTTATGCGCGTATGGTAGGTACCGTTGCTCGCAACTTTTGATTCCGCCTCAAGTGCTGAAGTCACGATGTCCCTCGTGTACGCGGTACGGTGTACGCTCCTCGTGAGATCGATCCGTGTACGCTTGCTGGTGCTGGTGCTGGTGCCGCTGCTGCTGCTTCTGCGCATCTATATATGCACGCACGTATAAATATCTCCTCGGCTTGCTGCGTTCCTGTCAACTCCGATCCGTTCGTTTGGGCTGGCGGCTGCTTCGCATTGCATGGCTACTCGTGACTGCTGCATGCGTCCTGCACTTTCAGACTCTTCTGTTGCTCTGTTGCTCTGTCGCTCTGTTGCTCTGTCGCTCTGTTGCTCTGTTGCTCTGTTGCTCTGTTGCTCCTCGCTCTTGCGCACCTACTTGGGCGATACGGCATGCGGTGAATGGCTGCTGGATTCGCTGCACATGATTCACTCATTCGGACGTGCACGCTCGCACTGCATGCAAGCAAAAAGCCTTGAGCCTCGCATGATGCCTACGCGGCGGTAGCGGTAAAGCCAGGCGGCCCAATCCATCCTTCATATCAAGACGGGGGCGCGGCGGGCGGATCAAGAGAAAGCACATCTACATACCTTTGCAGATCTAGCACATGTGCGACACGCACGCAGGCAGGCACTTGGCTACTCTCTGCTGCCATTACAGACGTAGACCTTCACCTCGCTCCTTCATCCGTGATCCGTGATCCTCATCAGCCCCATATGTGCAGCGCTTTGGCTTGGAGTGACACCTGAATGAATGCCTGCTTCCTGCCCGCCGTCCACGCCGAACGAATTGCCGACTCACGATCGCTGATGCTCAGATCAGCTAGGCGCTTGGATGTCTCGTTGAAAGAAGACGCGTGCAGTTCGACTCGTTCCTACCTTCCCACTTCCACACTGCTACAAGGGTCGGTGTGCAAGATAACACCAGCCCTTCACACCCGGACGACTAATCACCAACATCGCTACACACGACCAATCGAGGTACCAGCATTCCCCCTCTGCACCTGGACAGTCCCCGAAGTAAAGCTATGGTCCACATCCAGTCCACGACTCAAGATGGTACAGATTCTGACCATGGCGCAGCTGCAAGCTTCAGCTCCAGCAGCCCAGCCGTAGGAGCATCTTCGCGCAAAGCTGCTCAGGCTGCACTGAGGAGCTCTCTGGAGTCGGACAGATCGTACGATGATGGTGACTACGATGGAGATGAAGAGGCCCGCCTATTCGCCGGGCACGATACGCCTCATCAGGAAGCGGCTGGCACGACTTCCAAAAGGCATTCGACGCAGGGGCCGATCCTCTACGATGCGGCTGATGAGCAAGATGGCAATGAACAGGTTGGACATGCGCACACACCATCCGGTCACGAGTCTGATGTGCACCGTTTCGAAGATAGGAGAGAGACGGGGGGTTGGACCACCAGACTCAAAGGCAGAGGCCCCGTGGCAAGAGCGTGGGAGATCGCAAGAGAAGTGAGTGACATCAACGATGATGCACGATGGCACGTGTCTGGCGCGGGTATGGGCGAGGTGAGGCTGGGTCGATTGTGCTGGCCTCAACATCGCTACCAAGGCGTAGATGGCGGCCTAATTGCCAATGCGCTGGCTGATTGGGGCAGCCCAGTTGCGCTTCGCGTAGTGTGCTCAAGTCCGGACTGTACCGTATCGATGGACGATTGACAGCCCTGGGATGCGCATCTCTATACTTGCTGTCTCCCGACTATGATAGCTCGGGCAAACATTTGCGTTGGGTCAGCCTGGCGAAGGTACACCAAAGCATTGCCAGCTCATCTCTGGGGCGCCCAGCTTCTTGTAGCCGCTGCACAATGAGCTCTAGTCCGTGGCTGTACGAACGCCTCTCTCTGGTCGCACCCACAAGCACTACGCGGCAGGCATGGCTGACAACAAGGCGTTTCGCCACACAGGCGTTGCCCACTCTGGTCCTTTCAGTGTTCAGCTTGATGTTTGCAGGCGAGCTGCTAGTCCACATTGCGGTGAGGTTGTGCTCTGTCAAATGCCAGAAGCTCGTCCCTCTGCCGCTGACTTACTTCCTCTGCTGTGCGCGCCTGTTCTCCTTTGCAGAGATGGCCAGTCTTTGTAAAGGGTGAGCTACCTCCGCTTTCGGCTATGCTGTCTGACGACTACTAATCCCTCTGCCTCTATTCCACGCAGTCGACAAGCTCTTCATCCTCGTGCCTATCCTGCTGAACCTCAAAGGGAACCTGGAGATGAATTTGTCGCTGCGCATGTCCACTTCCGCAAATATTGGAGAGCTGGATGTCCGTCGAACGCGACAAACACTCATTCTAGGAAATATGAGCTTGTTGCAGGTGCAAGCTCTGATTGTCAGCTCCTTTGCTGGTATCTTGGCATTCGTGCTCGGCGTCATCACTCCTGAAGCAGCGCCAGAGGGCAACAATGGCGGACCAGCGTCATCGAAGCAGATGCTCGCTCTGCGTTTCGCGCAGAAGGTCCTACGTAGTGGAGGAACAAAACGAGCTGCTCTTGAAGATCGACTCTCGCCACGCCGCATCATTCACCATCATCCAAAGCCAGTCGTGGACCCAGCTTTGCGACTGCGCAACGGCTACTTCGAGTTTGTCTTGGTCATAGCGACAGGCATGCTTTCCGCATCGCTATCCTCTGCCATCCTGGGCTCCTTCATGTGCGCTCTCGTGGTAGTCACTCGCCAACTGGGTGGCAATCCGGACAATATCGCTTCCCCTCTCGCAGCTTCGCTGGGCGATCTTCTCACGTTGACTATCCTCGGCCTTCTCGCTTCACTACTTGTGCATTTTGAAGGGACGATCTTGGCGACGCTGATTCTCGTTGGACTGCTCGTCGCCTGCGGTTCCTGCTTTGTCGCGACCTACCGCAACGCCTACGTTCGGGAACTGCTGTCCAGTGGGTGGGTGCCTCTCATTGTAGCCATGTTCATCTCATCCGGAGCAGGACTGCTGTTGGATGCATTCGTGCAACGATTCGAGGGCTTTGCACTCTTGGCCCCGGTCGTCACTGGACTACCTGGAGCTTGCGCAGCGATCTTTGTCAGTCGGACATCCACCGCTCTGCACAGCGGAAAGGGAGCTGCAGCCAACATGATGTCTCCGCGACGTCTTGCGCCCGTCAGGTCTTGGTCCACATCCAGCAGCGGAGAGATGTCGGTCAGCTCCAGAAACGGCATCTCTCGTCTATGGTCTCGCGTCACATCTGCCATCGCCTCGCTTCCACCACCCACAGAAGGCTGGCTAGTCCCGACAACGCTGTTCATCATTGGACTGATCATCGAGACGCTCTTCCTGGTCTTTGTTTGGGCTTCGGGCCAGATGAGCTTTGGCTTGCCCTTTGCCATCTTCTTTGTCATCATTGGCGCATTTGGCTTTGTGGCCGCGCTCTTCGTCAGTCACGCTCTGACCATAGGCTTGTGGTACAACGATTACGACCCAGGTGAGTGCGGGAGTGGACCATAATGCAGACGTGGCACGTTGATGTTGATGCTGATCTCGATGATTGGTTCGCTCCGACCATACCAGACATTTACTCTTTGCCTTTCGTCTCGTCCATCGTCGACGTGGTGGGCCAAGCGCTCCTCGTCACGACGTTCACCGTTGCTCTTGCTCTGGGCGACTCGGTCACTGCGGCTGTCAATGCAGGCGAAGGTCACGGAGGCGCTTGAATCGCGCCGTGTCACTCATCCAGGTCGATCCCTTATAGTCACACTTCCATTCGCCATTGCTGCACGCAGTGTGCGATGTTTCATGGCACCACCCTCAGTTTTCTGTGCATCCTGTATCAAGATCACGTCACCATCATTCTCACGAGTCGAGCTAATGCCAATTTCAATCAACGCTAGGACTGAGAAATGCGACTGGACTCGGCGCGAGAGCTGCGTTGAACAGGCTAGATTGGAGTACAATGTGCGGAAATGGAGGTAGGGATCATCTGATCCGATTTGTGGTCGACTCGATCGTGCGTGGACGGTCCGATGAGGGAAGCCCGCCAAATGCTGCGCGACGACTGAGCGACGTTTGCGTGTCTAACGAGTCTGAAAAGGGCACGTGGCTAGGCTGGCGAGCCACCGTCGCGGTACTGGGTCAAGCGACTGAATCGCTTGACGTTGGGAGAGTCGAGGATGGAGTCTTTGCCGAGGCTGTTGAAATCGAAGCAGACGCCCAGGTCGTTTCGTGAGTCGAAAGTATTTTGAGAAAGAATGCCTCGCACAAGCCGGTCCCCTTACCGTTGACTCACTAGTGGCTAACGATCAAATGACCCGTGCGAGGGCGCACAAACAGACGGCCAGCGAAGCGGCTCTCGATCTTGAGTTGGTGGAGCGTAGCGCGCAGTCAACGTCAAGAGGTATTGCTAAGCCGAACGCTCACGAGCCAAACTCACTGTAACAGGTTTCTCGAAGGCTAGGCCCGCACCCAGCCCCTTGTCCGCCTGGCGACCGAGGGTGGCAGGGTGAAGCTTTGGGTGAGGTCCGCGGCGCAAGTAAGAGGCCTTGCCGTCGACTGGCAGCTGCTTCTGTTGGTCAGAAGTGAAAGCCAGCACGCCGATGCGAGAGACGTAGTCGAACTCGTTGGCAAAATGCTCAATATTGGCAAATGGCATCGAACCGTTGGCATCGACAGGAGCGGAGAGATGGTTGGCTGCAGACGCAAAAGTGTAGATCTCAATCTTTGAGAGGATCGAACGGTTGTAATCTGCCAAGAGCTGATCCTGTACCACGTCGCCAGCTGGGTGCGATTAGTTTGGCAGCACAGCCAGCAATGTAAAATGTCGTCGCTCAACTCACAATCCAAGCGCTCTATTTCCACAATGGTAGCGAAGAGGTGAGTCAGTGAAGCAGGAATCTTTGGTTTCAAGGCTGTGTTGCTACTGACAACCATGATACCACCTTGACTGTGCCCCACTAGCACCACACGCTTGTTCTTGGGGTCCAAGAGAGCTTTGACGAGTACGTTATAGCCTAATCTTTCATCACGACTGGGCCAGCTTCAGACCGGATCGTAGGCAGAGCTCAGCGCGCTCCAAAAGCGCATGGAGCCGCATCTGCGTCAAAAGCACTCACTGCAGGTCACGTTGGTTCAGGCACTCGAGCAAGTCTCCGACCAACCCATAGCTGCGGTTGACAATGGCAACCACGTCACGGCCGAAGAGGTCGCTGATCCTCTGTAGCGCGCGGGACAAGGGGATTGCATGTAGTCGTTGAGCCGGGTCACCGTGCCAGCGGCTAAAGAATGTGCTACTACGCACCTGACAAGCTTTGCGCTGTCCATCAGGAGTCGTCGCTATACCCGTGACAAGTAACCAAGCTTCATTTGGAAAGTTGTGTCCCGTCGGGGACTTGACGGTAAAATTATTGAGTGGACCTTGTAGAGCGGTCAGAAGGCGCAAGGATGTACCGAGAGCCAAAGAGGTCCAGATGGGCGCTGGAAATCCGGTGAAGCTGGCAAACACCAGCACAGCCGTGCCGAACACTCCAACGATGGAGACGATGATCTGGTAGAGCAGACCAACGATGGTCATGTCCTGCAGCAAGCCACCATGCTTGAGGCCGATGGGAAGGAGGACGAGCGGAAGGTAATACAGCTGGGAGATGAACTGAAGAGGCGCGGTGCGGATTGAGAGGGATTGTCAGCCGCCGCCATCACTACTGCGACACTCGCATTAGCGAGCACGTTGTGCTCACCAGAGCAAAGTCATTGATCAAAGACCAGATTGGACCAGCTCTGTATTTGATGGGCTCGGACGTCTCTGTATGCGGTACGGCGTCATAGACGGCCACGGGAGCAGGCGCTGCTGCCTGACTTTCAGGCTGCTTCTCTGGCATGTCGAATGCGATCCGAGCGTGAGTGGAAGGTGGGCCGCAACTGGGAGGTGTGCACGCGCTCGAAGCAGGCCACTTTCTGTGTTGATCGCGAAGACAAGGTGCTAGGGAAACAGATGTGAGCCGATCGATCGCTCAATAGCGGCCTAAATATGGTGTCGAGAATGCTGCACAGCGAACCAAGAGTCAACAGCGCCATACATTCTGATTGAAATGTTTGATTCCACGTCTCCCCGTGTCACTTTTGACTCACCACCGTGTTCCGTGTCTCGGCTATCCGGAAGCAGAGCTGAGCAAAGGCAGACGAGGGGGCTTTGTTGGTGCAGGATGGATGGATGGGCAGGAGCAGCAGTCGCAGCAGCGAAGGAAACGCTGTGTAGCTGCGAGCGGATGGGGCGTTTGCTCTTATGCGCCAGGGCTGGAAATTAGCCCATCGAGCTGCATCGGCTAGCACGCGGATGTGTTTCTTAATTGCCTGCAAGGAGCCAAGTGAGAAGGGCAAGACCGAAGTGAGCGTGAGGTGAAAGCAGTTACAGTCAAAGCCAGAATGGAAGCGGAGCGATGGCAGTGGCAGTGGCGAGTGCAGAAGTCATCAGCAGCAAGTCCGGGTTGTGGACTCAAGAGTACCGCTGTGCTCAGACTCGTGACTCACACTTGTATACACTTGTCGCTGCGAGCGAGTCGTGAGTAGTCACGGGTATTCGTCAGTCGTAAATGCACGCACGCTGCTGATGGTGGTGTGGTGATGTGTGCTGGGTCAAGCTTGAATCATGTACCTACGTACGTTGTATAGGCCGACTATGCAGCATGTTCTTGTGAGCTTGTAGGCTGCTTGCTGCATCGCTCATGATGGTCATGGATGCCGTATACAAGTCAAGTGGAGGAGGCGTGCGTGGGAGAGCACAGCGGGCCTAACAGGCGGCTCTCTGCATGCATGGGCGTGCACGAGCCGGCGTGCAATGCGCTCCGCAGCAGGAGTCGTGAGTTGTAGGCTCGGATCGGGACACACCTTGATTGCACGAACACCTTTATGATTCACCTCGTCCACCATGGCTCTGGCCATCCACCTCGTCCATGTCAGGCAAGCAGAGCAGCCGCTCGATTTGTATCCGAATCATTCTTTGAGGGCAGGTGCTCTCGCGACTTATCACCGTCACTATATAGAGATCGACATGCTTTCAAAAGCGACTCAGTAGTCTGTTCAATTCGCACTCGAGGCATGTGGGCAGACTTGATGGCGTCGAGATCGGGCCGGAGACTCGTGTCTTCTTTAGTCGAAATGGTGCCGTCCATGTCTGGCACCTTAGCCGAGACACTCGCCATCACGCTGACTGCCCCCGGATGCCAACTGTGACGTAGATCGAATCAGGCGACGACGATGTCACAGACCTTGCTGTCATGAACTCTGCTCTCACGAAGCGATGCCGTATTACCTACCGACTGCAGACTTGCGCCTCTTCAAAAGCTGGTAAAGCCTCCGCTGGTCTTCTCTTATGTGGGTTGACGTCAGGCAGCTGCCGGGACCTGTCGGATCATGGCGGGGTAGCGGTCCATTCTGACGTCGGCGCGAGCTTGCACCTTTCAAAGGCTTCTTGGGTATTTCGGTCCTCTAAACGAAGGTCTCTGCACCGATGTCTTGGAACGCGATGCAAGGGCGGCGGCAGTGGCGCTTCCGAGTCCTTGCGATCTCTTATTCCTTTGCCACAGAGCTCGATGCCTTGCGCACATGCTACAAGAGCAGCTTCGCAGCACGACGACCCGCTTGTCTTTGTATAGCTCCCGTACGACCTAGTGGTGAATTTGTGGCAATGTCCTACGGTGATGATACGCCGTTCTGCCGCTGCGCTCGATCGCCACTGCCAGGCGTTCTTGTACTGTGGCAAACGTGGAGCCTGGGCCGAGGTGATTCGCATCGACACTCAACTGCCGACAACACGAGAGTTGAGTGGCGTGCAGCGGAGGAGCACAAGAATCGGCAGACTTTTCCCAGTCGGATGCGCATGCCGCCTACCTGTGACAAGGTTGTTTGGATACAGCGCCAGCAGTCTGGGTGGCGAGGCGGACTTCACTGCAAAGCGGCAAATCGAATTTGCAATCGCGGCCAATGGCAGTAGTGGTCCTCTTTAAAGCGCAGAAAAAGGCAATCAAACAGCGCCAGCATCCTCACGCACCCCGTCGACGGTCACTCTACGTTGGCTTGTGGTGCCCCTTCAAGCCAGTTTTTTGTATACTCAAACACTCCAAGTCACCCAGTCAAAGCTTTTCTGAGGATGATACTTCCGAGCAAGGTTCTCGTGCTTTGCCAGTGCCTTTATGCGGCCACTCACGCTGCGCGTGCGAGCTCTGTCGAGTCAGGACGCCAAATAAATAGCAAATCAGGCGAATTACCAGTCCAAAGGCAGGCTGTCGTTAAGCGAATGACAAGGTGGCCACACGAGTTTCCGGACGCACTCAGCCAGAGGATAGACGCCGAATTCGATCCTATGGTGACACCGAATCCGAACGGCCGGCTGTACACCCAGCCAGTAGCAAGGGTGCGCGTTTTCTTGCAAGAGACCGGCATGCAAGTGTATAAGGGACCCAAGAAGCTCGCAAAGTATGTCTGGAAGCATCCTTTCGTAGCTGCTGGGTGAGTGTAGGCTCGACGCGGACAGAGTGGAGCCTGTGCTCCGGTCTTCTCTTGCGGTTGACCTCGCCTTCAGCACGCAGTGTTGCATCGGTCCCCGTCGGCGTCGGCAGCTTTGCGGAGGGCCATAGAAGACAACAAGAGAAATTGAAGGCGGCTGCTCATAAGGCAGGTCAAATTCCTCCGGACAAATCTGCGACGGGCGCAACGACGACGGACAAGCATGACCCCGACGAGCTGAAGAAAAGGATTCTGGACAGGCGCAATGAGAATCCCTCAAGACAGACGTTCGTGCTGCAAAAGCGTCTCGCATCAGGAAGGGCGATGCGAAAGGTGCTTTTGGAAAATCTAAAGATCGTACAACGTCCAAATGCGACCAGGACGGCACGTAGGATGCACAGGCAGCTCTCTCGGCTCGAGTCAAATCGACAGCTGCTGCAGGAAGCCAGGCTGGGGGGTAGTAAGAACGATGATCGCGTCAAGAAGGGCATCAAGCTGACATTGTGAGTCAAAGGCGTCTGCCCAGCCCGAGCGCCAACGACGGCAATGGCTGAAAATTCGTCGTGCTGCCTGCGTGACGAAGGGCTGCTGGCGCAGTGACTGGCGTAGGTGTCGCATCCTACCAAGGCGGCAAAGCTTTGGCAACCCATCAGCACTTTGTGGACGTGACGAGGTGCGAATCTGGCTCCTCTGAGAGCGGATGCAATAGCTTTCGAGCCACCGGCAATCCGTAGCTACGCTTCTGAGCGGGAGCGCAAGCTTTGCACAAAGGAAGACCTGATGCCGCCCACTTGCAAATGTCGCGCATGAGTAGCGGGGTCAGGAAGAATGACCAGACATTGTTGGGAGTCGTGAGTGAAAGCACGCCTGGAGCAGAGCGCTGCGAGCCGTGCAACGTCGACATCGACTTGAGCCACCTCTTCTCAGTCGAGAATTTGAGTCGTCAACGCATCCCATTTATATTTCTCATCGTGATCTCTACGCTGCCTGGCCCTCGACGTGATCTGTCAAGCTCATTCCAAGCGCATTAAAGAATTGGAGCGTCTTTCGGAATCGAGCCTTGGGTGATCAACTCATGAGTTTCGATTCGAGATTGCGTGCGTACAGTCGTGAGTATAGAGTGAGAATGAGATTTCCGAGCCAGTGAAAAGCGGCCCCGACTTTGCCGAGCCTATCGCCTGGCTGCACGACGTGGTCCGCTTGCTGGTCACTCACGACTCGACTGTGACTTATAGGGCACTCGTGACTGGTGAATCAGCGGTACGAGCCATTGGCTTCACCTGGCTGACCATGCAGCCAAGCAAAGAAGCGTCGCTCTTGAATCTTGAATTCTTGATTGCACGCTGTGCAAGCTCAACGCACGAGAGCGGTCGTGTGGGCACCGGGCGTCAAAAGGCGGGGATCGCGCATCTTGAATTTTGAATTACATGAGCGATTTGCGCGATGTGTCTTTCTGAGAGCTGCTCTAGATTCTTGATTTAGCTTCTGTTCCAGCTTTCAAAGATTGGTAAGCTAAATCGTAGCCGATGATTAGAAATACTGTTGGAAGCTTCATTGCTTATCGGAACACAACGCAAGACGAAGACCATAGTGTCGCGCGTTGGTCGCGGCTGATCATGCATATATGCAGCATGCATGGGGCCCTGCGTGGTGTGTGAGCAAGGCGGGGCAGATTGTCGCTCGCACCATCGATGCTGTCGAGCCGGCGAAGTCACTTAAGTCCTTGGCCACGCCGAGTCACCGCCACCACGTACCCAGCACCTCGGTAACAGCCACGATCGAGCCTTGTTCAAATTTGGTCAGGTCCGCTCGCCCTACTCACCCACTCTTCTCAAGAATCTGCTCCTCGAGCGCAATTTGAGCGTACACAAGCTCGCCTTCCACTTTGCCTTCCCTACCTGCCGCTCTTCCGCCTCTTGTCAAAATGTCGTCTGCCTCGGATAGACTCGCCGCCATTCAGGGCCACGTAGACCCGGCAAAAGCTGCGCAAGGTGAGATTCGCAACTTGTCTGGCCCCCATCTCCCAGCATGCGGAGCGTATTCGCAGAGCAAATACGTTTCAAAGTTGCGGGCTAGATGAGGTCCGGTTGGTCACTCGATCCTCTTCACTTCGGAACTCGGCTTACCGTCATCTGTACCCCGCAGCTGTATGGGCATCGGTGCCTGAAGCACCTCCCGACGTGTAAGTATCGCGGTGATCTGGAGCAAATCTTCGGGAAGAAGGCTGACGCTTTCGAGCACTATCCAAACCCTTCTTTCTGGCTGTTCCAGTATCTTTCAATTGACTGCTGCGTACAAGGCTGACAAGTACGATAAAAAGGTCAACTTGGGCATCGGCGCATACAGAGATAATGACGGCAAGCCATGGGTCCTTCCAAGCGTCCAGCAGGTGTGTATCAAAGAGCAGAAAGACTCAATTTGGTATGGTGCTCTGGCTGTGGCAGTCGTCAGCACTAGCAGCAGGGTGTATACTTTCGCACGCATTCAGAGAAAGTCTGGAATGGCTGAACCCCACTCATCACTCCACTCATCTTGGCAGGCGCAAGAGAGGTTGATCGCGGACAAGTCCGTCGACCACGAGTACCTCTCAATCACTGGTCTGCCCACCTTCACATCTTCTGCAGCCAAACTATTGCTGGGCGCTGATTCTCCGGCAGTTGCAGAGGACAGAGTCACTAGCGTGCAAACAATCTCTGGCACTGGCGCGAACCACTTGGGCGCTGTGTTCTTGAGCAAGTTCTACGCTTTCAACGGAGACAGGCAAATCTTCATCTCTAACCCCACTTGGGCAAATCACAAGGCTATCTTCAATTCAGTCGGCATCAAGCCGGTCGACTATCCGTACGTGAGTTGCTTTCTCTCACCAAGTACCGCGGCATGCATGGCCCACCCGTGGCGATCAACAGGACTTCGAGCTTACCTTAGCGCTCTGTCGTGACTCAGTACGACGCCAAGACTATTGCGCTTGACTTTGAGGGCTTCACGTCCACGCTCAAGAATGCTCCAAATGGCAGCGTCATTCTGCTTCACGCATGCGCACACAATCCTACTGGCGTTGACCCCACCAAGGAGCAGTGGCACGCCATCGCCGACATTTTCCTTGCCAAGGGTCACCTTGCTTTCTTCGACTCAGCCTATCAAGGCTTCGCAAGCGGCAACTTAGACGCCGATGCCTTCAGCGTGCGATACTTTGTATCGCGACGAGACATTCCCGTGCTGGTCTGCCAGTCGTTCGCTAAGAATGCCGGGCTGTACGGAGAGAGAGTAGGGGCCTTGCACGTGATTTCTGCTACGAAGGAGCAAGCAAAAGCGGTAACGACTCAATTGTCGGTCATTCAGAGGAGCGAGATCTCAAATCCACCCGCTTTTGGCGCTCGAGTGGTGAGCATGATCCTCAACGATCAGAAGCTTTGGGCGCAATGGAATGAGGATGTCCGAACTATGGCGAACAGAATCATCGACATGAGGAAGCAATTGTTCGAGCTTCTCACCAACAAGCACAAGACGCCTGCTCCCGGAGGGAACTGGAACCACATTGTCAAGCAAATCGGCATGTTTACTTACCTAGGCTTGTCCGAGAAGCAAGTGGCAAAGGTTGTCAACGAGGGCCACATCTACATGACCAAAAACGCCAGAGCAAGCGTCGCTGGTCTCAACACGCACAACATCGAGTACGTGGCTCAGTGGATCGACAAGGCGGTTCGAGAAGCCTGATTGCACCAGCTATCTCAAGCCTTTACCGCAGGGTGCGTTGCCCAGATGACGCTTGGGTGACTCGGTAACATTGGGAGATGTGCGACGCTTGTTGCATCTTCCGGGTGGTCTTCAGCGCTTCTCAACTCTGCACCTCAGATACCGAAATTATCACCCATGCAATTCCATACCGTGTACGGCTTGGCGACGAGAGTTGATGCGTGCATGTATTGGCCTGAAACATGAACCTCACATCTAGTCCAGAGCCATGCCGTCCCCGGTGTTCTCTTCCTTTGGCTTTGCCAAACCATTCCTCTCGATAAGCCTGTCAATATCATGAGGCTTGAAAATGCTGGTGCGTGGTACGCCGGTGGAATCCAAGGTAAGGGTCGCAAACTCGACTGCAATGCAGCAAAGTGCGATCAGCCATTGCAAGTGCTGCACAGGTCGAGCGGGCCATGCCCCGAAGCGACTTGACTCACTCTTGTCAGAGTCCAGGGTAGTTGCATCCATGGTCTTGCCAAGCGTCTTGATAGCCAGGTCCGAGGCTTCCTGGATGCCGAGACCCTCCTTGTAGTCTTGCTTCAGGAGGCTCGTGGCAGTGCCATTGTTACTTCCAATGCAGGTCGCTTTCCACCCCGAGTAGTTGCCTGAAGGGTCGGAATGGTACAGCTGGAACTCGTGGTGGGCATCGTACCCGGCATACAACAACGATACACCGAATGGTCGCAAACCTGCGTGGACACAATTGAAGTGAGACGCGCGTCAATCTCAAAAAGCATTTGCACACCTCTACTGCAGCGCTGAGCTTCAGTCTGAGCTGAAATACGCACCTCCATATTGCGTGTAGCCTTGCTTGAGATCGCAGAGACGTTGTGCTAGTTGCTCGACTGGCATGTCATCATCGTAGGCCAAAAGGTACTTCTGCGCTGCGTTTCGCGCATAGTTGATCAGAGAATTGGCATCTGCTGTCAAGCCGGCCACGCCAGTGACCACGTTGCTAAGGGTGTATGCAACAAGCGTCGGTCAGGTGTATGCTCACGAAGATACGCATTGAAGAACCATTCGAAGCTGTGCGAGCATCTCGAAGCTCGACCGCGACTCACTTGCTAAGGCTGTAGATCTTTTCCGAGCTCTTGTCCTGCTCCAGCAACTTGCTGGTCACCTTCTTTTCAGCAGCCAAGACCACGCCATCCTTTGCAAGAATACCAATCACGGTTCCTGCATGAGAAATGGCCTCCATGGCATATTCCACCTGGTACAATCTCCCTTCTGGACTGAAGGTCGTCGTCCTAGAATCGTACCTGCGCGACATCTTGCCACTTTCCTTGTGTTGTTGGGCGCGAAAATGTTCGCGAAGTAGGTCGCAGCGGCGAGGTAGCCTGACGCTGAAGAGATGGACGACTGTAGTCGAGGAAGAGGCGATGCGAAGGCTGAGCTCTGGCGTGGGATCGTGTGTAGGGAAAGTTGGAAGGCTCAACTATCGCGGGCAAAGATCCATCCGCGATGTAGGCTCGACCAAAACTCGTGACGAGCCGCGTCACCCAAATTGATGCTCGGCCCTCACGCCCGACGGGTCCGTGCGTCACGCACGCCTGGCACGGATCGACGCGCGCAGCACCCCACAGCGCATATGCGCGCTCCTCAGCAGAATCTTAAATCATTCGTGATCCACGTCCTGGTGGCCGAACACCTGTGTTGTTTGTAGCTTGCAGAGACTGCGTGACTCACTACGCTACTACTTACACTTCTTATGGACCCGTCTATGCTTGGGGGTCTACGCCCAGAGCTCAGTCTATCAGGACCAAGGCCGTAGCAGCAACGCGTTACATTTCAGTACATGGCGAGCGAGCAGATGAGCCGAGACAAGGTGGAGCTGGGAAGAGCGGGAAGGGTACTGGAACATGAGTATAGCATAGAATGACGGTTGCTCCAGGTAGAGGAAGGTGCAGTGCGCGCAACAGGGAGGCAGGCGGAAGACCTCGCGCGATAGTCTACCGCCAGAAGCTCCACAGTGAAGGGGCCTTGAGGTCCGTGGCATAACAGTGATGAAGAGCAAAGCAGAGCATACCGATGACTTTTGGACGGAGCGCCCGACGTTGCAAGTTGGGATTGATTTGTCAAGTGATGCCGATTCACTGAGGAGGGTTGATGCCTGGTCGTGTGACATGGGTGCATGCTGGACCCGGAAACTCAGAATCGACCAAGGAAAAGTAAGGATGCTTGAGTGCTTCCGCAACCGTAATCCTGTGAGCGGGTATCAAGAGGGTGAGCGATGAGCACAATCTCGCTTGCAGGATCACGCTGAGAGCACTCACCTCCGCTCCGGATCGTATTCGAGTAGTCTCTGCAGCAAATTCAAGAACATGTCGTTGTGCTTCTTGTAACCGACGGGGCCGCTGACGATTTCCTGCAGTCGCTTCATGCGCTTCATGTACCGTCTGGACTGCGGTGTTGTCTCTTTGTTGGGCCAATTGAGTCTCTGATTGTGGAAAAAGTCTGGTCGATATGTCTCGGCCTTGCGGCGATACTGCTCAGGCATGGGCCCAAGTACAACCTCCATCATCGCAAGATGTCTGCAACGAAGGTCGTGAGGCTAAAGTCAGTTCCACTCGACCCAAAAAACAAAAAAGAAACTCGCAATGACTTACTCGAGATTGTCGTGCGTCTGGAACAGCGCGTCACCAGTGTAGAATTCGACCAAGATGCAGCCAATAGACCATGCGTCACACGGATATGACCAGCCCATTTCTGTTGATGAAGATCATACAAAAGATTAGCATAATCACATCCTCCAGCCTACGCCACCAATGCACTCACGCAAGATGATTTCTGGCGCTCTGTAATGCCGGGTCGAGACGACTTGAGAATGGTACTCATTGTTGAATGTCGCACTTCCAAAATCGATGAGGCGAATCTCGGAGTTGTTCAAGACGCGCTTCTTTTTTGCGTTTGCTCGCTGCGGACGCGTGAAGAGCGTCAGTTCTGGACTTTGAAGACGAGTCCCTCCTGCAAACGGGGCAAGAGCATCACTCACCTTGGTCGTGGCTACATTCTCGTAGCTGCTGTCCACCAGCAAGATGTTTTCCGGCTTGAGATCGGTGTGGACCAGGCTCAACCGATGCAAGAACGCAACGCTTTGCAACAATTGTCTGGCGAATGACCATATATGCCGAGGGGGAAACGAAGCAAATTGGTTCTCCTTCAAGAAGTCAAAAACGCTCTGTCCCAGAAGCTCCGAGACAATGCACACGTGATTGAGGTATGAGAATGTCTCAATCAGGTGGATGCATTTGCTGTGAGTGTCGGAACGAATGCGCATGATTAGCTAGGCAAATCGAGGGCATGCTTCATGAACAAGTCAAACTCACTTTTCGTTCTTGGGATCTTGCTGCCGCAAAAGCTTGAGTACTCGAATCTCGATCTGACTTGCGTCCCTGTACTTCTGAATAGCGCGAATGATTTTGATCGCGACGAACTTTTGCTCACGCCGGTCCCAGCATTCGACAACCTTGCCAAAGGTGCCTTGACCCAATTGCTGCATGATTTTGTCTATGTTCGAAGCCAGCAAGGAGTGTGGTTAAGCTCAGCCTCTCTCAACTGCGAGGTCAGCAAGCAAAGCACTTCGTTGACTCACATCTTTCTGTCACATTTTCACCTTTGCGCACGATGAAGTGACCTTCTTTGTCGTCGACTGGTAGCTGAGGTGCATAGTTGCGACTCTGGGGTACAGAATGACGCGAATTTTCGTCAGGGAGCTATGCCCCAATCTTTATGCCGGAGCGACAAGCTCGAGCAGACTTACCCTCGCTTGTGATGTCTTTGAGACGTATCCTGGGTCCTGTACTGCAAGCCCCGACATCGCTGGGACTTGCTCATGATAGGCTGTGCTTCCATAAGCGTCGGGCTGCTGGTGTGAAGTATGGCCAGTGTGCTGCGCGTGGATGTACGGATCGTCCTTTCGCCTGCGTTTCTGAGCAGCTTCTGCTTCCCGAATTGATGTGATGGAGCCAGCAGTGGATGCTGCAACAGAGTTGTACGAACCGTACTCCTCCTCCGCCTTCCTCTTTCCCTTGGGGGCTGCCGCATAGACGTCGCCGGCCTCTGGTCGTGCCCGTGTTCGGGTCTGTCCAGCATAGCCCCGCGATGTCTTGTATGCTGAACCCGGCCCTGCGCCATTGCCATTGTATACATCCGCAGCCAAAGGCTGGGCAGGTGGCCTATCCTCTTCATTGTCCGAGCCGTCTGAAAGGACGAAGACTTCTCGTTCCTGGTTCACAAGGGACAGCGCGAGATGTAAAGATGACCAAATTGGAAAAGGGTTAGCGACCGGCATCAAATCCCTGCTCTCCAGGTATCCGCTGAGGCAGTACGTCGTGCTCGCGCCTGTGCTACCGAGCGTCACATGAGGAGGGAGACGAGCTGGACCTCCCAAACGTTCAAGACTCCTCTCAGTAGCAAAGTTGCAAACATTCCCCCCTCCTCCTCTGAACATCGCTGTCTTCAGCATCCTTGACGCTTTGATCAAGACTCACCTGACCAGCTATGACCTCTTTCACGCTTGCGGGAGTTCGCGGCGACTGATAGTGCGAGGAACCGCCAGCGACAGGCGCGTAGCTGTGAGAGCTGCGATGTTGCCGATGGCCATGGCCATTGTAGTAGCCGTTCAAGGGGGTGGCCGGGACTTGAGCCGGAAGAGTCGACATTGGGTCGGGGTAGGCGTACTGATGGGACGAAGAGCTGGATGGATCAGCCGAGTTGTCTAGATACGAGGAGGCGTTGTGATTGTCGATGATGGACTCGTGAAGGGGTTGGTGGTAGCCTTCAGAGAGTTTGGCTAGGTTGCTGTCTATACGCGGAGCCTCGCCTCTTCTTTGCTTCTTTGCCCGAGGCAGAGTTGCCATGTTTCCACTTCGGATGCGATGATGGTGGACAGGTCAGAGTGCAATGGCAGCTACTCGTTTGGCGGATGATGCAGACGCTGACGACGAAGGTGGGGTGAGGAAGCAAGAGTGTTGAGTGAGATGAGTTACTTGCTGGCCTCCGATGAGATAATGCGTCCACGCGGCGCGTCACGGGTGCTTTGCCAACGCGCCGCAGAAGAGGTGGAGTCGCAGAGACTTCGACTCGCGGCTTGAGTGGGTCTAAACCGGCGCTGCTGCTGCTGCTGCTGCTGCTGCTGCTGCTGCTGCTCGCCCTTGTTGCCTTCTGTTCAAAGCGGCAATCATTGAATAATTGTGAATCTGATTGCCGAAGCTTGATTAAGGCCTCACGTTGCTGGTTGAAGTCCCAAGCCTTGTTCGGTCCGCTTCAGTAGTCTATCGGACAAGGACGAGCTCGGAGCGTATTAGAAAATTGGGTAGAGCAAGACGTTGGATAGAGGAAGCGGACATGTGCATGGCTACAACATTCAGATTCAGATTCGCGTTCCGAAAGCTTTGCCCTCCCCTCCTCAAACAGCTGAAGAGGAAGCTGCGCACACGTCGTTGTCGTTGGCTGATGCAGCTTCGTGTACATGTACTTCGGCACCAGCGCTTCCTCGAGCGCAGGGGGCAAAAGGGGCAGGGGCACGGCTGACGATATTCAAGCGCAGAGAAAGATTAGCAGCAGCCAGCAAGCAGCACTGCATGGTAAGTTGCCGCTGAGGTTCACGCAGATGAGGCACGCTCGTCTAGTCACGTCACAGTGTGAGTCAACGGTCACAGTCAACAGTGGGCAGCGGAGGCGCGAGGCGGGGCGCAATGCCGGTACCTGCTAGTAGTACCGTAGAGTAGCTACGAGTTGTGAGTCAACGGGCAGGTCAGGTCAAGCAAGACACTCGCGACTTCAAGTCAGGTCGCGGCACATTTCAGCAGCACTGTGACTCTGGTTCGATTGCCGAGGGCAAACGCGGCTAAGCGAGATGAATCCAAAAAGCATCAAATCAGCACGCGCGGTTGTTCACGTACGCACGAGAGTAGAGCATCCGCTGAGCGCACCTAGGATTCGACACTCGTGACTGCTGCTGGTTTCGACATCAGCGCGTCAGAGACATCTGTGGGTCCAGTGCGCGAGTCGACGATCGAGTGAGCAGGCAGAGCGAGGAGGAGGGGGGAAGAGAGAGCCTCCGTGCGAGCCACGCATTCGGCGTTCATAGGAGCGCTGCCTCAACAGACTGCAGGCCTGCGGGCACGATCTCCGCTGGCGTGCGCCGCAATACGCACAACAGTCACGACGGAGTCTTGCGTGCCTGTCATTATGTGCATGTATGATCGCGAATGGTGAATGGTGAATGGTGAATAGATGTCCCATCGGACACCGATCATCATGACGCGCTCCAGCATCAAATCGCGAACACCAAACAGTCAAGCTCGAGTGATTCGCCTCACTCAAAACTTGATTCTGATGTTTGACTCTGACTCGTGACTCGTGACTTGTGACTGTTCGTCAGCATCGACGGCCATGCACAACTCGGTGTCAATGCGCTCTGCGCAACCCCGCGTCCGCGTCCTTGCGCAAGCTTGTGTGAGAGACATCCAGATCGTGCGCATCCATGCCGCAGCCGATGCGCTTCGTCCACTCAGCAGCTATGCTGTATGAAGGAAAATCCTTGACAGCAGCACAACAGCCGCGGCAGATAGTCTGTGAGTACGGCAAATCTGACTGTGCGAAGCATATATGCGTGGCAACAGCGTTCGCACAGCGGAGGATGAAAGTTCTACATGGCTGCACGCAACTTCAAGACTCAGACTGGTGCAGAGACACTCAGTGACTCCAGGCATGCTCCCCATCCATGCAGGCTCGGCCTGCTTAAGGGTCGCTGAGCCATCTACCCTGCGGCATGGCACGGCGGCTACGATCGAAGATGGTGCCCACGAAATGAACGAGTCTACACAACACTACAGCACCGAACGCCCGGACGCCGGGCGCTCAGAGTGCGTACATCGTACCTGTGCCGGTAGACCTTGAGACTAATTGATTTGTGGCATACATCATGTGTCTTTGCGCAGTCTCATGGATCAGTCACCTACTCGTGCATGGCTGCGGAGTCAATCCCTGACTCAAGACTTGACTCAGTATAGTGTCAAGATTACGAATGGGCGTGACTCGTGACGCCCTGCCGGATCCCGCCGATCCCCTGCTCAGCCAGGCAGGGTTTTCTTGTCCTCCGGGGAATCTGAATGGCAAAGGCCAAGATGAGTGTTCACTGACTCTTGCTGCAGATCGTGAATGCCACTTGAACTGATGAAGGACAAGAGACAAGGGGCCGAAGGTCGGATGAGCGCCAGTCTGTTGCGGGGCTACAGCTGTGACCTAAGGTGGAGATTCACGGTTGCATGGGAGAGCGTGGTGTCACGACGATTACGCCCACGCGCCTAGCCGGCGTTCTCCGTCCAGGCTGAATCTTGATCCACATGAGACTCACCACTCACCACTCACCACTCACCACTCAGTTTTGAGCGACTCTCTATCGCGACTCGATCGTGACTCACACTAGAGCCTGCAGCATGGCTCATCGCGTACTTGCGCACGTGGCGCAGCTCCCTGACGCCCGCGCCTCTCGGGCGCTGTGACGACGACGCGCCCTTCTGCCTGCATGCTCGTTCACCTCGTATGGGCGCATGACCGAGTTGCGCAAAAGCAGCTTGCAGATCGATGGTGCGCGCATGCGACGCCCGCGCCCGGTTCAGCAAGATAGCAAACCACTAGCTGTGACTGAGCACCACATCATCACGTCGTATCGGCATCCTTCCTCACCAACATCCTGACCCAACACAATCGAAAATAGCGAATCTGATTTTGGACTTCAAGATCTGATCCGCTCAGGCAAGCTCGGGAGCTGAGTCGACACGGGTGTTGCTGCGATGCGGTCTCGCGCCACTCATCCTCGAGCGCTGCTCAGGCTGGTCGCCAGTTCCCACAGCACCGGCAATAATGGACGGCAAGCGGCAACTCAAACCCTCGCAGCGGGCAGGCGCTCATCGATCTTGCACTCTACGCAGCGCGCTGCTGCCTCATCCTCTTCACGGCCCGTCAACTCTTTCATATCCCCCAACGGCGCTGCGACTTGCTCTTCCAGCAGTGTTTCTCAGTTCAGGGCCTACGTTGCGCCGTCTACAGCTCATACTCGTAGAAGAGCCTCCATTGCCAAGCGTCGAGCTTCTCGCAGCTCATCTGACGGCAATGGCGAGGCATCGGCAAAGGGCTCTGCCGACTTGCTCAGTGCTAAGCGCCGTTCTGCTCTCGATCGTGCGCTGACCAAACTCAATCGAGGGCACGCACCCGCTCGACCGCCACCCACTACGAGTGAAGAAGTGGGGATGCAAACCTTCTTCTCGACTTATAGACCACTTTTGGAGCATGCAGTGAGAACATCGTGGTCTGCGGGAAGCGATGGCGGGACTGTGCAAGGCAGCTTTGGGGCGCTTTCATCAGAGATGGATTTCCCGCCCAAGGAAGTCCAAGAGCTTGTCTCCAATGTGGTTGCAAAGCACGGCGATCGTTTGCGAGGAGGGACGCTCATCGCGGTAGTCACCGACGTCTCCGAAATGCCGTCAGGTCCATCCATATGGCCCAATGCTCTTCGAAACGTCACCCCATCTCGCTTTTCTAGGCTACTCGACTCTCTCTCCGAATCCCCATCGTCATCGTCCCCCATCTCCCAAACCTCTCTGAAGGTCGTCATGGAACGTCACAAAATGGCAGAAGAACTTCGCAGAGAGAAGGAGTGCGCCGAGGCTGTTGCGAATGCGGTGGAGCGGGGAGAGGACCCGACGGTAGCTAGGGCGCTGGGAGGCGAGGCGGACACAGTCATCTTGGGGGAGCCCAGCGGTCCCCAGGCAGACTGGTCCCCTGGTGTTGCTAGCTTTATGGCAAAACACCTGCGAGCTTTTGAGCCGCCGTCTGCGCCAGATGCTCGTGGCCGCCTACTGTCGGCGCCCCAGACTGCCGGATCTTCTATGCCCCACTTTGGACGGAGCGGTGTCATCACGCTCGGGGAAGGCGAGGAGTTTGATGATGAGGATGTAGCAGATCGCCTCTCATCTATGTTTACGGACGCCATGAACGGTATCGATGGTGCGAGCTTCGGCGGAAATGTGCACGGCCTGCCGCCCAGCAACGTGGAGGAGGATGCACCCAACCTTCTCTTGTCCCATGCAATGGTCCAAGCGGCCCTTCCAAACTCGCTTGCATGGGATAGATTGGTCGGTCAGATGGATGCTGCTGCGCTGGACGACGCCAGCATTGCGAGAGGGGGCGTAAACCCTTCCTTGCTGAATGCGGATCCTTTGCCGCCCGACCACGAGCTGCACGTCTCTCTGGACAGTGTGAGGCGGAAACGGAAGAAGAAGATGAGAAAGCACAAGTAAGTTGGGCCTTTCCAGCGCCATACCCTGTCTTGCTTCGTCTTGCTGATCCAACTCTTCGTTTTGCGCGTCTTTAAGATACAAGAAGCTGCGTAAACGCACGCGCATTCAGCGCCAACAACAGAAGTAGAACACAAGGCGCCCTACAATGCAATACAATCATCTGTCAAATCAAGGTAGAGCTTGAACATGCATGTTGTATCAAACTTGTCTTCAGGAGGTAGACCAGCAAGGCGATCAGAAACAGCCGGGAAAGGTAGGACCTTTTTAGGATGGCGATGCTTGGTGAGAACACAACATGTCAAGGCTCTTGCGACTGGTTGTAGCGCTCCATTTCCGACTTGGGCATGTATGCAAGACGTGTACCTGCCCAGTATGCAAGTGCGGTCCCACCGCCCGCTATGCCCACAGCGCTGTTCGAATCGGGACCTCAGCGTCAGAGGTGAAGGCCTGTCTCGCATGCGTCGTCTTGCATACAGCGCAGCGTGTCACTTTCACCATTGCTTGTGCAGCACTCACCCTGCAACCTTGAGCCCTTGCTTGATCTTCTTGCTGCGCCCCTGGGCGTGCTCGATCGCCTCCAGCTCGTGTTGACGTGCCGAGGGGAAGAGTTGAGCGACCGGTTCATGGACGCGAAAGATCGTCTCTAGCGGGGGAGGCACGCGCTTCTCGAGAGCCATGCCGTCATCACGCTTAATGAGAAGAGGTGCTGCTCGATCCTCCCAAACAAGAGAACGACGTCGCGGGTGCGTTTCTCGCCAGAGCTTCTTGCGCTCTCGAAGCGTCTTCTGTCTTTGTACATGAACGCCAGTCAAGAAGGCAGGGACTGCGAACACGCCGGCAGTGAACCTGGTGGACGCGGGGGCATCACGATGTCTCAAGTCAGCCATTACGAGCTCGACAGGAAGTTGACCTGAGAGCACAGACTGCTGGTAGGCACGCTTCAGCATTCCGAAGTGAACCTAACTCACAAGCCCGTCTTCAGCGGATTTCTCCACATCTTCTCCCCCATCTTTTTGAGGGCATTTGCGTAGCGAGATTCGCTCACGGGCCTCCGGTCTCCGTCTCGAGCTGCAACCTGGACGGCGTCGGGCACCATTGGCTTATTCGTCTGACGCTCATGGAGTGAGCTAGCTCGATTGCCAGCGTGCGCTTCGATGGGAGCGGTCCAGGCAGGTGACGCCAGGACAGCCAGGCAAATGAAAGAGGACGAGGGCTTCATGGCGTTAGCCCTTTCGGTTGAGAGCGTTGATGTGGTGATCAGAAGCAGAAGAGGGGAGGAATTCGGTCAAAGACACTAGTCCGGCTAGTGCAGGTAGATGTCGGTCACGAAAGCCGATCAGAGCAGACGATGGGGGGGGGGCAAGGGGAGAGTACCGGCCATTGCAGATGAGGATTTTATATGCCTGTTCTCAGTCATGCTGCCATGCTTGGTGTTGCTCGCAAATCGCTTGTCCCTTGCCACTCGGCACAATACCCTCAATGGTCTTGCCAATTGGCAAGAAGATTGCTCTCATTTGCCACTAGCCTTGATCTTAGAATGCCTCGGCTCATCAGCAAGATCGCTGTCGCCACAATCCTCAAGGTCCTTGCCTTCTAGCAAGATGGCTGTCGTTTGCCACTCACCTTATTCTTGACTGGCGTGGCCATCATCAAGATGGCTGCCGGATGTCGCTTACCGCAACCCTCAAGAGGTCGGCCACGCCTTTCAAGAACTTTCGTCACCTGGTGGCCACGAAGCTTGTGGTGGCCAAAAACGTTGGTTGAACGCGATGGCTACGCCGTCAGAGTGGTCTCGAATATGTGCGTATTCCTTGTGCAAAGCTTACGTACTTGAGTCGAAATTCTACTTGGTGGCGGGAGAGATTATTTCGCCTTCCTTACGTCCAATGATTGAGGTCACATTTGCTATAAATGAGTGCGCATTGTACGAAGACGAGATGCGACAAATGCGTCCTGGTGCCCCAGAGACGTGACTCAAGCGGGCGCCTCAAGGACAAGTTGACTCGCGCAAATTTCAGGACCACACAAGAGCTCTGCGCCCCTTTGGGGCTAAGACGTATGATGATTGAACAAAGCGACCGCGTCAAGAGGGGGCCTGTACACGAAAAGCGACTGAGCGAGGACCTTGTTTAGACGTTGCGGGGTCGAGATTATCGTGGAGCCTGAAGTGCCGCGCTGAGCGATTGCTGGTCAATTGATCGTAGCTTCTTGCTGACTGCGTGCGGGAACAAGTGTGGCCGGTTGGGCTGGCTGTGCGACAGCGTCGAGTAGGACGGTCTTTCTATGGGGCATGTTTGGGCTCCAAATCTTTGTTGCCATAATGAGCAAGTTGCACACCTCCATAGTAGAACAGTCCAAGCCCACCGCCAAGCGCTCCGACCGCGCTGTTAGGGATACGGTGAGTTGCGCATCAGTATGATTCGCATACACGCCCCAGGACTTTACCTCCAAACTCAGAAAGCGGGGACTCGGTTACGAGTCGCACTGAGGTGCTCACCTTGCAAATTTGGCGTGATGTAACACGTCCTGGCGACGCTTCTTTTTAGCAAGGGCCACCGCATCGACAGCTTCTTGTGTTGCAGCATGACTCTCACTCTCCCGTTGAGCGGCAGTGTGCAAGAGCGTCCCTAGCTGGATGCCGTCCTGAACGGGAGGAGCACGCTTTGCCAGAGCCACCTGCTCACCGGCTGCATCTACATTGCGCTTCGACAAAAGAATTAGGCCGTCATCTTCTTCGATGGAGCGACCGTGGGGCTGTTGATGTTCCCGAAGATACTTCTTACGCTCCTCCGACATCTTATGTGCGTGCGTGAACGCGCCGACTGCCGCCAAGGGCGGTCCAAGAAAGCCGAGGACCCAGCTGCAGGAGGGTGTCCGAGTCCTTGCTGTGAGCTAAGGCCTAGCGTCGCCGCCTCGGCACGCCGAGTCAAAGGCTTGAACGGCTATGGGAGGCATGAGTGCTACTCACGCCACGCTTTTGTAAGGCTTGTTCCACGCATACTTGCCGAGTTCCTTTATTACCCGTTCCACTCTTCCAGGTGGCGGCTGGAAGACGTCGCCAGGGCGCGCGACCTCAATGGCCCGAGGCGTCAAGACGAGGTTTCCCGTGTTGATGTCCGTAAGGGGCTGGCGCCCAGCAAGAATGGTGGATCGGCTGCTCGAAGCATCCTGTTCGATCGGGGCCGTCCAGGTAGGTGAAGCCAGGATGGCCAGGTAGACGAGCGTGGTAGAGAGCTTCATTGCGTTGAGGATGCCCAGACCTTCGAGCTTGCGCAAACCTTTAGAGTCGAGAACAGGTAGAAATGATCCAATGTACTGGAGAGTGATCTAGTCCAGCTAGTCCAGATGTTGGCAGCAGAGATATGCAGGGAATCGACGCTATGAAACAAAGCAGAGCCGAGGTCAGGTCAGCTTCGTGTTCTTATAGACGCCATTTCCCAGAGCGCAAGAGGTTGGCGAGCAAGCAAAACCCGGCAGGTGGTGTGGGTGGCGGGGTCGGTTCGCGATATTTTTGAGTCGCCACCTGTCAGAATGTCGAGCTGCATGACTCGGTCTGTCGTTCATCGATAGCGGATCGCAGGCAAGCTCGCTTCGCGGCTCGGACTTTGGACCCGCCGGTGGCAAGACCCATTGCGGTGACGAAGAAAAGAACCGACCAAACGCGGCGTAGTCCTTGAAGAGGGATATGCCAGTCGGAAGTCAGGAATGACGGTCAAGGTAGCATTGCCACCCACCCACGGAAAGATCTCGGCCAGGCGCGGAGCAGACTTCTGCACCTGAGATCAAATGTGAAGCAAGGATGTTGTGGCTCACCTTTGCAGGCTCGCAACCCTTTTACGTCTTGCACGTCATGAAGTATTGCGAACATCGCGCATTGCGGGGTCACAAATTCAAATCTGCGCAGACGCCGTGGCGACAACGTTCTGGATCTGAGGACCACAAAAGCTCCGAGCACGCTGGAAGGCAGGACATCGCGATGATAGTGAAGCTGACTGGCTTTCTGAGAGGCATTCGTGTCCCACTATGGCCCGGTCGTGTGGCAAGAAGCGAGGCTTCGTCCGTTGGGCGTGAGCTTTCATCCAGCTCACGAAGAATGGGGCAACGCCCGACGTTAACACAAGAACGAGTCGCAGACTTGTGGGCGTGTGATGCATTGTCTCTAGGAGCTGCGCAGCCCTGGCCCGCAGGCGAGGCCAGAAAGCTGAGATGGTTCAAGCACATTGTAGTCCCATACGGAACTGGTACCGTCCGCCTTGATGAATAAGCATCAACCAAGATATTGCCGAACGTAGTGAAGTCCGGAATTGAGAGGTCTTTGCAAGGATGATTGACACGCCTGGAATGGTATACAGAAAGATTGCGTGCGCAGGTAGCAAAGACGCAGTGAGCATAGCAAGGATGACTAGGTTTGCGAAGACGCGAGGTGGATGGACTGGAATGGCTGCAAAAAGGTGCTCGAAGGTTCCACAGTGGCGCATCACGCCGAGCTGAGAGACGAGCCATCTGAGCCACGGCGCGCTGGGCAGGAAATGTTGTCGAGCTCCGGTGCGAAGGTGGGAAGCCCCGACCGGAGCCTTTCACGGAGGCAAGAGCCGGGGATCTTGACCGAAAGAGAAGTCGATGCCGCTGGTGGCGGCGTAATTCGGATCCTGATGCACCAGCAGAGGGGCAAGACCGTCAAAAGGATCGCCATGATGAGCAAAGCCACTCGAGGCGATATTTTGCATGTTCGGATGGTTTGGAAGATGTTGCTGCTGTCCTGAGAAGACGGGCATGCTCATTGGTGCTGACGATGTCGTCACCGCACCACTACCTTGGTATTGTCCCCGTTCATTGTCATTCTCGTTGAGATGATGATTTGTGAGCGGGACTGCCACGTGAGGCTCGAAATGGCAGTTCGACGGACTCGAGTCGTACGGCGGTCCCATAAAGTGGAAAGCGTTGGACTGAGATGTACCCGAAGATCCTGGCGTTCGCAAATGGGCCGCATTGACAACAATGTCCGAGCGCGGAGGTGTTTCTGGCATAGTAGGACTTCTGGAAGTATTCTGCTGTGCCAGTCGTCCTTGCAGCCTTCTAAGTTGATGGATTTGAGCCTCGGTCCCTGGTGTCCGCACCCCGTTAGGGCTCTGATTCTGCAGTGATTGGATTTGAGCCGTCAGCTGTGATCGCGCGTCGGCAGTAGCTCTTTCAAAGGCCGAATCCGATTTAGACATAGTGGCGCTGCCTGAGGCGTGACTTTGAGGATGACTGGGAAGGTGAAGCTCGCGAGGGACACCAAGCAAATCTCCAAATTGCCAAGGTGGACCTTCTGGTGGTGGCGGGCCTGGCGTCCGAGGTGCTGAATTCATCATGGTCCTCGACTGATGCTGCAGGCTCCGGGCCAGGGCCTGCTGTTGTTCGAAATCGCGCGCTTGCTGTGAGGGAGGAACCGGATCCCTTTACAGCGTGAGTACTAGCTGCCGTGCCGCATGCTTCTGCAGCTGTGGCAGAGCGTGAATTAGCCCACTCACCTCAGCTAAAGTTCCAACGCTTGGCATATTCTCCATCGAGATCGGAGATGGCGTACGCCCCAAATGCGGTGAAGGGCTTCGTGGATTTGCCGTGTGTACTTGCTGTGACGCATCATAGCTGCGCTGCTGCGGGTTTTGCGGAGGATGTTTTCGAAGATCTGAAGGGCCGGCCTCGCTCGATGAGCCTTCCGCTCCTTGCTGATGCATCGAGAACGACACTTGTCGCGGACGCTTATTGGTGACAGGTGCGTGCTTAGCGTCTTGTTGGGCTTTGGCAGCGGCTTGCAGAGCACTGATGTCTGGTTCCAGCCCGTTCTGTTGACTGCCGATGGAGCGCCTCATTGCGTCATCCATTGGTGCAAGTCGGGCCATCTCACGCTGCAGCCGAGACCTTTCATCCGGCACCAAAGATTCTGGCGATCGCGCGGCCCATCCAAGTGATACCATGGCCCGAATCACGAGATTTTGCCGAGGCAGCCTCTGGCCTGGTGCTGCGAGATTGTTAGCACCGAAGCCTATGGGTATGGTCGGGCTGCTGACAGCAGGGCCTGCTGCAGCGGCGGAGATGGTGCCAGAAGAGGAAGTGTCCTGACCTCCTTTCGAGATCGCTGAGGTCCCATCCCCTGTCTGCTTTCGATCCGCTACTGAGCTTGTCCCAGCTTTGTGCTTCGCAAATCTGGCTGTAGTCGTGGTCCGGGGAGAGCCTCCCGGCCCTCGACCAGCGAGAGACTTATGCCTTTGCGCGTTTCCTTCGGCAGGCGGGCTAGGAGCACTATTTGCCGTATGCTGCGATGCCAACTGACTTGTGAGTGGCCCTGCTCCCACTCTCTGGGTATACAATAATGCATCTGTGACTTTAGAACTTGATGGCCGCGCTGCTTGCGAGGCTCTCTCGCTCAGAATATCCCAGAATACTGCCCACCACTCGTACAACAGAGACTGAGGAGCGTCTATGGGAACCTTGGCAGTCGGCGACAGATCTGCTTCTCTTGCTAATGCAGAGCCTGCGCTGTAGAGCTTGTGCTTGATCAGGTAATCGTGCACGTAGAGGTTGAGCCTGCGTGGGTGATGCAAGGGAAGAAGCGGGTGTCAACTCTCCATTCAAGTAAGCGCAAGCCGTCCGACGGAGCTTTTGTCCGAGATCATGTCTTGTATTTGACCATGGATGGTCTATAGCGGCTTGATTACCGTATTCGTGCATGGCGGGCTCGTAATGCCCCATTCGCACTCACAAAGCGTCACCTTTGCCTTGCTGGAATTGCAAGAGGTTGCTGCTTGTCGCACTAGAAGCAGTTGCACTCATTGCGTACTAACGCCAGTCGATACCAACTTCATACAGTACGTCTCTTAGATGACGACGATATGTGCAAAGTGTTCGATCGTGCTGTCGGAAGTCTGTGACTGAGACCACGGTGCGTTGTGTGGATGTATGCGGACCGATTCCATACTTTCTCAGTTCCACTTTGTGTTCCCTATTCGATGGCCTTACGCGGAGAAGGGTAGGGAAGGCGGAGAGGAATCTGCCGAGTATAGACCGTGGGTGTGAGACGGAGGCGAAGTCCAGTAGTGGTGATGAGAGTTGAAGGGGGATTCATTTACGGCGACAATGAGGCTCTCACAGATGCGCACACTAACTTAAGAGTCCGACTTTCACACTCATCGTGTATACCTTATACAATTCAAGTTTGAATGACACTTTACTCGCTCGTGGGAATTCTCTCCAAGTGCGTGATTTGAATGCTAATGCACGCGGGGTCTTAGCCGGCGCAGGCAAAGTTACATGCATGCTTGCTTGCATGGAAATAAGCTCGCGGGCTCAGCGGCTGCTCTGAATATCTTGACAACTCGAGCAAAGCACAAATCAAGAATCGTAAATGATCACAATCTCATCAACAATCAAAACCACTCATCAGACTTATTTCGAATCAAGGAGAGGAGAGGTTTCTGCGATGCACGCGGGGCGTGCAGCTCACCACGCGCGGATAAACTGTGACTAGCCGAGCTGCTGCCTTGCTGACGGCTGCTGGTGAGCGCTTTGTTGCTGGCGGAGCCCGCTGGTGCGGGGAAACGAGGTTTAAAGCAAGCTCAAGTTTACCACGATCCAGCAGCGTCCCACAAAAACTCACGATGCGTGATTGCTCACAGAATCAACGCAGACCTGAATGACACTCTGCTTCGTCACTCATCAAATGAGATCTAAAATCACCTATCCTCTTCGTTTGCTTTGTCTGCTCTGCTGTGCCATCGCCATGTGCAAACTCACTTGCGACTGTGCCGCCTCTAGAGCTGCATAGAAGGTTCTCATCAGTCTCTGAACTGCGCTCTCGCAATGGAGAGGCTTCGCGGGTCTGCTGGCTGGCTGGCTGGGTGGGTGGTGCTCAGACTTGCTGGGTGCCTGGAGTCGCGCCCAATGTCACGGATAGAGGTGCCCTGATGCGATCTGTTGCAATTTCGAATCGCACTTTGGCGCGGGCGCAACCGAGGAGACTGCCACGCAGAGAAATCCGGGTGTAGAAGGCGTAGGTCGTGCAGGGCACCATGGACGAGAATCTTCCATGCTAGCTGTTGCTTAGTGTCTGCGCAGAACGGGCCGGAGCAGAAGTCGAAGAGCCTTCTGTCTTGAATGTCACCATCCATCATGCGCAAGATTCGATCAGAGCTTGAATTTCGAAGGGGCGGTCAACAGTCGAAGCTGAGTCGCAAGCCCGGGCGTGCCCTCGCGGAGACAGAAGGTCGCGAGCAATTGAGGAACGGCTGCGTGAAGCCAATATGGAACGCTCGGCGATTCGACGACACCGCGCTTTTCGGCACCGCTTTTTAGTGCTGAGATCTGAATCATGACTGTCTACTCGCCTTAGGCACATCAGGAGGCGTAGACTCACACAGCTGCGAGACTACTCTCGTGCGTCACTCTGATGACTCTATTATATCATAACCACGAACGTGAGTCACAAGGACAGTGAGGTGAGGGTCGTCGGCGAATCGGCGTAAGCAGAGCTTGCGCATGTCCCGACATCAACGCGGCTTTATCAACACAAAGTTATGAAAGGCCAACGCGGTCTGCGTAAAATCCTAACGATCAGTGGACATGCCGCGACTCTCGAAGGACCCTGAATAGGATATCCGAGAGCCGAGCTCGAGACCGTAGTAGTGTAGGTCATGGAAACGGCCGAAGGTGTGACAATGGCCATCAGCTCTTGGAAACTTCTCTCAGGTATGGCTGATTGATTGATTACTTGTCTCCAGGAGAGAGGAAAGAGTCTATAGTCGAACAACGCAGAGCCGCGCGCTTCCTAAAAAGGAAGAATTGTGCGCGAGGTGTTCGCACATGTCTACACAAGGCTTTAGGATTACAGAGAGAAAGTGCTTGGCCTGTTGAAGGGAGAAGAGAATCGGAATGGGTATAGGCTTGCTGCCTGACGACACGCGCGCGCGCGCGACTTCCGTGTCGAGTACACGAATGTCTCGGAAGGAGCGACTGCAGCGATCAGACGCAGTGACGGCGAAGTTGGTGAAGGGGCTTTCGCTCCGAGGTCGTGTTTAGGCGGTGAGGCCGAGTGCCGTAGCGACGCGTCCCCAAGACCATAAGACGAGCAGCATGCCGAGAGAGCTACCGACAGGTAGAGAGAGATTGTCATCAACACCGCCTAGTTCCAGTGCTTCGACGATGCCAGCGACAAGCCCAGAGCTGATGCAAAAGATTGGCAGTGGCAAAGAAGGCGGCGCTCCAGCAGGCGCAGCAGCAGCGCGCGTGAAAGCGGATAAGACAGGAGTGGGATCGCTGATTGAAGGGACAGCTGGCGATGATGTCGAAAACCAGGAGCCTAGACCTTTCGCGGCTTGTTGCTTTACGGCTCGAACAGCTTGAGCACCGCGAGCTTGGACAAAGTTGGACGGTGGTGGCACGGCTCTGAAACCGTACTTGACGCCTGACCAGCCAGAGGAGAGGTGACCATGAGTCTGCGGGGCCCCAAAGCGGGCGTAGGATGCGATCCAGCTAGCTCCTGCAGCCCGCTCGCCGATTTGAGCGATCGGAGTGCCCCAAAAGACGAATGCGGCTGTGGTGCCGACGAGCACGGCAGCCAGGAATCCAGCGGATGACTTGCGAGATGCGAAAGGGGGCGAAGGCAGGGGCGGAGTGCGAGCGCCGTAGAGCCTTCCGAACGTGGAGGCAGCCGTGTCCGCCCAAGAGAGCCTGAACAGACGACGAATGAGATTGACGTCAACGATGCTTGTTCCTCAACGCTGGTATTTTGCTTAAGAGCCGACTTACATCATGATAGAAACGCAAGCAATGTCTTCCGGGAAGAAATGCAGAACGCTGATGACGCCCACCAGGAACGGCACAACACCGTTTACGCGAGTCTTCTCCGCTTCTCGCATGAGGAAGCCGAGGACCTGTTCGTACAAGGTCTCGAAAGGAGGGTAGTTGAGTCGGATGACATCGGCCGTCACTACAACAGACAAAAAGATTGCCATATTGCGGATGATGTCCTCCTTCGGAATGTGGGTGAGATATGCCCAGAGAACCCAGAAGCCTAATGCATGTGTAGACAGTAGTGATGTCAGTGTGTGAATCACCACAGCTCCTTCGCGGTAAAATGACGCTGGAATGGGCCTCGTGTCTCGTTGATTCTCCGCTCCGTTGGAGCCGCCTATCTGCGCTGGTCTTCACTCACCAATGCTGCCGTGGAAAATCTTGCGCGGTATTTCCCAGCTCTTGGCCCTAACATACTTGAGATTCCTGCGCTTTTCCTTGTCATGCGGATCCATCCCTACAATCTTCTCAACTGTCTTGTCATCTCCCCTTCGCCTGATAAGCTCTCGCTGCTCCCGACCAGAGGCCTTTGCCTCATCCGACAGACCGGGCGTCACGGGCTCATCGGGCGAGGAGATGCCGAACGGTGTTGGAACCGGGCCGGCATGAGCGGATCGCTCGCTGAGGTCCGGATCCGAGGAAAGGTCCGGATCTCTGGCATCGAGTGCGCGCCCATTGGTCAGAGGGGTCAAGCCTGATCTTGTGAGGCCCTCCTCGTCGGATGGCGCTCTTGCCAGAGCACGCAACACTGCTGCTCCTTTCTGCAAAGAGGCGGAGCGAGCTCTCGAGAAAGTAGAGGGCGAGGATGCTGCGCTGCCCTCCTGCGCGAGCGTCTCGATTCCGTTCAAGCCTGGCTTTGTGACGGGCGGCTGAGCCTGGAAGGCGCCATTTGCCGAGCCCGCCAAATCCTCCTGCGCTGCTTTACTTCCATTGACGATCGTCTGCTTCGATTTGCTCTCAGCAGCGAGAGGTTGAGGTGCTGCTTTATTCGCGGCGCCAATGTCTGCAGGAAGCGCCGAAAGGCTCTGAAGCGGAGGAGATTTCGGGTCGTGCAGCCTGGTGCTGGACGCCGAGCTTCCTGTGGCAGCGGAAGTGACGCTCAGGGCGTGCTGTTGTCTCGTGTCCACGGACGACCTCCTAGCTGCTTGCGAGTCCGGCGCAGGACTGGAGCCTCGGGAAGAGGTCCTGGAAGAGATGGATGCCCGCTTCTGCTTCAAGCGCGCATACAGTGACATAGCGGCAGCAAGGCTACTTCCACTTGTGCAGGATTGCAGAGATGATGGCTAGAAGATGGCTGTTCCTCCAGAGCTACGAGAGTTGAGCGTAATATTTGGCGTATGCGACGACGTGACGGTGAAAGAACAGTGCAGTATCTTCTCAACGTTGTGTGAGAGTCTGTTTGTTTATACAGCACTCAACGGCAGACATGATCGGTCACTGTACAGGTCGAGAGCAAGACTAACAGCGGCACCAAGAGCACAGCAGGCAGCGAGCGTGCGGAAACCTCGCGCCGCAAAAAGCTCGCGATCCGGCGGACGCGCCCTCGTGACCTCGCCAAACACAAAGCCTGCGTGCAGTCACGTGACAATCTCACAGGATCCGAGTCAAGGTTCACGTCATTCTTGATTATTCTTGATATCCGGGGCAATCAAGAATCACGAGTCGTGAGTCTTGAGTGATCGTGTCTGCGAAAAGGTGGCCTTCCTTTCTCGACATCGCGTCCAGCAAGTATTTTGCTTCTGTCGGCGCAGACACTCTTGACTCATCAGACTGAGTGACTCTCCTGACCGTGCTGATCGTGATCAGCTCGGGCAGGTAGGCCACTCGATCGGTGGTCACACACGTGCTGCTTGCCAAGATCCGCGCAAGCGGATGCTCATTTATCTGCGCAGGCTACGCTCATTGGGTTCGCCAAACACTTTCGAGCAACGAACATCACTTGTGAGTGCCAATCGACGTGTATGAGGGACTGCGCTTCGTCAGGCATGTACGCCGTCGCCTCAGAAGAAAAAAAAGCTGCCCTTGCCTCACGGCAGCAGAAGTCTGCAATACAGCTTCATTGGCGGCAAACCCTGTAGGGCAGACATCATCTCCTTCGCGATACAGAGGCAGCGAGCGTGTTCCGGATTGCACGAGGCACAAACGATCACCTAGCAAGCCATACCGGACGCGAATATCCACGGCGGCCTGCGCTCACCTATTGCGCCTCCGTTCTTGAATGTGCCGCTGCGATTTTGCTGGCTGTGTCAGCGTACTACCATCACACACGTGCTTAGGCACGTCATCTTTACTTTCGGACATTTCACAGTTCGCGCACTCTTAAGAGCACACTCACGAACAGACATGTCCGACGACCATTATGACTTCTACCTCTCCGCCGGAGAATATTCCGCTTCCGAGGGGGAGGAGGAGCTGCTGACCTGCCAGACTCTGATAGCTCTGAAGAAAGCGCGCCATGCGCCTGCACGATCCAAGAGTGCGAATGCGAGTGAATTGCGCTCTTTCGGCTTGCTCTCCACTGCTGTCGACGGCCCCAGTGTGACGGAACCGCTGGCTGTTGCCAGCGCTCAGGTTTGGAACGCTGAGCAAGTGACAGCATCGTCGGCTCTCGATCGACTTCCTCTTGAAATCTTACTGGAAGTGAGTGTAGGATGCCTGTCCTTGAGATTCTGCACCCGGACTGAAGCTGTGGCCTTCGTCTCCAGATATGGACTGGTGTGGATGAGCCTCAGTATCTTGCGCAAGTCTCAAAGCGTCTGCATGCCACCGGCAAAGACCGCAACGTCAGGTCGGCATGGCTATGCCGGCGCTTCGAGCCGTGGTTGGTCATCTACGAGGCAATCAAGCGCCCGAAGCTTCTGGATCCACTGCTCCTCCGCAAATTACTAGATAGGGGCGCCACTCTTTCCAGAGCCCTTGTTCAGGAAGTCCACGCGCGAAGTGTAGCGCAGGAAGGCGATATGTTCCCGTATAGCATCGTAGATGCCCCAAAATCTTGGGGTCTTGACCTACCCTTGACGACCGTGATCGCATTGCTGAATGAAGGCTATCAGCTTTATGGTCCCCAAATGAGCCTGCGGCCACTCGATCAGGAGGTGTTTTACGGTGAGTGCAGCTGGGCGCTGACATTGTGCATTAGCGACCCTTAGCTGAAAATTTTTGCCATGGCTGTTTGGTAGAATAATCTCAGTCTGCCGGGAGCTCGAAAGGCTTTGAAGCCAGTGCTTCTGAGACTGTTCAAGCGCTTCAATGTGGGCATGTCCTCGCTGGCGCACACCGAGCTTTTCACTGACCCGCACTTACCCTTCATGGCAGTTCATGCCTTTAGAGCTGAGCTCCCTTAGTGTGAAGATTGCCCGCAAACTGGATCGCCACGAGGCTCTAGCTCTGAAGGAGGACTGGCCTGAAGGCGGATGGCTAGCTTGGCTCGTCATCCTCGGCGATAGAGATCTGCTCCGCGCGGCACAACAGAACGGATTTCGACCAGAGGTGCGTGACGCAAACTTCGACCACCATCTTTGCTGCAAGGTGCTTAGCTGGCTGCTCTACCCGTGTGCACAGAATTGTCTGCGTTTAGGAAGCTAGCTGTGTACTAAGGTACTCAGGAAAGAAGCCCCTTTCGACTATTTACAAAACATAGCTGCAAAATTGCGGGTGCGTTGCGAGGGAAGCGGCTGCCATCGTGAAAAGGGAAGCGGTCTGTTTACAATCCATATTTGGGCGGCAGGAGCTTCAAGACCTGAAGATTGTGGTGATCACACGTTCATTTGCGGCATCAATCATCTGCGAGCTCAGACTGCCGATATTTGAAAAAAGTTGGCGACGATCATCGGCCTCGGGGGTGTTTAAGCGCGAAGCTGTTACGTACGAGCGATACAATGCTCTGCTGAGGCTGGCTTGCGCGGATGTACTCCTCTTCGACTTAGCGCAACTGGTTCACGAGCTGATTGTGCAGTTTCAACGAATTCCCGACGACGTGACGTTGGGTCCTATGTTCCGTCAATTGGAGAGAAACTTTGAGGGAATTGACGGCACCCACCAAATAGCGCTGACAACCTTCTGGCAGGCGCAGACGGAGGAGCAGGGTCTATCTTGGGTCAAAGCGCAGCTCACTTACCGGAAAGGTGTGTGCCACAGCACTTGCATGACCTGAGCTGCTGCTGACTGAAGATGCGATCTCTCTGCGTACAGTCAGCATCGCCACTCTGCAGACCATTCTTTTGCGCCCTAATCAATATTCCACACTGCCAGTGAAATATGCGTTCGCTGAGTATGGCGGTGATGAGACTTCTCGGCTCCTAGCATCAACGATTCCGCATCTTCTACGAAAACGCACAGCTGTGAGTCGCAGTGCATGTTTTTTGTTGCAGTAGCTACAGCTCACTCAAGCTCGATACCATCAAAATCTCTTGACACCGCTCGTCCAGGGATACTTGGTTCGGTGCGCTTTGCAGCTAGCTTGGAGTCCGCCTTCAACAAGCTGACATTACTTTCCTGTCTTTGAGCAGGGCATTATGTAACGTCAAGGGAGGCCTTGCCTGGCAGCACGAAGCTCTCAAGGTGGCCCGCGCTGCGGTGAAAGCTTACGGTAAACCTCGGTATTAGCATGGCGATCATGTCATGAACCTGACGCTGATCTCTTTCCTTGCCCCTCAATCACCGCAGATTTTACTTCATTGGATCTCGGGCCCGAAATTTGGAAGCTACAGCCAAATCAAAACAAGGGTGGCATGAGCATCTCACGAGACGAGAGACCGAATTCTGTCCTTGCGTGTCAAAAGACCAACGGATCAAATCTCCAAGCTCAACGCCACAAGTCGGGACCGCCTGGAGCACGGGTGACTTTGCTCACAGAGCCCGTGACATGCTTGGGCGTGGACAGCTACAGCGACGCAGGAGAATGTAAGAATTGCCTTGCTCCGATGGCCGCGCCGAACACTTGATTCTGATCACAGATCATGCTCTAACGTCACAGGCGCGGTAATTTTCAAGGCAAATGTCCCTTGCGCCTGCACGCTTTCCGACAGTAGACATTTTGTCAGCAGCGAGTGCTTGGACCTCGCAACTGACCCTCTGAAGGATTTCAGCGGCATCGACGAAAGCAAGGCCGACGAGAACTACACCGGGATCGAACCCGAGGATCATGAATCTGCACGGCGAAACTTCTTTGACCTTTGTCCTGCCAATACCAGCATATTTCCCCGACCGTTGCGCGTGGCTCCCCACCTTTTCTCGCAACTTCCCGGCATCTCGGCGAGCGCGCGCCGCGAAGCCGCTCACGCTCTGCCTGTGCAGCTCCTCGACCTCCATGAAGCGCGCGGCACAAGGTGGGGCGTCGAACGAGAAGACTCTAGACGCCACAACCCGAAGCCTCCTCTGCAGAAGACGGTAGAAGCCATTGCGAATGGAGACGAAAGGTACGCGCGAAACACGTTCATTACCCCAGGTGAAGGGTTAGGGTCCAATCTCTCCCCCACAGAGCTTGCTTGTGAGTAGGAATCCGCCCTGTGACGATACAAGTCTTGTGCATGTGCTGATGATCGTTGACGGTTCGTATCAGATGATGTGGTCTTGAAACATACTTTGGCTTCAGGTCGGGAGGCCGAGGCAACAGCTTTGTATGACAAAGGAGCGATTCCCACAGCAGAACATCTCCGTATACTGCAACATTTTGGCCACAGTGTACCAGACGGGTTCTTCTCTCGAATTCTGAAGGGGGCTCCTTTCCGGGTCGAGCACTCGGCTGAGGCAGCTTCTGATACCCCGCCCCCAGCAGTGGAACCGGCGTCGTGAGTGTTGGGTCCGGAAGATTTGTCACCCAGATGCGAGGGACTGACAATCTTTTCCTTGGCTGACAGATCCGACTGCTACGCAGTCATTGACGAGATGTGCACAAGTCACGAAACTGGTCTGATTGAGATCAGCGGGATCTACGACAGACTCAGCGTCACGAGATGTACGGCGCAAGTTTCCGAAAGAGTGTTGCCCTTCGCAAAAGCAGCGTCTGAAGCTGCAGTCCGGAATGTCTCGAACCTTTCTGAAGAACACTTGTCCAGAGAAATCCAAGCTCACACTGCTGTGGCTGCGGAGGCTCTAAAGGCGAAAGGACTCCCGGCAGGAGTTCGAGTACCCATGGAGTCGCCGCCACCAGAGTCTGAGGATGAGCTGATGGCGGACGCGGTCCCGGACACTAACGGCGCGAACCCGCATCTATGGGGATTCCATGATGGAAAAGTGAGCATGGCAGCGATAAAGCCTTGGACGGTCGCATCCAGCTAACACGACGGCGTGCGTTTGCTCTCCAGCCGTTCAACATGTCGCGAACTGATGCAGCCGAGCTTCTTCTGTCTCTGGACGCCTGGCTCAAGCACCTCTCCTTCTGCGAAGGAGTTGAGCGCCGTCGCACCAGCCTCTTGATTGTCGGATCGCCGGACGGTACAACGACGCCAAGGAAGGCGCACTTCAGGGGTCAAGGGAGTAAAACGAGCGCAAACACGGCATTCTTCAAGAGCCTGATAGCTGGGATGCAAAACATTGGGCGCTGGAGGCGCACTCTGGAGGATGTCTTGGCCAACGAAGACGAAGAGAAGCGACCGCTCCTCATTGATTTGACTGGACTCTGGCTTGAGATTCGGCAGGAATATTCGAAGGAGGATTTCCACAACATCGTCGATCGCACAGAGCGCCTCATTGCAGGGAAGAACGTGTCACCTCGACCTAGGCGCCGTGGCCAACTTGGCAAAAAGCCGCAATGGTTCCCTGAGGAGAAGGAGGCGATGGACCCGACCTACCAACCTAGCGAGCCCTCTGGCTCAGGAAGTGATTCGGAAAGCGATTCGGAAAGCGATTCGTCAAATGACGTTAAAGAAGCTGCTCCACCAGGCGAAGTCGCAAGCGACATGAAGATCGAATGAAGCTAGATGTCGAGATCATCATGTCTAGGCTGGAAGGAACGCACCTTCTTGGTGAGCAGCGTAAAACATCGAGGGGAGGGAGGAGTCACGACTAGATGCAAAACAAAGAGAAAAACACTGCAAGAAGCTCAGCGATCAGTGACACAACAAGGCGATCTAGATACCTCGGCACAAGTTCACGTGACCCTGAAATTTTGCTCTCGAGGAAAGCTGGCCGATGGGCCATGCGACTCCGCAAAAAAGATGCACGTACGACTCATCAGGAATGCGTCTGCTCAATCACGTGTGGGCAAGCGTGCATCAGGCGCTAGGACTCTTGACTGTGCACGAGAGACACTCGCGGGCATCCATGTGATGTGACTGCTGCTCGTATCGCGAACGTGCGTCCTTTGTTACAACATCTATCCATTACAACATCCATCCAGAGACAACCACAACAAGTCGGGCAACTGGGGCTCAGGGAGCCAATGTAGCCTGCAGGCTGTGGCTAGTGCTGCTTGCTACTGAAGCACGAGTGTCCACTGTGTCCTTATCGCAGCCTGTCTCTTTCTGCAAGCATTTTGTCCGCCTTCATCCGAAATGGGCGACCAGTCGGAGACCAGTACAAGCGGAGCGGCCACCAAGATGCGAAAGCTGTCGCTCGAGGATCAGGGCACTGGAAGCATGAGTCGCTCGCAACAACACGAGGGCCGGCAACACCTGAATACGCTTTCTCAGCTTTTTGAAGCCGATCAGAACGACCATCGCGGCAGGATGCTCAAGAAACTGCATGACTTGGGCTTCCCTCCCGCACTCATCCACCTCGTTCCCAGGTACTGGTCGCGCGGGCATTCAGAACGCTACAGTGAGTAGGGTGCGACATGAGCTGTGGTATAGGACCAATTTACTGAACAACCCGACGGGGACAGATGACGTCAAGGAGAAACGATCGAGCGTGGCTGTTCACGTCGCAGTGGCACAGGAGAACGAGTGGTTTCGCACGATGCTTGCTTCTGGTCTCTCAGAGGCACAAGCGTTACAGGAAGGCAAGGTGAGCCTATCACTTCGATGGACGCACATGCCGCTCGGCTAGCTGACTCTGAGCTATCATTCAGCCGGTATATGTGGAGCTGGACACCAATTTCTTGATCTTGGAAGCTTTCGCAAAGTACCTTGTACGTTGGTGATCAATTTCAGACAGCCAAACGGTGCCCCTCGCTAAGCAAGCCACGGCACCTTTCCTCCCCACAGTATGTCGGTAATGTCCGCACAGTTGTGGAGCCTGCGCGCACTTTGGTCGGTGGTCTTGCTGGCCTCTTTGGGCTCGCACGTCAGGTGTGTGGAGCTCTTGAAACGGCCGCTCTCCCTCGCGTTCGACGTGCTCACGCGATAACCGGCCTTGTTTATCACCACGTGAAGGTGCTCGATACCAATCTAGCGCAAGCAGCACTCGACGCCTATGCGGAACACATCGATCGCAAGCCAATGCTCTCACAATTGGCGGACCCTCTGGTTGTCCAGCATCGCGAGCTAGCCTTCGTCGCTTTGAGAGCAGCTTTCATGGTAAGCAATTCGTGGGGACCAGCGTCGAGCCTGGCTGATGGCTTGCCTTGCGCTACAGGATCGCCATTCCAGAACGTCGTTCGGCGGCCTAGCCGAGCAAGTAGTCAGTGCCAGAAGCACGGATGGACCTGCTGCAAGGTCCGCAATCTGGAAGCCTGTCGAAGACTTTTTGGAGACTGCGTGGTCTGCCATAGATGACAAAGACTCACCTCAAGGTCTGGTCCTGCAAGCAATGCTGAAGATGTCCCTGACGTGTCTGCTTCACGACAGTCCGTCATCCGTACTCAATCGCTGCAGTGCAGCAGACGGCCTACACACCTGGGTGCGTTCCGGCAACAACCACAGCTACGGCTCGTCGAGCAGCCTGACGTGCGAGAAGTGCCGTTCGAGCATCGATGCAAGAGAGCACGCACCTCAGAGTCTTAGCGTAGACCTCCTAAATTGTCTCTGTGAAACCATCAAGCCCTCATCCGAATTCAGGCTCACGAGTGCTCCTACTGCGCACTCATCATCTCAGCCGAGACCAGTCATTCGCTACGTCATCAAAACCGTCTGAATACGATCAGGCATGCGATTCGTGACAGCACGAGCTGTACTCGGACTTCCTCAGACTTCATGTCAAGCGCTCGAACCCTCAGTAATGGCAATCAAGAATTGAACGTGCTCATCGACCAAGAGCGTGCCCGAGCAGTGCTCAACTCCAGTTCCGCTCGGATTGCGCCAAGAGTCGGGAGTGTCGAGATCATCCAGCTGCCATTCCAGGGCAGTCCTCGAGTCACGAGTGTTCCTGATACTGAATTTGAAGTATTCAAAGTTCATCAAAAGTCACCATTCAAATTCATTCAGATTCATAGAAGAAGATGACAAGATTTTCATTCCACCAAGACTGGGACCTATACTCAAGACTGGGACCAATCAAGCGCTTGAGATTGCGCGACTCAACTCATGACTCTTGTGAATTCAAGATTTGAATGAGCCTCGAAGTCAAAGTCGCGCCCACAGCCGCAAAGGGAAAGCACGTGACCCCATCCCCCCGCGCTGCTTGTTTGTTTCTATAGCAGCTGCTGTGAGATAAAGTCGTGAGGTCAGGACGGCAGCAGCCGTGAGAGGCGACAGACTTTGATGGCTATCGACGCCTCATCGAGGTGGTGGATATTGCTCTGCACAACCACTCGCCTGGACATGTGATCTCTTCGTCTCTGCAAGCCGCTTCAAAATATCACCGACGAGACCTGAGGGATCTCAAATCGGTTTGTTCACCACACGAAGGCTCACTGAACACCCGAAGACTCCTCAAATCGGTCTGTCCACCACCCGAAGGCTCCTGCATCTCGCATCAGCTCAAAGAAGGCTGCGGCTGCGCGTCCGCGAAGAACTATCAATGGAGAGGACTTCAGTCGTCTCTGCGGCCCATGAAGGCTTTGATGGGCTGCTTATCGGGCTATAAACCTGCACGCTTCTTTGCGTAGCATCTGTACTCACCTCACAGCCGCGAAACCCTCGTGAACTGCGTACAAGAATACCGCCAGCCCTGACAGCAGAAGACCGGATCTGCTAGTCAGTGCTGCGTTGAACAGGGGCTCAGCTATCCTTTCAATGCCTCAGCATGTCGTCAAGCAGTCCGGAACGCAGCGCCAAGCGCCAAAAGGCAAATGTCGCTTCCGACTCTTCTCATACCTCTTCCGAGACTGATCAAGCTGCCGTAGGCCCCTCCATCAGCGCTCTACAGACCATGCTCCACGAGCACCAAGAAGACTTTCGCGGGAGGATGCTGAAAAAGCTTCACGATCTAGGCTTTCCTTCGCCCAAAATCTTTCTCGTACCTGCCATCTTGGAAGGTCAGCCAATCAACAGGCGATACGGTATGTCAGATCGGGCGCACAGCGCTCGGAGGCGCCACACAAGGCTGACTCCTTTGTGCGCACAGGCATCCCTCGCAACCAGAGACCAAACGTGGCACTCCATGCTGCTGTAGCCGAAGAGCATGAGTACTTCCACGACATGCTACACTCTGGGTTTTCTGAGACCGAGGCACTTCGGGCCAACCAAGTATGTGCTCTGCGTAGGATTGCATCGGCTAGCTTCAGTGGCTCACCGAGCGCGGGTCCACAGACCATGTATGTTGAGCTGGACACAGATTTCAGCGGGGTAGAAGCACTGGGACAGTACTTCGTAGGTCGCCTTGCTGAGGTCAGTGCGTCAGCTGCGTCAGATGTTCACCAGGTCTTGAGGATTTTCGATGCTACAGTTCACCAAAGACACCCAAGCTTTAGTGAGTCAAGCTGCTTCCCGAAGAGCTCTTCCACTTCTTTACAACGTCGCTCGCCAGGTCAGTCTATTACGAGACGTTTAGATTGGACGACATGCAGCTAGAACTAATGACTGCGTCCCCTTTAACGCCTAGATTTTGGACAACGGACTCGCGCAAGCTGCACTTTCGGCGTATGCGAGAGTGGTGGACGAGGAAGGTGACACACTTCAAAAGTTGGCGGACCCTTCTATTGTCAGACACGGCGAGCTTGCCTACGTGACAGCAAGAGCGACGTTCATGGCAAGTTTTGCATGACGTGTACCTCAATACTACGTATATGCTGACATCCTTGGCCTATTTAGGATCGACGCTCCAGAACCAGCGGCGGCGAGCTAGCCAAAATTGTTGGCCGTCTCGAGAGGGAGCAAGACGCCATGCTAGTGGCGTCCGAAGTTAGCACTGCATTGGAAAAGGGCTGCTCAAGCCTCGAGAATGGAACATTGGGTCAGAGCGAAGCCATTCGTGCTTTGTTGACCGCAAGCATATGGTTCATAGTGAAAACGTTGCCTCCGCCTGAGGACCTGTGTTCTGTGGTCAAAGGCCATCCGCACAGGTGGAACTACTACTCAGGAGCGCAAACATGCAGGTTCTGCAAAGTCTCTCAGATTGCGCCATCAACGCTCTTGCGCAACGAAGCAGTAGATCAGGTCCTCAAGGATATCCTCAAGCCGCTTGACGAACTTCTGCCGAAGTTTGGCTGAGGATTGCTCAAAGCTTTTAGTCACTTTCTTCCACTGTTTTCAAACACGCAACGGCCAGGAAATGGAAGGCATCCAGACGGTAACCACGAGCAGCCTTCACACTCCCAGAAGAGCTCGAACGGCAAGAGCAAGTCGCCGCAAAAGTGTCAGCAACGAGAGCCCAGAATCTTACATTTGGAGTCTGTACATGTGATAAGACCAAATTTCCAATAATCAAAGATAGATGTAACCCCTCATCAGGGCAATTCGAGGAGACTGTGGAGCAGTTTGGCCCAGCAAGCACAGTCTCAGGCAATGACCTTGATTCAAAGCGAGCTATCTCCACGTAATGACCTCCCACTGCACTTACGTGAGGAAAATTCACATTGGCAACCGATACGAAACCTTCGCTGTGCGAGCAGAGCAAGGCTGACTTCGATGTTTCCATCGAAATGTTGTCGAGCTTAGGACTTATAGATCTCAACTTACAGGCTATCTATCTGAACCCATGCAGCAAGCCTGGCGAGCTCTTCAAGCTCACCTTCGCAACCGTCCCATTCACATTGGTCTGGTGCCATTCTCTCCTTTGACCTGGGCGTAAGTCGTATGACGAGGGGACGAGTCGGTACTCGTGACTGCTGGGGAATACGCTCGGACGCAGTTCTGAACTCGCTGCACCGCGCAAGGTTCCGCAAACGTGCACAAGTGGAATCGTGAATGAAGTATGGGTTGCGAGCGCGGCTCATGACACGTCGCGTGTATACCAAATATTGTGGTTGGATCGTGCGTGCAGGTGGACGCGCGCGGCGAAAGCCTGAAAGACGCGTGCTGCGTGCACACGCATGTCGACCTTTGCTTGATCTATGTGAGCGCACAGGACTTTTGTGAATTGACCACTCGTTCCACCATCAACTTGCTCCTTCTTCGAACCTGTCTCTAGACCTGCTCTCCTGTATTGCCAGCACGAAGAACACTCAGGTGCCCGTTGGCCAGCTCATCAGCCGTGCACCTGCTACGGTGGATTTCGTGCTGATACCAATCCCCCCATTTTTAGGCAAATGGCGTGAATCATATCGGCAGCTTCACGAACAAAGGTACCAGCGCCGTACAAATAAGGAGATTTTGAGCTCACGCTAGCAGTCCGTATCTGACTTAATCCATCCACGCTGACACCCTGCGAATGCAGTGATCGCAGCAGTCTTCGGAGAGAACGTGTGAAAGCAGAACATACAAAGTTTGCTCAGCACACACGTATCATCAGAGGCCCGCGTGAGCCACACTTCTCGCGATAGCAGCAGATATGCCTTCGCGCCCACGACCCAAGAGTAGGCTGAAGACTGGCGATGGCGAGTACGGTTCCCCGAAGCCTAGCACGTCGACTGCCAGGTCTCATGACTCCTCGACTGGTCCACGCATAAGGAAGCGCGAGAGAGACGACGAAGATGACGATCAATGTCCATCTATTCACAACGATGCCACCGCCAATGTCGTCGAAGGAAGTCCAAGCGCTTCAAACGTCGCAGCTGAAGACTTGCCAATCATCGAAGAGCCTGCTGGAGCTCAGTGCGCCCCGCACGATCCTTCTCACACCGAGCCGGAGCAAGCCGAGAGCAGCCAGGCGCTTTCGTATAACGCGTTCGGAATCATGCTGGGTCAACATCAGCAAGATTTTCGCGGGCGGATGATGCAAAAGTTGTACCTCTTAGGATTTCCGAAGCCTAATGTCCTTCTCGTACCTGCTTACACAGAAGATCAGGCGCTCAAATTCGGTATGTGCCCTTCTCAACCTTGTACTGCCGCTGAAGCTTTGCCCTGAGACTTTCCCTCCTCAGACCTACCTCGCGAGCAGAGGCCCAGTGTGGCTATTCACGCGGTCGTGCTGCTGGAGCACTCATATTTTCGCACCATCCTGGAAGCAAGATCCTTCCATGATCAAGCCTCAGAAGCCGAGGACGTGCGTACAACCCCGCGGAGTCTCGCGAAGCACTGGTGCGCGTCTGACGAGTAGCAGTGATACAGCCGCTTTACATAGAGCTAGAGAGCGACATCTCTGGAGTGGCAGACATAAGCCAATACTTAGCGAGTATTCTCATCTTGTCGAACAGGTCGCGATCGATAGTCACTGACTTATCACGATGCTGCTTTCCTCCCGAAAGCTCACGCGCGATGCTCGAGCAGCCGCCGAAAGCGCCTCTGGGAAAGGCACATTGCCTAGCCTGTACAATCTTGCTCGCGGCGGCGTAAGTTTGATAGAGACGCATCGATAATCTCATTCAGCAGCTACTTACTCCACATTTTCAATCAACGCAGATGTCGGACACCGAGCTTGCCAAGGCAGTCTTGACTACTTACGCAGCAAATCTCGCTCTCAAAGGAGGCACTATACACAACCTTTCCAACCCTACAATAACCCGACATCCAGAACTCATCTATCTCACGATCAAAGCATCTTTCATGGTAAGCTGCGCCTGGTGGAAGGACAAGTTGCTTGGCCGTCATTGACGAACCGCGTCGCGATACAGACTTACGACTGGGTCCCAGACGCCGGCGAGCTGACGCGGCTCTCGCAGTCCTGTGGAACAGACCCTGCAGGTAGAGTGGCGCTTACAACGCAGCTCACTGAATCTCTTGACAAAGCATGGTCGGGAGTCGAAGGTCGCAATACACCTCAAGTCATGGCCCTGGAAGGGATGCTGCGCGCCTCCCTTCTGTGGATTGTCAAGACTTCACGCGCGGTAGGAGACAGCTGCTCGAAAGGTTCCGCAGTCAAACCGCACCATGACTGGAATTCTTCAACACCGCCCAAAAAGTGCAGGTGCTGCGGTCTGGAGTATGCATCGCGCCAGGCAATAGGCGGACACTGCAGAGCGATCGATGAAGCACTCCGAGAGCTCTTTCAACCAGACAGATCTCTTTTGGGTCATCTGGGAGGCCGACCTTGAACTTCAAGAAGACAGCGAGCAGCGACGTGCGCGCCTCCAGACTGACACTTACGACCCTTCACATGAGCATGGCTTTTCACAACACATTGAACACAGTCAGCAACTTGAGAGAGGTCTCACTAGTCCTCATCCATCAATTCTTGTAGCTCTCTCTCTTCTTCTTCCGTCATTTCGGGGTCCGCCTTTTTGGCCGCTCCCTTGTCAATCAAAGGAGGCTTCTGAGACGCCGAGGCCACGTCCGAGTCTTTCTGCACAGACGGAGCTGGCGTGATGATGTCTGCGTTTGCGCGCGCGAAGAGGCCATGGTGAGATGTATGCCTTGTTTCGAACAGCCCTTTACAACTCACCAGCAGCTCTCCACCTCCTGACACTCCCATCCAACCCAGCTGTAACGAGCCACCATTCGCACTGATTTGCTTTGGCAGCTTCAACCTTGATCTCTCGCGTTTCCGTCGCTTCCTGATTTGGTTCGGGCAACGGTCTGGTGCGATCCCGCCACCAGGGTCGGATGACGATGACTTCGTGCCAATGCGCTTCCATTGCCCGTATTAGTCTAGCACCAGGACCCGTCTGGACTGCTTCACCCTGAATCGTTCTTCTCGTTACGGGCTGCCCAGCAGAAGTGTCTTCCTTTGACTCATCGACTTGATCCACCCCTTGCGAGCTAAGGTCCCAGACACGCAGATCTCCGTCTGTCTCGCCTGTCACTAGAATATCTCGAAGCGCTTCCGACGAAGGGTCGGGGCGATGCGAAGCAAGGTGAGCCAAAGGTAAGACCACCTTGACATAGCTGGAATGCTCGATCCTTCTGGATGGATCGAGGGGCGCAAGACGCCCTAGCACCTGACCACTTCGACTGCTACTGCCGGCAGCTCGAAGCCCTCCAGTACCAGAAGCTGCAGTCTCGCTGTCCGGCAAATACAGCCTGGCCACCTTATCGTGGGATGCTGCGAGAAAAGCGAGAACGATTGCGGATCAGTGAGTATTCTCTCGCAGACTTGCACGAAGGATGAGCCACGCACCGGTCCAAAGCTCAGCCGTCCATCTGACCTCTCCGTGCTCATCTTCATCCTCTTCCGCTCTCCATCCAGCGCTAAGATCTACCACGCCAGTCTCGTTCCCTACCAGCTCCCTCTTCACTTCCACTCTGGCGCTAATCGCGCCTTCGCGCTGCAGGCTTAATTCGAGCTCGAGCACTTTGCCCATACTGTCGGCGCTATACACGAGATGTGTTGGCTGCGATGTTGCCGCATGGCCGTCGCTTGATGGACCATGATGTCCCAGCCGGGGTGCGAAAGAAGCAAAGCACGTAATCGGCCTGGTGTGTTCCCGAAAGGCGTGCAGCATAGCGGGCTGGGGTGCGTGACTACTTTCTGCCGAAGAAATGGACAGCCACTGCGAATCTTGCAGCGAAGCTGCCCATGCCTTGAGAGGAGCCAGGTCCCAGACTCGGACGATCTTGTCACTCCCCCCACTCAGCAGTACCTCCTGGTCCTGAGCAGATAGCACGTGAAGCGCCTTGATGAAGTCGCTTCCTGCGTCTTTGATCGTCAAGACTTGCTGCAGAGATGCCTTGACATGTTTGCTGGCGGACGCCCTTGTGTGCAAGCGAGGAGGTACAGTCCAGAATCGGATTGACTTGTCCCAAGAGCTCGTGACCAATAGCGTTCTGCCAGCCGTAACGGGGTACAAGCACAGACCAGAGACGGGTGCATTGTGTGCTCGAACTGAATGAGTGATCGTTCCAGTCTATCGGGAAATCCATTGAGCTTACATCTACATTCACCAATCCCCATCTTGCACGCTCTGCTCACCTCCAAATCGATCCTTCTCACCAAGCCACCACTACTAGCTACCCATGCAGCCGCTTCGTCACTGCCTTCATCCCGTTCGACCTCCAAGGCAAGCACCTTGTCGGCTCCACCATCAGCTCCGGCGGCTCCTTCGGCCAGAGCGTTCAAATCCTCTTGCTTGCGACCAAGCCATATCGGACTGCCGTACTGCGATCCTGCAGATGTGCGCGCTGCTTTGGAAGCGCGGGAAAGACCAATCTCCAGCGATGCGGTGGACTGGAACAGGCTGGAAGCGGAGGTGGCCTGCATCTTGGTGGAGCGCACCTGCGCGCGTACGGAGATCGAGTCGAAAAGGTTTGGTGTTGGCGATGAGGAAGCCTGCTGCTCGAATCCTTGTGCTCCCTCCAGTCCCTCTTGCCATTCAGCGATGCCAGCAGGAGCTGAACGTTCCAACAGTCTGAGTCGTGGAAGAAGTGACTGTGTGTGCCTCTGATCGAGGCGCATCTGTTTTGGCGCCCAGCAGCCCAACACTTTCTCGATTTGCATGGGCGGGCGGCGTGGACGCGTGCATGGATTCACGAGTGACGTTCCTTCTTGCGCATGGCGGGGCGCGGCTCGCGTTCTGATGTTTAATTGATGGCAAAGCGGTTGAGTGCATACATGCATGCACCCATGCGCTTCGTACGCTGCGCTTCTCCACCTAACCCTCACACCTTCGACGCTAAAGACTCAAGACTGTGCTCACATTGCATCGCTCACAACGGAATCGTCGCACATAATGCCGCCATTGGTGGACAAGTTGACAGTTGGCTCTCGCGTGACAATCGCTGCAGATGCCGAGCTGCGAGGAACCATCTCGATCGGATCGGGATCGGTGGTGCATCCACGCTGTACCGTGCTAGCTCTCTCCGGAGCCATCGTCATGGGCTCCAACATCATCATCGAAGAGACGTGCGTCATCGTGAACCGGTCAGGCCGAACGATGAAGATAGGCGACGAGAACTTGTTCGAAGTGGGCTGCAGGATCGAAGCGATCAGTGTGGGCAACAATTGCGTCTTTGAGCACAGGTGCAAGGTCGGTCCAGGCGTAATCGTGGACAGCTTTGTCACCGTCGGAGCTGCCTGCGCGATAACGGGCTATCCGACCGTGGGTGAATCCAACGCCAAAGAAGCCGCCGACATTCTCAACGAGACTGCCGAATTGGATGGTTTTGGTGCAGTCGCGGAAGCAGACTACACAAACTTTTCGCAGGCAGCCGCACCCAAGCCGGACGAGGTTGTTCAAAAGATTCCCCCGAACACGATAGTGTTTGGCGCAGGGGGCGACTGCAGAATGAGACTCTGGAGCGGAAACGGCATCAGACAGCGAGAAGCTCTACACGCAAAGCACCTGGAATACCTTAGAGAGACCTTCTCCAAGGCGCACAAGCTCAAGGTCATCGATTGAGGGCAATGTGCGACACCAAGCGTATCTGCCCATGACGCGGCGCCTCCAAAAAGTGTCTGATCATCTACACCAAATTTGCAACGAAAACACACTAGGCAGCCTTGGACCGAGCAGGTTGGAGATCTCCGAACACCAGACCTTCCTTCCGGGAACGTTCAAGGCGCCGCTAGTCGCAACAGGGCGTGACGCTGATCCCTCCGGAAGCCTCGGACAGTAGACATCAACTCTGCAACCTTTGCTGAATACAGGGTCATCAAGACGAAACCGCTCAAGGCATTTTCGTTCTATCACTATTGCCTGCGACAAATGATTCAATTTCGCAGACTTCGACAGCAGTATCCGAATCTCTTCAGCAGGTCAAGATTAGGTATCACGAGCCACTTTGTTGATCTGTCAGCAGTGTTGAAACAAGGGCAGCCTTGCAGCTGCCCGAACACGATGAAGTCACCACCATCAGCTCCCCTGATCCGGACATCCGAAGTCGTGACAGATGGCTCCGATATATCGATTATATGTTTGGATTCGAGCAGACAGCTCTTGTCCCTTGACACCGACCCTCAAGCTGCGGGAAGCAAAGCGCACGTTGAGTAGACGCGTGGTCAAGGAGAGTCAAGAAGTGGACTGAAGCTCGCCAACTTTTCGCAAGACTCACCCTCGGATGCCTGCGGACCAAGCATCGCCCTGCGAGACCTGCCGAATGTCAGCAAAGGCGGCAGCCACTGCGTCCAATAGCTCTGCTTTGATGAGTGCCTCTCTGATAGGGTGGTTGATGATGTATTCTCCCAGCTTTTGCCATGGTGCAGTGAGCGCTAGAGGCAATGCGGCGGTAGCAATATCGTCGACGTAATCACCCACGCCATTGTGGATCTGCTCCCACATGACACCTTTGGCACACGAAGCGATGACCTTTAGATCCTGCATGCGATACATGTCAGATCAGTACGAATCTTTCGCGTACGACTCCGCCGTCTGCTTGGCCAGCGAGAACACCCACATCGAGAGGGAGAGGCGGAGGCTTGCCGGTCATTGTAGTGTTTGCCCAGTCGAAGAATTGAGCCCAATCTTCCATCACCCAGGTCGGCCCATCCATCGCGAAGCAGTGCAGGTTGTCCTTGAAGGATTGAAAATTGTCGTTGTTCTGCTTGTCGAATATGTGCTTGCGACGAGGCTCAATGACAGAATGCGGCGCGGCCAGCGTTAGCGCCAGCAGCACGGCGAGAAGTGCAAAGAGGAGCGGAAAAAAGCGACGCATGTCGGAAGGGATGCGAGAGAGGGGGAACGGAGTTAGCGCTTCGAGAAAGGATGTCGAAGGCTCGAGAGGGATATTGTGATTGAGCGGATGGTGTCGTAAAGACAGCCGGCGAAGGTGGGGAGCGAGGTAAAGGGTGGGACAAGGAGAAGCAGGGGACAGAATTGGACGCAGAAGGGATGTTGAGGTTGGAAGGCGCGTCGTGGGGTCAACCGAAGTCGACGTGTTCATATACGCCCCTTTGCGCTTTCAAGATGACGCTGATCGGCGCAATTGAGCCAAACGCACGCGGCATCTCGATCAGGACTGTCTCGCGCCCAGAGGAGCGAGATGTCCGGCTTGTCGAGTCCACAGTCTGAGTAGCTCCACAGCTACCTTGCTCGCTCGCAGCCTACCTACGGCACGATGTTCGCCGTCAAGTCGCCTTATCGAGACACGTCCTTTAATTCACAGCAACTCGTACGCGGAGCCAAGCCTGACTGCGCCGTTGCTGATGTAATCGCATACTCCTGCTCGCTCCAGAAACAGCACGACACGACCCTTTGGGCGCTATGATAGTGTAGCCCAAGCAGACCCAATGACTGATATAGGTACATGCGTGCCAGTTCTGGGCACGCTGCAGCGATCAAGGCCGCTGCGTGCACGCTTGATTGCGCGGGGCTTCCCTTGCACATCCGCGTATATCTTGGGCGTGCCTGGAGGGCTGAGCTCCGCGATGTCTGACCTGGTGTTCTGGGGTCAATGTGTGACTTCGCGTCGCTGCTCATTCGCGCTGACGACAGACTGCCCTTCGAAATACTTCTTCATCCTTGGTCTGCCGCAGCCACGCAGACAAGAGGCATTCCGATCCGTGTCCTTGTTTAGCTCAGAACTCGCAAATTCAGGGACCGGATTGCAGTGGCCTCTTTCGGAGAATGGCGCCGAAGGGGTAATGATCACTCACCACTTGCGCATCTTACTGACCGTAAGCGGAATCGGCTCACGATGGCTCGTCCTTTGGCAGCCTCTCGGAAGCTCGCGTGTGCTTTGGCCTGGTTGAGTCGAATCGACGCTAGTGGCCGCGGTAGGTTTAGTTCAGCATACAGCGTCCAGTTGCACCCTTGCAATGGTGACAAGACCAGTGGGCATTCACTCGAGTGTGAAGACGCTGCATTCTGCAGTCGTGAATCAACAAATGGCATTTCGCAAATGCCTTGGCTGCGTATGGGCCGATTCCCCCCTGACCGCGTAGAGACTCTCCGCTCTGGCGTGGGGAGCTGGGCACCATGTCGACTGTACACGGTATTCTCCCTCTTCACTGTTTCAACTTTCATGTCAACAAAAGGTCTGAGTCGTGATTGTCAGAGGCGTCGCTCGGTGTCTGACATGCTAGGAACATTCCGCGGAGTGCTTCAGCGCAGGGCCCAGCCAGCGCCTTATTCACCTGAAAGGCCAGCTTGCTAGGCCTTCAACAGCAGGTGCTGGCCCAATTTGCATCGACACACCGTAGCTCGCTGTTCGACTGTTGAAGTGCTGTTGTATTGCGATGATTCTACTCTTTGTATGCTGCGAAAACATGTAAATACGAGATCCTTACGACTGTGATTAATATTCCGAGCGCCAAAGTGACGCAGCAATCGCGCTCCTCGGCGGCGATGTCTTAGCAGAGGATAGCTGACCTCTCTAGCTCCTCAGCTTCCGTATCCTTCTTTTGCGCTCGCAATTGAGCGACCTTGAGTCGCAGAATGTGAGCATTCAGGAAATATTTCTGCAAGATTGAAGAGTCCAGATGCTTTGCTCCTTGCACATATCCAAGGCATTTGCTTCCTCCATCGCAAGTGCAATTGAATGGTTGTGACATGTCCCACTCGGTTGAAGGGTAGACTGGTGCGGGTCAGGCGCTTTGAAGTCAGTCTCGAGATGCGTTGTGAGCCATTGGAGCCCACTAGGACTCACAGAAGGTGAGCGCCTCTCCCTCCCTGATGTCCCTCTCGGCTACGATTCGCCAGCTTGAACCTGGCTTGGACGCGTTGGGGGGCGCAGGTGCTGAGACGTCGAAGCGGACAGAAGGATCGCAAGAATGATTACAGAAGACCAAGCTGGGTCGCGGAGAGTCCCAAGGGTCTGAGCGTTCCCAACAATAGCTTGATCGTGCATCCGGCATCAATCCTCAAAGCTACTCACTCGCTGTTCAGCTCAATGTGATCCTTTTCTGTGACCTGCACTGTAGAGTACCGCACAGAGCCCGAGGGCGTCGCAGCAGACATGTCCGCAATGGTCTCTCCCTTCTTGTAGTTCTGAAACCGCAGTCAAACGACCAGCGCAAATGCGTGAGCCTGCTGTCTGTCTCGACAGCCGAGTATACAGCCTTTGCACGCGATGCGCCTCACCTTCATCGCTACTGCGCGAGATTGGAAGTCTCCATCTTCAAACCGGACCTCCAAGACGCCTGGGTGTGTTGGATTGTATGCTTTCTTGAACGCTGTGGGATCATTTCCGTGGCCCAGGTAGGGGGAGGAGGTGGACAGGACGTCGGCTGTAGGCATGCTGAAATGTGGGAACGGTGTGATGTGCTGGGCTGCGTTGTGCTCCAGTCCGCGGAATGATCCTTTGGGATGTGAAGGGGGTGAGGTGGAGAAGATCGTCTTTGCTGGTGTGCTGGCAGATCTGTCTATGGAACAGCAATGAGGTCGAGATGGGTCGCGTCACCTTCCGGGCGGCATGGCATGGCAGTCCGGTATTTGTGGGCGGGATCGACGAGTCAAGGTGCTGGATTGATCAAAGAAGAGCCGTTGCCATGTGTCGTCCGAGCACCTGCAGAGGAAGATGCGGTCGATGCAGCTCGGAGAAGTGCAGTCTGAGTGAATGAGTGTGGCTGCGCTGCGTTGCGTTGTGCTGTGCTGTGCTGTGGCTCTGCAGCAGGGATGTGAATCCATCAGATGTGAATCTGGCCCCGCTTCCCAAAAACGAGCTGCGACGGCGGGAAGAATGGCTGGACGTGCGTGCCGGGGCCGGTTCGTTGCGTGCGCGGAACATCAGCGGATCATATCGCGCGTGCAAGCTGCTGCTCTGCTGCATGGCTGATGCATGCACGCTGCATTCACGTGATTGTGCATGGAGACAGGGCGCCAAGCGAAAGGAGATATACCGTACGGTATATCCCGCGCGCCATGCAGCTATACTCGACCTCATCACCGGCTTGACTCACACTTTGTGACTTGTGACTTTGACTCCAAATTGGCACTCACGGCTCATGGACCACAAGTGGCGGCGCTCAGAGCTGCGTCGTGTGGCAGCCGAGCGTGTGTGGCAGCCGGCAGCCGAGCGTTCGAGCTCAAGTCCTAAGGTGGCCGTTCAGGAAGTCAAGTTGTTGTCGAGTAAGGGTATATGGCTCGCTGCATGCTCCCTCCTTCGTCTGCATTGGCATCGCGCTCGCCAGCCGCGAGTCGCTGCAAGAACTCCTCTTCGCCATTACAGCCCGCGACTCCCACTGCTCTCGCGAAATACCAAGCCCTCCGTGGCCCTGTCAGCCTCGGCCTACAGGCCTCGCAGTTGAGGTTGCACAGAAGTCGTGGGTACGATATGGCTCACGGGTACTACCACTACTACTACTACTGTTGCGACCGAGACTTTCGACAGGGTTTGATATCGCACCGAGGAGCACGTGACCGCCGGCAGAGTCTTCAAGGCAAGCCCTTCAAACTTCGCCCCGACCGACTCGCACTCATCAGTCACAAATCTCCTGACACATAATTTGAAGTTGCACACATGAAATGGTGAAAGGTGATTTACAACAAAGGGTGGTTCACGGTGCAGCAAGGGGTCGTGAATGTAGATCAGCATTTGTGAATCGTGATGCCGTTTTGATCCCATGTCAACGATGCGTGGACTTTGCGACTCTACACTCACGACTCGCGACTCTTGTCTTGTTTGCATACAGTCGAGTCAATGCCGGCCAAAGGAGAGCTGCAAGTCGGTGTAAGAATGGAGAAGGGCAGTGGTCAAGCTGATTGACTTCCACGCTCAACTTCGGAATTGCTCTCGAACGAAGTCCGCGGGCGCGCGCGTCCAAACCTCTCCTGTGCTGCATGGGCCGCTTAGAGGGCGTACTTTCAAGTCGGAGCCGAACAGTGCCGCTCCGCACCTTTAGCCTCGTTCTGATCATCTCCGACTCCCTTCGCGACGACCAACGTACGATCAGATCAGAGCATCCTAGAAGAGGATTCGTGGAACGACTTGGCGCCAGTCACGCCAGCAGTGATGACAGGACTGGCCGTGCCGCCAATCGCGAGTGCGAATTTGTGACTTTTGTCATATCCACCCACTCACGAATCGAATTCAAAATCGTGGATGCGTCAGGTCAGCCGTTGCGCACCCAAAGGCACGTTCTGGGATGCTAGGCCGAAGCAGCAGAAGCTAGCTCGCGGGCAGACGCAGCAGGGGCCGCATGAAGCAGGCATGTCCAAATCAAATGCGGCGACACCCATATTGCCATGCAGCAACACCCCCACCCAAGCTGTGGACTAGTCCAACGCCCACTCAACTTGGTTCCTGCATCTCCGTTCCAACGCGTCCATCCCAGCAACAAGCCTTCGATCTTGCTTCTTTCAACTCGAAATATAGCATGCTGCTCATCTGAGAAGCGTCGACGTCCACATTCGTGATGCCAAAATTCTACTCAGCAGAGGCGCAACGTGCATTCAATTTAGAGACAAACGTCTGTGCCAAAAGTCTTCAACAAATCGTGATTGGCTTGGGAATCCAAGCTAGCGATGAGTGGGTTAAGGCACCAAAGCAGATCTACAGCTGCAGTAGTTCACCGAGACCCGGCCTCTCCTCCTGGCCTGCCTTTGGACCGTCGCTTGCAGCGGGCATCACGCCTCCGCCATGCTTTGATTAGATTCTTCTCTTGGCACGCTCATGTGCGCCGGGGGATGTGAGTGCGGCATTATTGCATCGCTGCATAGTGATGCACGCTCCCTCCCTATGACCCAATCGTGAATGATGACCCAATTCTTGATTCCGTTGATTTCTTCTAAAGAGTCCTCGTTGGAGGCAATCTTAAATTGCTTTTTTCTGTTGTGACTTGAACCCTGATAGTTACATCTCAAGGTTCTGAGTCTGAGTGCATGCATGTTGCGCTAGTTGTGTCACAGCAGGCCGAGAACCGAGTCGGGTCCCTGTGTTTTGAACGTGCATGATGGTCTCGTGTCAATTGACCCGATTTGTGTACCATCAAATAATCATCAATCATCGAACATCATGGATTCAAATTCCATCTGCGGTGCGGAATGTTTGAGTCCTGAGACAAAGAGCACATGCGAAACATTCATGGCGTCCTGCTGATGCTGGTCGGTCTCAAACCCAGGCACGGTGGCTTAATTGCCACTCCGCCATGCAGCATGCATCAAGTCTGTTTGTTCCCGACGCGCTCGCCATCGAACCACCAGCTCGATGCTCAGCTTGAATAAGGCATACTGACACTTTTCGGCTGACTTGGCGGTGCATGCATGGCGGCGTATAGGGAATAGGGTCTGGAACTCCGAAGAACTGCTGCTGTGGGGTATCAGTGCATCGTGTCTGTCATGCTCTATGTAGCAGTCTGTTGTGGGCAGGCTGCTCTCGCTTGCGGATGCGCATGCGATCTGGACTCACTTTGACCGCGCAGTGCCTGCATGCTTTGGGACCCATGTACCAAGCATACAGCGCCTGGACGCGCCTGGCTTCGCAGTGAGTCTGTGTGAGTGGAACCTCCTTGATGGCTTCTCACCTCACTTTGGACCAAGTCGCAAGTCTCGCGTGTCGACCGCAGAACCGCGAATATTGATGTGAATGTGCACCTTCCTTTCATGCATCGGGAACACAAGCTGATGTACAGAAGGCAGCAAAATAGCCACGGAAGCCAGGTGTAAATCAATCAACGGCCCGAGACCGCACGGTTCGCGGCGGCACGAGCGCCTGGGACGGTCCGGACGCAAAACGCATGATTGCGAGCAGTTCTAGGTTCCCGCTCCGGACACAACTCCGCTTTGCTATTCGGTTCTCTCGACAAGGAGAAGTGTGGGTGCAGGAGATCTTCCGCCTTCGCCCTGCATAGACTGTTGTACTTGTAAAGTCGCGAATGGATGACCTCCTGACGGCCCGCGAAAGGGTGAGAGTGCCTGAGGGCGTGACTTTGATGAGCCAGAATCAGACCCAACTAGGGTCTACGGTATATAGCATCTCCCCTTCTCGACCTCAGTTCGCACGTCCCAGGGATCCTGGTGAGAGAAGTGTAGCTGTCACCAAAGCATCTCCTAAGCGAACCTTCGACAGGCGGCACTTTGCAAGCTCTATCGTGCCCGGCTACCAGCTTGCCCTCTCTCCTTTCAAGCGGCCTGTACATCATTAGACAGGTTACGAAGCTCAGGCCGTTCAGCATCTGCCATTTGACATCTTCCTTCCTCTTCCACCAACCCATTTACTTCCCTTTGCACGATCTAGCCCCTTCTTACGATGGTGCGACTCCTTCCCAGTATAGTGGGCGCAGCAGCTGCGGCTGCTTCTTGCCTGGTCGGCACCACGGAGGCAGCCGCGACCTCACGACAAGTCACGACGACCTACTGCAAGCCAAGTCAGCCTTGCTGGCCAAGCCAAGCTGATTGGGATGCATTCAACCAGAGTATAGGTGGACGGCTTATCAAAGTGAGCTGCACGAAGCATCGTTGGAGCTGGCCCAATTTGCTGATCACGCAATTGCTTTCCTAAAAAAGGTGACACCTTGGGCAGACTCATGCTTTGCCAAACCCAACGGCTTCAATGCGCTGCAATGCACTGCCGTCAAACAAGGTTACACGGATCAAAATGCCCGTCAAGACGTCATTGGAGTCACGATGGTCGACAACTGGTCGCAGTGCGGCGACGATAGCTGCGCGCTAGATCCTAGGAGCAGCCCCCTTGGCCTGACTGTTGCCCCGGAAGGTGGTGGCAGCAAGACCTGCGGCTTGGGGAGAATCAGCCCTTACGCTGTCAACGTCGACTCCGCAGAGACGGCGAGCAAAGCCATCCTGTTCGCGAAAGCTCGTCGAATTAAGCTGACTATCAAGGTGAGTTATCTATGTGAAAGCGGCGAGCCTGTCTTTGCTGTCTAATCGCGGTTGCCATCATTGTGCAGAACACCGGGCACGACTACCTTGGCCGCAGTTCCGGTCCCGACGGACTGACCATCTGGACCCACAATCTCAAGTCGATCTCATACGTCGAAAATTTCAATGGAAAGGGCAATGCGCTCGTAATGGGCTCTGGTGTGCAAGCAGATCAAGCATACACCTTTGCAAGTCAGAATGGCAAAGCTATTGCGCTCGGCGCCGTGGCCACCGTCGGTATCGCAGGTGGCTTCGCCTTCGGTGGAGGTCATGGCCCGCTTGCTCCAACACGTGGCATGGCCGTTGACAACATCTTGCAAGTGAGTAGCACCAATAGGAAGGTCTATACATCACGCTGATGCAATACCTTTTCCATCAGGTTACGGTCGTGACTGCTGACGGTACAATCCGCAGAGCGAACAGCGAGACAAACTCTGATCTCTTTTGGGCCATTCGCGGTGGTGGCGGTGGTTCTTGGGGCGTCATCACGGAAACCGTCATGAAGGTGCACCCCGACGGTCCCGTTCAAAATCTCGAGTACATCGTCGACTTCAAAGCGGTACCGGAAGCGAACAGAGATGCTGCACGCATCGGCTACATGGCCAAGCTTGCAGAAGTTCAGGAAAACCTGATCAAGAATGGCTGGGTTGGATATCATTTCATCAACTCGGACACGTTCCTAGGCTCGGTCGGGGTTCCTTCTTCTGATTACGCAAAAGCCACTCAGGAAGTTGCGCCGCTAGTCGACTACATCAAAGCCCAGCCTGGCTTCACCTTCATTCCCGTTGGTCCGCTCACCACGTACCCAACGCTCGACCTCTACCGTCGCAAGCTGGGGCTCAGTTCCCCACGCCTCACACCCGTCGGCTACGCGCAACGACTCTCTTCGCGCTTGATTTCACGTTCCACCTTTGCCACAAATGTAAGCCGCAATGCGCTCGCAACGGACCTCAACTCCGCTTTCAAACGTGTGAGCGAGGCTCAGCAAAAGTACGCCGACCATACCGATCCCATCGCACTCTTCATCTTCGCGACCACTCCGTTGCCTTCAGCTATGGGAGGTCCCAGGGGCGCGGACACCAGTCTCAATGCAGCGTGGCGCGACAGCTTCTGGCACGTCGTCAGCGCCGCAAACTGGGTCGAGGGCATACCAAGACAAGGCAAGGATGACATCGCTAAAGCTGTGCAAGATGCGGCCAACTTTTACCGAAAGTACGGATCGGGTGCGTACATCAACGAGGCCAGCGTGGACGAGGTGGATTGGCAAGGCGCCTTCTATGGCGGAGGAGCCAACTATAACAAGCTTTTGCAGATCAAGAAAAAGTACGACCCCAACAATGCGTTCCTGGTTTGGAAGGGTGTTGGCTGGACGGGCGCAGGGGATCGCTTCGCGTGCTACAACTTCAATTAAGCGTGTGTGTCTCCCTCTCTTTACGGCCGTTGCTGGTGTTCGTTCCCTCTTCTCTCGCCTTTTCGCCCTTGTCTTCCACCCCGCTCTGTTACCTCGATCAGCTTTACAGCGGCAAATCTGCCAGACCAATGCATACGATGTCACGCGTCTCAAGATGATTTTCACTAATCGCTTGACAATAAAGCAACGATTCCTGGGCTCGCTCCACCCATATAGGTGGCCTGATCGCCGCCTGATGACGGGACTGGCTGCCACGTGGCCACACTGTCGGCCCTGTCTCGGCTGCGAATCATTGAATGTAAATTGAAGCGGACGCATATATGCCAATCACCATCAGGCATGCTCGCGCGATCCTTTGATGTGGAGGCCGGGCCAATCAAAGGCCTCCCACTGGAAATGCGAACAATCGGCAAAATGCTGCATCAGGGGTATATAGCAGCGCTTTCGGCGATTGAAGATGTGTGGAGCTAAGCGTGAAGGTCGAGAGTGAAAGGCGAGATTGATGAAGGGATGGCCCCACCCCCACCCATTGTGATTGTATCAAGCGCCAAAATCATGTGCCAACTTGAGGTTGCGTGAGCTGTGTAGATGTAGATGTCGCGTGCTTTGTCAGCCAACAACGGTCATCATGCAGTCGCAATTGAATTCGCAATCCGAGAGCGGCATGTGTCAAGCTGATGAGTGAGATCCGTGCTGCTGGCAGGCAGGCAAGAGACGGGCTTCGTATGAAAACATGCCCGCCAAACCTGAAAAGGCCGTGCCGAAGGAGACGTACTGGCCACCATCATTCTGATGATGCCGGATCCTTCTGTGCATGTGCAAAGCAACCCATCAATGGATGCCCTTGAACTGCGCATCACAATCACCATCGCGAATACAGAAGAGAGCGTGCAGCCGCATAGCACAGAGTTCATGCACCAAAAGAGTGTCGACGAGTGCCGCGTGTGGGGGAGAGAGAGAGAGAGCTCCGTCATCAGCAGCAGACGTGTTTGCTTGCTGCTTGCTGGTTGGTCCGAGATGGGGGTGCGAGTGGGAGGATTTTGGCGCGCGCTCGAGTGCGAGTGGTTCCACGCCACGCAAACAGACCGGCGTCCGGCCAACTTCCCACATGACGAGTTCGTGACTGGATTGCATGCCGCTCGGAAGCGGCGGCTCAGCACAAGTGCGCGCGAAGTGGGTGAGCAAGGATCTCTTTTGCCTAGCTACTTTACTGTACCTGCTGCTGCTGCTGCTGCACCTCTCGTGACGAGACGACGAAGGTGGAGTGAGTTGCGTTGCGTTGCGTTGCGTTGAGTTGAGTCACTGAGTGCACAGCTCGGCATATGTCAGCCTTGTCGTCTGCTATAGCTGCCCCTTCTGCTTGGCGTGCCCCGCCTTGATCCCCACACTCTTCAGACTCGTGATTTTCTGCCTGTTCTGCCCGCTCGCGCAAGTCCCGGCCGTGCGATTTGGAGTTTTTGCGCGTGAGCTGCTGCAATCGCCGAATCACCTGCGCCGCATTTAGTCAGTCACCCGCCCGCCCGTCCGCATCGCCTCCACTCGTGACTCGTGACTCGCGATTCGTGACTTCTCGATCGTGAATCTTGCCTTTGCCTGCTGTCCAGGACGTTCGCCATATTAGCGTTCAGTTGTTCCTTTCTCAAACACGATCATCTAGCGGCAACATTGATCCACTGCACTTTCATACCTCACCTCAGCCGCCCCTTCTCATCGCCGATCTATAACGCGCAAGCTCGCCACAGCCAGCTTGACCCATCACACAGCGCCTCACAATGTCGGACAAAGCCATGCACGGAGATGAGGTGGCAAAGCACAACAGCGAAGAGTCGTGCTACGTCATTGTTCACGGACAAGTGTACGATGTGACCGAATTCCTGCCAGAACATCCAGGAGGTAAAAAGATCATCTTGAAGTATGCGGGCAAAGATGCTACCGAAGAGTACGACCCCATCCACCCGCCCGGTACGCTGGAGGAGAATTTGCCAAAGGAGAAATGCTTGGGCAAGGTGGATATGAGCACTGTGAAGAAGGAGGAGAAGAAGGAATCGGCAGAAGACAAGCAGGTGGCCAAGGCTAAAGATGAGCTGCCGCCGCTCGAGCTCTGCTTGAACTTGTACGACTTTGAGGTGAGCATGTGGTCCGTGTTTCGGTGGATGCACATTCCCATCACATCATGATGCGCACTCTGATGGCTCGCTCTCATCCGCACGCTTCATGTCGGGCCCTTGCAAACCGCAGGTGATCGCGAAGAAGGTTCTCAAGGCACCTGCTTGGGCTTACTACTCGTCTGGTGCCGATGACGAGGTGACGATGCGAGAGAACAACAATGCGTTTGGCAGGATCTGGTTCCGACCTCGCATCTTGCGCAACGTTGCCAACGTCGACTTTAGAACGTCAATCTTGGGCGTAAGGACATCGATGCCCATATACGTCACCGCCACAGCTTTGGGCAAGTTGGGTCATCCGGACGGAGAAAAGAATCTGACGATCGGTGCTGGAAGGGAGGATGTGATCCAAATGATCCCAACCTTGGCTTCCTGCAGCTTCGATGAGATCGTCGATGCTCGAGTTCACGATCAACAGCCTCAATTCTTCCAGCTATACGTCAACTCGAACAGGACCATCACGGAAAAGATTATTCGCAAAGCCGAAGATCGAGGCATCAAAGCCCTCTTCATCACCGTCGATGCACCACAGCTGGGTCGACGAGAGAAGGACATGAGGGTGAAATTTGAAGATGTAGGGTCTCGAGTACAGAATGATGGCAAGGAGAATGTGGACAGGAGCCAAGGAGCGGCTAGAGCCATCTCCAGCTTCATCGACCCTTCCCTCAACTGGGACGATCTCAATTGGCTGCGAAGCGTCACTCGTCTGCCCATCATCCTAAAGGGTGTGCAGACTTGGGAAGATGCTGTGCGCGCGGCAGAGTTGGGTCTAGGAGGTGTAGTCCTCAGCAACCACGGAGGGCGACAGCTAGACTTTGCGAGATCGGGCATCGAGGTGCTAGGAGAAGTGGTTGAAGCGCTCAAAGCTCGCAACCTCTTCCCCAACCCCATGTTCCAAATCTTTGTGGATGGTGGTGTTCGTCGAGCATCAGACGTGCTCAAGGCTGTAGCTATGGGAGCGACAGCTTGCGGTATCGGAAGACCCTTCCTTTACAGCTACGCCGCTTACGGACCGGACGGTGTGCAGCACGCCATCAAATTGCTCAAGGCAGAGATGGAAATGAACATGAGACTCATTGGTGCACCTATGCTCAAGGACCTCGTACCTGAAATGGTCGACACGAGAAGCTTGCACCAGCACATTAGCGCTACGCCAGATTCCAACCAAAGCCAAATCTACGAGCGTTTGAGCACGGCGGTGGGCACTGTCAACAAACTCTAGTCGACCCATGGGTGCCAGAGACTCCACTGTTCGATCGCTACCTCCATTCTTGTCCCTGGATCAGCTCTACTCGAGCGATGTCCTGCATGTCACCCGTTGCTGCTTGGGGAACTTCTTTATGCTCGAGTTCCACCTTAGTTGGAATGTGAATCACTTTCGTCATTCACGATTGTCTATGAGTGTGGCGTCGCTTACATCCGCTTCGTGCCGTTGCAATGGACTTTCGAATCAGATATCGAAATCGGAATCTTCCTCGGATTCGTGGACCTGCTTTTTGCGTGTGAACTGGAATTGAGAATGGAGTAGCCAGTGCCAAAGATTAAGTGTTAGCAAGCTCAATCAGGTCCTGTGCTCAAGCCGCGTAGCTCGTAACGACGTCTTGAATGCTTGCTCCCACAAACGCTCAGCATCGTCTTCTCTGCTCGCTTTGCAATCGCAGACCCCAACGCTTTGCAGCCCCGCGAACTCACAGTGATCTTGCCTGGCCCACCTCCGCTGCCCGATCCTCCCCTGCCTTGGCTCTCGATCTGCTCCAACAATCCGATCAGCTGAGGTTCCGTTATCCTCTGCCTGACCTGACCCGACTGTGCCATTCGCAGGATGAGATCTTGGATAGCTCGAGCTTTCTCAGGTTTGACTAGGTTGATGCGGGACACTTTGGAAGAGCAAGAGCGAGGTAAGCGAGTTGTGCCAGATGAAATGTGAGAGGTGGTTGGGGGGGGAGGGGGAGGATGTCGGGCCAAGGAGATGATACGTGGGACTCACACCTCTCTCGGGCCTCGTGATCCAACACGGTGCTGAGCATCGTTCGCTTCTGCTCCTCCATCTGCGCTCGCTGTTGTTGTTGCTGTTGTTGTTGCTCATCCGACGATCCACCTTCCAATCCAGCTGGCAAGCCTGCCATACCTCCTCCCCCTCCTCCTCCCCCGCTGCTGGAAGATCCGGCTTGCAATTCCCGCATACGAGAAGCTCGCAATGCAGCTAGTTCAGAGTCGTCCATGGTGAAGTGTGGAGCGCTTTGCGCTTGTGACGAGAATGATGGGTCGTGAGATGCCGGCGGCAAGAATCGCAGGGATACGCTTCGAGGTGCTGCAGAACTCTTCACAATCGAATCTCTTCTTCGTGCAGCAGTAGATGATTCACAGTATGTTGTAGATGCTAGCAGGGAAAGAGTCACGGAACCAAATCACAGACCAGGAACTGGTTGAAGCAGCTTTAGCTAGCTGAACCTGTGCTCTTAATGAACGCGTCTACATATATGCGAGCTTCGTCGGTGCGGTTTGGTGGGTACGGATCATCATTAGTCACGTGGTATGAGCGTCAGGCACCAGAAATCTTGAATGGAGCTTTTTTTGGGGACCCCGCACGCATGCATTCGTGATTCTATCATCAGCGAATCGTGAGTGAGGTGTAGCGACAACAGGCGTGACATACGATTAGCTACGTAGAGCAGCCTCTTGACTTATCATTCCACCAGCATCCAGGTGCGCGTGCAACGACACCTTTCAAGTCGCCGGCTGAGGTGAGATCTCATTCCGGTGGTCCCATCCACCCTACACAGATCCCTCATCGATCCTGAAACGCCCCCGCAGCAGCAGCACTACCACCACCATCATCGTAATCATACCGAGTCGAGCCTCGAGCCTCGAGACTCGAGACTCGAGCTGTCTGCCTCGCAGTCATAAGCGGAGGTGACCGGACGAGACACGAGTGCTGAAAGGTCCTCGCAGCTAGCAGCTGTTCTGGCTCAGCATGTCTGTCAGGCAGAGAAAGGCTGCGAGCGGAGAGGGCTTCGGAGAGGGCTTCGCGCGCGACGGCATCACTTCAAGCAGCATTTCAGAGACGCGAGGCGCCAGCTCAGATGGCACCTCAGCATCCAGATCCGGAGCAGCATCGTCATCACCGACCAGGTCTATGCTCATGTCTACGCTTCCTCAATGGATATTCATACTATCGCTCATATTCGGTGGTTGTTGCTCCAACGCCTACTACCTCGAGCTATCCACACGAGCTCTGCCTCAATGCGGTACCCTCCTCACCTTTTTTCACTTCTTCTTCACCTCTCTACAAGTTCTCCCCACCCAGCTCAAAGTCATCAGGATATCACTGCCCCTCTTCAAGAATGCCAGCGTACCCATCATTGTGCTCAAGAGGAACGAGGTCCCAATGATCAGATGGGCCGTACAGGTGTCGCTCTACTTTGCTACAAGTCTACTCAACAATACCGCTTTTGCTTATCATGTGCCCATGCCAGTGCACATCATCTTCAGATCAGGAGGTTTGGTCGTCAACATGATCGTAGGCTGGCTCGTAAAGGGAAGAAAGTGAGTAGTGATGCAGATGCACATGTAAATGTCAAAGCTCATATCTCTGACATTCGCGAGGCTCGACGCCTTGTCTCTGACTCTTCGCTTCGCAGGTACTCTGCATTACAGATATTCTCCGTGCTTCTCGTCACCTTTGGTGTCATTCTTTCAACATTGGCGACAACGCCCGAGACATCATCTAGCAGTTCGACCAGCAGCACCAGCAAGAGTCTCGCGGCTTCCCTTTCTTCCTCCTATTTTACCGGCATCCTGCTCCTGACCTGCGCGCTCTTCATCAGCAGTCTGATGGGACTCTGGCAAGAGATGACATTCGCCGCGCACGGTTCTCAACACTGGAGAGAAATGCTCTTCTACTCTCACGCACTCAGCTTACCGCTCTTCTACTTCAAAAGAGCTCAGCTCAACAGGGAATGGACGGGAGCGATGAGTACACCAATGCTGTGGATAGGCTGGGGCCTACCTAGCGCGGACGCTTTGACCTTTCCAGGCTCCTCGAAAGTTCTGCTGCAGAATGCCGTCAAATCTTCGCCTGCGCTTGCCCTATCTGGCGATATGAGCCTCGATGGCGTGGTGGAGCAGTCATCATCATTTGCTCGTCTAGTAGCTCCAGGAGGGACGTTCAATCTTCGGAGTTTGCCCTTCTTTAGTATCCTGCCCTCGCCCATCTCGCCCATCGGCGGTGGTACAGGACCAGGACAAAGCTCGGGTCTCTTGATCCCTTCCATCTTCCCACCTCTGACGCTGAACATTCTGACGCAGCTGCTCTGCATAAACGGGGTCAATCGTCTCACTTCTCAAGTCTCTTCCTTGACCGTCACTTTGGTGCTCGTCGTGAGGAAAGCTGTCAGTTTAGCCATCAGTCTGCTCCTCTTTGGATCGGCTGCTGGTGGAGACAAGGGAGCGAAGGGTACTTTGCAGCTCGGAGCGGGAGCCGCTGCTGTTCTGCTAGGCACTGTGGCTTATGCGCTAGGCTCTTCCGGCAGCTCCAAAGGCGCAAAAGACAAGCGGCCCAGCACTGAAGCTGAGGTCAAGCCCAAGACGAGTTGATGATGCGCACAGCGTACAGCTCTCATCTCGCACGCAGAGTAGGGCCTCAAATCACGAATGAAGCGTTCCCCTCGAGTCACGCACATGTTGTATCGTCACGCAAGCGTTCAGCAATCTCTGCTATACTTTCGCACTGCATTTGTGTAATGGACAATTTCAATCATTGGCCGAACAAAGCAGAAGCCGGAGCGAGATTGGGGTGTGGCAGGCCAAAGGCGAGCTTTTGGCGACAGAATCTTCGATCCGCTTGCGTCTCTTTCTTCGCCTGTGATAATGTTATTCCGCTTGTTGTGGTCTCCCAGCTTACTCACGCTTGCCAGCGGCTTGTTGTATCACGGAGAGGCCAACGTCGCCGGTAGGGTCCCAAAAAGCAGCATCAGGCAGCGCTTCCTGGGCGCTAACGATGCTAGCGTCTCTCGCAGGAATGTCAAGCGGGCCAGCAGAGCCAGTAGAGTTGCCAGACGAGACGTGTTGCTGGACGGCTAGTTGTCTAGATTGCCACTCCCTCCTGCGCAAAGCAGTCTCCTCTTCGGATCCTCTCCAGAGCGCTCGCTCCAGTAGGTGCTGAGCTGCAGATCTCACAACACTGTATGCTCGTTCGGCGACCAGAGAGAGCAAGAGGGCAGTGCCGAGCGCCGAGACCGCGCTCGAGCAAGGCAAAAACTTGGGCAACAGGGAGCAGAACGGCAGCGAAGCAGACGCGTCGATCTTTTCGCCCGATGGCGTGATGCCACTGGAAGTGGGCCCCACGTGATGACTGCGCATAACAGTCTCGTACGCCGAATGGCCTTCCAATTGAGCTTCCGGCGATTGGGCAAAGAGGTAGACCAAGGCGGTGTTGGTCATTGCCGCCAGCCAAGCAATAAAGCCCAGCACGTCCAACCACGGACCAATAGTGGTGGTGCGCTGAGGAATGGGCCTTCGAGAGTTGAGCGTGACCTTGAGCGCATCAGATCGAAGCTCGAAGAAATTGTTGACAAGAGCCATGATGGGTGCCAGTGGCCACAGCGTGGACCAAAGCACCACGTAGCCCAGCTGAGTAGCCATTTCTGCGTAGTCTCCAAAGGTCTCGTATGTTGGCAATGCCAGCTCGGTGGTCGCGCGGTGCAGGAAACGGGTCTCTGGCGTCTTCGGCGATTTGGTTCCGCTACTAGCCTCTGCCCGCTGTTCCCTATACTCGTTGACCTTTCGCAGGATGAAGGGCAAGGCCAGCTCCGTGAAGGCGCCAATAGCTTGAGTTGTGGTGAGCACTGCAAAGAGCTGGTTGTGCATACGAGCTGGGTTGATGTCGAAAGCCACTTCTCCTCGCTCATTGCGGAATAGCGTGCCTCGCCTGAGTGCTCGTGCAATGGGTTGAGCAAAGAAACCGCGCGATACGCTGAGGAGCGGGGAGCATGGATGGTTCAGAGACACCCCCCTTTGTAACGGCGTCGCGAGATCGGTGGCACTCACAGCTCGTTCATGATGGATTGTCCGAATGGTATGTAGACGAGGGCCGAGAGTGTGAGGGCGCCGTAGGAAACGAAGCCTTGAAGAGCAAAAGTCTTGATGGTAAGAGAGCTTTCATGGTTCTGTGCGCTGCGGTGATTCTATTTGAGGAGCGGCATAGATTCAGTAGAGGGTTGTCAGTACCAACATTCAGAGCCATAACTCACCTCCCACGAGGTGAGAGCGCTGGCAGTAGCTTGCCAAGCCCCCATGATCTGTGGCACAGCCACCACAAATAGAGCTGTGGGGAGCTGGGGGACGAGTGCTGCGCCAACACCATCGTAGAGTTTGGTAGCAAAGACCTCCACCGCGAACATGGTTGTCAACACAGCACCGAGCAGGGCAGCAAAGAAGAGCATGACCGGTATGCTGACTGCCATTCTAGACTCTCTTCTCCACCACTCAAAGACTTCCTCTTTTTCGCCTGTAGCTTTGTCCACTCTCGTAGTTTCCGGTTTGAAATCTTTGCGGCGCTCCGCAATTACGTCTGTACCATATGTTCCCCATCGGACAGAGAGCTTCTTCTCGCGCATACGCCAGGACTCTGTAAAGCCAAGCACCCATAGGACGAGTAAGACGGAATAGCTTGCTGAAAATGGACCGGAGTTCGACCAGAAGAAGAGCGCGATCGGAGCCAAGAGGAGGAGAGAGCTGAAGTAGAAGGCCAGAAAACCGAAATAGAGGGCGACCTGCTCTCCGAAGTGATCGCGAAGTGTGTCCAGGCTGTGCGAAAGGTACGGCGCGGTCAGATTGCGGTCAGACCGACGGCGTGGGAGGCCTTGCAGTACTCACTCCGCATCCTTGATGCTGAGCATGCTGCCCAGCTTGCCCCAGCGCTCGATCCATGCCTTGTTGTACGCGGTATCATGCAGTGCAGCAATGTCCAGTAGATGAGGCCACTCTTTGGACTTGATGCTCAGACCCGCTCCAGGCACGACTGTACCGTCTTGCGTTCCCGAAGAGGATCTCGAAGGTAGAGTCAGCAGACTGTGCGCGTATCGAATTCTATGTAGCGGAGTCAAGAGCCAAGCATCTTCAGTCGGTCAGAATGCATGCACAAGAAAGAAGGCGTGAGCTTCGAATGCAGTCTGCTCACCTTTCCGCAGCAGAGAACGCCGCAGTGCTGGTCTCGGCTCCTGGAGGCGCGCCAGCGCCGTGCAAAAATTCGTTCATTCTGTGAGAGACGAATGCGAGAGAGCGCAATGCACCATAAGCCATTCGATCAAAGGCGCTGTACAGGTACGCAGAACACTTCTCAGGCTCACCTCTCTGCCCTTCGCGCGGCGACCAAAGCGTGCGCGTGCGCCCTGACAAAGACCAGTACGGTTCCCTTTTCCTTTCCAGCTCTACTGGTGTGGTAGAGGCCAGCATCTTTGAGAGCTAGAATCAAGCGACTGTACTCTTGGCTGATCTCTGCATTGGCCGCTTCATCTGGCTTTGCGCCTGCTTTCAGAGCTTCTGGAGGTGCGCATTGGAAGATGAGCACGAGATCCACGGATGGGTCAGTTGGAGCGGACCCAGGATCGCCCTGGCTCGAAATTTGCTTGTTGCTCATCTTGCGGCTGGGCGCAAATGTCGATTGGGATGATGATCACTCAGTTGAGAGTCAGGATGGAGTCCGAGTGGAATGTCTTCTGTCTCGACCAGGGGTTCGCACGAAACCTCATTCTGGCGATGAACATCGAGTAAGTGCATGCACAGGTGCACCCTACCGGTCCACGATATAGCGTGAGGGAACCGCATGCAAGCGAGAGAAGGACGCGCGCGCCTTCGTACGTCATCCTGCACGCCGAACTGCCCCTGCCACACGACGCTACACCGGCATGCACCGAGGAAGTTGGTGCTATCTGCGTGCGATGTGGCTCCTCTGATGGCGTCCAGCAAGCGCTCGACATCGACACACCACGAAATTCCATCATGAATGACGAGCTTGCAGTCGCGGTATAACCCTGATACTTGCCGATTCACCATTTGATTGGTGATTGGAGCTCCGCTTGCGACAGGCCGGAAGGGCAAGGCGGCCTTCATCATCATCCTCGACATGCTGCGATCGGTCGAGCTGTTGCGCTTGCCGCTCTTCGATCACTTCATGCCTGCCTGCCCATGACTCGTGCCTGCTGTGCGCGCGCGATACGGTACGGTAGTATAAGAGTCGTGCACAGTGGCTGAGGGCCCTCGATGCCCAGGCAAGTCTTTTCATGTATCCCACTTCGCAAGCCGAACGCGGAGCAACCGTCCACAAATCACGTTGTAAGGCTGCTGCAGGCTGGGCAGCAGCTTTAGGCGGACGCTTCGCGGCGCGTGTGGCTGGCTGCATGGCCGTTGCTGTCCAAAGGGGTCCGTGCACCCGTGGATGTGTTCGCGCCATCCGTTCGTACGAAGAAAAGGCTTGGCACCCACTGCAAGCGATCACGAATCCACCTCCGAATCAAAAGGAGTCAAGTGAGTACGAGTCACCAATGGCAACTGTGATCACGCACACACAAGGTCTGGTGCAACACTCCTATCTATTAGCCATGCATGCATCTTGATGAACGCGCGGCTGCCTGATCTTGAAGCTCGACCGACCCCAGCACCCTTGACCTCTTGTCACCAGATTCCGCAGCACCAGCCACAAGTGATACGATCACTCGCACAGCCCACGCATCATGTCTTCCGCACCAGTCTGCGATTTCAAGTCTCCTGGAGGAGCAAACATCCTAAACGCAGCGCCCGTCGAGGATGCACACTCTCACGGCCACTCGCACGGCCACACGCATGGCGGAGAGCATGGTCATACGCACGAGCAGATGGATCATCCTGGGAAGTACGAGGAGAGGGAACAGCCGGATCACTCAGGGAGGGACTGGAACGAGAGAGCCTTCACTGTTGGCATCGGGGGGTGAGTGGGCTAGAGTGTCCCCGTTCGGGTTCGAAGCAGCTCAGCGACGTCTGTCCAAAAGGGCATTGAGGGAAAAGCGGAGAGAGGCATGGCTGACGCCGCTTTCACGGCCGCATACAGTCCGGTCGGGTCAGGCAAGACTGCTCTGCTCCTCGCCCTCTGTCGCAAGTTGAGGGATCGACTCAACCTGGGCGTGGTCACCAACGACATCTTCACCCGGTGAGCATCAGTAATGCGGGGCTTGAGCATCTTCAGCCAGCCCTCTAATCGCTACCTTGTCCACAGCGAGGACCAAGAGTTTCTTCATCGCAACAGTGCGCTGGAGCCTTTGGACCGTATAAGAGCCATCGAGACCGGCGGTTGCCCGCACGCTGCCATACGTGAAGACATCAGTGCCAATCTGGGAGCGTTGGAGGCGCTTCAAGCGAAGTATGCCTGCAATGCACTACTGTTGGAGTCTGGTGGAGACAATCTGGCTGCTAGCTACAGCTCAGAGCTCGCCGACTATCAAGTGGGTCCTGAGCGTTGATCGGAGCGACGAAAGCAAGCCTTCACGTGCTCACCTTCTGTCACCATCTCTTAGATCTACGTCATCGATGTAGCAGGTGGAGACAAAGTCCCGCGCAAGGGTGGTCCAGGTGAGAGATGACGCGTTCAGACAGGTCCTTCTCCTGCGATCGCTTTGCTGATCAAAAGACTTTTTTTTTCCGTTCGATAGGCATTTCGCAGTCCGACCTGCTCATCATCAACAAGATCGACCTGGCAGAGCACGTGGGTGCATCTTTGGACGTGATGGCCAGGGACGCAGCAAAGATGCGCGACGGTGGTCCCACCCTCTTCACCAGCGTTCGTCTGGGCCAAGGCGTAGATGAGGTCATCGAACTCATCCTTGCTGCTCGTGCCGCTGCGCCAGGAGCGGAACAAGCTGGTCGACCCTTGTGAAGCGGCTTTAATGCTTGGATGGTTGCTGACGGATGTCAAAGGACGGGGCGACCCTTTCCCTCTTCGATCAAGATTAGGGATGAAGAGACCTGTCATGGCTGGAGTGCCAAAAGGCTTGGGAGCGCTGCGAGCAAGTGCGGCACCGATGGCAAACGAGCCATCAGCGTGACTTTAGGCAGGAACGGAAAATGTTGTGCAGCCGAGAAAGCTCAGATTTTAAGGGAGAAGACAGAAACGTTGTAAAGTACAAATGAGAGCAATGGCATCAAGTCAGGAGAAAGGGAAGCAGAGGTCGATTAGCTCTGTTGTCCTCCATATCTACTGCCGATCTGAACAAGTCCAAATCCAGAGGTTGCTTGAAGACGGCAAAGGCGTGCCTAGGATTGTGGCCCAGCCTAGCCTCGCAGGCTTCGCAAACGTCGTAACTTGCTGGGCAGTTGCAGCATCGCAACCAGGGTCCTACGGGCCCGAAATGCGTGCGATAAATGTGAATCGTCAGCCTAGCGAGCGGAGAATAGGAAACAGGTTTTGCATCTTGACTCACCAGAAATCACCTCGTAGCAGCCATCGCACATCGTCGAAGGGTGCACCAAACTCTCGACGGGGACCAAATTTTGCCTCTTTGTCACCATTGCAGCATCTCCAGGAGAATTTGTTGACCCAAAGCCGGCCGGGACGAGTTGACGAAGCTCATACTCGTCTCGAAGCTGTCTTCCCCAGTGGCCTATGCGCGCCCGGATTGAGCCGGGCAAGTCGGGCAATTGACGCTGTCCAAATGGCACTAGCGTCGTCGAAGGAGATGCGTTGGGCCCGGCTGCTTGCGCGTTGGCAGATGGAGCGTCTCTCTGCCCCCGAGCAAAAAGTTCTCGAGCCATTCTGTAGTTCAAAATCGTATTGCTCGCCCCACTGCTACTGCCTGCAGAGGACGCGGACTCGTCTCCGACCAAATCCTTGTACAGCATCGGCAAGAGGGCTTCCCGGAAATCGTGCATGTGGGCATCGAGCCTGAGTTGCGCGGGCTGTCCTCTACGTATCCTGATCTTCAAGAAGAAATGAGCTGGGTCGTGGCACTGTGATGCATGCACGAAAAGTAGCGCATTCAGCTCAAAGTCTCAAACTGCGAACTGTGCAGAAGCGCCTCAAACCAACCTGTAATGAGTGTCTCTCGCAAGTCTGACAAAGATTGTAACCTTCGCCGTTATTGATCTGGAGGGGACAATTTGCGCACAGAAAGCGCACATCTTCCAGATTGCCATTGCAGTAATCGCACGTAGCTGACGTGTCGCGTGCGAAATTCGCACTGTTCCACTCTCCCGGCACGCGCAGCTCATTGCCTGCTGCGTCAAAGCTCTGCTGAAAGGCTGGAGGGGCTCGACGCACTCCCGCAGAGGCTGCTTCGGCGTACAATCGCTGCTGGGTAGACATCAGTGCAGTCCCAAGCGCCGAAGCTACACTGACAGAGCTGATTGGCGTTAGTACTTTGAGCATTGCATGCGAGGCAGAGTGACTGGCTGCGCTAGTGAATTGGGAAGCTGCCTCGCAAGGCGTGCACTGCAAAAGGTGGCGTATAAGACAGTCGTCGAGGAGTTTCTCCAACAGATCAACTTACGAGATCTACGCCTTCGGGGCACTCGGTGCAATGAAATCTAGGTCCTCTGATTGGCTGGATTCCACACGTCGAACATGTGACTCCGAGGTGTGGTGCTTGCCCTGCACTTTGAGCCAGGGCACGAGACTGCAGCCTCAAGGCATCGAGCGCAGCAATGTTGGAGCGCGGAGAACGACCGGCTTCCGTCGCGTCCGAGCCCGATGAAGAGGACGATGACCTGGAGCGTGAAGGCAGCGCATTTCGCCAGCTCAACAGGTCCAGGCCATTCGATGCCGGGCCAGGCTGCTGCGCTCGTCCGTTTCGCGCCCTTTCCCAAGTCGCCTCCAGGACATCGATCGCACTGTCATTGGATGAACCGCTTTGAAGCGCATAGTCAGTGGATGCGCCGTCGCGAGACCAGCTAGCGAGGGATGAAGAATCTCGCTCCTCGCGGTCTTGATCGACGTAGCTCCAATCTGACGCCGACGATGTAGAAGGGGCTTTGTTTACGATACTCCCCGCTGATGTACTAGCCCACGCGCTTCTGGCTTCGTCCTCATCCACGTCTGCCTCGCTATTTGCAAAGAATGAAGGCGGCGAAGGTGGAGGAGGCGGGCGATAGAAGCTTCCTGCAAGGCTCTGCGCAGACGAGGAAGATAGTCGTACAACTCAGCTTAGTATGGAGTCGTCGGAGCTAGAGGTGCAGACGCACCGCAGATCCCGTACTCCTCGGTGCGGCAAAAGCTGAAGAGTTGCTGCTGAAGTCGCTGAAGTCGATGGTGGCGTCGATGCGGACCACGACGCGGATGGTCACCGTCTCGTGTAACCTCGCAGGATCTGAAGGGGCGTGATAGATGAGAGCTTCTCGCAGATCGGCATCTGATTCAATCTCGCACTAGAGCGCAGTTCAGGAGACGGGGGCGGAGGGGAAAAGGGGCAAAAGAACTCAGCTGAGTTGAACCCTCGATACCGGCAAACCGTATCTGCGGCAACGCACCGTCTCGCCATCGTCGTCGTTCCAGCATACTGCGAAAGTTGTAGCATCGTCCAGCTGCAAAATCTCCGCCAAGCGTTCCCTCACTTCTGCATGTCTGAGGGCCTCGAGCGGTGGGCCAAATGCCAGCCTCTTGAGCCTCTCATCGCAGGAAGCCTTGATTATCAGTGAGCCTGTAGGCAGAGCACCGAATGGCGCAGACATTGCTGGACTGAGGATCAAGCACCAACAGGGCTACGTCGCTGCAAAATCCAGTTCCAAGTGAGTCTCAACAAGTTGGAAGTCATGCCACGATGGGGACCCTCTCAACCCGATTGATCGCTCGAGCCTGCCGACATGCTTCAGGGTGTCAAGAGGCGTCGACGCTTGAAGTCATGCTGTTTTGAGTGGAGTCTTTCGTTGCGGAACAGCTCGAGTCAGCTCACGTGTCTTGATTCCGCAACATGTGGCTCCCTTCAGCGACAAAACGCGCTGCTGAGGCTGTGATAGAGTAGTAGCGAGAGCTGCTGTCGGAAGTGCTGAGCTGATCGCTTCATGAAGTGCGCAGCAGTCAAGAATCAAATGCGGTGCGCTAGAAAGGCGCGTGGTACTCATCGTGACTCAAAACTTAGCACTCTTGACTCAGACTCCGCCGACCCGCGAGGCAAGTCACGTGGCACTCGCGTCAACGCCTTGATGAATCAGAATTTGAATGTGAATCAAGCATCATCAGTAAGCCTTGCTGATCGCGAATCAGAAGAGTATTGACGTGTATCGTACGTCACGATCAATGAATCAGGATGTGGATATGAATCGCACACTGCTAATCTGCATGGCTAGATGTCTGGTTGGTCAGAAAGAGGCTGGCAAAGGTCGAAGACACAGACACTCTCGACTGATGAGAAGGCGCACTCGCGACTGCTCAAGAGGCAAAAGCTGCCACGTCATGCACTTTTGCGAGGCATTGTGATTACTGGCTCGGGTGTTGATGGATACTTGATTGTCAGGAGCATAGTGTACAGGATTCGACCCAAGAAACTTGGCATCAAGAGGAGTCAATGGGCAGCCTATCATTCACGCCGAGAGCGTGTAGGCCATTTTTCACAAAGGAGGCTGCGTAGGCCTTGTGTGGGGTATCCTGAAGACCTGGCCAGCCAGCCGCCGAAGCACAGCTCGATGCTCTGCCGATGCTTCGGATAGATTCTCTTCCCATGGTTCTTGATGAGGTGCGACAAGCCCTCCCTGCCTCATGGCTTGAATGATCTCGTCCAAGGTCTCGTCGCTGAGCGAACTTGCCTCTCGAGCATATCTAGACAGCAAATGTGCAGCAAAGGTGAGATTGCCGTTCTGAGTCAGCCGGGCGTCATTCCCACTGCCAGGGATCAGCAGCTGCGAGCGCTCACACATCCACTCCGGCAGGAGTGAAGAGAGTCGCGCTGAAGTAGGTCTGGAGAACGGAACGCCGCCGCACCAGAGATGGAGGCAACATCAGCGAAGGCTGGGCTGGGCACGCATCAGATACCGCACTGATGCCACGCACAATGATCCACTCCGGCTCATTAGAGGGAGCTTTGACTCCTACGAAATTTCGACTGAAACCCAGCACTTGCCATCTGCTTGTGAAAGGCTTGAGCCACCAAAACCCTCTCCAATGGAATGAAGCACCTTCCACCAATCAGAGGTTCACCAGTTAGTGCCACGCCCAAAATTCAGCGCAGAGGGGCTTGATGCTGGATCCAGATTCAACTCACCGTTCCGCCCTTTGTCATCTATTGTGTTTCGCCCGGATATATGTGTCGCTCCTCCCCTTTCAACCCCTTTGCCTTCCAGTATCCTTCCATCCTCGTCCAAAGCGTCGTAATATATCTCATCGTAGAATCGCACTTGATCAGCCATGTCCGAGGGGGCTTGGAGGACTGGCGAAGTCCTAGGCTCGACGGCGGGCGCGGTGCTTGTAGAAGGTGGAAGGTGCGTCGCTTTGATCAATCGAGTAGGCAAAGGTGCGGTATCTGGCAGAGGTGACTCTGGAGTATATCGACAAATGACGTTGGCTTTGCCTTTCCAGAGTGGTAGTGATGAGCCTACGATAGCCCACTGACCCATCAATCGCTTGTAGGGAAAGTGTTGCTGATGCAGCAAGGCTGCTGCAGGGTGGGGCGAGGGGTTGCTGCTGGGGCCTGCTATCGCCAAGTTTCCATCCTGTCTCAGCTGCGACGAATGGATGGCAGTGGTATTGCAAGGAAATACCAAGAGAGGTAAAGTGGACGCAGACGGATCCATTTTAGATGACAACCCTGAGAAAGCGGGCGGTGGAGAGGGTGGATATCATGTGTTGTGCAGCATTGGCTAGAGGCGCGGGCGCTGGCGGCATTCACGAGTGTAGGTAAAGGCTACGCGGCTGGAATCACGTATCGAGCGTCGGGACGTGGACTGGCGAGACGTAGGATTGACACTCGCAACTACTCTGACTGTACTACTACTGCTTCTGGGGACTCGTCGGCTCGAATTGGTCAATCGTGGTGTAATCACCGGCGACATCGGGGGGCATGGTGGAGTGGAGCCACAAACCAATGCTGACGTACTCGCCTTATTGCCGTCCCTTGCGCTGCAGCACGCCGGTCACATATATCTATGGCGCGAGCGCGGGTGCACGGCGGCTGCTTATACGCTGCGTTCTCGGGGGCGGCCTGCAGGCGCGCGTTCCTGGCGGGGTGTGAGTATATATAATCCCCCACATCACAACACTAAGAGCGGCAACTATAGCAAACGCGCGTTCTCGGCGGATGCGTGGCTTTGCCTTTGCGGCACATCATACACGCAGCATCACCGTGCGCAACCCTTTGCAACTACACATATCTAAAGCACCGACGCCCCGGACGCAAAGCACCGACGCCCCGGGCGTCCGGTGTACCCATGCATGCTTTCAAATTGAAGTCAAGATCATTCGATCAAGATTCAATTCACGATTGCAATTGCAATTCTTGGCTCTCTCATCAATGCTCGACGGTGACTTGCGACTGGACTCTGGACTGCATGCCTCGCGATAACCAAAAGCTTGCAGTCATTAGGGCGAGTCGTGATTGCATGACACTCGTGTGATAGCCAAGTCGTCAAGAGCAAAGCTAGAGCAAGGCAGTCAAGCGCTACTACTATCCCTCTCGGTTGCTCAAAGGTCGAAGACACGTAATGAGCGAAGAACGGAACGGGCCGAAGGCGGACGAGCTGGTAGCTTCAATTGAGCAGGTGAGGAGGATTTGCCTGCATCCACGGTAGCGTGGCCCCCTTTTCCCCTCTCATCTTGGCGCAAAAGGCAACCGCTTGACGAACCCCTCTTCCTCGACCTTTTGTCTCATGTTCTTCGAGACAGCTAAGCTCACAAATCGTAGCAAGCTCGCCCATTTATAATTTTGTGCTGCAAAATGTGAGCCCTTTGAAAGTGCTTCGTGCGGATCCTGACGTACAGGAGGTGAGATCGTAACTGAGTGCACTTTACAATTGGCCGCATGGACCCCCTCAAACGCGACGGACAGGTGCAGATCGAGCAAGCATCCTCTGGCGGTGTCACTGCCCTCTTGCCGCTGACAGACAGGCACAGCAACAGCAAGGCCATCTTGCACGGGTCGGTCACTGCCACGCTAGTGGACTGGATCGGTGGGTTGGTCATTGCTGCCGCTTCGTCTTCACCCCTCCAGGCCAAACGCGGGGTCTCGCTTGACATTCACATCTCTTATATTGGAGCGGCAAAAGCTGGGTAAGTGTGAGGTTTGCAGGTTGAAACAGCATCACGCCTTCTTTGCTGACTTGACAACGGTGCCATCGATCCTTGTCTCGTCAGACAAGATCTTCGTATAGAAGGCCGGGCAGACAAAGTAGGCAGGTCAATTGCCTTTATCGCCGTTCGGCTGACTGCGTATGACAAAGGCACCAATACTAATGGCAGGCTAGTGGCCACAGCAACGCACAACAAGTTCATCGCATAACACTCAGACACATTGTAGACACAGGAAAAGTCTGTCCTTAGCTCAAGATTGGCAGCGAGGTGCATTGCAGATATGTGTAAAGGACAGGTGCTGCTGCAAATGCAGATCGCAGTCTGATAAGGATGGTGTTGACGAAGACGAAGACTGTGGCAATGTATTCCGTCGCTAACAATACGGAGACGACTAGAAGTGGATGCTTTCACCAGCGATGGTCTTCCCATTCAAGGCTCTGACTTTGTTCAGGGCGGCCTTGCCGACCAATTTGGTGGCGTAGTCGTTGTAGAGATTTGGCAAGAATGAGACAATGTTGTGCTCTTCGCTACACTCCATATTCTTCGTCTTGCCATCGAAGGTGTCTTTGATGAATTGGAAGGAGGGCAGGAAGCCCTCGATACCCTCGAGCACGTGGCCTGCGATGAGATCAGTGTGGTATCGCACTTTGGAGCCAGCTGCGCATTGGTCCTTGACGTATTGAGCAACGGGTGCTTGAGGGATGACCTCGTCGAGGATACCGTGATACTGCAGACGAGGAGCAAGGGGTCAGGGCAACGTTTGCGTGCTTGTGACAAGGACAGCATCGAGCTCACCAGGTATCGAGGAAAGTCGGTCACTACTGCGCCAGGACCTTTGCCGAGGAAGTTTTCTTCCAGAGCCTTGACAACGATAGGTTCAGCGAGAGCCTGCTCATAGGGCACAGTCAAGTAGGTGTAGTAATCGACGAAAGCAAAGCGAAGAAGTTCTTGAGGAACGCAGGCGTAAGATTGCAGGAATTCGATGGCCTGCTTTCCTTGGTCATTGAGAATGGAACGCAGGTACTGATTGACGTCGGGGAAAGTCTTGACGAATGCCGCCAGCGCTGCGATGGCGTACCCGGCAAAAGGAGTCTTGTTCAGGTTGGTCAGGATCAGCTTGAGATCGACTGGCGTGCCTCCAGAAGCGCTACCAATGATGTTGAGCTCTGGCGCATAGGCACGCTTGTATTGTCCGGCATACGCTGACGCGTGGCCACCGCCAGAGTAGCCAGCTAGAACGGTTTGAGCGCCAGTCGCATCGGGAATGGTCGGTTTGTGCTTCAAGATTGCCCGAATACCGTCTAGAACGCCGTATGCTTGGCTCTTGCCGACGATGTAGGCAGAGAGAGAGCCTTCAAAGTCTGGCTGCACGACGTACCAGCCGTTGAACAAGCTGGCGTCGATGTAGAAGCCTAAGGTGTCGCCCGAAGAGTTGGAAGGAGAGTCTTTGATGACGGAAAAGGAAGGTGCGCAGTCAAAGGCAGCCGAATCCTCTGGTGCCTGGAATGAGACAATCTTGGGAGGACCAGGAGCCAGTTTCGAAGGTGCCCAGACCGTCGCGACGGTAGCGTCTGCGTTGTCGAGGGCGGTATTGGTGCGGTACAGGATCTGATAAGCGCTCTTTGCTCCAGCAGCAATGGTATCGACAGGACGCTCTCGGATGATCTCGCCGACTTTGTAAGCGCTGATGTTGGAGGGCACCTTGTAGAAAGGGTCAAGACTTGGCTGCTTCATGGAACTCTTCGGGAATGCCAGTGCTCGCACCGAGGAGGCGCAAGTCAAAGCGACCACCGCCCAGGACGAGGTGAGCTGGGGGAAAAGCATGTTTGCCACGTAATGGTCGAGGGAATGAAGCAAATGTGAAGGGAAGAGGAGGGGTGGGGGAAATGAAGGGAAGGGAGAAAGTGGGAGAAGTAAAGGTGTCCGTTAGGCAAGAGAAGGGAGTGCAGCGAGGGAAGGCCGAGCCAGAAGGAGTGAGTGTGAGAAGGTGTTGAACAAGCAGCCTTGAGTGATGAGCCCATCTGGGAGGTGTGGTTCTGGCAGCGTGAGGGCAATACACACACAGGAGCAGCTCGCTGTCCCACCGAATGCATTTTTCCGGTTGTCCCGCTCTCTCCTGACTCCTTCGCACGATGTCTCGCCAGGAGCATGAGCCGGAAGACTCTGCCCCTTGTCACGCTCGCTCCCTCTTTCCATTTGTCACCTCATAATCGGGACATGGCTAGCCCAACGCGTGCATCGCGAATGCAAATGAGTGCATGCTTCTGGTCTACAGATCCGCGGAAGAGTCAAGTGCTATGATGTGGTCTCTCCCCGCAGCAAAGGCATTCAAGTCAGAGTCATGAGTGCGAGTGCGAGCTTCGCGTGATTGTTAAGCGAGCATGCATCACTTGATGTGGTGATGGCGGGGTTCCCGCAAAGCTTCTGCAGCGCATCGTGATTCACGATTGCCCTCGGCAAGTGCCCGCCGGCTGTGTTAGCGTGAAAGCGCTCCGCTTTTGCGGGGAAAGAGAAGAAAATTGCGCGTTTCTCCGCATGAATCGCGTCGCGCTAAGGGTGTGTCGATAGGTACCACCACCATACCGCAAGAACAGTCAGAGTCACGAGTCACGAGTCGATGATCACGAGTGTGTGGACACTCACGACTGGTGCAGTCGCTTGCTCGAGACTGTCATACGCCTTGCTGACAGGGTCAACGTGTGCAGGTACGGAAGGGACAGGTGCAGGCAGACGCTCGGAAGTGTGCCTCCGTGCGATACAAGCCTCGGCCGCCAGCCACCACTCGTGGTCGCCGCTTTAGCCGAGTCGTGAGCACCTTTGTGACGGACCGGGGGGGATAGCTTTGACCTGCAGCCAAAGCGCCCCCTTTTCGAGTTGCGCGTGCTCTTCCTGGCTCCACATTTAGCAACAATGATCGTAGGATTTCAAGAACGAGAATCAGCATTAATCTCTGCAGCATCATGGAGCAACGAGACAAGGTGCAGTGAGGAGTACAGTGGTCGACGTCGGAACCAACACTAAGGTATCAATCACAGGGAGGGCCAGAATCGAAGCGGATCGTCTCGTCTACTGTACACAAGTAAGCAGCAACGCGTCTGTGGAGCGAGTGCGCTTTAGGCAAAGACGGCTACAAAGGCAAAGGAGCTGTTGTCGCGATCTTTCAGGGGTGCAATGTGGACGGTGGTCGAGCGAGGGACTTCTGTTCCGCTGAGCTCCTTCAAGCCCCCAAGCAAACGACCTCTTCGAGAGGTTGCGCGTAGAATGACGTGCAAGCTGATGTGTGTGCCGTTGCGTACAGCCTCTTGCACAGCGGTGCGGATGGCGCGCGTCTCGCTCTTTTCGCTTCCTTGAATCAAAGAAAGGAGATCGGCGTGAATCAAGGTAGAGTCGTAGACATCGCGCCAAGAGCCTGTCGGAAGACCTGCGAGCTCGAGCAGCTCGCGAGTTGCAAAGATGATCTCTCTTTTCGATCTTTTGAAGATGAGCATCTTGCCGTACAGCTCGGTGAAATATCCTGCAAAGTAAAGAAATGCCCTTCGCGTCAGCACAAAGAGGGCGATGCGCTCGACTGCAGCACGATGACGCACCCATCTGGTCACTCAGAGAGTGTGCACCACTTCGCATCTGGCCTTCGGCACCAGTAAGTAGCTGTCCGCGCTCGCGATCTCTGCGGAGAGCAGGGTGACTTGACCCCTCGGAAGACGAGTCGCTTCTCTTGCCGCGGGTCAGCCATTTGCCAACAAACCCTTGCCCTTTGCGTCCTCCACCGGCCGCATTCGCATCGAACAAAGGCCCGTCAATCTTTGTGCCTGGACCGGGGCCCATTCTCGAAGTCGGCTCGTAAGATCCGGCGGCCAGCTTCCTGGTCACTCTTGGAGCACCCCATGCCCCGCTGTCGTCGTCTGCTAGAGATGCAGGACTGGGGCGGTTCGGATCCTGCAGAGCGTCAAAGTGTCGAAGCATGCTTGGAGAAGCTTCATAGCCACTATGGACTCGGGATTGGAGCTCACGGGGCGGGACATCACCTCCTCCCACCAGGAAATCGAGACCTTTAGCCGATGCGAGCTCGCCAGATACGTTGACTTGGGCGCCAACAAAGTAGACGAGCTGTCCCGAGCTGTCTCTAAGGGGAATAATCGAGAGCAGGCAAAAGAAGGGCGTGCCATCCCGACGATAGTTGAGTAGCAGCTCAGTGCAAGGCTCGCCAGCGTTCAAGGCGTCGCGAACGCGCTGTATGGACTCCGGAGCTGTGCCTGGACCTTGCAAGAAGCGGCAATTGCGTCCAATGATGGCGCCCGGTGGGTACCCTGTCAGGTCGGTGAAACCTGGAGAAACGAGCACGATCGGATTTTCGCGAAGCCTGGGGTTGGTCAGGCAGTAGCTGCAGCGGTGCCGGGGCTTGTGGATGAGCAGACTTCGACAAGGGGCAGACCGCATCGACTTTGCACTCACCAATCGCCTAGACCAGTACGCTCATTGTTATCGAAGCGACCGAGCTTGACCTTGTTGTGTTCAATGAGCTGCGCTTTCACAAAGCTTTGGAACTCTGTCTTGTACAACGAAGATAGCAAATGCTGGGCAGTCTGGTCTAGACTTGCTTTGAGCTCGAATTGCTTGCGCAAGGTGTCAAAGTATTGGTCTCCCAGCTCTTGAGGCAGTGCAACGTGCATAGGTGAGTCTTCGGCCAGGTAGATGTCGAAGAGCGCTTCCGATGTTGTTCGGACGTCTGCCATTTGCTTGTCGAACTGGCGGCACCGTAGAAGCAAGCAGCGCGTCAGATAACATTCTCTACTTTGGTGAGAAAAAATCAACGCACCTGCATGGTATCGTACAGCATATCCAGCCTCGCCTCGGTACCCCGATTGTGTACGAGCCATTCACGGAATCGATGACGACCGAGCGGGTCCTCCAGCAAGCGCTTGAAGACGTCTTCATTGATGAGCTTGCGCATCGACCAGTCCATGTCGCGCTGTACGTTGCTGATCGGCTGCGAAGTTCGTTCCCCGCTGCGAATGGTGGACCAATTTGGAAGATTGGAAATTTCGGGCATACCACCACGAAGGGGCTCAGCAGAAGGTGCCCAACTGTTCAGGTTGCTGCGCGCACCAGCTAGCCGGTAGAATGTCTCTCTTCGGTCGTCATAGCGATTGAGACTAGCGGCGCTGCCGTGCTCAGTGCTCACACTTCGAGCCATTGGGAAAGCGCCTGGCACGGCATCACGTGTTCCTGCACCAAGACCTCCGATGATGCGTCGAGGGGGCAGATCGCCTTCAGAAAGACCCACACTGACGCCATTCTTACCATGGACGGGAGGCTTTGAAGGATTACCGAGCTGATCCTGAAGTCTATCGCCGGCTTCGGAGGACGCTGCGTGCGATCCTTCCCGTGCAGAGCGACGCGATTGAGCAGGTTCCTGAGAAGGAGGGTGAGTAGGAAGCGGGGCTGCTCGGACATGAGGAAGAGCGGTCCCATCATCGTCCGAATCATCGTAAGCCTCCCAGTCTTCCTCTTCTTCTGCGAATTCACGCTCATGGAAGCCGTCGTTGGGAGGCTGAGATTGCGCAGAACCATCGGACGTGGCCCGCGCCATATTAGAGCTGCGAAGCTTACCTTCGGCGGCGCCGAAGGTACGAGCAGATCTGGGCGAGCTTGGGCGCTGCTTCAAATGAAGGGGCACACTTTGAAGGGCGTGCCAGCGAACGGAAAGAGGCGTGTTAGCGAGTCTTGAGATCTCACAGCCACGAGAAGCATCTGTGATCGTGAGCGCGCACCTGTTTGCGCCAGCTTCGGGTGGTGGTGTTCTATGGCCATCTGCCTGCGACAGACCGCCGTTCTCGGCATCGCTCGATGCTTGATAGCCGGACATTGCACTACCGGGTTCCTTACCGTCGAGCAGCCTTACCCTTCGCGCCGCGGACCGTGAAGAGAGACTTTCACTTTTGGGTATGGCTGGTAGTGGTCGGTCTGGAGGTGGAGATGGGGGAATCACGGCGCCAGATGGGCTCTTCCTGAACCAAGATAGACGTCTAGCGTCACTAGCGCCGCCTGGCTGCTTGTGAGTAGGACTGTTGGGCGGGGAGAGTTGACCGCGTGCGCTTGCTGCGGTCTTCAAATCTGGCGTGGAAGCAAAGTTTCCAGTCAAAATTCTGAAGGCTGACGCCGCTTCTCGAAAGTTTGCCCGGCTTGATTTGCCTTTGCGACTGTTGAGAGATGAGGTGCTGCTCTTTCTATCGAAGCTGGCTTGCTTGACGTGTCCGACTGAGCTCTCGGGCGTCTGGACTCCAGTGTCGCTCCGTTCGAAAGCGGGACTATCGGCACCAAAGTCTGAGGTAGCGGAATGAAAGGATGACACTTCGCTTTCTTGCCGAGTCGGTGTGATGGCGGTGAGGTCTGAGTGTGCGGATTGCTTGCCTTGCGCTTGCGGTGGGTTTGGCATACCGGACTACTGAGCGCTTCTTTTCGATAAGGTGCCAAGTTTGCGAATCTTGTTGCTGACCAAACCCGTCTGGCCACGGAGGCGTAGGCGCAGGCGCACTTTCCTCCACGGCACAATTTGAAACGCGCGGCTTTTTGGGCCGCTAGGTAGCTGCTGCTGCTGCTGCTGCTGGTGATTGTACCGACCCGTCCCTTTGACCGCGCGATGCGTGACTCGCGACTACTCCGACTCGTGACTATACTCGTTACCGCGTTGGCGTTCACGTTCACTCAGGGTCCTATAGCTTAGTGCACCGTACCAGCAAAGAGTTCGCGCTGCTCGGCTTGCTGTAGCGTCACGATGAGTGTGAGGAAGTACACCACTCGAAGAACGAGGGAGAGCAGTATTCACGAGAGCCGGAACTTCGTTCCTTGCCTTGGCTGAGCTGCAGCACCTAAGACTCAAGGATGCATCGAATCCACGACCCGATGCAAGAGATGCGCTAGACTGACTGCTGATGCTGCTGGCTGCTGGCTGCTGGCTGCTGGCTGCTGCTGCGTCACCTGCCCGCGTACCGTGCCGTCGGCCGTGCCACTTGCAATTACGAGCAGCGGGTGTGACTCTGTGATGAGCGAGCGCACGACCACTTGTCAAGAGTGGAGGTTATCAAGCGTATTTGAGGCGGGTCGAGAAAGTGTCCTGCCGAGTCTAATGCTCCGACGCGACGTGTATGGTGAGGAGCGCGAAAGGAGGCCTGTGGGGTGGTGGATGTTCAAAGAAGCTGTTTGAATCGGCGACGATCGTCACGATGCATCTGTGGAAGTTTGTAAGAGTTGGGTGATCAGGTGCGGTCGATGACTCCTGTGATTCGACTTTAGGGGTGTGCTTGCGTGACAGCGCAGCCAAATTGTTGGTGTGATCGAAGCGTCGGACAAGTGATGAATCTCGAAGCAGAAGGCGCGGCAAGGAGAGCAATACGCTTGCGGGTCAAGCATCCGCTCTTATACGGCCCTCACAGAGTCGATGCCGCATCGATTCATTCAGCGGATCACATTCACGATTGGTACTTTGCTCGATGTCCACGCTCGCGTCTGCTGCGCGTAGCGTCTGTCTTTGCAATCAAAATGCGCGACGTACGGTGCCGAGGCATGGATGAGACGCACTGCGACGAGTGCGGATGAGAAGGTGATGTACTGTAAACTTCGCTCCCGCGGCTGTTGTGAAGGCGAAGAATTCCGCTTGATTCGCTCGCCATGCAAGCTGACGATGCGGCATACAGTACGACTGCGAGACGATGCGCAGCTGAGACATGGAAAAATCTGAATCAGAATGAAAATTAAAGCGTGAATCCTGAACATCGCACTCACTCACACGCCATCGCGGACAGTGTGAGTGAGTCTCATGGGTCTTTGCGTGTCGTTGACACCATCGCAAGGATTGTTTGTTTCCGCTTCCGTACTCGAGAGGAGTCGAGGCCTCTTGGCGCACCTTTGATCTGATGCTGAGCCCATTACTCGAGCGTTTTGACGGTGTCAGTCAGCAGACCCAAAGATCATCATTTCACAGCGATGAAAAGGGTTCCAGTGCGCTCGGATCGTTTATGGGCACCTCCACAGCCACCGCTGCATCAGCTTCGAACCCCGCGAATGCGAGGACTAGCTTGTTCGAGCTATTGGAGTCCCTGTGCGTTCCCTGTGCGCAATTTCACAGGCTAGCATTGAAGCTATTTGGTAGGCCCCTGAACGGAGGACCATCAACGCGGAATCAGGCAAGGCAGGCAAGGCTCATAGATGTGCACAGGTACAGCAGAAACGCTCGTCTAGGCGATCGGGTACCCCTCTGGATGCTAGGAGCAGTCTTCAGCACCTCAGCGCTACCCATACCATCACTACTGTGAAGGAGGAGGAATCACGAATGTGTGTGCAGGAGCAGTAGCGACCATTAGAAAGAGCACATATGTACAGGATGGGCGAATCACAATCGGCAAGGCAGATCGAAACTCCGTCCACGCAATAATTAATCAAAACAATAACCATGATACAGTATGAGGAAAAGTTCGGAGATTTTGGGTCATTCAGGGTGTAGGCGCTCAATGCCGGTACGGATGTCGGCACTGCCGCCGCCACTCTCTCGTGCTTCGCAGTGAATCCGAGTCGCATAGTCTTGAGTCAGAGTCACGAGTGGTATGGCGACCAAAACCAAAAGGATGGCGAGGCAAGGCAAAGGCTTTTGCGGCCTGTATGCAGGTAACGGTACCGGTGCCGGGGTACATACTCATGCAGCTTGAAGCGGCAATATATAAGTGATGCAGGTGGCCTGCATGCATCGGTGCCGCGAACCTGCTGCACCGACGCACCGAAGGTGCAAGGCCGAGCTGTTCGGCCTTGGCAACAAAGTCCGCTGGCCGAGCCTGGAGTCAAGTCAAAGGATAGTAGTGGAACAGGAGATGCAAACAACCTTCCCGACGCCACCCAACCGACGTTGTGGGTTCGAAACATTCGAGTGGCGTCACGATGCGAACGATTCGCCCGAAGAGCCAGCAGCGCTCCAATCGTCTCTCACGTCATTTTCAACGCTAAGGCAGTTCTCGTGGGAGATTTGCACACGCTTTTTGGGATGCAGGCGCACCAAAGATACACATATCCCTGTACGTGGATTCGGACGAGAGCATCGAAGATCGTGATCGACGGTAGAAGGCGCTCAGATATCTTTCCGATGCGTTGTACTTGCAGCACGTCGATCGAACGCTTGCTTTGCTCTCGGCGTGCAAATCGGCGCCCTACGAACAGCAAGTTTCGCCGTGACAGCTCAATCTGCATGCTGCGTAGTGGAGCGAGTTCAATGTGCATCGGCATGAGATCGCATTCAAGATTGACAAAATTCTCGATTGAATGTGAATTGTGGGGCACAGACACGAGTACAGAGCCTAATTTGTTGCGAGCAACAAAGCCAGTTGGACTGGCGGCTTGCTAGTAGGTTTGTTTGTTTGCTTGTTTGCTTGTTTGCTTGCTGTTTTTTTTTTGTTGTTTGCTGCTGGTTCTGAAAGCGCGCGCCACGGCGAGCTTGCTGAAAATTGTGCTGAAAATCCTCCAAGCGCTCGTCTGGAGCAGATCGTTGCGGAATGCGCGCAATGCGGCCAGCCAGCACCACAGCAACTGCACTCGACTTTCGATCTCGTGATAGTTGGTAGATAAGGACTTGAAGCGCTGAAAGGCAATGCTACGTCCTCGTCCTCACTAGCATGCGCAAAACGACGCTCGATCGCGAGCTCAGCCTCCCACGTCGATGCACTCTGGTGCGCTAGGCTCGCGATCCCCAATTGCAAGGTCTGATGACCGAGCCCTTCCCTGTTCGGTAGAGCGGGATCGATAGGCGAGGCAGCAGACCGCGAAAGCCGCATTTGCTAAGCGCGACGTGTCCTGATAAATCCGATTGGACGCAGGTCAGGTCGAAGGTTGTTGAAGAAGCCTTATGTAGCTAGACTTCCTTGGCAGACAGGTCTAGTATGCAGCGTCAAGAGCATGGCTTGAACCGGTGCCGCTGCATGGACAGCGGGCCTGAAGGCCGCTACACCTCTGTTGAGGCTAGTCCGGCGGATGGCTGAAGAGCCACAGGAGCCCCATGCGACCTTTCAGTCTCTGCAGTCGGTCGAGCAACAGACTCCTGCGCGTGTGCACCCAACCCGACCTTTATCGCAGGGTCTAAGCCGCGGTGGCGACTTGAGATACCTGATCTAGAGGGCTGTGGGCCGGCAAAGCGGGCGCCTCGCTGTCATCGTCGTCCTCGAAGTCGAGCTGATCATAAGGGGAGGGCACGTGGACGCTCAGTCAGGCTCTGTGGCAAAGCAATGGTGCCACACCGCATCCGCAAGACGGATCTGGCCGTACGTGCCGCCACTCACGGGATCAAAGACTACCCGAATCAGCAAGCTGCAGCTAGGACAGGTGGCAATATCTTCAGCCTCCTTCAGTTGAGCTCTCGTGATCTCGAAGCGGTCGCCGCAGGGGCAGGGATAGTGAAATAAATCCTTCTCTGCGTCGTACACCATGTCCTCCAGCTCTACCTCATCGTAGATTGATTGCTTGGGCATGCTGCAAAGACGCTAGCTTCGTTGGTGCGAGCACCACAGCCTGCAGTGCTGAGGTGCGCGACGGTCGCACAGCCAGTGTGATGAACGAGCAGGGGATCGAAGACGAAGCTGTTGGTCAATCTGAAGACGGCTTCATCCAGACCCTTATCGCGTGTTGGCCTTCTGTGGAATCCGCTCACCAATTCAAGAATTCGCGAAATTGTGAGCCGGAGAGAAGCCTGGTGCCACGTGGCGCCGTCATGCACCTTGAGCTTCTGAGCCGACGCGACGCTCCGTGCACACATATATACATACACAACAGCATATGCTGGCTGGCAATGGGCTAGCGCGCACGTCGCGACCGACGCTGCACTGCTGCTGTTGCTGGTAAGATGCCCGCGAATGCGCGGCCGACTTGGAGTATGCTGTGTGTAGCTGCTGCAGCGTGGGCGCGGGCTAGACAGGCTTCGCGCGGTCTGATGCTGTCGACTCTTGCGATTGCTGCTGGACAATCCGGCAGGGCAGACATCACACTGACCAGTCTGTCGCCCCTTCCATCCCTGCCATCCTTGAAGCTGTTCGATCGACGTCTTGTTTCAAAAACACATTCGAGACCATACCTCGTACATTACCATTCGCCAATTATTACGACTCAATCGCAGGCGTGTTCAAAATGGCGAGCAATGGCATCGGTGAGTGCAGCAGGGAACATGAGCAAGGACAGGAAGAGGGGAAGGGCCGGCGGAGCTAGAGGCGCCTCATCTCGGTCGCGTGTCTCATTTGTCTGCCGCGGAGGGACCAGCTCGAAGCAGAGGTTCAGACGTGCTCGCATCACAAGCTAAGCGAGGAGGAATCTCGTCTCGCGAAAGGACATGGCGCGGTGTGATGGTCCGGGAGGCAAAGGTTCAGAAGGCCGAATTTCCTTCGAACTTGCGAATGCACCAGTGCCGTACGGCATCGGTAGAGGTTGACTCGTTCAGCAAGCAGCGACTCATCGACCAATGACTGACATTGCTCCGTCTTTTGCCCGCCTCAATTCTCATTTCCGCTTCCGTCTCCCGCTTGACGTCGATGACTGTGTGCTCGGGCCTCTCTATCCTTTACTGGACACTTCTCATCTGGACCTGTGGCCCTGCACGCTCCACACTTCTTGTCACCAACTTTCATCTATCCGGATGGCCCAACACCAATCATTGGCCGGACACGAATCCTGGCATCACTTCTCATCACCTACCAATTCTGCTCTCAACGCCCGCCTCGACTTTCGCAACCCCCACCTCCCCAACTCCATCATGTATGCGCCGACTTTGGCGGACTCCGCGGCAGGTATCGCGAATCTGCCCAACCAGGTGAGCGGATTTTGGTTGGATGTCATGCGGTAGTACAGGGTTCAGGTCTGATCTCGGCTTCATCCGGCTCCCGAAACAGAGGCACAAAATTGTGGCTAAGGCAGGTGGACACTTCACGTTGATGGTCGTCGGCGAGAGCGGTGTGGGAAAGACCACGCGTGAGTACTGATCCTGGCGACAGCAGCCGGCGAGCAGACCCCAGCGCAGGCGCAGGTCAGGCATGGGACGAGCCCCGGCTGGTAGAATCAAACGACGCAAGCGGTCTCGCGCGCTCACGCTTTGGCACCTCGACGCACAGTCATCAACACGCTCTTCTCCACCGAGCTTGCAACTGGCAAGGACCACACTCGTCGTCATGCCAAGCAACTCGACAAGACAGTCGAGATCGACATCATTAAAGCCGAGCTGGAGGAGAAGCAGTTCAAAGTCAAGTTGACTGTGATCGACACACCAGGCTTCGGAGACTACGTAAACAACCGCGACAGCTGGGCACCCATCGTCGACTTCCTCGATGATCAGCACGAGATGTACATGAGGCAAGAGCAGCAGCCCGAGCGTTTGCAGAAGACTGATCTTCGCGTCCACGCTTGCTTGTACTTCATCCGACCTACCGGCCACACCTTGAAGCCCCTTGACATCGAGATCATGAAGCGTCTCGGCACTCGTGTCAACCTCATTCCCGTGGTTGCCAAAGCCGACACACTCAGCCCAAACGATCTTGCTATCTTCAAGCAAAGAGTGAGTTGATCAGGGTCGGTCGTACTGTGTAATCCCTGATGTGCGGCGTATTGACCCTCGAGAAATGCCCCTCAGATCCGCGAGGTGATCACTTCGCAAGGCATCCGGGTCTACACTCCTCCCATCGAGACAGATGATGAGGCTAGTGCAGACCACGCCAAGACTCTCATGTCCGCCATGCCCTTCTCTATCATTGGATCCACTAAGGACGTTCAGACTCGTGACGGGCGCACTGTCAAGGGTCGCTCGTATATGTGGGGAGTTGCCGAAGTGGAGAACGAGGAGCACTGTGACTTTAAAAAGCTTCGCAGCCTGTTGATCCGTACCCACATGCTCGATCTCATCAACACGACCGAAGAGACTCACTACGAGAATTACAGGCAAGCACAGATGGAGACTCGCAAGTTTGGCGAGCCAAAGGTCAAGAAGCTGGACAACCCCAAGTTCAAGGAGGAGGAAGAGTCTCTTCGCAAGCGCTTCACCGAGCAGGTCAAGCTGGAGGAGCAGCGTTTCAGGCAATGGGAGGCTCACCTCATCGCCGAGCGCGACCGTCTCAACAAGGATCTCGAGCACGCGCACGGCTCCATCAAGGCGCTGGAGGCCGAACTCGACGCTGTGAGTTTTGGTGAAGGAGCGCGATTGCACGCGGGAACCAAGGCAACGCGACTGACGTTTCGCACCCTCCCCCAATCACGATACAGTTGCAAGGCGGATACGCCCGTGGCGTTGGCTCTCAACGTCGATGAGCTTCGCTTTCGCGAGAATTCTGCCGGAAATGCCCTGCTGTTCGACGCTGCTCGCAGCACTGACCTTCTTCCTCTCTTGTTGCTTCTCTTACAATGGCAGCGCTACACTGCGATGTGCCGCATTATTCAGCCTGTCATGAGCAATGTACCGTCACGCTCGTATTCCACCGATTCTTCTTTGGGTATCTGAATGCCATTCTGCTTTTGAGACGTTTCTGCGGTGTACAACTTGGCCTGACGTTGACAACGTTGTATGTGACAAGCCAATGCGAACAATTTGCTGTACCAATCTATAGCTCCTTCCCCCCAGTCTACGCGGGCACGAGTCGTGAATCGTAGATTGTGACTTGGTTGCACGATGGCAGCGTCACCATCAGTGAGCTAGATTCACGCGCGGCAGCCAGAGTCCACGCAGCTGTCGCCCGATGCGGCGTTGGTCGCGTTATGTTTGGTGACTGAGCGCGCGTGCTTTTCCCCAGCATGCTGCATGGATTCACGATTCGCTTGTAAGGCGAGAAGCGCGCTCGTGACGGCGGCCGCGTACGTCCAACGCAGAGCAACGCAACGCGCCTCCGCCGCCGCTCCTACGTCGCTGCATATTTCACCGCGATTTCTCGTGAGGGTGCGATCGAGGGGTCCGTGTGCATGCTGGTCAAGATATGGTACAGCGCAGCTCGCTATGGGCAGGTATTCATGCTTTTGATTTGCAATTCGGGACTTGACCCGCAACTGGGGACTCGTTCGCTCTTCTTGCTTCGCCCTCTTGCTACGACGCTCCTCATCGTTGTTGCTGCTCGACGCGGGTGCCTAGTCCCGCTGCACATTCATCCGACCGACAAAAGCACTGGCGAATTCGATCGGAACGGGTGTGCATTGCCGGCGTTGGTGTAGCCTGCCTCAGCCGGAAGAGGACACGCGCACGCGCCTATCTGCATCCCCCATCACCGCGTTCCCAGTGATTACAGTGCAACTCAGCGCCGCGTCATCTTATACCCAACGTTCCACTTCCTTCTATCACTAGCGCTGAGAACCATACAAGCGAACAATCGAAGCGCTGACTGTGGCGTGGGCTCATCATGACGATCACATCCAAAACGCCACGAAGACCTGAAAAGGTTACGAATGGCGAGCTAAAGGTGCCAGAAGCAGAAGTTTCTTCCCAAGCACAACCTTCACCCCCTAAGCGCAGCGTCTCCTTTGGCCCTGCTTCTTCTGCGCCAGCAAACGGATTCAACATGTCTTCAGGCGCAGGTTTAGGTGCGACAACGAGCAATGGGCTTGGAGGAAGCAGCACGACGGGCATTGGTGCTGGTCCATCTGCGCCTGCTACCCCTGCGCGAGGATCGAGCATAGCAGGCAGTAACGAGAGCAGCACAAGCACTCCCTCTTCTGCACTCAAGCCCGCCCTCAAAGCTAGCGCTCAAGGTCGCAAATTGCCACCAGCAGAACAATACTCGCATCCCGACCCCTTGTTGAGAAGGCTCCGGCTATTGGACGAGCATGGCAAGCCGATCGATTTGAAGAGCTTCTTCAAGGGTGCAAAGGTCGTGGGTTTCTACTTTAGCAGCCAATGGGCTGGTCAACCTCTGAAAGAGTATCACAAGGTGCGTGCTGGGATGACTGGAGGAAGGCCTTCACAGCGCTGCCTGGACTAAACAGTTATCCCCTCTTTGTCTCGCGCATTCGCAGACGATCAGCGAATTTTGTCGGAATCATCCCAACGATTTCAAGTGCATTTACGTCAGCGTGGATGTTGATGAGCAGTGGTACAAGGCTGGCGTCAAAGGAAAAGTGAGTCCACAAGGTCTGCAGATCGGTCTTGCCTCTGCTTGAAGCATGGGCTGATTCGCGTTGCGGCTGTTGCTGCTCATGCTTCAAAGCCATGGGTTTCGATGGCGTGGAACGACGGCTCCTCGCTGCCAAGCGAGCGAGCGGACACGACTGCTTCCGCGACTGCGCCGAGCTCTCCGATCTTTCACAATAATGAGGACTACCTACTGGCAGGCGAGGTGGACATCGACGAGTCACTCTCCAGAACGGATACGGATGGTACTGCCTACCTTCGACCATTCTCTCGCGTCCACCTCGCTTCCAAGCTGAACATCATTGCAGCTCCGACGCTTTGTGTATATCACATCGACAAGGCAAAAATGCTGGATTGGAATGTCAGGATGGCTAGGATCAAACCCGGCTCAGACGCGGAAACTTGGGAACGATGGGTGAAGGGCGAGCCGGCAAAGTCTTTCGGATTCCAAGGTAAGGGTCACCTGCTGGAGCGTGTAGTCACCCCATAGAGCTTCTCTGAGGAGGAGCATGAATGCCAGTTGTTGGGTTGCTGGATTGAGGTACGCACACACGTATCTGCAGCTCCATACTGACCTCTTCCTCTTGTTACTCTGCCAGACGCTTTCTATGCCGCCCCGGCCAGCTTTATCATGTGTGGCGTCGCAATCGTCCTCTGGTTGGTCGTCTTCTTCTTTGGGCAAGACTACAATGTGAGAGCGGATGCATGCGTCGTTTCAGACCATTTCTCGAGCACTGCTGAATACTGCCTCCCCACCTCGTCCCGATTTGTAGGTCCTGAGGTATGCTATCAATGCGCTTGATGGATCCATAGCAAAGTCTCGAACGGGACTGCAGGACATTTCGGCGTCCGCCTTTGACGCAGCTGCAGAAGCTAGAAAGGCAGGCGGCTTATGATGATTTTTCTTTTTTTGCCTGGCTGTGTTTTCATCCGACTCGCACTTAGACATCACTCTTGGCCTTCTTTACGACTTTGACGACGTCAACGACGCTTTTTGCGGCGCTGAACACTTCAACTTCCCACGCAATCGTCCCCTCACCATGGGCTGTAAGCTGTCAATGTGACGAGTACGCCTTGATCTGATCCACTCTGGACGAATGAGCCGTGCTGCAAGAATCGTGATATCACTCCCGCAGGCCAGATCCGAGGAGCCCGCTGAAGTGCGATTTTTCAAAGTTGAACCTGTTGACGTTCCAGCTCATGTCAAGTCGTCTGCTGCGGCGACAAGATGCACTCTCGTGTTGAGTGGAGCAAGTAGGGCTTGTTCGAGCAAGATATCCATGTCTGATCACCAAGTAAGTCGGTGCGCGACCAGCCTTAGCTCAGGGATGCACACGAACGGTGCCACCCATAAGCTCGCACTCCTACCCGTGAGTGGCCAAGAAAATCATGCAGATCACCACACCTCGGTGCCCACGAAGCTTTGGTCTTTCAGGCTCGGTCAATGCACGCAAGCCGCGCCAAGGCCCGCAGCAGGCTGTTCACTTGGCAAGCGAATCCTTCTTGCTCGCTCATTCATGTATTCGCGCATTTGGGTCTGGCTTTGAGCACTCAACGCTGCGGCAGGGTGATGAATCAGGGCTTTGGGATCCTGATCGTCTTGCTGATGAAGAGTGCGGCCCAGGTGAGCCACACCAAGGATAAGACGTGGACTTCAACCTTGGAGTATGAAGCGATGGTCAGCGCAGCGCTCCTTGGCAGCCCAAAATCGATCAAAGACTTGGCGACGTGAGCCGATACGTCGTATCCGATCGTGCCCAGTGGAACACCATCGCCAGCGTTGGCACCTGGGATGAAGTCTCTGAGAGCTCCGAAAAAAGTGAATCCGTCTTGACCCACTCCGCGCTCTTTGGCAAGCACGAGGGGCAGTCCGCCAGGAGCGACTCGACCAGCCAGCATGCAGATCGCCATCCCTCCAACCAGAATGAGAGATGATGGGATAGGCAAACCCTCGAAGTACCGAGCTTTGCCCGTCGCGTCATGCGGAATGGAAGCGGTTGTCACGTTGAATCTCGCAAGTCTAGCGATGCCGGCGCACACAAAGGCGGTCAAGATGATAGAGTCCAAGGGAGTGCGCAAGCCAAGGGCAAAGGCGGCAAAGGCAGGCGCAGCTCCGAAGGACGTCTATCATTTCAAAGAGGAGGCAAGCCGCAAAGGTTCAGGACTCATGTGTGCCACTCGTCGAGGCGAGCTTTCACTTACCGAGTCTGCTAAGCTGTCCAGCTCTTGTCCCAGCATTGAGCTGCTATTGCGCCACCTCGCAACTTTTCCGTCCAGCAGATCGAAGATTGCGCCGAATACCGGGAACCAAAGAGCATGCCAGGCGTGAATGGGATCAGAAGTGATGAGGTATCGAGCTGATGCAAAGAGCGATTGCGCTCCGCAGAACCCGTTCATCAGGGTGAATGCGTCTGCAAGATGGAAGTTCCTGTGGGCACGTATTCCGAACCAGTGTTGGGAGCGGTCAGCAGGTACGACGACACTTGTTCGCGCCGTGGGTTCGCAACTTTGCTCCGCTGCGGCACATTTGAAGCTCACCGAACAAGACTGAAGTGACCAGATGTCTCTACGAACTGCTTCAGGGCGCCATCTTGTTGGATTGCAGCTTCCTCGCTCTTTGCTCTGCTTGATTTGCCCTTCTTTCCCTTGCTCTTGCCCTTGGGCTCGATCGGTCCAACGGCAGGTTGCGCGGTCATCTTTGCCGCGATGTTGGTAGGGGCAAGAGCGGCAGTCGGTGCGGCTGAAGCAACTGCTTGTGCGGCGCCTTGAGATGCGACTCCAGCGGCCGGATGCCCTGATGGCGCTGCACTGACCTTGAGAGACGTCGATGAGGACGCGTCGTCGACGACTGCTGCTTTTGTGAGACCCGACGAAGAGGAGGAGGAGACGAGGATTGGATCGAAGGCTTTTGGAACTGTACCGGGCATTCCTATTCCACTGACTGGTGTTACGTCGTGATGGTCGCGTCGATCGAGGTGACGACCTGAGCCGCGTCTTTGCGCTTCGAGACGTTACCGCGGGTTTTCACTCTAACAATTCTGTGTTGCTGCTGTCTTCAGAGCGTCAAACCGATCAAAGCTGGAGGCACGATGGTGTTCCGATGTGATCTCCGACTACTGGCGGGTATGTGGTACGGATGACCTAGAAAGCCTGTATAGTCAGTGCTACATAGCGACCCTTGCATGGCCTTTCGATGTGACGCTTCTCACGAAGTTTTCGGGACGCATGCAGCAGCAGCAGGGAGAAGGGGAGCAGCACCATCATCCAGTCATCCAGTCACTGCTGTGACCGCACGGTGCACGCGCGCTCAACGCGTCACCATGAGCAGCTGTAGCTCTGCAGCTCGACACCGCGACGCCCGTCTCCGTTACAATCCGCGCCGCTTCATTTCGATCATTCGCGCCTATGCATGCAGTCAGGTGCTGCGCGCCCCCTTCCCGTCGTCGCCCACACCACTTTGACTCGAATGCACGGGGCGTGCGTTCGTGCATAGCACAGCCTTCTGACTTTCCCTGATCACGTTTCGATCGAATCTTGGCTTCCGCACGGCCAGTCGCCCACGTGGCTTTGATTGGACTGACGTTGCAAGGGGCTCGTCTGAACACCTCGCGGGTGGTGGGACACGCAACTTCGAGCGGGTCTCAGACCAAGCGCACAACATGCCTCCGTCCCATAACGGAACCCCCGGCTTGAGGCCTTGCTCGACGCACGACACACTACGCCCGACTTTTGCTCGTCAACATCATCAATATGGCAGGCAAAGATGGGACAAATCGCCTCGAGGAAGGACATCGCTTAACAGGTCACGCCGAGTTCATACGCGCCAAACATCGAAATGGACGAAGCCGGAGGTTGAGGCTGGCAGTCGTGCCCCTCTTGGGTCTGCTAGCGCTGGCATACCTTTCGATGATGCACTGCTCCTCGCAGCAGTGGCTCACGCATACTTGGAGTAGCCGCCATCGAAGCAAGAAGGTCAACATCATCTTCATGATCTCTGACGGATACGGACCCGCTAGCGAAACCTTTGGAAGGGCATTTTCCGCTTACATACACGACGGCGACAAGCCCGAGCAGGACGGTCCACATCACTCAGAGCGACCCGCTAATCAGTTGCCGCACACTCCGTTGGACAAGATTTTGGTCGGTAGTCACAGATCGGCCTCTTCAGACAGCCTCATCACGGACAGCGCAGCAGGTGCGACCGCATTTTCGTGCGCCAAGAAGAGTTACAATGGAGCCATTGGTGTCGACGCGAGCAAAGAGGCATGCGGAACAGTCTTCGAGGCCGCCAAGGCTGCAGGCTGGGCAACAGGTGTTGTCGTCACGAGCCGACTGACCGACGCGACTCCGGCATCGTTCATCTCACACGTCGAGTCGCGCGCACAGGAGCCCTTGATTGCTCTCCATTCATTGGGGCTTTCACCAGAGGCTCTGAACCTCTCAGCGCCTGCTCTTGGCCCAGGAACGACGCCCCTCTCCCCGCCTCTGGACCTCGCAATTGGCGGCGGTGGGTGCTTGTACCTGCCAATGTCACATCCATCTAGCTGCAGGCAGGACTTGGGCGACCTGGTTACTGAGGCCACTTCTCGAGGTTGGCACGTGAAGATGGGTCACGGCTTCAAAAATGCTAGCAGATTCAGCACCGCAAATATGCGCGTCTTTCACGATGGCATACAGGGGTCCGCCGCTCCGAGTGCGGAAGGCTCCGACGAGTCTGCTGAGCATGAGTTCTTAGCCTCGCTGCAAAGGTCTTCCACACCGTTGTTGGCTCTGCTGAGCCCTGCAAACACTCCATTCGAAATCGATCGCCAGTTCTCGGAAGTCAATCGAGCAGCGTTTCCTCCCCTCAAATCGCTTGCGCTGACAGCCATTGATCTGCTGACTCGCTCCAAGTCGAACAAAAAGGGTTTTGTGCTCATGGTGGAAGGAAGCCAAATCGATCTGTGTGCGCACGCCAACGATCCTGCGTGCCATGCTAGGGAAATCGTAGCCTATCAGCAAGCAATCTACGCAGTCCATGAATGGGTCGACGAGGCTAACAAGAGAGGGGAAAAGACAGTACTGATTTCGACGAGCGATCACGAGACTGGTGGTCTCACTTTAGGGCGACAACTTACGTCTGCATACCCCAACTACGCCTATTATCCGAGTCGCCTCATCCCTGCGCGCAAGTCTGCCACTGCCCTTTCTGCACAGTTGGTCTCGTTCGCTACAAGCAGCAGGTCGCCGCCTACCAGGGAGCAGGTCAAGCAATTCGTCGTAGAAGAGTCTCTCGGCAAGAACGGAGCGGGCTTGACAGGACCTGAGGCGGGTGGTCCAGCCACCGATGCGGAAGTGGAGCGGGTGCTCCATTGCATCGGCCACTCGCAAGCTTTGCAAGATCCTCCGATCAACACAGCAGACGAATGCAGAAAGGTCTTTGCCGACATTATGAGCAGGCGTGTGGAGCTGGGCTGGAGCACTTCTGGGCATACAGGAGTCGATGTGCCGGTGCATGCCGCGGGATGGCGCTCTGCTGAACTGGCGGGCAACATCGAGAACACGGATGTGGGCAAATTCATGGAGCGGGTACTAGGAGTGAACTTGCAGCACACCACTCGAGACCTTCTCAGTCGAAGGAGCAAGCGGTCAACGTAAGATTATATATCTTGCTCGAAGTCCCTTCGGATGCCAAACTTCTTCATGCGTGACAGTACACTTGCACCCATTTCACGAGCGAGTGACTGTGACCAAGGCCGGCGGCGGGTATTGAACAGCCAAGGAGCCGTTGGGAAATGGTTTCATGGCATATGCGATGAAAGTACACACTACTGATTGGGTCCGTGTCATGTTCTTCGAGTTGAGTGCGATTCTTTGATGCGAATTTTGATGATTCTGCGTGGGTAGGTAGCTACTGTAGGCGCAAGCATACAATCACGTGTGCCTCTTCTCAGCCGCGCTGCTGAGCACAGCCTCTGCACAAGCGCACACACTTTTTTGTAGCGCGCGAGTCGAGACGCACACGCGCGTGCGCGTAGCTCGGCGACGTGCTGATTTCCGCCCATGAGAACTTTGTGACGCGCCCCACAGGTGCATGATGATGGCGACGTCGAAAGGTCGCGATTTGTTGATTGGGTGTCATCAGCAGCTTCAATCACGAATCACTCGTGACTGCTTCGGGCTCAGGCTCAGATCAGACAGAGCTCAGCTAGACTCGTGAATTCCAAATCATAATCGTGGCCCTTGAATGCTTCTCAGATCTTGGGCGGCTCCTACCATCGCTCGTTGCTTGGCCCCCCCTCATCTACTTCGCGACATCATCCCGCCACGCTGCTCTCCTGCACCGCTCCCGCAGCCTGATTTGCTGTTCGAACATCCAACCAAGCCGCACGTCGGACAAGGACGCCATTTGCAGAAACAGAAAGCACCGCATTCGGCCAGTGGTATTCAAGGGCGGACTCTTCACTGTCAGGCTGTGCGCTGAGGCTCACGAGGTCTTCGACCAGCTCGGGGCATGTGTATGCATTGTTGAGGGCTTGCCGAAAGCGCAGCATCCTAGAGCTTTGCGCAGTCAATTTGCTCCCAGGGTCGACAAGGGGCGAGGGACACGTCTCTGACTTGCTTCGAGCATACACTCCCTGCTTTCGGGTACGCGAGCGAGTATCGCCTGCCAGCAAGTGGGCTCTTCCATGGATGCATTTGGAACGAGTCTTCGCATGGGGGTGTAAGACGCATCAGGAGAGCGTTTCATCATGCCCAGAGTGCCCAGGCCGGGCGAGCCTGCCCACAATCCTTTCGAGGCTGCAAGATCGCAACGATCCTTCAATCTGTCAATGGCAGGAGACTCTGGCAACATCCTGAACTCCTTTCATATCGGACCAGATCAACGACACGATCGTGAGCAGCAGCACGCAGGGTAAGTGACTCGTGGGGCGCGCCCGTAGTCGTCTGAAGCTCATTTGATAGCCTTCGCAGGCCCTCGTCGCTTGCTGCACCGAATGGGAAGAAGAAACCTACTCCAATCTATAATCCGACGCACATGTCGGACTCAGACGAAGAGATGGTGAGTGGTAAAGGCTGCGTGCATCGCGCATCGGACATTTCCGCTGATTTGTACGGCATCAAAGGCCCCGAGGGATCCTTCAACGCCTGACACGGGCGAGCAGAAACCCAAAAGGAGTCAGACCAAGAAGAGGGTGATGTCATCCTATCAACCTGGTCGGGACACCATAAGCGAGTCGACAAGAAGGCCTCCGCCAGGCATCAGCGCAGCCAGAACCTCGACATTCTACCAAAAACCTCGCGGTGCGTATTTGTGGAAATCTCTGCGAGTCGGCTCGGCGTACACCCTCGCATGTGGCGACGTCTCATTCATGACGGCTTTGCTCCCTCTCGTGATATCAGGTGCCAGAGACGACATCTCCCAATACCGAGATGCAAGCCGAAGCGAGAAAAGCGAGACTATCCGTGGCAAGCAGCCCAAACAGCAAGCAACCGGGCCCATTGATCTTACCAACGACGACGATGATGAGGAGGTTTCAGGCCCCAACAGAGCAGGACCTAGCGATCATGCGAAGGGAAAGGAAAAGTTATGCATACCTTTCCGCCGACAGAGCCCGTCCACCGACATGAATCAAGGTGATGGCAGCAGCGACCCCCTTGACATCCTTCCCCCTCGAGACACCGATCGCCCATCTCGGCCCTCAAAAACATCGCTTATGAGGCCAAGACAAGACGCTGTCGAGCCAGAAATGGTCGATCGCAGCGAAACGCGCCAAAGGACGGCGAGAGAATTAGGAACGCCTGCTCCCAAGACGTTTGGCAGGGCGAGAGTGCCAGAGACGACAGAATTCGATCTTGAGCTTCTCGAAATCGGCGATGTCCAAAAACTGACTCTCAAGCAACACAAGCCCAAGCTCATCTTCCACGTCGGCTCGGGCGGTCTCACCCTAGAACTGCAATGGCAGCACTCTCCCCATCGCAACCTCTCCCACGTCGACAAGTCCACATCACACACGATATCGCTGGAACCAGCGCACTTGGAGAAAGTTCAAGTCTCGATGGAAGACAGGGCACTGATGTTATGGCCCCAAGTCAGGGATAGACAGCACCCCCTCACCAAGCATCCCGACTACGATATTCGCTCTGCTTCCACACAGGTTGCCATTACAGTGCATGATCCAGACAACAATTCAGAGACTCGCAAGAGACTTGTCAATTCGCTCAATAGGGTGAAGGAATTGGGGTCTCTCAACATCGAGTGGCTGAGACCAGAAGCTTTTAGGGCAGCTGCCTCTCAAAGCTCTGCGCCTGTTTTGCGAGCCTATCGTCCATCGAATGAGGCCAGATACATCACCGAGAGGACAGAAGCGAGAGATAGCGATGCTGCTGAGAGACGATCGTCACGCATGGAACTTGAAGGCGGCTTGCCGTCGCCTGGTGAGAAAGCTCAGGAACGACCACGGCCGAAACCCCGACCATCTGCTAAAAGTGCGGCCGTCCAAAGCGCTTTGGCTTCTTCTGATGGTTCTCATTTGCCTCAGGTGAGCACCGACAATGGTCCAATGGAAGTCAGTATTGGCTCCGAGTCGAACGCGGACTCGCAAGCGCACGAGAATCCGCCCGCGAAGCCTCGCGAGTTGGTGAAGCGGCTTCGTTATCCTCAAGACAGGCCCGGCGCCGTGGACGTGTACAACGAAGACATTGCCAAGCTTGCAGAAGGCGAATTCCGTGAGTCTATGCTCGAACCAAATTCTTGTCTGGGTACGCCATCATCTTGACCTCTGGCTAAGTTCTCTCAATTGCGTTGGCAGTCAACGACACCATCATCGAGCTTGGTCTCAAGGTGCTACACGAGGAGATACGAAAGCGAGACAGCGAGCTTGCAGATTCGATCCACATCTTCTCCTCCTTCTTCTACAAGCGGCTGACGTCGACAGCGCCGCGCGACTACTCCAGAGCCTACGAGCTGGTTCGAAAATGGGCTAAAGTAAGCATCTTTACCAAGAAGTATTTGGTCCTTCCCATCAACGAGTCTTTGCACTGGTACCTCGCCATTGTTGTCAATCCTTCTTACGCTGTCGATGAAGGTCGAATAGCTGCGATGTATGAGAGACCATCGGATCCAGAGCGAGAACCCGTGATGACTCGGCGAACCAGTAAACTCCGGGCGGACGGCCCTGCAATGCCTGCCAGCGAGCTACAAGATGACGAATCCGACACACGAACCTGTATGCTGTCGACGCCCCCTATTGACTGCGACGCGAGAGGAGACGAAGGGCCGGAGGCTGCTAAGCGTGCAAGACTGCGTTCAGAGCCCGTCGTTTGCTCACCGCCTGGCACACCGGCTGACAATCTTCGCCAGTCTGCGCCACCACCGGAGACGCCTAAAAAGAGACGTCGGCTCGACGACTCAGACAAAGCGACGCCCGCTCGTACACCAGGTCACGATGCTTTGGGAATCAAGCTCACTAGCCCGGGCGCCCGACACATTCCCGTGAACGATATCCGCAGCCCAGGTCCCAGCACCGTTTACAACACTCCTGACGGTTTTGTCTCGCCTGAGAGAGTCTGGAATGGAGCAGGGGAACCCCATTCTTCGATCGACACCTCTTCCTTGATACCGTTCAACGCCGAAGCGATGGTACAACTATCCCAACCAAAACGGTCGAGTCACCAACGTTGGGCGAACGACGATGTGGATGCATTGGTATCCCCAAGTGAGAGAGGCACCCTCCTTGGTGGCGGATCTGTAGAAGAGCAGCAATCTGCTTCGCTTGTAGAGAAGCACCAATCTGGATCGCGTATAGGCAGTCGAGGTAAGTATCCCATTCTCCCGCCTACCTTTTCAGATGACGAAGACGAGAAGCCCCAATACGGTCGCAACTCGGCTCTCTTGCCAGACCCTAGACTTGTAGCGCACGAAGAGAGGACGCAACCTTCGGCATCTCAATCGCCTGAGCATCGGACCACGATGTCGTTACAGCCGCCAGACGTAGCTTTTGCTCCAGCAAGCCGAACATCTCCCGTCAACGATTCGGGTGCTTCGGCAAAGACGTCTCCAGCGAACACGTATGGTAGCAAGGCGCGCACCTCGCCTGCAACCACACTCCACGACCAGAAATCACGAACTTCCACTGCTGCAGCAACCGCGACGCGCTTGGCACAGCGGACAGACATTGCCGAACGCTACTTGGGATACTTTCAGGAAGGCGCGACAGTGCTCGTCTTCGACTCTCTTGCGGGCAAGCACACCAAGGTGACGAAGGATCTGACGAATTACATGAAGTACACTTGGCTTGAGCAGACGGGCAAGTGGCAAGAGGAGGCTAAGAGAACCGTGCCTCTCGATGATGCAAGCTTAGATCAGAAGCTGGCTGTCAACCACATTGTAAGTTGCGACGCTTGATTTCATGCCGGCTGCGCCTCCGAGTCAGGGCCACTGATCGAACATTACCGCGGACGTCATTCTCACTGTCAACAGGACGTTTCAGGGCCTAAGCAGCCGAATTACTGCGACTGCGGACTTTTTGTGCTGCATTACTTCGAACGTTTCTTCAGCGATCCTGACAAATTTTGTCAAGATGTCATTCCTTCCAGACAGCGGGATCATGAGGAGTGGAAGAAGGAGGAAATTGAGCTCGGCAGAAGGCAGCACTGGCGGGACAAAATCGAAGAGCTAGCCCAAGCATGGGAGAGCAAGGAGCGTGAAACTCTCGAACAGAGAGCTTTAGCCAACGCTCTGAAGAAGGATGCGGACAAGGCGGCAAAGGAGAGCGAAGACGCGACGAGGCAAGCGGCAGAAGCGATGGATGAGATGGAGGTGGACGATGCAATGCAAGAGTAGCGCAGAGATCTGAGACCCACAGTCATTGCCCGAGAGAGAGACGTAGCCAGCAATTGTTACATAGAAGCCAAGTCGCAATTGTATAATACCTGTCTGACCACAGCCAACGACATCGTATTACTCGATCCTTCGATGGTGCTGCACGTTAAGTCTTTTCTGTCGGCTGCACGTGAGCAGCGATCGTTGACCAAGTCCTGGATGGCTTTGAGGGCGAAAAAGCAAGCCGAACGGGATCCTTCAAGGCAACTAGATTGGTTACGTGTAAAGAGACCAATTGCACTCACGACGTGCAGTGACCTCCAAAAGCACATCGTGCCCACAATTTGAGCAGTACCTACGCACAACACATAGCTGCTGGGAGGGAAGCTGACCCCTGCCTTGAAATCTTCTACTGCGCCACGCACGGGTCCCACCCGCACTCATTTGCATGTGCGTGCGTGCTCGTCCGCGCACCAAGGTCAGCCACATAGAAATCGCGCGCCAAATATGCGCCTCTAGGCCATGCTGCGTGCGATCTGCTGAGCCGCCAAAGTTCGACGTGAACTTCGGGGTCGAAGTGGAGGTTGGCTCGTGCTCACGGCTCGCGACGATCGAGGTGCGGTCGCAGTGGTGGTGTGACATTTTCCCCTGCCCTTAACAGCAAGGCTCAAACTTTGATCAAAGACTCACCACTACCATTTGCTTCTCAGTTCTCGACGCTCACGCCGACGCGCTCCTCAAGCCTCGATTAAATAATCGAACACCTCGACGAAACAACAACGCCAAGATGCAGGATCCAGCGCGCGAGGTCAAGAATGTGGTCAAGGGCCTCATCGAGGCACCTACGGCTGCGGCTCAGTCGAAGGTCCTCAAGACCTACTTTGCCCCAGACGCTTCTTTCGACCACCCACTTTGCGCTGTTGCATCCAGCCCCAACGTGAGTGGAAGGGCTGCGCTGAGGGAGGGAGGGTGCGGCTGCAGGGCGGACTAAATGTAGCCGGGTCAGGATGATGGATGGGAGGCCGATTTATGATCGCGAGCTCGAGAAGCGCCCTCAGTTTCTGCGTTGCTGAATAGTATTACGCCGCATGTGCCATCCCCTTTTCGCAGTCTCGAGATGGAGGAGTACTGCCAATCTACCAATGGCTGCGATGCATGTTCACTCCTCATATCGATGTGCACAGCGTGGGTGAGTTCTCAGGCGCTCCACATCCTTGAGCTCTAGTACCATTACGCGCCGCGGATCCGCTCATGCGTGGCTTTTATTCACAGCTCTTGACAAGGACAACAACAAACTGTGAGCAAGGCCTGTCAGGCACGAGCTGCAGTGCTACGCGGGGCTGAGATCTTCCTATGCGCAACGCAGCTACATCGACGCGACGCAGACTCTTGTGCCTTCAATCAGCTTGCTCGCAGCCATTCGCGCTCCCGCGTGCCGGTAAGTTGGGAGCTAGCTTTGGCGCACTCTCATGTGCCCCAAGGTTTCTTGACGCATACACCCCAATCGTTCTCGCAACAGCCTCATCGTCGTTCTGTTCTTGCAGCGCGGAGCTGATGGTCGCTTCTACATCAAGAGGCAGGAAGACTACTACGAGCCTCAAGTCTTGCCAGGACTCATCTTCCCAGGTCTGTCCACTCTTATCCAGATTGTCAAGCTGATCATTGGATTCAATTGCTGGGTCCTGACCTTCATCATCGGCTACACTTTGGGATGGGTGAGTGGTCGTGAGGCAATAAGAGCTCGACTGTCCCGCACACACACTGATCATTCCGTGGTCACGCGCAGTGGAATCCTAACGGATCTTCTCTTGCCACGTCAAACGGCCGCAAGGCGGTCAGGGCCTGACACGAAGTTACCAGCAAGGGGGTCATCCCAGCTCGACACTCTAGGCTCGTTCATGTGCACGACTACACAGATTCAGGTGTGACTCGATGCATTGTCCAAACAGAGTGGTGACTAGCGCGTGCTGATGATGGATGAGAACTTGCTGGTGTCATTGTCTTGTCTCGGAAGCGGTGGTCTCACTAAGCCCTGCTCTCTCTAGCAACTCGGCGAGCGAAGAATTGTTGCCATCGGGTGCTCCAGATCTCACCTCCCTCGCTATCTCTGCCGCGCGAGCCCTGGCTACTTCAGAGATAATGGTAGATCGCGACGTCTCCTCAGGCGTAGGCAGATGAGCGCCTGATGCAGATGTAGCAGCGGAAGATGTTGAAGAGTGCAGGTCGAGCGAGGCTGCGGAAGGACGTCTACTTGAAGGAATTGGAACCTCCGAAGTAGCATCGTTTGAGGTGCGCTGCGCGGAACCGGCCACGTCGGCGCTGTTTCCCCTCTGCAAGATCCGGTCGAGACGCAGTGCCTCTGGACCCTCGATCCAGCCCGACTTGAGCGCTAAGCGGAGCAAGACTGCGACTGCGTGCTGCAAGCGTTCCCTGTCAGACTCTAATTCAGAAATGTGTGCGGCGCCGGCGAAGATTTTGGCGGGTGCTTTGACTGATTCTGTGGAGGTGCTTGTATTGGGACCAGCTTCGTCATTTTGTGGATGTACTAACGAGGTTGAAGAGGATGGCGCCTCTTCAGCAGCATCAACTTCAACATCCTCGAGCGGCCGTCCATTCCTCCACAGGCTCTCCTTCTCCACTCCCAATCTGCTGCCCAGCATCTCGATAGCATCCCTAATGTCTTCCACCGCCATTTCTGTCCTATCCCTCTGTTTTCTATTGCTGCTGCTACTCCTATAGCTTTCTCCAATGATGAGCGCGGCAGCGATTGCGAAGAGGAATCCCTCCGAAATAGCAGTTGCGCCATTCTCGATTGCCTTTTTCTCGTTCAGAGGTCTTACTTTGGTATGCGCCGCTGTTCCTCCCATCAGATTGGAGCGCAGAGCCATCTCGCTACGATGCATGCCCTGCGCTAGGTTGACGCATATCTTTTTGAATGTGTCGTGCTGAGCTGCTTGCGATTTGAGCTGCGTAGCGATCGGCTTGGCGATGGTCCGGATCAGTAGCTGCGAGGCAGAGCGCAAGCGAGACGATTGGCTAGAGGTCAGCCAAATGAGTGGGGTGTTGGTAGATGTGGGACATCTTGTGAGCACCCGCAAGGTATGCTATGACTCACTGTTGCGATCTTGGCGGTCGCCATGATTGCGTTATCGCAGTGCACGCAGTCACAGCACCTCGTTCGATCCTTGACAGATCCTAGTCCTTGCCTTTAGTCGCGAAGCATGCGAGATGAAGTGCACATGCGGCTACGTCCGTTGGGTTTGCTGTAGAAGCATCAAGCTCCATGCGTGGTGCCAGTGAGAGCATATAGTCACGAGTGTGCTGGGTTAGCGCTGGGTCGACGTAGGTGCTGGGTGGGGTGTGTGGGTCGAAGCTCAGCTTGAAGTGATGATGCTCAGCGGAGCTCAACTTCCCAACGTGAAGTCCGTGCACTCGCGCTCCAATTTGCATGCACGCCTAGCTGCGAGAATCGATCAGCGCGTGCAAGCCACGTGGCTCACGCTCGCCCGCCGGTTGAGCCGATGGTCGAGCTGCTTCCGTCGCTTACGGTTGTTCCTGCATGCGTACGCCTGATGCTGCATGCTGCTTATTGGCCCACTGCGACTGTCGAAGCTGTCTGTCTCCGATTCATCATGCATGCATGCACCCTTGTGATCCGACGACGATGCAACACGTACGCAGTGCAGCACCACCTGTAGCGTTGTGAGTCGCAGGTCAGGGTCACAACGTGCAGTACTGTAGTGACAAGTCGTGAGTTGTGATGAGCAGCAAGTCATCCAAGTGGCGCAGAAAAGCCTCCGTGTCGTCTACAAAAAGGCAAGGGCGTGGCGGCAGGTATGATGGATTGCTTCATCCGCTCGAGGCAGCAGCAGACAGCAGCATCAGCGCTTGTGTACACATGGCAGCACGCAAAGCTCCGCCTGCACTCATCTAAGCAGATCGGGCAGATCATGTGCAGCACAGTCAAGAGTCAGAGCTACGCGCGGTCACAGTCGTGACTCGTGAGTTGCGCCGTGCATGCTGCATGTTTCAGCGATGAGCTTCATGTCGATGGATCTAATGGAAGAGCTTCTTCACGCCTTCAATGGCGCCGCAACAGAGATCGATGAATTGGGCAAAAGTCAATTTTGCAAGTCCGATCATCAATCAAGGCGAAGGGGTTCCTTGGCAACGCTTCCCGCGCACAGCGGGCAATTGGCATGGCATGGCATGGCATGCGAGCGCTCTACGAAAGCTTCGACTTGAGCAAAAGGCGTCGTGGTCATCGCGCCCTCCCAATGCTGTCAATGCAAAGAAAGCAGCATGACTGAATGCGATCATCCACTTTCCTTATGAGGCTCGTCCAGGAAACCATCTGCGAGGCCCCACGGAGCGTCTATCTATACATCGCACCTCCTAGCTTTTCGTCTGCCTTGACCACCGCTCTCCCCTACGCGCTTCTCCAACACTCGCAGTCATCGCTCGCAGCACCCTTGTGACGTTTCGCCTCGTTTGACGATTGGGCAAGATGAGCGCCTACCGGTACCCTATCGTCTTTATGGCCACAGCCGTGGCGACGTCCATCGTCTCCGTCGTGCTGATCTTGGTCATGTTAGTCCCCTACCAGGAGAGAAGCATCAATCTGTAAGTTGCCATCCATAGCATCAGCTCTTCACTTTCCAAATTGATTAAAGTCCCGCTCCAACCGCCAGCAACGTTGCGATACCGACATCGACATCTAGATATGGATACGGCTACGGTGGCTACGGTGGCTACGGCACTTCGTCTGATTATAACACCAATCCGTATCTGTACTCGGATTACTCGGCAAGCGAAAGCACGTACACCACTACACTCGGCAGCGCTTATGGCAGCGCGTACGTGCAAACCTACACGAACACAAGATACTACTACACGGCCACGTCCACGTATGGGCTCGGCCCTAACAATGCAGCAAGAAGCATTGCAGCACTTGCCCCTCGGGCGACGAGTCCTGCAATGGCTGATGCGCTGATGGGTCGTCAAGCTACGACAGCCGTCTCTAATGGCGCGTCGTCCACTTCTGCTTCACCCTCTACCACTCCCACCACAATCTCAGTCAGGCAAGGTGCGCCAGGTGCAATCCTCCTGATCGTCTTTTTGGTCATCATTGCTTTCATCTTCATCGAGGCGACAGCTCTGGCTGCGTATATCGGTCAAAAGAGCGCGCGGCTGATCAAGCAAGAGCAAGAGGATAACGATGAGGGCGTCAGGCAGCCACTAGCTGCCGCAGCTGCTGGAAGTCGAGGTCAGACCCCAGCGGCTACCGAAGGTGAAGGGTCTGCTGCTGAACGTCACTCCTCGGCTGCTAGCCCAGCAGCACCAGAATTGCAGAATGCGCAAACCACCACGACTGCTGGCGACACTGCTGAGGCTGCTCGTCAGACGGCCACTCCGCGATCGCGACGCTACGCTACGGTCAAGCATGCCAAGTGCCATTTTGCGTGCTTGCTGCTGCTCGCTATCGCTTTGCTGTGAGTGATGCCGAGAAGACATCTACGGTCCGCACGCCGAGAGCTGCTACTGAATGTGCCTCGCCAACGCATGTGCCGGCCCCTGCAGCGTTCCTCTCGTGTTCATCATCGTTACCATCGTGTACTGGCGATCCAACAACGACTTTCAATATCTCTTCACCTCTGGCGCCGGGTACAATGCAGGTCTCTACTTCTCCAACGAGTACGACTCGACTTGCAACTCACCTTCGGGCTACGACTCTGGACGCTACAATGGCAATGGGGTTCTTGGATCGACGTCGGACATATGCAGCGTCGCGCCTGCCGATGCACTCCCGAAGAACTTTGCATACTGGAATGGACCCCTCGTGGCTAGTCTTGTTGTCGGCATCATCCTCTTTGGATTGACCCTGGCGCTCGCGACCCTCGTGTGCATGCTGAGAGATCGCAAGTCTGACCGAGCAGCTCGACAAGCGCAGCAGGCCGCAATGGCGTCTGCGCAAGCTGCCAGGCCTTTCCAATGGCAAGGACATTCGCCACTTTTCGCTTCGCAGAATCCTCCGCCCGGACCGCCCCTCTTCATGGCTCAGGTGGACCCTAGGACTGGGCAACCGATGTGGGGCCCTCGAAGCTACTTTGTCCCGCCGACATTTGCTCCTCAAGCATATGGACCTCATCCGTCTCAAGCGCCAGCAAGCATTCCGTTCAATCAGAACGCTGCCCCGCAGCAGCAAGGCTATGGTCAATTACCTCCGACGCCGAGGCATGAAGGAATGCCTGGACAAGCTATGGAGATGAGAGATCGATCTGTGCTGCCGTCCTCGATGCCCACGGCCATGCAACCCTCGGGCGGTTATGGAACGCAACAGCACCAAGAACAAGCTGGACCAAGTGGCTCTCGACGCAGCGAGCATGATCAACCAGCGGAAACGTCGCAGCAGTACGAGTCGAGGGTGACGCAGCTTGGCAAAGGCAAAGGAAGAGCTAGACAAGAAAATCTTGACGAGGCCTCTGCCCCGAGCGGTGCTAGTGCTCAACCGGGCGAACGCGAGACTGGGAGCAGCTCGGATGCGCACCTGATGTACCAACAGTCTGCTCAGAGCGATGCGAATGGAGTCCGACATGGCGCCGCACGTGCGCAGGAGTCCCCTCGCTTACCTGGCCTAGACCTGTAGCGCGATGCCTCAGGGCGGTTCCTTGCTCCAATGCACATCTTGCGGCGACATGATATGACGCTTATTTATCAACCCAACACATACCTCTCCTGCAATTGTCACCGAGTATACATCTTTATACCTTTTCATTGAAATGAATATCATGTCACTCATCCCAATTCTATCGTTGCCCTCTTGAGCGACGTTTCACAGCGTCGACGCCATTCGTGAATCCGCGAGTCGAAGCATCGTCTTTTCTATTGCAGAGTAGTGTACAGGCCAAGTCCACATCTCAAGCCCAAGCATCCACATTGGCAGAGCTAGTAGCGTCATCAGCGCTACCTTTACCTGTTCTAGCACGAGCTTTGGCAGCAGCTTTGCTATGATGATCGTCGTGAGCCCAAGCTCTTCTACCAACGAGGTCCCCGACCAGCTCGGCGATGGCTAGGCTGCTAGTCAAGCCAGGAGACTCTATGCCTGCAAGCGTGATCATGGTTCCACCAGCATTGACTGACCCATGCTCCGCACCATCTTGCGCTGCTCCCAGTGTCAAAGCCTCTTGCCATATGCGCTGACGTTCCAGATTGTTGCTGTGGTGCAACAACACACCAAAGTCTCTGAAAGCGGCACCTGGAGGTACGAGCTTGGGTCTTATACCTGCATAATCAGGCGAAAGGCCTTCTCTGAGAACGTCCGGCAGGTACTGCTGCACGGCTTGATGGATGAGATCAAGGCGCGACTCTTGATCTGCGTCTTGATGCGAGTGAGGAACGCGTGTAAGAGGAGCGAGAGAGGAGCTCCAAAAGTCGGGCGAGGCGTCGCGTGGGGGATGTAGCCACTCAGTATCCGGCCCAAACTTGATACCGCCGTTCAGATCGATGGTCAAGTGCGCTGCAGAGCGTGAAGGGAGCAAAAGGTTTGAGGCTTATCCTTCAATGACCGCGCCGACCCATTGCTGACCCTGATACTCACTTCCAAGCCCTTGATGTTTGTGTGGGTCTCCCCCTTGGTCCATTCCGAAAGGCGTAGGGTAAATGAGATGCTTGACATGTCTGGCGCCTTGACCTTTGTAGCTTGCATAGTTGCCCTTGGAGTAATAAGCCGCCAATGGCGCAATTTTCCTCGAAGAGTCATCCACTGACTCTCCACTGCCCTCTCTGGCCCAATCTTTGGGCGCAGAGCCAAAGTGTCCGTCTCTGAGTAGCCCATTCAGTATAGCGGGAGCTGTGAGACCGGCCGAGTTGATGACGACTTTGCTCCGCAACGTGTCCACATCGTTTGACTCTCCCGTGCGCATATGCACGATCCAGCCTTGATCCTCCGAGGAGGCGCCTCGCTTCGAAGACGAATTGGATGAGGCAGAAGCAACCAGGATAGGCTCCACCTTCAGCACGCTCGTATCGTACACGATCTCTGCAATTTCCGAGTCCATGACCTCCTTCTCTAGACTTTCCATATACTCGTGCGAGGATACGATGCCAGTCCGAGGGCTGAAGACTGCCGCACCGATGCCCTTGCTAAGCTCAGGCTCCAGTTCTCGTGCCTCATCTCCGCTTATCAGCGTAAGCTCCGGTCGATGCTTGCTAGGCTCTAGACTCGATACGTGACGTAACATCGACTCGAAATAGGATCTGGCATTAGATGGGCCCACCACGAGCTTGCCGATCTGCTTGTGTGGCACGTTGTAAGACGAGCAGTACTCGTACATCAGATCCCTTCCTCGTATGCACATCCGGGTCTTCAAGGAGTCCTTCGGATAATACAAGCCTGTGCAGTGAGTACGTAGGAGAGCCATCAATGCTGGCCGCTCTGTGCGCAATTCAGATCTAGACCTTCATATTGGGCGGCGATCTCACCAGCGTGAATGACTTCCGAGTTTCTGCTGCTCGTTTCCTGACCAGGTTGCTGATGCCTCTCCACTAGATAAGTCGTTCTCTCGGGCCACCTTCTTGTCAATTCTCTCGCGATAGCGAGCCCAACGGCTCCAGCTCCGATGACTAGATGATCCACCGAAAGGTCAGAGCTCAGCGCGGCCTGAGCCGCTACATCGCTTCCTCTTAGCAGCGGGTAAAGGGGCTCCGGTGCAGCGTCAGCCATGCCGGAGCGGCTGCTAGTCGCAAAGCATCTCTGGCAGGCCCATCTCGACGCAAGCGACAAAGGTCGACTCATCCGACCCAATGAGCTGGTACGCAGCATGCTTGACCGCGAAAGCTTTGAGAAGCAGCACGGAGCGGTTGCGGTGTCAGGTACCAAGGAGAGACAAAGGGTGATGGTGGAGAGCGGAGTGGTCTGCGCCGCAGATCAAAGAGCGGCCATTCTCTCTGCAGTCAAGACGCACTCACACGAGCGTGCATAATTGTTGACTTTACTAGCGCCCGGCGGCGGATGTATGCGTCCCTGTGTGCCTCCGTTGGCGGACGGACAAACGAGGCGCGGCGAGGCTCATCCTTTCTTCCTTCATGCACTCACTCCACCAGCAGGGGCTATGCTGGACATGTTCTTACGACTCGCCGACTTCACTTCCTCTGCAGAGGGTCGGCACCAAGTACTTGAAGTAGGGTAGATGCCAACTCGAACCCAAAAGACTCATCGCATCTACCCGTCAAGGTCACGCAACCGTCAAGCCGAGGATGTTTTCCAAATTTCTCCGAATTCATCCTTCTTTAGGTCTCTCACACGCGACTTCGCGTGGGGCCGCTGTCACCAAGCCGCTCGTGGCATTGGAGAGCACCATCATCACGCATGGCTTGCCCTTTCCCGCTAACTTGGAAACTGCCAAAGCTTGCGAAGAAGCGGTGAGGGACGTCGGAGCTGTGCCTGCTACCATTGCTCTTCTAGATGGCTTTGCAAATGTAGGGCTCGCGCCTGGTCAGCTGGAGCGGCTAGCTGCGTGTGGCAATAAAGGCGGATCGAAAAAGAAGGAAGAAGTGGTCAAAGCTGGCAGAAGAGATCTTGCTGCGGTGCTGGCTCGTCCTGATGTCATTGGTGGGACTACCGTGAGCGGAACTATGGTCCTGGCTCATCTCGCTGGCATCGAGATATTCGCTACTGGGGGCATCGGCGGCGTACATCGAGGCGCACAGGATTGTGAGTGGTCTTTTTGAAGTCATATGCCTTGCATTGTGGATAAGACGAGACATGCTGAAGTCCCAGGTATCGTTTCGTCGTCCACAACGATGACGTGGGGTACTTTAAGCTATGGACATCTCTTCTGATCTGACGGAGCTTGGCAGAACGCCAGTGTCCGTGTTCAGCAGTGGTGTCAAGTCCATCTTGGACATTGCGCGCACTCTCGAGTATCTCGAGACGCAGGGAGTTGGTGTGAGCTCCTTCAACCGCTCCGGAGAGGTGAGTGGAAGGAAGCTTACCCAACACTCCAATTGAACGAGACCAAATTGATGCTCACATACGCATCGAACCCTGGGCAACGCAGTTTCCAGCCTTCTACTCTGCCAATTCAGGTCATTACGTGCCTGCTGTGAACTCTCCACGACAGGCAGCTGAAATACTCTATGCGGCTAGAACACTGGGACTAGACTCAGGTCACCTCTTTGGAGTTCCGATTCCATCCCAATTCGAGCCAGCTGGTCAAGCAATTAGCTTGGCGGTCGAACAGGCAGTGCGCGAATCTGAAGAGAATGGCATCGCCAAATCGGGCAAGGATGTAACTCCCTGGTTGCTCAAACGCGTCACTGAGCTGTGTCCACAAGCTCTCGAAAACAACACAGCGTTGGTCATCAACAATGCGAAGGTGGCCGCGCAGACCGCTGTGGAGCTGCAAAAGATACGAGCGGACAGAGATACGAAAGTATACCCAAGCGCGGTGCCCGACAAGGCCACGGAGAAGGCAACAAGTATCATCGAGACCGCAACCGACACCGCTCAAATCAAGGCTTCTTCAGTGACCGGTCCTCACCGTAGAGTGCCAAGAGCCGGAACTCTGGTGATCGGTGCTGCCGCGCTCGACGTGACTGCGCAAGGAAGCAAAGATGCCATCTCCTCTGGCACCACCTATGCCGGCAGGGTCACAACGTCGCCGGGAGGCGTAGCGCGAAACATGGCGGAGGCGGCCACACGACTTATGCGGACGCAAGATCCCCACGCTGTTCAGCTGATAGCTCCTGTTGGAGAGGACGCGGCAGCTGTGACGTTGAGACAGGCCATGGAAGCTTCCTTCATGCGGACGGATGGCCTGCAAATTCTCAAACGGGACCGCACACCCTCTGTCGTATTGAACCTTGACGAGAGCGGCGATCTACTTGGCGGCATTGCAGACACCGAGGCACTCGAAGACAGTAGTGCAGATACGACCTCTCGGTTGGCTGCTCGGCTTTCATCTCAACTTCCCCTCACCATAGGGCTGGACGCCAACTTTCAGGAGGAAGCCCTATCCAAGGTCGTAGATTCTGTGTATGAAGTGCAGACCAAGCGTCGGTCGCCTGCAGTGCTGTATGAGCCTACTTCTGTTGCCAAGGCACCGAGGCTAATAGGCGCACTCCACAAGATCAAGGAGAAGTACGAGGATGACCTGAACGTGAGGCACATGGGCATCATCTGGGAGAGCGCGGAGGGCCGGAAGGACCGGATAGGTCGCTGGTTACGGGACTGGACGACATTCATGACCCCTAACGAGAGCGAAGTCGAAGCCATACACTCTGAAGCATACAAGCTCGGTTTGCTTCCGTGGAATGCGGACAAGGTGCTGTTCAGATCTCCCATTGTACACGGAGACGTAGAGAAAAAGGCGCAAGAGCTCTCTGCACTGGTCTCGGGCGCAATCTTAGTGAAGATGGGCTCTAAAGGAGTCTTACTTGCACAATCAGCTCGTGATTGTGATAGTGGCGAGCCGGTGATATTGTCGCGCCTCTGTCCGCCACCGACTCGAGTCACTCCAGACACGGAGCTCAATACGACGGGTGCCGGTGACACGTTTGCAGGAGCTATGCTCGCTCTCTGCCACGTCTCGATGCAAGAAGGAGTTCATCCCCAGTACTGGGACTCGGAATACTTGGACATGGCAATCGAGATCGCGCAGAGAGCTGCTGCCCTCACATTGGACTCCGCCCAAGCCGTCTCCCCGCTGCTTGAACCACTTCTTGGCGAAGAAGTGCTGGACTTCGGGCTCTGCCTCCGCGTCGACTCGAGAGTGTCGAAGCACCAATTTGGGGTGAGGCCTGGCACGGACTAAGTAGGTACGTTCTCGCTGCCGAAGCGCTGCCCAAAAGGATATGCGTGGACTGTAGACCAGCAGTCTCCATGGCCTCAGGAAATCTGTAATTTGATCTTCAGTTATGGCCATGCCATCACACGGCCGATGTGGACGCCAAGGCACTGATCGCTATATCTCGCCAGGAGTTCCCGAGGATTAGCTCTCACGTCGTGCCTGCGGTACTAAAGCTTCATCACCTCTCTGGAAAACCGCGACGTCGACTGCACGAGCAGGTGTAATGCGCATGCTTTGCATACTGTGGCTGAAGAATCAAAGGGCTGTTCTTCACCGTCAGGACGCAGATATCTTGAATAGTCGCACTGTCATCATGTGCCGTGGGAGCGAGCTCACAAGGTAGTGATGATCTTGTCTCGCAAATATGCAAGAGTAATGCACAAAGTACCGATGGATGATGATTTTCTTGGTTCGCATTCGCGGTTTGCTCCAGTCAAGAGTGGGACCGCGGCAAATATGCAGGCCAGATTCCATACGCAGGCAAGAATCAACTCCTGCAGCGAATTCAGGAAAAGCGCCTCCACTCGGCTCGCTGCGCGAAAATCTGAAACGGCTGCCCTCTTTACACCTTCCTTCACGCAATCGCATCAACGCTGCTCTTGACTTGCCTTCACCACTACCGCAAGACTGCAAGACGTCAATCTCACGACGATCCTTGTCGGCAGCATTTCTCCCTTTTGCCTAACACACTACAATCACCAAGTCCTCTCCGCCATGGCATCCTCGCAATCGCGAGCTAGCCAGCCCCTGATTCTTGTTCGTTCCAGCGTAAACATAGATGAGACGTATCGGGTACCGCACATCGTTCGTCCAGGAGAGACGCTCTCCTCCACTAGCCTAGTCAGTCGATCAGGTGGTAAAGGTGCCAACGTCAGCGCAGCTCTGGGACTGCAGGGGGCCCAGGTGTATTTGTGTGGTGCTGTTGGCAAGGATGCGGATTGGCCTGTGGAGGAGCTGGAAAGGAGGGGTGTCAAGAGCGATGCGGTCTTGAGGTTGGACAGGGTGCCAACTGGCAGGGCGATCATCCAGATCGCAGATGATGGCGAGAACAGCATGTGAGTAGCGAGGAGGCATGAAAAGTAAGCTGCATGTGCTAAACGCTCATGTCGCCATCGCTTTGCCGAGTGCTTCAGCGTGCTACTCCCCGGAGCCAACTTTCACAGAGAAGCGGCTTCCACCTCCGACCCCGCGACAGCATTTAAAGCTTTGCCTCGTCCACCCACGCATCTGGTGCTGCAGAACGAGATTCCTTTGGAGCACACCAAAGCGTTCTTGTCACACGCTCATGCGCAAGGTGTCACGACGATCTTCAATCCTTCGCCAATGCTCATTCAGGAAAAGGTGCGAGACTTTGCTTGGGATGAACTGAACGTGCTGATCGTCAACGAAGGAGAAGGTGCAGATCTGCTCGAAGCTTTCGGCGTCAGGGTTCCCGAAGGACCGCAAGCGGTGCTCGATGCTCTGAACGATCTGAAGCAGCTAGCAAAGCTAGACTGGATCGTCCTGACGAGAGGTTCAAAGGGTGTCATTGCGAGGGTCAGGCTGTCGGATTCTCGCGAGAACGAACGTGCAGTGCTGGACAAGCCGTCGGTCAAGCCAAAGGAAGTCAAGGACACCACTGGAGCTGGGGACACGTTCGCTGGGAACCTCATTCATACTCTTGCTCAACATCAAGCCAGCGAACAGACGACCAAGCTGCTCAAGCGTAAAGATGCGGAACACGTGCTGGAATGGGCTGTCACAGCTGCCTCGATGGCTGTAGAAGTAGAGGGCGCACTGGAAAGCATACCCAAAAGGCAAGAGGTGCAACATAGATGGGAGCAAGCATGGTCTCAACAGTGATATCGCACCGCACGCAAACTCTTTGATGAAATGCATTCATTGCGTACTCGGTACCACAGATTTGCTGAGGATGTCGTAATCGTACTCTGTCTCGTTATCATCCTTTTGATCTAAAGACGTCGCGCTCTCTGTAGACCATTGATTGGGACTGATCGAGTCGGTCCAGTATCTGCTCATCATGCGTCAGCTTCGTTCACGGTCGGATGCAGAGGGGACAGGGATGCGAAGCAAGCACTCACCCGGTCTTCTTATAGAAAGCTTTGGCTTCGAGATTGTTGCTAAAGACTGTCAGCATGACTTTGCGCATGCGAGTCTTGCAAGCGATATGCTCCAGCTGTTGCATGAGAAACCTGCCCAAGCCGTTTTTTCGGTGCGGTAAGGATACCTGCAGCTCGTAGCTATAGGCGAGAGGGAACGCTTTGAGCATCACAAGATGGGCCTGTTGGTGACTGAAGCCGGCATCCTACGCACCAATAAGCCACTTCGATCTCTTCTTCTCTCCTGCGACCTGGTCTACGACGCTGCGCCGGATCGGACGGATCACACTCTTCTGTATCAAAACGCCATACCGCGAACGCCGCTGGTCGAGTGATAGACGATTGGGCGCCCTCGACGAGAATCAAGAAGCGGGACTGATGGTCAAATATTTCGGTCCTTTTCTCAGCTGGTTCCCAACCCTGAGCTGATCCTTCGTAGCTGTAAAAGGTGCGGTCGTATCAGGATCTGCTCCCGCTCACGCAGAGCATCCTTTACGTACTGCGACTGCATGTTTGCTTGGAAAAGAGCGAAAGTTTCCTCCTTCTCTGCATCGGAAAGCCCCGCAGTAGTGGCCACCATGAGGGTGTATCTTGCGGTGGGGCATGTATCAGGCATATGAAGGGCTTGGCTCCCTAGGCGTCTTGGCATACACGGCGAACTCACTCGGTATTCGCTTTCTTCAAAGTCCGAGACAGTCCGTCACTCAGGTTCTCCCTGCTGACCGTAGACTCGTCTGGTAGCGCTCCATTTTGAGCGTCGTTTACGTGTACAAGACGCTCGTCATGGTCTAGCAGCTCGAGCAGCTGTGCAGCAGTGATCTGATGTTCGTGATCACACGATCAGCATTGGCTATATGTATAGTCGATCAGCACGATGTCGAGACCGCGGTACATACTTTTTGAGCCCTGGCAGCCACCTGCTTTGCGGATAGGAGAGCGGGCGGTGCGCTCAACCCATCAGCAGCTCCTGCAGCTTTGCCTCTTGCGCTCAATCTGCCATGGCTGGGCATGGCTTGATCCAGCTTCGCACGCGCTGTCAAAGATCCATCCGCGTTGGCTCAATGCGTCGCAGCTAGACTTGCCGTCGTGGCCACCGCCTCACCTCACGCCTTTGCGTCAAAGCTAGCACGTGCTTGCCCGATACGATGGCTATGTGACACCTCCGAATGCTCCGATCGTTCCTGACATGTGCTCTGAGATGACGAGCGGCCTATGCTGGATTTAGCTCCTTCAGCGATTCGTGAGAGTGAGTCTCGAGTGCCGCGGCTGTGTGCAGCCTTAGGCTGGTTTGCAGGGGCCCATATGCTGGGCTTGATGAGGTTTTTGCTGCTCGCTGCTTGATGGCTCGCGCACACGCATACGCTGCATCAGCACCGCGTCAGAATAGTTCGTTGTGTTGACGCACGAGCAAGCGCTAGCTTGGGCGTTGGTTGGCGCAGCGGCGCATGCGGTTCTCGATCAAGGCCGCGCTGCTGTTACGCCGCTATATACATGAGTGGCGGGCTCGCTGCGCTATTCATGCTGTGTACCACCCGCGATCAGCCGGGTGAAACAGCCGCGGATCGAAGGGAGAGCGAGCCGTCACGTTGCCCTTCAGCATGGCCAATTTATATATCTTGATCGGTACATGAATGGCGTTGGGCGTGCTGATGCTTCGTCTAAGGACCTTTGGAGCCTGTCGCATCATACCAGCACATCGTCTGCGAGGAAGCATTACGCTATTCTGGCCGATTTGCAGGCCAGTCTGCCATGGATGCAGCGTCGTCGACCTCGAGGTCTCACCATGCACTCTCAGGTCTCGTCTTCGCGCGAAGGTCTTGCATGGAGATGCATGCATCCGCGAGTCTTGACTTGACCTGCGCCTTTTTGCAGCTCGTCGCGCTCGTATTCAGCTCACGACCGTGAGTCAGAGCAGTCTCCTGTGCACTCCATGACTGGGTCTGAGTGGAATGATCGTTTGTGCTGGCATAGGTTACGTCGTGCACCATTTAAATGCCTATTTGGACAAATTTACACAGGCACGATAATGATGACCGACACGCGGAACCAATTATCAGCTCTCTCAGCCGCGATCGAATGAAGCGCAATCACGTATGTGTGAGACAACATGCCCATGCCTGATGCGCTGGTTCTCCGCGCGGCCTGCGAAACCCAGGAACGCCGCGCGCGCACGGGAATTGCATTTCTCGCGCGCATCACCGCGTGGAAGCTCGGTCTTTCGATCTTGACTCGTGATATGCAGCTGCTTCTGCATGCATGCCGCGCAAGAAGCCTGCTGCTGCAGCCTATAGTCCAGCCGCTGCATGCGCACTGCTCCAGCAGCAGATCGAGTAGAGCGAAGCCCCAACAGGGCAACAGACGCCCGCAAGGTCTGCTGTGCTGCTGGATGCTCGCATTCCTTTTGAGTGACCGACCCACCGAACTGCACACCTTATCATTCCGATGAATTCCTGCCTGCCTTCTATTCACCATTGCACCAATTCCCTGACGCACTCGCCTTCTCTCATCTACCTCCAGCCCCTTCAGCCCTCAAGCCCGGTCAGTCTGCGCGGGGAACGCTTTGCTTTCACATATCAAGGCTGGAATAAACTGCGGCATCGCCCAGTCTCGCTGGGATATTTGAGCCCGACTCGAACATACGAGGATTAGATCCTTTAGGATTTCGCACATCTCAACCAATTGACTGAGAACTGTTAGTGGAAGCGACAACATGCCCTCGAACGGGTTCGGTCGCGAATCTGTGTCCACCATGGACCGATCCGGTGGCTCTAGCAATGGACACGGCAGCAATGCCCATGCGTCAGGTTCCGCAAATGTCACTGGAAACAATTACAATCAGTACCTGGCTGATGGGAGCGTCGCGCCGCGCTTGCAGCGACGAGCGGGTAAGGATTGGCTACCATATCAGGGAGAGAGACAGCTGATCATCAGTATCGATCTGGGTGAGTGGCTGGCCTTCGCAGCGCATCGAGTACTTGATCCGATTTCGGTGACGGCGCATGCTATGCGAGTATGGACCGAGTGCTTGGGATGGATGCTTCTTCATAAGCAGCCAGTCAGAAGCAGCCAGGAGAGCGCTCAACTGACCATCAGCCGCTTTTTATAACAGGTACAACTTACTCCGGCGCATCTTACTGCATCCTTGAGCCTGGGAAGAAACCTCGTATCGAAGATTGCCGCGCTTACCCTGGCCAGGCCAGTGGTCTGTGTGAGTAGCAGGTCTGGCTGCTGAAGCCAAATTGTGGGGGCCGGGGAGTGCTTCAGAGGCCTCGGGGCAGCCCTCACTTGCAATGACTGAACTTGTCTGCGCCATGCTGCGTTTGCTCCACTACAGCAAAGGTGCCATCCGTTGTCACCTACGACGCAGAAGGCAACGCCAGGTTCTTTGGTGCTGAAGCAGAGGGCCCTGAAGCAGATGTAGTTCTGGATGAAGGTGGTTCGCAGATCCGCTGGTGGAAGGTAAGTGCAAAGTTCGGCAGAGAGGACGCAGTGAAGCGCCAAAAGGAAGGCGATTGCTTAGCTGAGCTGACGCCGTGCTTGGCACGCCTCTCGTGCACACGTCTTCCGTTGCGTACACCAGCTGCACCTCAAGCCTGCACACTTGCACGTCATTCTCGCCGGGGACTCCAATGAGACGACGGATCAGCTGGATTTGGATCCACTGCCCCCTGGTGTCACTGCCGAGCAAGTGTGCTCCACTTTTCTGGCATACATCATTCGTTGCGTAGTGAGCATGCCTGCGAAGCTTGGTCCTCATGTATCAGCATTGATCTCGAATATCTTTCTAGGGAGCATATATCTTCTCTCGTTTGCACAACGGAGCCGAAGTCCTCCAAACTCTTGGTCAGAATACCTCGTAGTGAGTCGATGACTTCAGGAGCAATTTATCTCGATTCGCTCACAAAGTGGTTTCTATAAACAGCATCATCACAACGCCATGCGGCTGGGAATTACAGCAGCAGCAAGTGCTTAGACAAGCTTGCATCAACGCTCAATTGATTCCCCCCGAGAGAAGTGATGCCATCCGTTTCGTGACAGAAGCAGAGGCATCGATCAATTATTGCGCAATGTCAGCGGCGGGCGACTGGCTGGAAAAGCCAGGCCAACATCTGATTGTGCTCGATGCGGGAGGTGGAACGATCGACATCACCACCTACGAGGTCACGAGCGTTTGGCCCGCGATTGAATGCAAAGAGGTTGGAGTGAGCGACTGCATCATAGGTGGTTCTGCTACTGTAGATCACAGAGCTATGCTTCTGATCCAAGGTGAGTCTTCACGATTGATCAGCTACACATGTCTCTGGTCTGACGGCCTCAATTTTCGTTCCCATGATCAGACCGCCTGAAAGGCACACGTTGGGACAACTTTGAAGACTTGCGCCATCTGCGCCAAGCATTTTCTGAAGGCATCAAGGTGAGGTTGGCAGGCTTGAGAATTCCCGCATTCACCCACCTGGTTGCTCACTGCACTTTCTCCTCTCAAACCATGATGTTCGGCAGCAATCCTTTGCGCGCGCGGATGTGGAGCAGATTCTGCTGCCCATCGGCTCCTCGTCGGAGTCGGATTCCAAGATCGGTTTGCGCAGAGGCAAATTGGTCTTCACTGGCAAAGAGATTGCAGAGCTCTTCGAACCTAGCATCAAGGCTACTGTCGAGTCCATCGAGAGGCGTGTGGAGCAGTGCGGCGGCGGTGCCGGCAGTCTCATCACAGTTGCTGCGGTGGGCGGATTTAGCGAAAGGTTAGTGAAAGTGGATCACTGTTTCCGATTTGGAATCTGCCAGACTGAGCCAAGACACCCCTCCCATTTTAGCGAATTTTACCGAAATGAAGTGCAGCGCCGCCTGGGAAACAAGGTACAGCTCAGCAAGCCTGACGAGAGCACTGCAAAGGCTGTAGCAAGCGGATCCTTGGTCTGGTTGATTGATGGCGTAGTGTCGAGTAGAGTGTCTCGTCTGGACTACGGCATCAAGTGTGCTACCGTATACAAGCCCGAGAAGCCTGGTCACGTTGCTCGCAGGGGTCAAGTGTACAGTGGAGTAGATGGCACTGAGCATCTGCCGGGTGCCTTTGGATGCGTGCTGCGAAAGGGAACGAGCGGAAGAGATGACGAAGAGCACGTGAGTATGCAAATAGAGCCCGTGCCTAAACTCTGCGTTGTTCTGACTTGCCATAATTGCCCACCACGTAGATCTCGCCTTTTGTTTTGACATGGCTCAAGAATGTGCCCTGCACCGCTGCCATTTCGCTCTATGTATATCGTGGCGATGAGGAAGGCACAGAGGTGAGCGTCTGTCGAAATTGTCGATCTCTGTGGGCGCTGCTTATAGTATCCTCATGTGCAGTTCGTCGACGAGGCGGGTTTCGAGCAGCTGGCTACTTTCATGATTGAGTGAGTCGCTCGCTTCACCACAAGACGCTCTCGAGTAGCAGAGACGGGTCGCTGACTCCGGCGCGGTTTTCAAGCATGGAGCCGTTCCGGCCACTGCTCAAGACTTGCCGTTCGACCGACGGAGGGGAATACATCAGGGCAGACGTCGAGCTAGCGATGAGACTGAACGCGACGGAAATTTCAGCTCAGTGCTTGTTCAGGCACGGAGGCTCGCTCTACCGAGGACCGGTCAGCGTTGCGGCGACTCACAATTAGGCATGTTCTGGGCATAAAGGTGTGCTGGAGCGGATCCCTCCATCAGTCGCGAATACGCTGCAGACTGGGCTTGCCGCTCTGCGCCCCGGTCAGGATGGCCGTGGAATATACCCTGCGCTTCTATTTGCCATATTCTCTCATCTCAACAAATAGCAGATCCACTCTGAGGCGCATATCGTGCGTGTCGGGTCAAGAATCTCCAGCGCGGCGTAGAGGTCGGGTCTGTCCTCCCTTTTCGAAGCTCTTGGCCCTGGCATATACTTGTAAACACCTTGTACAAGCAACCTTACAGTGGATCGGCCGACTGCTTTCTTAAAAAAAAAAAAAAAAAACCCCGCATCTGAGCCGTGGATCACAGATTTAGCAGATGATGCTGATCCGCTAGCGGGTCGTGAAACACAAGCGTCCGATCTGGCTGCGATCTTCGCACACGATCTGATTTTCATGAGCTCCTCCGATCATCATCATCATCGTCATCTCATTGCAAGATCTGCATGGAGCAGAGAGGTATCCTGAACTCGTCCAAGGTCCAATAAGCTCTCTTTGTGCCCTTCCAAATCAATTCTGTATTCGCTAGCGCGGGTCTGATGGTGTGCCACTGCGTTTGCAAGCCTATACCGATCAGATCTAGCTCCGCCACGCGCGTATAGACGTCTGAGTGGAGGTGGAGAGGTCGCGTGTGAGGCCAGGGGGAAGAATCGGTTCTGCACAAGTCTGGGCGCATTTTTGTAGCTTGAAGAAAGCTAGTCAGGTCAGCGCGATGCTTACCGTATAGAAATGGGTTCGTACCTGCTAGACCGTGGACTGTGGCAGGTGAGCCAGGGTGGATGGGGATGAGCGGGCAGTCGGCAGGACGAGAGCGGATCGCAAATGGCATGCATCAAGCATCATTGTACCGACAGAATGAGAAGCGAGCAGAGGGGCCGGAGACGAGATCTGGCAACTTGTCGAAAAAGTCGTTGAGCGCCGCATAATCTTCCGAGTATGTGTCGGTATAGATGACGTCTTGGTTTTGCCAAAGAAGATTCCTCCTTGATCAGTATGGATTACAAGAATCGAATCTTTAGGTGGCCCAAGGTCTGCAGCTCTTTTTGCTCACCAAAGTCGCTCAGCTCCGCAATGCACTCTTGCCATCTCTGTTGGACCACTTGCACGCCTGGCTTGGATTGCCAACCTTGGGCGCGAAGGTGAGCTACGACGTCCGCGTGTGGCTCTACGATGACATGGCGTCCGGGCTTGTAGTTTTGAAAGAGCGTGTCGATCTGCAGATGGGGAGTGTGTCCTGAGCACGTTGGACGTGGAGCAGCGGTTGGGAGAGAGTGCGAGAATGAAGTGCTCACGATGCCGAGGCCAAAGCCTATATTGAGCACGCTGAATCCCTCTTCCTGACCTGCGCACAGCAATTCTGCAGTCTTTTCCATGATGTCGCTTCAGAAGAGCAACGGCATTGCGCTCAGAACTCCGCTTTCTACGTATGGACTCTTGCCGAGCTGTGAGCACACTCACGTTTCCCAGCCCGCCATGACCACTCCACCGTCCACATCGACGCATCTCTCTAGCCCATCCTCTCCCCTCTCGAACGACAATTTGCTGGACAAGAAGGCCTCGTTATTAGCTGATACCTCTCCGTGAGCATCAGGTCGAAGGACGAGATGCCCATCGGCTTGCACTTCCACCAACATGCCCTCCGCATCTGCACCCGTCTCTTCCGCTGCTGCATCCTCGGCAGCCTCGACACGAGCTCGCTGATCGAGAGCATTGCGAAGCATCGTTTGTCGCACGCCCTCTGTTTCGCGCACGACCGGCTTGAGAAGGCTCAGCGCGCGGTTGCAAGTGCTAGACGTCACATGCTTGCTCACCATCCATGATGGCCCGATATGTAGCTGCGTCATTGAGGGACCAAGCGACCTCGGCTGCGGTGATGCCGTTAGAGTCGACTGATGAAACGCCGTGCAGACAAGAAAAGGAGTACACGGAGAGCATGAGCATGAGCAGAGCACGATCGCTTGATCGAGTTTCACTACAAGCCACCTTCATCTGAGAATCAGCGAGACCCACCAGCATTCCAAAGCGCTCCTCTTCTGAGCAAAAATCTGACCAATTTGGTGTTGCCGCTCTCCGCAGCGAAATGCAGAGCGCTCCATCCGATCGTCCCCTCATCCTCCCACCACGCATCCGCACCTCGTTCCAAGCACTCCTTGGCCCTGTCAAGATTGCCAGCTTCGCACGCTTGGTGAAGATGCAGGTTGAGAGAAAGTCGAGAGGCGGAGAGACCATTCGCATGCTGCGACGATTCTGCGATCTTGTCGCTTGAAGAAGCATCGCCTTCCGTCTGCATTCTCGCCACAATTCGAGTCGCGGAGGCGGAGCACGTCTGGGGGAACGAGAGCCTTGTTGAGGGGAACGTAACCTGGATTGTGGTTCAGCAACTTCTGTCTGGGAGGTGGAGGTAGTGCTTAGCGAGAAGGAGGGAAGAAAGTGGAACATCAGAAAAGATTCGGGGTGGGTGAAGCGCCGGCGGCGGGTCGGGTGCATGCCATGCTGCACGCGACGTTGCAGTCACCATGCAGTTCACGTACGCGTTGTTGCGAGCCAACACGTCCGTGCACATCGTGTAGGTACAGCTGCTGCATGCATGCAAGGGGCGGCGCCATCAAACTGCGCCATCAAGAGCAGCAGCAAGCAAGCCAGGCGAGCTGGCTCGTGCTGCTGCTGCTGCTGGTTGCAATCGTGAATCGTGAATGAAGCAGCTCGCATCATGATGAGACCCTCCCTGCCGCTTTGTACAACGATGCCAACGTCTAGCGATCCTTCATCTCAATCGTCAATCCATCCAATCAGAATCAGAAGTGCGAGTTTCAGTCGACACCTCAACCGAAGCCGCTTCCCCCCCTTCCACCACGAATCTTGAACCTTGACAGTCAGCGGAGGCACCAACCTGCCCCCCCTCATGTCCCACCACCACTACCCTCATCAGCACAACAGCAGCTCATCGCCCACCAGCATCTCCACGCCATCCACAGTCATCGACATGAGCACCTCTCTCTCCACCCCCACCATTTCATCCTCCCACAAGTACAGCGTGATCCTGCCCACCTACAACGAGCGCAAAAACCTTCCCGTCATCGTCTTTTTGCTCGCCAAGACGTTTTCTGCAGCGGCATTGAGATGGGAAGTGATCATTGTGGACGATGGATCGCCTGATGGGACTTTGGAAGTGGCCAAACAGTTGCAGCGAGTGTATGGAGAGGAGCAGATTGTGCTCAGACCTCGAGCTGGTAAATTGGGTTTGGGAACGGCTTATGTTCACGGGCTCGATTCTTGCACTGGCGATTTCGTCATCATCATGGATGCGGATTTCTCTCATCATCCCAAATTCTTGCCCAACATGATTCGACTTCAAAAGGAGAGGGATCTGGACATTGTGCAAGGTACGAGATACTCTGGACCGGCTACGGGTGCTGGAGTGTATGGATGGAACTTGAAGAGGAAATTGGTCAGCAGGGGCGCCAACTTGCTCGCCACTTTTGTCTTGGGACCCAGAACGACGGATGTGACTGGAAGCTTTAGGCTCTACAAGAGACCAGTCATAGAGAGGCTCATTAGGGAAGTGACGAGCAAAGGATACGTTTTTCAAATGGAGATTCTGGTCAGGGCTAGAGCGGCAGGTTACTCCATCGGCGAAGCGCCAATCACCTTCGTCGATCGCGTATACGGAGAGAGCAAATTGGGAGGAGACGAGATTGTGCAGTATGCAAGAGGTGTTTGGAACTTGTTCGTTAACATCTGAGGATACGCGAAGGGGGGGATGGAGAGATGCAAACGTCAGATGCCCACCATGGTGACTTGAGAGCGTGCAAGATCGAAGCTGAGGCGAAGGCGACACGATGCGGTTTGCGGGCCTGGTCTCAATGCATCGCAACAAGGAGCAAGTCACGGGCGCGAGTCCAAGGTCTGTCGGCTGATTGCATGGCAGGGAAAGCCTGCGGACAAAGCAGCAAATCGCGACCTCGCGAGACAGCATGTGCCTTTGAAGCGATCCGCATTGCACACTTCTCAATACATGATGGTGCCTCTCTCTACCAGACGCGGCACTCGCCGAAGCGAAGCATCGTCCTTGGCAACAGACCACAAGTAGCCGTCTGTTGGGCGTGGCAAGCGCGGACGTTTGATCGAGCGTCAGCATGCGTTTGCGAAAGGCGCCCAGTCATGTAGCAGCTCTGTCGCTACACCACTCACCAAGATCCGCTTCTGTCAGCGCGCCGAGCCATTCGTATTTGGGTGCATCTTGCTGCGCTATTTCGTGTGCTCGCTTGACGATGAAAGAGCCAGCATCCAGTGCTGAAGCTCTGATGACGTACGCTTCCTCTGCACTTAGTCGAGGTCCTTCCTCTACCGCCTCGTGCTGAGCTTTTGCGCCTTTGCTGTCCGTCTCAGGGGCGCGCACAGGTCTGAACGCCTTCAGAGCTGCAAAGGAGCTCGACACGTTGCTCGTATCCAGTATTCCGAGCTGGATGAGCATGGTGGGCAGAACGTTATCGACGAACATGGGCAGCGTCTTTGTGCTTGGTGCGTTGGCTACACCTCGTTGAGAGATGGCTTGAAGGAGGAAGAAGGCCTTTTTGAAGAGATAAACGGGTCGACTGCCGTCGATCAGGTGGGCATCTGCGAAGGCTGGGATGGTGGAGACGAGCTGACAGGACGACAAAGAGTCCGTGGACATCGCATCAGTATTCCTCCGCATGATGTGGCGCATCTATGAAGCGAGAAGCTCACCTCGGCCAACACTGCTTCGCAGCGCTCTTCGTCGCTCAATGTCCTGGCTCTCTCCAATGCTTTCAGTACCAAGCTGCCCAAATCTACAAGTCCCAAACGAAGCAGCACTTCTCCAGTACTGTTGCAAGCTCTAGCAACGAGTTGGCAAACTTCGTACATGTCTCCCGTGTTGGGTTGTCCCAGCACCACCCCGGGTATCCCGCTGGACGACTCTTGCGTAGTGGAGACGTTCAAGAGCGAAGCGACTCCATCGGCTTTGAGCTCTTTGAGAGCGAGGGCGGAAAGCGCATTGGGCCCGGAAATGTAGAGACCTATAACTAGTCGCAGCACGGCTTGATAAGCGCCAGATCCAGTAGCCTTGTGCAGTGGCGCTCGATATGCCGACAAGAAATTGAGCAGAGACAGCACAGCCAGTAGATTCTGTCAAACCGTGCAAATATCACATTTTGGCCGAAAGAAGACCTGTCAGTTCTTGCTTGCGAGCGGCTAAATCGTAGCAAGCTGTGACAATCTGAGGAGGGGGGAGATATCGATGGCAAGTGTTTCCCTACTCACCACTTCTTCAGCAACGCTATCAAAGCTGAGTGGAAGCGTAAGTCCATGTTGCCTGCTCAGTCTCTCAAAATCTGCTCTATCCAAATGGGTCAGGAATGCAGCAACCGCCTCCTCATTGATCGAAATGTTGGCGTGGGAGCGCATCTCTGCGCAGCTGGATCGTACATTCTTGATGAAGCTGCCCGATGCAGGCAGAGGAGCGCCGAGACCCGACATGACCGAGAAACTTCGTCTTGATGTCTTTCTCGTCGCGCTTCGACTCTGGTGCTTTGTCCCGCGCTTATACCTCGACTTGAGAATCCTATCAATGCTTGGATGCGAAGAGCGCTGTGACTTGATGTGAAGACGTTCGAGAAGCAGCGCATGCATGGTGGCCATGAGGTCAGAAGAAATGGCCGCAGTGTGCGACCCTTTGGACCCGCAGTCTCGCGGGTCAAACAAGAATGCGCAAGCACATCTCATCATCGAGATTCACATTCTGATTCAAATTCACTCGAGGACTCGTGACTCGAATCGTGAAAAAACGCGCGTCGGCACTCGTGACTTGCGATTCGTGAATTCGCGCACCGTCGCATGGTCTGCTGTGCGCCTCACCCAACATGCAAGGATTTGCCAGGCAAGCATCCTCGTCACTTCTGTGTATCGCACTTGACATACCACACGCCTCTACCAATCGGCTGATGAACAAGCGGTCACCAAGTGCTAGAGAGCACGTCGCTGTACATCAGACTCGTGGTGGACGAGCCCGCTGCGCGAGCCAGGCGCAAACGTGATCAGACGGGAATGGAGGAAAAGCATGTGTGACATTCATGATTCTCATTCTGAGCGATCTAGAGGCATGACCAAAATCGTAGCGCAAAAGGGGGCCGACGGAGGTGAAAGCAGAAAAGAGAACATCGTCGATTGGATCGCACATAGGTGACGTCGGAGGCGTGCAAGAGTCAAAGTCGGAGGGGACAAGGACACGACAGCAAGTTACCAAAAAAGGCGGGGCAAAGGAATCGTCCAAGCGCCACTACCTGCCAGGCACGATGGGGGTCGAGGGAAAGTTAAGCAAGCTGGCGATGCTTTCTCTGCGAATCGTGCTGGATGGCGGATCATAAGCACTAGAGTACGCGCTGTGCGAGCTCAGGTAGTTGCTCGTCGAGGGCTGATACGAAGCAACAGAGGTCGCATAGTGGCTACCAGATCCGCTCTCCACACGAGAGGGCGAACCATGAACATCATGCGATGATCGGCCACTCCACTCGTCCGAAGAGTGTGTGCGCAAAGGTGCGCGAGATTGAGGAGCGGAAGTCATGCGCGATCTCGCTGTGTCTTGCCAGCCCGGCGTGTGGGTGCTTGAGCCAGAGTAGCCGCGATGTCGGCCGTACTCTTCAGCATCTTGAGTGTCCATGTCCTGGCGCTCTTCATCTGGACTTTGATCTTCACCTTCATCCAGATCATCTTGGTCATCCACTTCGCCTTCCGGTCCTGCATCGGGGCCTTGACTGTTGGACCTCTTGGCGTCTCGCTCCTGCGACTTACCACCCGCACCATCTCGTCGCGATGCGTGCCCGCATCCCTATCCGCGCGAAGCGAGTTCCGAGTTAGCGTCCGGCAACAACCAACAAGACGAGCACGGCGTTGCAACTCACCTTGACAAGCATGTGTCGCTTTAATGCGTCCTTGCGGCTGAAGCTCTTTCCACACGAGCACGAGAAGGGCCGGGTTGCGAGGTGACCTCGCTGATGGCGCTTGAGGTCATGATTGCGTTGGAATCGAGCGGGGCATCCCGCATACTGACACCTGAAGTTTCGCGGGACGTCAGAATCTATGCGTGGGCCGGATCGCGGCCGGGGCTTGGCGACGTCAAAAGACAGACCGCTGGGCGCATACATGTTGTGCATGGAGGGTCCAGCCGTCATGGTAGGTTGCCAAGCAGGACGTCCCAGCCCAGCAGTCGGATTCCCATACTGGCTCACGTGCATGGGCGCAAATGAAGGGCCGCTGGGAGGGGCGGAATAGGCAGCGGAGACGTAAGCCGCGTGCGAGCTTGCTGAGGTCGCTGCAGTGACCGCGGCCGAGCTTGGGTAAGAAGAAGTTGATTGGTAGGTAGTGGTCGGAGGAATGCCGTCAGCTGCAGAGGCTGATGGAGCAGTCGAGAAGCTAGCGAGGTAGTTGTTGTCCAGAGGGGGCGCGCTGCCACGACTTGAGCGACGCAAGTCGGTCCAAGAGGCCGGAATACTAGCGCTAGGGCCAAGACCCGAACCGCTCGGTGCGTAAGCGGGCACTCCGTCGTGAGTTGTACGACTGTCTTCGTAGCCGGGCTGGAATGGCGACGAGCCCATCGAGGACATGCCCGGAATTGAAGTGTTCGAACGCGTAAGACTCGAGAAGCCTGGGGCGGCGATCGCTCCTCTCCGCTGAGGTGGTGCGTTGAGAGGAGCAATTCGCGGCAGTTCAGGCCCTTCTTCAGCACTAGGACTTGGCCCTCGACTCGTATCGCGACGAGGGGGTCTTTGCAAAGGTGGAAAGGGCAACGCAGGTCCACTTGCACCCGACACTGCGCCCCTGCGCTTTGGCATGGGCAGCGTCAGATGAGACAGGACGTCATTCGGCAGACCATCAGAAGTCAAAGCGCCTTGTCTAGGACGTGTAGCGACGGGGGAGATGTAGGGCGAGGATGGCTCTGAGGAGCCGCTGCGTTGAGTTGCAGCTTGCGGAGAGTACGCCATCTGGACGAGTATATTTTGATGAACGCTGCTTGCAGGTGCTGTGTCAGGCTAGGTCGCGCGAGAGCAAGGTGCGTCGCTCGGCAGGTGTTCCGTTTGGTATTGGCAGGTGGCGGACCGGTTGACAGCCACTGCTTTAAGAGCGATACGATGCCGCTGCTATATGACAGCTAGCCGGGCGGCAAGAGCACCTGATCGTGGCGTCTTGGAGACTGACTGGCCGGCCCTGAGGAGGCAGCCAGCGAGCGGGGACTATAGCTATGAGCACTGAATGCACAGCACGTAAGAGACGAATGCTCTATTCTAGGAGCAGCGTAGATTGCCGGGAAGGGCTGCGCAAAGTGCCGGTGTGAGGCTGATACTTTTGCGCGCGCCCTGATCCGAGGTCGAGCTAGACCTATGCTGGCAGAGGACCAAGGTTGCGCGCGCGAGATTGTTCACGTTATACTCAGTCTATTTAAGACTGCGCTGCGCCTCACCGGCTCGGAGAAGTGGCCGATGACTGCGTCGATGGGGGCGAAGGTTGTATTTGAGGCGTTGAGAGGAACCTGCGCAGAGGCCAACTTGGACAGCAAGAGCGTCGAGCGCGTTTGTGAAACAAAACAAGTCAGAGGCTCGGAAAGACGTGCACGCGATCGTTGGTGTTGAGCAGGGTGCCTGATGGGAGCAGTGATTGCCGCTGACGGAACGTGGATATGGGAAAGGCGGAGCGGAGTAGTTTAGCTTTCCGAGCGAAGAGGGGGGGAAAGGCAGCTTAATGAGATGGTTGTGGTGAGGCCGATCGGGATCGTCAGGGCCATCGAGATGCTGCTGGGACCTAGAACCACATGCGCAACGCAAGCTCGGCGAGAAGGGCGAGGCAGGCAGGCGGGCGGAGGCTAGGCGGAGCGAGAGCGGACCTGATGCTGCGAGCAGTCCCAGCATCATCATAGTTACGCGGGCGGTCTCTCGCACAGCCAACCCTCGCGATGCAGCATGAAGCATGCAGGTGGCAAGTATACAGTCAAAGTGTAGCATGCAGCATCAGCTCTGTTATTCAGGGCCAGACCGGGCTATCGAAGTCGCTAAGCAGAGCGCGCTGGTGCCGAGTTTCAACCTGCTGCAGAACGACGCGCGAGTCTCACGCAGCCGGCAGCCGACGCAAAAGAAAAACGCAGCACACTTGACTGAAGCGGCTGTTGCTGTTGATGCTTCGATCCCTGCAGATCTTTCAACAAGGCCATGTATCCCTACTGAAGCGCCCTCCTCTTCGACTTCCAACAAGGTTTCGCGTAGGTGAGCGAACAAGTCATCGAGTACCGCATAGCCATATCATAGTCGCCACAGCTACATCAAGATGCCAACTCCGTTCATTCGACTTCAACCGAGGTAATTGCTTGCTTGGGCGTCAGATTGGCGCTCCCATACAGAATCGGGTCTCAAGGCCGTGGATGTAATCCGCTTCTGAGCGCTATATAATCGAGGTGCTTTCGCGTACTCTCGACTCACGATCGACTGGCCATGCAGCTATACGAGTACATACCTTGCTGAAGGGCGCGGGCGTTCACACTTTGACTCTCACTTACGCTGGCGCTGCAGCCGACCGACCAAATGCTGAAAGTCACGTCACACCTTTTGAATACTCTGGTCGCCCTTCGAGCTTGCAGCCACTCGGGCACTCGAGCGATCCGAGGCACGACAACCGCAATCAATAAGAGGGAACCTGCAACCACAAGGTGAGCTGATGTGCAGTCAGCGTAGCAGGATGGCCATGTTCAGCGTGATGACCGCAGGCCCACAAGAAAAAAAAGCGGTCCAACTCAAGCCTTGCGTGCATGCATGCATGCATGCATGCGTGCGTGGCGCCACACGAGCGTGCGGTATCACTGCGGGGGAGCCGTCACCTGCTTTACAGCAGGCATAGCTGAGCTCCTTTTGTGTGGCTGACAGCAGATCTGTGCGAGTTGCGCTTGTCATGCATGGCACCAGCGGGTGCATGAGCCCATCGCACAGCGGTAACACTTTGGCCCTGCGCCAGAGCCTAGAACTCCGACACGCCCGGCCACGACTCCCCAGCAGCAGCAGCGCATATGTATATGCAGTGAGCAGGATGCATGGCTTGCTTCGATCGCAGAGGGACGACGTTGCGGCGAGGCTCACCCATTCACCACTCAGATTGACCTTGGTCGACGTTGAGGAAGAGCCGATACGCGTTCGAAATTAGTCAGCGTCAGCGCATCAGCAACAGACCAAGTCGCCGCCTAGGAGATCCTGATATATGTATCAAGGACGTGGGAGTTTGTGTGGTCGTGCGAGCTCCCTTTCGACGTTCTGGTGGGCAGAATCGCGCAGGCAGATGTTGCCATGCACACACCCCTTCTACTCGGATCTGTGATGAGCATCGATGCACCAGACCGGTCTGATTGCACCTACGCACGCTCGTTCTCAAAAACATTCCCTGATTGATGGCCCTCTCGAGTCGTTGTCCTCTGCGCATCGCAGCAAAAAAAGAATTACTCGTTACGCCCTCGTGGTCAGTCAGAGTGGAGCAGGAATGGAACCGCGGATCGATTGAGGATGTCCACATCAATGACCAGTGCATTGGTCTTCACCGATGAAGAGATATCCGGATCACATTTGTCAGCTGCGTGCGTCGCCCTGATTAGGCTGACTCAATCAGGAATCCTCGAGCACAAGAATCACAGGCCGAGGCTGTACACAAGTGGAGCTGGATACGGACGGGAAGCGTGAGCAAGGCACACATTGCGACGCCAAGTGAATGTAAATGATTCGTGCGCAATCTCTTCCCACATCAGCATTTGACTCCTCGACTCGGTACCGAAAGTGGCGTCAACGTCGAGCAGAGCATGTGCGATGCAGTTGCATGGCGTTGGGGCTGTTGTTCGACTCGGATGCGTCGAGTCAAGGTCCAAAAGGTGAAATTTGGTTTTGGCAAGTTTTGAGGGCATTCGCGAGGCGTCTCGGAAGCTTGCCGACGTCGACGTCAGATCAAACGAGTCCCTTTTGTCTCATGATGGAAAAGTGGCGACGAGTGGGAGCACGGCGCCGGAGAGGTACCAGGGATGCAATCGTCAAGGTTATATTCAAAATTGAGATGGCGCAGCTGTAGGACACTCACAATCACTACTAAAATTCGAACGCTACATGGTACGGCGGTACACCATGTGTATAGCGCGGGACAGCTCCAAGTCCCAAGTGCGTTTCGCTTGCGCTTCACCACGCCTTGCCGTCTCTCCCGTGCGTTCCGCGCTACTCATCTACTTGAACCAAGCCACCCTGTGCGGTCCTTCTGTGCCGCGCACTCGCACTCACGGATGGCCTTCTTGGGCATCAGCGCTGCATCGGCTCAAGCTCTTCCATGGAGGCAAAGTGTTGAGAGGAAGTGATGCGCGAGGTTGGAGCGCTTCTTGATCGACGTTGTTCGGCTCTCGTTCAGCGTGGTATCTTCCTTGTCAATTTGACTTTGTCCCTGAGCATGAGACGTGTCGGAGACGAGAAGAGCACCAATTTATGTAGCGGCGGAGTTCTCGTTCGCATGTGTTCCGTGCCTGTGTCTCCTCCACTTATTATCGGGCAGCCCTCGGTCATGGCAATGAAGTCGTTTCAGCGCTCGCAAATCTGATGACCGACTGGGGAGGAGGAGGTCTTTGAGCCTTCAGCAAGGCAGTCTCAGAGTCACGAGTGCTCCTCCTATGGCAGAGATGACGAGTTGTGTGGTGAGTAACGGCGATGGCACGATCATTCACAGTCATGCGCATCCTTCATCAGTGAGTGCTCGGCTTGTAAGACGTATGCATCGCATGAATCACAATCTGCATCGTGAATGAGATTCGCAACCACGCATGGGAGCTTCACCCTCAAACGGATGTATGGCCCGCCCGCCGGACGTCATGCGCGCCGAGCCGTGTCGCTATGCAGAGTACCGCATGTCAACCTGCGGTGTCGCGGTCAAGCTGCCATGGCAGCACGGTGGTGATTTGGATCCTGCGAAGTTGCTAGGCGCTCGCTCCGTTTCGCCCCATTAGGTACTCTTCTGACTGCATGTACCCTTGACTTGAGATTCACGTTCACGTGATGTGAGCACAAGCAACAGCTAGCTCCATTAGGAAAGCACGACTCGCCGACGCTTCGCAATTTGGCTCAAAGTCGTGAGCGCAATTGAGTCGCTCGAGTATGCCCATGATGGTCACCGTCACGATGTGTTGTGAGAGTCGCGAGTGCGCCTACACATCATTGTCGCTACCCGTGCACAGCAGCTTCGGAAGTCGGACGTGGACGATTCGTTTGGCCGCGTTTCCTAGCGCACCAATTTATGATTGCTCCGAACGAGATGAGTGGGGACACGCAGCATCGATCGGTGCAATGCGCGCGCATGCTGGTTGTTTCTGCAAGCCACATGTGCAGTCACGAGTCGAGTCAGAAGAGAGTCGTGGCGGGAGAGAGCGTCGCCCTGCTGCTGCTGCATGCTGTGCTGCTGCTGCCAACATCATAGCTTCCGCCTCCGTGTGGCTGCATTGGTCGCTGCTGCTGATCCTGAAGATCATAAATCGAGCTTCATCACTCAGACTCGCGACGCGCTCGATCACGTCAACATGCTCGAGGGGTGCTTTCATCTATAACAGGTGTAACGTTACGCTCCCGTGTTGGTTTCGCAGGGTCCGGAGCGTCCAGGTCACGAGTCACGTGTGCGGCTGATGAGCCTAAGCGGAAGCGACGATCACTCATCAGACTCACACTCGAAAATCGTGAAACGGACTTGAGCATGAGTCAATTTCGCACGGCTTGATGACTGCGCAAGTGCGCAGTGACCGGATTGATTCATGATTGATTTTGATGAGTCAAGAGTCGTGATCGAGTCGTGAGTCGTGAGTCGTGAGTGTGAGTGTCTGTGTTGAGACAAGAGTCACAACACAGTCTGCAAGGGACTCACAAGAGCGCATGCGCTGCGGCCGCGATATCGATGCTCGAGCTGGAGCGTAGCTTGCGTGTGAGCTTTGCGACGAGATGCGGCCGCAAGGCTTTGACTCAGACTGGACAGTCCGGGTGTGGGAGTGATGTTTGGGGAGGACAAAGGAGTTCGAGGACGATGATATGATTATTAGATGCGCTTCAGATGGCAGGACGAAGCTGTCGTTTCCGGTTCAACTGTGAAGACCGCTTGTTTCGCACCAGCTAGGTAGCGGCAGACATCCGACACTCACAGACACTTTGAAGGCCAGGTGGATCAAGTCAATGGAGAATCTGTCCAGGTCGTTGCGCGTTGCAATGATGTGCTGGGCCAAATCGCGGCATGGTGCTCTAGTTGTTGGGTGGTATTTCGGTCCTTATGCGTAATCAAAGCAAAGCTCTTTGCCTCGCAAGCGTTAAATGCGATGTTGTGATGATAGAGCCTGACATCAGCCAAGAGGCTTGAAATCCGGTAGTCGACGGGCTCAGGCTGTTCCGTGGATTCTTTTTGATATTGCTGTGCATTCGAGTCGAATCCTCACAGATTCAGCTTTCAGGAGGATGTCATCGCGTACGCCCAAGAAGATGATATTCGCCCGGATAATGCGAGGCAAGACCCCAATGGTATAGCTATGCGCAACTTCAAGATTATGGATGCTGCCTTGACGTCTCGAATTGTTGATGGCTCTAGGCTTCCCATCCGATCATGGACATTGCACGCCGATGCTCGTTCCTTGCGTGCCTCACCGTGAGCACTGAAAACGCGAGTCACGCTGTCCTGCGAAGTCGTAGCAGCCAGAGTCATTCCCGCATGCTTGAGCTCAAATCGCAGCGCTTCCCGGAGTACTTTTCGGTGTGTGCGCCTTCTCGAATGCACCTCCACATCGCTGGGCAAGAAGTGCGGATGTCAAGAAAGGTGTCAACATGATGGTGTTGCGGAGGTGTTGCATTCCCAGCGCGCTTCGACCCTCGTCTGGAAGACGGCCTGGTCTGGATACGTCCTCGCGCCACTTTAAACTCTCTCAGGGCGTCCAAACTACGCCGCACAGAGTCGCCTTGGACCGCGCGTAGAGCACGGTACGCACTTTGAGTCTAAGAAGGCTGCCTCCACGATGACGAGAAGGGTAGACTTCGGTGAAAGGCGGCCGCTGTTCTAGTGTGAGTGTGCGGCTAAGATGCTGCCGGCGCTTTGCCGACAAAGGCACGTACGTTCAGCTTTCGCGCACCCGTCCACTCGTGACTCACGACACTACTACTGACGTCGGCAGAGCCGTACTCACTGGTGCCTTCTGCATCATGCATGGAAATCCGGCGGGCAACAGGTCAAGGAGCGCGCTAGTCATGCAGCGGGACGTGCGAGCAAGTCACGAAACCAGCCTTCGCCTTCCGTAGAGATCCAGGATTGTGTGTGATTATTTGCTTGACCTCCCAGCTATGTGCCTCTATTCCGTCAAAATTTCTCAAGCAATCAAAGATACGGTATGCAGTATCGTCAAGCTAAGATACAATTTCGATTTACAATCGTGGATCCCTTCCACCACTTTTCAACACATCATCGGCAAAACAACAACTGAGCAAGTCGAGATGGAGGGATCCAGCAAACTACACGAGGAGCCCACCACGGTGTCCAAGACGGCACCGAGTCCGCAAGAGGGACACGGACACGCTCACCACTTGAAATGGGGCGAAGTCGTTACGAGCGGCTTTGCGCCTCCGTCCGCTGGCGAGGATGATGACTCTGACCTGGACGACCCGTGCCACAGCACCAAAGACGGGGCGGAGAGGCGTCGCAAGATGACGAGAGATCGCTCGCGAGAACAAGTGGATGCCGAAGCTAGACGCTTGCACTCTCAGCGACGCTACCTATTTCGCAAGCCTAGACCTCTGCAGTACTTTAGGGGCAATGTCCTGGTTCGATCCAACGAGGAGCGCGGTTCTGGTCGGCTCGAACTCTTCTTTGACTTGGTCTTCGTCGGCATCATCGCGGTACTGGCTCAGAGCGCTGTCCGTGAACCAACTGGAGCAAGCTTTGTCCGATACCTCTTGACCTACACCGCTGCGTACACAATCTGGAATTGGATGCGCGAAATGGTCAGTCTGCTTCTGCCATTGTGAGATCGACTCAAAGAGTATTGCTTACAATCAAGATATCTCTTAAGTTCGACTCCTTCTACAAGGATGATTTCTCTCAGCGAGTACTTGTGGTCTTTGTGATGGCCTGTCTTACGCTGTACGGCAACAATGCGATCCACGCTCAAGAAATGTTGAGCGAAGGTTCCGGACGTGCTGTGGCCGTCGCCGCTTATTTGCTTGCAGAGCTCGGGCTGTTCTCCACCTGGTTGCTGTACTCATTGTGAGTTTACCATCAAGCACCTGTGTAATGTTTCAGCACTCACTACCTGCCGCGGACTTCAGCTACATCAAGGCGTACCGCGTTCAGATCAGGGCGCATGCTCTCGTATGGATCTGCACCTCTGCTATATGGATAGGAAGTATCTTCGTCGATGTTAGAGCTGCGATCGCCATGGTAACCGTTGCGCTTGTGGTCGAGTGGAATGCCTGGCAATTTTGCTATTCACCATCGTTCAAAAGACTCTTCAAGCTGCGGTACTCCTCTGCGGTAAGTGGAGTCTCAAACCCGTCGTAATAGGAACACATTGATGCTGATGGTGTTGGCACCGCAGATCGCCATCGAACACGAGATTGATCGTTTTTCGGACTTCTACACAATCGTCTTGGGCGAATTTTGCTACTCGCTTTTTGATGGCAATCCCACCGGCCCTGGCTTCCACGAAGCAGCTGGAAGAGCAATTCTCTGCTTGCTGATTGCCTGGGCATTTCAGGTAGGCAGCCCTGCAATTGCGCAGGTCGGCGAAGGTCTCGCTGAAGCCGATTGAGATCTTTGCTGTTTGTGCAGTTGTTTTACATGAATGGCGGCTCTTCCAAAAAGATTACGCACCCTTTGCGCCACGTGAGTTTCTCGGCTCAGTCAAGTGCAAGACTCAGCCTGACACTGTTGTCCGCAAAAATGGTGTAGGGAATGCATAGGGCATTGCTTTTCTTCAACCTCCATCTGCCCATTGTCAGGTGAGAGTGGCCCGCGCAAGTCATCACGTGAATTTCAGACTGAACGTCGATCGTACCTTTTGGCAGTGCCCTTACTCTTTGTGGCGATGCGATGGCAGACTTGATCCACGAGTCGGCCGTCAAGTCAGGGGTGCGCTGGATAGCGTGCGAATCTTACGCGGTTGGCATGCTGGGGCTTTGGTGCCTCGCAACTCTCGAAGTGGAGCGAGACGCGCCGGGAGAACTCTGGTTTCCAAAAGTGAGTTGATTTCTAGAGTCAAATCGACTTATCTTGCGCCTTGGCGCTCAAGGACACCCCCTCTTCGCGCGCAGTGGGCAAGGTTGACTCCTAGGCTGGTGTCGAGCATCGTAGCTGCCTTGCTCCCCCTGACACGCCAAAAGCTGGAGGAAGAAGTGGAGGACACCGCTGAGGCGGTTCTGGTCGCGATAAAGAGAGCAGCAGCTGAGGGTGCTGAAGGTGTCCTGACCAATGCAGAAGGAAGTGAACCTCAAGTCGGATTTGGTCATGGCCCAGACATCACCACTACAAAGTTGTTAGGGATTCTGACCGCCCTCTCGCTTTTCACTTTGCTGTGGGAAACGATAACCTCCCTCGATGGGCCTAATGCGCCCGACGAAAGCGCCTCGGATGATCTCTTGGAGCGCGCAAAGACTGTCAGCGGATACAAGCACGCGCTGCGAACGCCAGCTTGGAGAGGTGCGTAATTTTGCGTCGGTGGTAGCGTACGTTTGCAGCATCTCGTGTGATGCAATCACGAATACTGACAGAGCTTGAGCTCGGTACACGATGCAGGCTTTCCGAGGCTTGCTGAGCCTGGATCTGGGACTTTCGATCACTCGCATCAGCGCAGCCATCCTTCGAGTATTGCGCCAACTGCCGTGGCACCCACGGCGACTACCTGAGTGGACCTTCTCTTTGAGCATTGCCAACTGCGCCTCCTTGCACCTCCTATACCTGTGGCTAGTACTACTAGTGTCTCTTGAGCGGCGCTACGGAGCTCCCTTTCTATGCTTTTGCTGAAGCGGTTTCCAGTGGTTTGAGGCTTTCTACTCGATCTACATCTTAGATTTTCTACTCGATTCACATCTTTACGACCAGCTGCGGCGACCAATCGCACATATCGAGACTTGCGCTGACTAGCTGCTCTGCTCATTCTCGCAATTCAGCATTCGAGCCTTCATTTTCGGCCGTTGTTGTCCCTCGGTTGATGTGTCCAGACGAGGTAGTCTTCTCCGCTCTGCGTCAGCAGAAGAAAGCGGCTGCGTGCCCCAAGCTCCCAGGCCAACGGCTCAGGCCTTTTGCACCTGTCTCCCTCCCATTCAACTCACGACCCTGTAACTTTGCACCGGAATCTGAGGGCGACGTAAGTCGCTCTTGAAATGGCAGGGTACATCGTTTTCTACACTCACACTCGAGTCTCGTGATGCGACACTTGCGCCTCCGTGAGCATGGCGCTATAGATGGAGTCCTGAGGCAATTGTCAGGCGTTTGTGTGAAAAGGATTCAATCTTGAATCAAGATTCATTCAAAATTCAATGTTGAATTGATTGAACTGGAATGAGTGGACGAATCACGTGCCCGGCGCGGCCCCCGCCTGCCTTACAGGAGCTCTCCCGCCCGCGCTGACAGGCGCTATACACGCGGCAGCCATGCAGACGCAGGCTCAGAGTCGTGACTCGTGACTCTTGACTCAGACAGACTCGCAGCAGCACGAGCCTTGCGTACCGTTTAGGCACGGCATATGAGTTGCAAGGCGCGCTTGGAGCAGCACCCTGGGTGCGACTTGCGACTCGTCAGACTAGTCTACTGCTGGGAACAGCTCTTATTGCCTCGTATCTAACGAAACCACAACCACCATCTGATCATCGACAGCGACTTTGGGCAAGTATCACGCCCGTCTGCCTCTTACCGCTCCATTCACAAAGAGCTGGTCACCGATGACATTACTCCAAAGGTCTCTGCACACTGGTGACGAGCTCATGTCCATTCAAGCAGGATCTCTCGCTTTCCCTATAAGCATCGCCGCCATTCGAAGCATCTAATGGACGACACGCGCAGCACTCGTTCACGCCGCACTGCACCCAGCAACCCCAGCGATACCAGTCACTCTTCAACAGCGGCCCCGAGCCCGCAGGTCACTGCATCGGCGCCGCTGACAAAGGCTACCAACAAAACCACCTCACATCACAGCCCGCAACCCAATCCCGCTGGAGAGTCCCACCTCAGACGAAGCGCCCGTCGCTCTGCAGGCGCGTCTTCTGCCAACGACTCAAGTACTACTGGCTTAGCTGCAACGTCCTCAAGTTCAGCCAGGTATTCAAGAGCTGGTACTCAATCCCGTCCAACTCGTCGAAGCGCACCTTCAGCAGGCACCATCGACAGCGAAGCGAGTCGAGTCTCTGTACTCAAGTCAACAAAGCCCACAGTGCCACACCACCAAGCTGGCAAGGTAGTGCCAGCTTCTACTGTGGCTGACAGCATCGACTCTCAAAGTGACCTCTCCAGTGTTGGCGACAGCTCTGGATTTCTATCTGCACCTGCCACTCCTGCCACTGTGCTCAGCACAGCTACTACAGTGCCTTCAGCGGCAGGCTCTGCCACTTCACGCCCCGCGAAGAGACCACGGGAGGTGGATCCTGAGGAGAGTCTAGACTCCGCTTCGCAGGCCGGTGTCGAGAACGCCACCCCGTCACGTCAGGCTCGAAGAGGAGCAGGCGGATCCAATTTTGCCATCAAGAACCTCGACACTGCACCGAGGTGAGTCCGGTCTCCTCGCGTGTAGCTCACCGCTCACGATGACAAAGAGCTCCTTTTCAGACCCTTTGCGCTGACACAGCCCGTCTCACATGTCTAGCTCATCCAAAGCGAAAGGTAAACGACGCAGAATTTCGCCAGATCCACCCCAGCCATCCACTTGCGCTACTGCATCTGCCAAGCCAGGTACGAGCGGGCACACGGACGAGGTAGGTGGCGAAGAACAAGGCTCTCAGGGCGCTTCTTATAATCTGCGGCCTAGACGCTCCGGCGACGTGTCTGGCTCGAACATCAGAACAGTCATGGCCCCTAAACGCCACTCGGGCGCCGGTCCCTCTAGCAGCATCTCGCCGACTGGCGCCCTTCCTGGCTCGAGCACCGCTGCCAATGCAAACGCAAAGGGCAAAGCCAAGGCGAGAGCGAGTCGAAGCACAAGGTCTGCTGCACGAAACGCAGTCGACCCCGTGGATGAGTGCTCTGACATGCGCTTGGACACTGCCGCGAATGATGCGGGCGACGCTAATGCCGAAGATGCAGACATGATGGACCTCTCGGCGGCCTTGGCTGGTGACGACGAGCTTGAAGCGCTTGACCCAAGTCTACACAATCAAGACGAAGACGACGAGGATGATGAAGACGAAGGTGTCGGTGAGAAGGATGATGATGAAGAGGAGCGTCGCGCTCGAGAAGCGGAGGAGGCCATGGTTGAAGACGACGACGACGAGGGACCTTATGAGGACGAAATGGACGATCCCTACGGCGATGGTGGAGGTGGCGCTTACGGCTCTACTCTGCGCGCAATGGCGAGCTTCATGAGCGGCCTACCGTCACGATTCCGCGCGCTTCTAGCTGGCATCAAGGACAGCAGCGATCCGTCAGCTCAACTCGTGGCGTTGCAGGAACTGAGCGAGGTGCTCAGCATGAGTACCGAGGATCAGCTCCAAGGTTACTTTCCTACCGAGTCCTTCGTGCGCGAGCTCGTTCATCTGATGGGGGGACCCAAGCCTGACTCGGGCACGAAATCGAAATCAACGTCGAGCGCTGCAGTCGCGAGCAGTGTGGATGACGACTTGGCCGCGGTTGCTGCAGCGACTGGCGAAGGCAATGACGAAGCCATGCTCATCGCTTGCCGCTGTCTGGCCAATCTGATAGAGGCGATGCCTTATGCTGCGCATTCAGTAGTCGGATGCGGAGCCCTTCCCGTGCTTCATTCAAAGCTCAAGGAAATCCAATTCATCGATCTTGCAGAGCAGGTCCTTTTGGTGAGTAGCCTACCGTGTCGCGCCAAGTGATCACTTTCCCTGGACGGATGCTTACCCACCCTTTCGCACCATCATACAGACACTTGAGAAGATTTCCGCCGAGTATCCGTCTGGCATTGTGCGAGAGGGCGGATTGCTGGCCATGCTACAATACATCGACTTCTTCGGCATGCATGTTCAACGCACCGCTATGCAGGCGGCTGCAAATTGCTGTCGAAAGCTCATGCCAGAGTCGTTCACAATGGTCCGGGATGTCTTGCCAATCATTCAAAGCGTTCTCACGTATCCAGATCAGCGCTTGGTGGAAAGCGCTTGCAAGTGCGTCGTGCGCATCATCGATAGCTACCGACACCGTCCGGATTTGCTCGAGCAAGTTCTCACCAGTGAGATGGTTGCCGCTCTGAATGCCATTCTACTTGCGGGAGGAGGCTCTGGAGGCTCAGGCTCAGCTGCCTCGTCAACTGGAGCCGCAAGCACAGCTGTCAGCACAGCCACTTACACCGACATCCTCAAGACGCTCGGCCTATCTGCCCATTCCAGTCCAGAGGTAGCGGTCATCCTGCTGGACAAGAACATTGTGGAGACTCTTTACCTGCTTCTCACCGGCTCGCCCGCTCCTGCTGAAGATGGATCAGGCGGGCGCGGTCCCGCAGCGAGCCTGGCGCAGTCATTGCAATCCGAAGGTGTGACTAATTCCGCAGAGTCAGCTCCGATGGCCGTTCTCGCGACCGACGTGGAGCCTGGCGCAGAAAGCGTCGCGGAAGGCACTGCAGTGGCGGATGTAGCTGTATTACAAAACCTGGCCCATCGACCCAAAGAGCAGATCCAAGAAGCTCTCTCGCTCGTTTGCGAGCTAATGCCACCTTTGCCTCGAGACGGCATCTTCGATGCCCGTGCATACGGCGAGAAGGCCTACGCGAAAAGGAAAAAGTCGCAAGCCAAAGCTGCGAGAAACCTGCGCCACGCCAGTCGAGCGGCCAAAGGCGATGGATCATCAGCTAATGTTTCTGAGACATCAGTCAAGCAAGAGCCCGACACGGATTCGCCACCGCCCGTTGCCCCTGCTTCCGATGCTCGAGCTGCTGGTGGGTCAGAAGCACCAACAGAAGCATCCAGCGCAGCTGCGCCGGCAGTGAAGACGGAACGTGTCAGGACAGAGAAAGAATTGGCACGCGACGCTGCGCAAGCCAAGCGCATGGAGATGCTGAATGAGAGACGTGCCCTTGTCAAGCGCTTCACTCAACTAGTGCTTCCTACCCTGGTGGAGGTATATGCTGCTAGCGTCGCTCTCCATGTGCGAACGAAGGCACTTACTGGTATCCTCAAGATTGTCAGCTTTGTGGAGGCCGAGCCATTGGGCCAGGTCCTGGATGTGAGTGCCATGCCGTCCCCTTTGTTGACTGGACGAGAGCTCACCTACGAGCCTCTGCGCGATTGCGCACCTTCTCTAGAATGTCCCGCTAGCTAGCTTCTCCGCAGCTATCTTGTCATCTCGAGACAATCCCGCGCTAGTATTGAGCGCGCTTCAGCTCGTTGACCTGCTCAACACCAAATTGCCCAGGGTTTACAGCGCAGCTCTCCGCAGGGAAGGTGTCGTGTGGGAAATAGAGGACATCGCTTCTCGCGAACCCGCGCGCTCGATGTTGACAAAGACGTCCCCGAAGGAAAAGGGTACCGGCGCTGACAAAGTAGAAAGTGCTCCTGCTCCTCCCGTCGCCGCGACAACCTCTGGGTCTGCAGCAAGTGACTCTGCCAAAGAAGCGTACCGAGCTCGCCTGGTTGCTGCTGGTCACTCACAAGAAAGCGCGTCAGCCGCAATCGCAGCACTTGGACTTGGCGCCAATTCGCTGTCTGCGTTGGGACTTCCAACCAAAGCACCAGTACTGCCAACTGATGCAGACGACGCCAACATTTGGCGTGCGCGCATGATGCGGGACCGTTTCGCCGAGGAAGTCAGTGCTAGTAGCGCAGCTGACGGATCTGAAGCGATTCGCGCTCTGGACCATCTCAAGGCTCTCGTGCAGTCCCTACAAGGCGATGCGACCGAGGTGGTGTCCAAAGCGGAAGACACGCTAAAAGCGATTGCGTCGCAATTGTCGCGAAAGGATTCGCCAATCTCGAGTTTCGAGTTGTTACGATCTGGTCTTGTAACTGGCCTTTACAGCTTCTCAGTGGGCTCTTCGGAGGCAGTGCCGACTCTGAAACGCCGCGAGCTCCTTGTGACCGCTTTGATGAAGCGTACGGATTCTACGCTACCGTCCCCAGCCTCGTCCCTCGTTCGCCGGCTGCAAGAGACCTTGAGTCGGCTCGAAAAGTTCGACATTACATCTGCGCTCAGTGGCAGCGCTGACGACACGCGACGCAGTCCCACAGCGAACGTGGCTCGCTTGGTCAGACTCAAGCTTGTTGCCGAAGGAGAGACGAAAGATATCCCGCGGAGCTGCAACAACATCGTCGTCAGCATTCACGCTATCGCTGCATTTCGAAATCTGAACGAGTATTTGCGACCGAAGATTGCCGCAGCTATGTCCAGTGGTGGATCTGGTGCTCAGTCAGCTGCATCCAGGCTGTCCGGTATGCTAGCAGCAATGGCTGCTGGCTCCGGTGCTGATTTTGGGAGTGACCTGGGCTTCTTGGCCGGCTCTTCGCGCACCAAGGCTTCAGGAAGCTCCGGCGAAGCTGCAGCAGCCTCCGGTGGCGCATCATCCAGCAAAGCGGAAGATGCGAGAGCAGAGGGCGGCGAAGAGGCTGCCAAGCCTCGCAGAAGTTCGCGGCTGAGCGCCAAGAGTGCTGGAGAGAGCGCCGGTGATGGAACAGAAGGTGCCGGCGCTTCTGGCAGTGGAGGGGACCACGAAACATCAGCACATGCTGCGCTTGGCGAGGGCATCTTTGGCGGAGACGAGGAAGATGCTTCGCAGCTCGCACGTCGCATGCTGGAAGGCATCATGAACGGTGACATGGAAGGCGATGACGGTTACTCAGACGATGACGGGTACGAAGAGGATGTGATCGAGGACAGCGCCGCCGCCGCCGCCTTGGATAGCGAGGCTGCACTTGCCTCTGGAGAAGACAAGACGGTTAACCTGAAGGTGCCGGCTTCTGGAGAGAACAGCCAGACCACAAGCGGGCTGCAGACACCCGCAGATCAAGGTGCAGAGTCAAGCACACAAACCAACAAGCCTTCAGGCGCTTCACCCACCAAGCGCGCCGGTCAGTCGGCGGTCGCAGAGTCCAAGGGCTCTTACGCGTCGGCTGTGCAAAAGAAGCCAACTGACTGGCATTTGGAGTTCAAGTTTGACGGCAAAGACGTATCGCTGGCGTCGACGATCTATCAGGCTGTTCACAACTTTGAGATGACACCCGCAAGGCAAGCGAGCGGTTTGGGTCGATACGTATGGAATAATGTGTACACGGTGCGCTACAAGAAGGTAGAGGGACCGCAGCCAGCGACCGATGACGGTGAGTGCCGAAGGCGTGGTTCGCGTCCTACGGCAGTGACTGACTCAAAGATTGTCGTGTTCTTATGCAGCTGTGCAAGGGACGCCAGAGCCCGTGGAAGCGGAAACGAACGAGGTACAACTGCCCTCGTCGGTTCCAGCGGAAGCCCCATTTGCCAAAATCTTACAGCTGCTCAGTGTGTTGCACGACCTAAACAGCGAGTGGCGCGAGAGCACAGGCGACTCGCAGCATCCTGGTGAAAGCTCGGCCGCAACGCTGGAGGAAGTAGCTTTTGTCAATAACAAACTTACCGCCAAACTCAATCGGCAATTGGAGGAGCCGATGATCGTCGCGAGCAGCTGTTTACCTGGGTGGGCGACTGAGCTACCGCGCGCATTCCCATTCCTCTATCCTTTCGAGGCGCGATACTCGTACCTCCAAAACACAGCGTTTGGCTACCATCGTCTAATTTCGCGCTGGCAGGTGCAGCAATCGCGAAATCAAGACTCCTCGTCTGCAACTTCGAGGAACGACGACTCGCTTGCGCTTCTGGGCCGCCTTAGCAGGCAAAAAGTCCGCATCCAGCGGAGCAACATTTTCCCTTCCGCCATGAAGGTCTTGGAGCTCTATGGCACAACTTCCGCTCTGCTTGAAGTCGAGTACTTCGAGGAAGTTGGCACGGGTCTGGGACCAACGCTCGAGTTCTACGCGCTGGTGTCTCGCGAGTTTGCCAAGAAGTCTGTACTCATGTGGCGCGACGATGGCGGCGGCACAGAAGACAGCGAATACGTCTCTTCGCCGCTAGGTCTGTTTCCCACGGTGCTCTCGGCAAAGGATGCGGAAGCCGCGTGCAGCTCGCCCAATGCTTTTACGACGGCATCTTCCCCGGACAAGTCTGACGCTGTCAGGTTGCAACAATTCACCGTGCTCGGACAATTCGTCGCCAAGGCTCTGTTGGACTCTCGCATCATCGACATCCACTTCTCACCCGTTTTCATGCGTCTGGTCCTCAACCAGCGTCTTCCAGAGACAGTTGGAATGCTCGCTGCAGTCGACCCCAGCCTGGCGCGGAGCATGGACAAGCTACGCGGTCTCGATGAGGAGACCCTCGCCGGAATGGGTCTCGACTTTACTCTACCCGGACACCCCGAATACGAGCTGAAGGCTGGCGGCAAGGAGATCGCAGTGGAAAGACACAATCTTGAAGAGTACATCCAAGGGGTCGTTTCTCACACACTCGTGCACGGAGTAAAACCCTTCGTGCGCGCCTTTAGGCGAGGCTTTACTCTGATCTTTCCCATCTCCGCCATGGCGTCTTTCACAGCGGATGAGCTCGTGATGCTGTTTGGCAACACAGAGGAAGATTGGGGCGAATCCACGCTCCTGAGCGCCATCAAGCCTGACCACGGCTTTAACAGCGAAAGCGCGGCTTTCCGAGATATCATCAGCATCATGGCATCGTTCGGCCTGAACGACCGCCGGCGCTTCTTGCAATGGCTCACAGGATCGCCGAAACTTCCTATCGGTGGTTTGGCGGGACTACACCCTCAACTTACCATCGTCAAGAGACCGCACGAAGCTCCTTTGACACCGGACGATTACTTGCCGAGCGTCATGACTTGCGTCAACTACCTCAAACTGCCATCCTACTCCACGAAGGAAGTGATGCGTGACCGACTCGAGACGGCCATGACCGAAGGCGGCACATCGTTCCATCTGTCGTGAAATCTCGGTGTCATTCTGACCATCCTGCACGCACGCCGCTCTTCACGCTCGATAGGATTCGAGCGACACATAGATGTTACCTTCTGGATGTTCATGTTCGAAACAAGCTTCTGCATCAGCACTCTGTGACGCGCTTGGCTCTTCCCTGTCCGAAATCACGATTCCTCCCACAGCGTCATGAAGCAACCTCTACACGCCATGTCTGCCCCCTCCTCCGACCCCAGCCACGCGCGCAGGAGCGCACCATCCATGTATCCATTTGCCCCTCACTCCTCCCCAAGACTCGCAATCTGAACCAAATTTTCCTCGACATTGGGCACGCGCCACATGTGCGAGACGGTGGTGTGGACCAAGGTTGGTCAAGCACATGTGAAGCTGTATTCCTCGACCCTGCTGCTGGCAACGAGACAACAAAACTTCGTTTCGCGGACCTCGTGATTATGGGCTTGAGCAGAGCGATGCACGCATGCATGTGCCTGGCTCGCAGTCACCAGCAGTCACGGACTCACGAGTCGCGCCCCAAACGCCCCATGCAAGCGCTCCAATCACAACGATCTTGAATTCTTGATTATTCTCAGAATTGTTCTAATCAGATTCAGTCACGAGTCACGAGCCACAGTCTCGAGTACCGTGCGGTGCGTGAAAAGCGGGCGAGTCAAGAGTGTGGAGGTGGTTGTGACTACATGCATCCATGTCCCGCACACTCTCGACTCGTGAGTGCGCTCAAAACCACCATACCAAATGATTCGCGACCTTTGTCCCTGTAGCGCACCATCATCGTCTCGCTTTTGGCCCAGAATCGAGCCTGCATCACATAGAAGATTCTGAAGCTGCTAGGGCTTGCTTTCAATTTGAAGGACCGCAGGGGTGTGTGGATCGACTCGCATATAGTCAAGGAGAACAAGAAGCGCTTTGCCAACATGTCGACGAGGACTGGAATTGCCTCTTCGATCATTGCCTCTTTGCTGCGCTTCTCGACCTGCGAGGTGAGTTGTCGGCCTGATGAGCCCCTGCAAAAGTGGCATAGGAAATTGTGTTGCGAAGCGTCGTCATTTGCTGGTCCTTTGATCCGATCCAATCACCTGGACATCATGAACACGAACATTGACGTTGACGCTGACGCTTCTTTTGGCGCGGGTGCGCTCTGCTGGGTTGGACGGGGCGGCTGCGTCAAGGTGTCGGACGCGCTGATCAAGCTGAAACATCCTACCGGCGGACTTTTACCTGGCTTGGACATGTTCTCTCCATCGCACTTGTCGGGCGAGACGCGCATTTGTGGACCTGCTTTTACCGTTCAGGTCAGTTCGGCTTTCTTGCAGTCAGTCAAGTTTTCTGCTTGACCTCTATGTGAAGCTGTCTTCCACGCGGGACATTTTGAGGCTGACGTTTCAGATGCTTCTACGTCAAACTGCATCAAGATGGTGGAGGGATCTGACAAAGATGCACCAAAGCCTGAACAGCATTTCGTGAGTCGCTCGCTGGTCACACCATCCTCACAAACAATATGCTACACATGCATGCCTTTCTTGCAAGGCTGACCAACGTGTTGATGCGTGCGCCTCCACTCGGGACTCCACCTATGTATGCGAGGAACAGGTAGATGCGGCGGAAAAGGATAGCGTCATGGTCATCAGTGCGCCTCCTGAAGTTCGATCGGCGGTATGGGGAGGACTCATGTCCGCTAGAGCTCAAGCTAGGGGAGTCAAAGGAATCGTGATTGATGGAAGGTGTAGAGATCTCAGCGAGCATAGAGAAGCGGGATTTGCTGTGAGTTGAACACGACTTGGGCTTGCGGGAGGAAGCGAGTGCAGTGCTGTGGGCCCTTCGAAGATCAGAGCAGGCGGTCTCTGTGTAGACGGAAGCTCTACTGTTTTTTTGCTCTGCGCACCGACCACTGCTCAATGCTCTACGCTCTGCCTTTTGGCTTGTCGCCTCACAGGTGTTTGCACGCGGACATTCCACGCTTGGTCAATCGCCGTTCACGCGTCCCTCGCTGCTCCAATCTCCAATCACGATCACAGATCCAACATTGCCCAGCACCTCTCCATTCCATCAACTAGTCGTCCACCCGGACGATTTGGTGCTGGCGGATCTGGACGGGGTGGTCGTCGTGCCCCCTACGTTGGTGGAGCAGGTATTGGAACTGGCGCAGAAGGGAAGAGAGGTGGATGAAAAGTGCATGAGCGATCTGAAGGAGGGCAAAGGCGTCAAGGAGACTTTTGCAAAGTGGAGAGGAAAGTGATGAGGGGAAAGAGCAGGGCAGGGATCGCGCAGAGGGGCAAGGACGAGAGCGAGGGCAAGAGCTGATCAGTATTGAGGTGCAAGGTGCAGAAAGTTGCCCGAGGACGCATGCAGAGGGGGACTGTACGATTCTCAGATTGATTTTGGTGAGGTTGTCAAGACGACGCATGGCCGCTTTGATTCATCTGGCTCGATAGAGTTCGACGGGAAGGCAATACTTTGCACCGCCCACGTACGTCGCAGCAACACTCGTATTTCGTGCTTTTGATCCCCATCCCCCCATCCCCTATCCCCACATTCCCACAACGGTTCATAGACGTTGCGCTAATGTGAATTGACCGAAGGGCTGAATATCACGCGGCGCTAGACCTAGACGCTTTCCGATTGATTTCGCAGTTCGTCTGCGCTTGTAAGATCCGTGCACGGTCGCACAACGGCACCACATATTACCATTCTCGTTGAGTCTGCACGCGATCGTGTTCCGCAGCGGAGTATGCAAGCCAAGAATGTGCGCGTCACGACCTCATGAATTGCAGCTTGTAGAGTTCTCGGTCAATAGGGACGAGAGGATATGAGAGGGGGGATGAAGCGCGTCCGTTTCTTTCTACAGCTGGTCCGATGCAGCATTTGGATGTGAAAAAAGCACATGTCCTTTATGGGGAAGGGGTGGAGGAAGAATGCGAAGAGTCCTTGCCGACAGGCCCGGCTTGTTCAGCCTCCTGCTCCGCATTTGCCGAAGTGGTGCCCTCTTCGCTCTTTTCGTTGCCAGTCAGCTCAGCGGCCGCTTTCTGCATCGGCAGATCCGCATTCTTGCCGCTCTTTTCAGGGCTCCCCTTCTTTGCAGGCTTCGTCTTGTTCCAATTGTGAATCCGTGCGATGTAGAAGAGACCGAGCGCCAGAGCAACGTTGAAGCCGATGTACGCGGCAAGAATACCCTACGAAAGCGACGAAATCAGAAATGGGCATTAGACGCTCGCAATTTGCTCAACGCTCGGCCATCTCTTTGTGCTCACCAGATTGCGCCATCGATGCGAGCTCGAAAATGCAAAGTTGGACGTAGACAGACCCGTCAGGAAGTCCTCTCCACGGCTGTACTGGCAGACTTGACAGTCGCCGTCGGGCCGCTGCTCGAAATAGCCAAAGGCGCGAGTAAAGTAAGGCGAGAGATAGGCTTCGCAAGTCTGTCCAGTAGGAGGCCTGACGATATTAAACTCGTTCTCAGCACATCGTACAAGTTGTGGACCCAGGACGTTGCCCAGAAGACCTTCGAGGAGGTATGTAAAGGGCGAGAGGGGCAGCATCCAGATCCTCCAGAAGTACGGCTGCAAAGGCGGAGGCTGCACAACGCCGCAGAAGACTGTGCAACGGAATACGCCGTCAGTGTCGATGCATGGCATGACATTGCTTGACTGTGGTAGCGCACTCACCGATAACGAAGGAGAAGAAGACGGAGAACAGCACGGACGCCAGTTGCGCATTTGGTGCCAACGCGGCCATAGCTGCAAGACGCGGCACAGTGAGTCAGCTGCAATCGTACGAAAGCCTTCCGCACGTCTTGTTCACGAGCCGCGACTCACCACTCGAGAAAGTGAGCCAATAAATGCTGAAGAATTGCAGCGCGAGCCAATTGTAGATGACGCGATCAGATGCAAAAGAGAACTGGGTCATAAAGTACCAAGGCGCCCAGTAAAGAGTGTTGCCGAGGGCATTCCAAGGAATCTCGACGAGGATGGCGCTGATGACGGCGATAGGCCAGGCGTACATCTTTGAAGGGCGCTCGCGAGCCTCGTAGAGAGAGCGGAATCGAATAAACATCGGTTGTTGTTGTTGCGCGAGCGAGGTGGATAGGACGAGAGACATAAAGATGGCGAAGAGCTTGTTCTGAAGGCTCGCCGTCGTGATGCTCTTTCCTTGTCCCCAGAAACTGGATCCGATGAACAGGCCGGCGAAGATATTGAGGCCGAGCTTGGCGGTGAGGTAGACAGGGCTTCGCCAGTAGTGAGTGATGGCGCGACGCGTGACCATTGTAAATTGGACAGGCCAGCTGGCGGCGTACTCGCGGTTGCCGCGCGCAATGTCTTCCGACGAGAGCTGCTTACCGTCGGCTGAGTGCGCAAATTCCTCCAGCTTTGTGATCAGGTCTTTGTGCATGCTGCTGTTGAGATAAGACTGGTGCCAGTCGAATTTCGTGGTCGCAGTCGCACCAGCGCCAATGACGTCCAAAATGTACTCTGCGGGGTTCTCATGCTCTTGACATTCGCGTCCGCAGACGCCCGCAAAGTAGGGAAGGATGACGGAGCAATTCTTGCCGAGGTCGCCATTGTAAACTACCTCACCTCCTTTCTTTAGGAGGATGAGACGATCCATGGTGTTGAACAGCTCACCCGAGGGCTGGTGGATGGTGCACAGAATTGCCTGGCCTGCATCTGCGAGCTTGCGGAGGAAGCGGACGATACTCCAAGCGGCTTGGGCGTCCAGACCAGAGGTAGGTTCGTCGAGGAAGAGGAGGAGCTTGGGGCGGGCAGCAAGCTCCACAGCAATCGTCAAACGTTTTCGCTGCTCGATGTTCAGACCCTCTCCTACTTCGCCGACCAGAGCTTCTGCGAAGGCCTCCATCTCCAGCATCTTAATGACAGACTCGACGTAGTCCAATTTTTGCTGGCGCGTACGCTCTGCAGGTTGACGGAGCAACGCAGAGAACTGCAAGGCTTCGCGCACGGTAGCGGTGGACAAGTGCGTGTCCTGTTGTTGGCAGTAGCCAGTGTCGGCCTGGAAAGAGTTTGGCAGGCGACGTCCGCCCACGAGGAAATTGCCATCGACGATACCGGTGCCAGCGCGCTGAGCAAGGACATTCAGCAGCGTCGTCTTGCCAGCTCCAGACTCGCCCATGAGAGCCGTCAGCTTGCCTGGCGCGACGTAGCCGCTGACGTTCGAAAGAAGACGACGGCGCTCCTTCTTGACGAGCACATTGTAGTTGACGTTGGAAAAGCTAAAGACGTCGCTGGAAAAATCGAGCTCCCTCACTGCTGCTGCCTGCTGCTCATCCTCTTCCTCTGCGGTGAGTCCGCCTTCAGCAATTCCCTTTTCCTCTGCCTTTTCCAAGTCGGTGCCCTTTGCATACATTGCCTCTTTGACAGACTTGGGCTCGCGGCCACGCTTGAAGATGAGAATGCCAGCCTTGGCCGACGGGTCATTTTGAAATTCTGATGCGGCCGCGTACCAGATCACAAAGGCGAAGAAGAAGCCGAGCAGGATACCGACATTGCGCCCGCGGTTGCTGAATAGGTACCCATAATTTGCCAGAGCATACGCGGCGCCATCGATGGTGAGCTCGCCAGGCTGACCGCTCGCGACAGCACAGACTTGATTCGCAACATTTGCCGCTTCGTAACCCTCCCCGCTCGGGATGACCGAAGCGCACGGGACGTTGAGGTATCTGAACTCGTTGGTGATCAGAATCTCGAAGCTGAAGGCGATCGGGTTGCAGTAGGAGAGCCAGCGCCACCAGATGACCATCGAGTTTCGGGGAATGACGTAGCCTGCGTAGAGAGCAAGGTCGATGATACCGAGACCAGCGACGAGCGTGGCGTTCGCTTCGTTGCGGAACGTGGCGGCGAGAGCTCTGAAGAAGGCGACCATCAGGTACGTCGTCAAGTAAACGATGGCCAAGTAGATGAAGAAAGCGTCTGCGCGGTAGACGAGGCCAGTCAGGAAGTAGATGATGACGCTAAAGGGAAGCGAGGTTATGGCACGCAGCGGCAGATCGAGCAGCGTGTTTGCCAAAGCGTCGCTGAAAGGATGTATCATACTGAAGCGAGCTTGACGGATGACGATTGGACGTTGTGCGTATCCTGCGGCAACTTCGGTCATGGCTGTAAAGGCGTTGAAGAGGAGGGCGAAGAAGAGGACGCCACCTCTGCTGAAGAATCCGGCGGTAGATTGAGGCATGTTGTAGAAGCAGGATCCGATGATTAGAGATTGGAATGTGCTTGCAAACATGATGATCAGTTGCGTGGGCAAGTCACCCCACAGGATCTGAGCTCGACGCTTGATGGCAGCGCGAATTTGCTGCGGCAGCGACATGACGAAAGGCGAGTCTTTGCGCGTGTGTTTAGCCTTCTCCTCGCGCTGCACAGCCTTGTAGTGTGCAGCCGCCTCAGCAGTGTGGTTGTCCTTCAGCTCTTTCATGTAGGCAGCCGTCTCTTGAGCATTTTGTTTGCCCGCCTCCGAGTTGCGCCAAGCTGCAGCAAGCTCGTGAGGAGTGCGTGGCGCACGATCCTCGAACCCTTTTCGGAAGAGGCGCGCGTGCTCGTCCGTTACGGAGACCAAGTAGTCGGCAGTAGTCTGCTTGAAATGACGCTCAAAACCGAGCTCGTAAAAGTAGTCGGCAGCCTTGTCGAGAGGACCAAAGTACGCGCACTGGCCTTCGGCAAGAACGACGACCTTGTCGAAAAGACTGGTCAGGCCTTCTCCTGCTTGGTAGACAGAGGCGCATACAGTCATGTCGGTCAGGTCGGTCATGATGCGCAGCGCTTGACCAAACTCGACTGCTGTGGAGCTATCCAGACCTCTCGTGGGAGAGTCGTACATTGCCACCTTTGCTCGCGTGGCCATCAGCTCAGCAATGGAAACACGCTTCTTTTCACCTCCACTGATGCCACGAATGAGCTCATTTCCAACTTTGGTGTTGAAAGTGTGTCGCAGGCCCAGAATGGTGGCAATGGCTTCTCGAGCAAGGCTCGTGTACTCGTCGCGAGTAGACTTGCCATCCTCGCTGAGACCAGGGCGCCTGCCAGAGGCTGGTGCGCGGGTGGAAATGGCAAAGTCGAGCGTCTGGGCGACAGTGAGTGTTGGAAAGTGTCTGTGAAGGAATCGAGAGTCAGCTAGACAGCCACGAGATGTGCATGTTGCTCTCATATCTGCTCACACATCATCTTCGGGCGCATACACTACATCGCCCCTCAGCGAACCATTGATGTCCTTGTGCGACCATCCTTGCCAGCTCATGTCTCCCTCGATGCTTCTGAATCCACCTCGATAAGAAGCGAGAGTCTTGAGGAGACTGGTGCATCCACTACCCGGTCTGCCCAGAACGAGGAGCATCTCGCCGGGCTTGACGCAGCCAGTAAAGCTGTCCAGGATTTTCTTGATGGGAGGATTGCGCATACTGCTCAAGTGGGCGAGAGATCGGGCTGGCTGCACGAGCATCGAGCCGAAGCTCTGATTTAGGGCCACGCCTGCGCCAATTCCAGTGACAGTGAGGTCTTGGAAAGCCAGGCCCATCGTTCGACGCTCGTTGCCGCGCTGATCCGAGTGCCCAAGCATCTCTCGCAAAAAGGCAGCCAGGTCGAACTTTCCCGTCGTGTCGAAAGGGTCAAAAGTTCGCTTCTCATCGCCCTCCTCTAGCGTTGTGGGGGGAAGACCGGCCGCGGCTTGTCGTGATCGGACAGAGTGCTCTGTCAAGCGTCGCGTCAGTTCAGCCGTGCCTGTGGGTGTGCGGTGGAAGCTGGCGTGAGCTACAAGGACACCGCGATCGGTGCCCACGCGCGCTTGCGCTTGTGAGAGCTACGAGGAGACGCAGCACTGACACGATACTCACCGCTTGGATCCAATGTACCGATGGGAATGGTTTTGTGGGACGCTGTGCTGGTCACTCGTTCCAAGTTGGGCTGCGCCTGGGTGTCGTACTTTTCCATCTCTGCAGTACCAGAAGAACCCTCAGGCTTGGCTTGCTGATCCAACACCTGCTCGACGGGCTCATCCCGCGACGCTGCGTTGGATTGCGACATGCTGTCGGCTTGGCGGTGCCTATGCGTCCAAGCTAGGTGTAGAGACAAGCAGACCGGTGGATTTGATAGGATGCCTGCAGGTACACGGGCGATGCGGCGTGCCACAAAGTCCTTGAGAAGTTGAGATGCAACGTTCTCGTGACCGTCGGGACTGCAATCTATGATGGTAGCTTAGGAGGGGATGCCACTCATCCCTCCATTCACCTGTCTCTCCCTTCTCTATTTGAGCTTCTCGATGCGAGCCTGCAAGAATCAGGCAAGATTTGTGCAAACACGTTCCTTGACCACAGCACCGACACTCGACTTTCATTTTAGGCTTTCCTCCGTCGCTTCGCTTGTTGTGCGTGCATGCGTGCGTGCGTGGCTTTCGCAGCTTTGGCCGGGGCTGACCAAACAGAAAGAAAAAGGCCCGAGGGTGAGGGTTCGCGTCGCATCAGCGCGTCATGCAGCTCTAGCTGCATCCATGGGGACTGTACCGTACTCTTGACTCACAGCACTCACACTTGCGCGCCGATCGCTGCCTGTCTCATCGAGGTCTCTTACACTGACGAGCTGCCTGGCGGATAGTCGCCCCCGAGAAGCTTGCCGCCTGCGAGCGTGCGGAGTCAGAATATCTGCCCACAGTCGTGAGTCAAGTAGGTACATCAGTACGTGCCAAACGCGTCGCAGGTCCTTGATCGAGCGTGGTGGGTAACATCAGCTCTTGGGCCTCGCACCAGCCCCCGCTCCGCATGCGAAGCGAGATCCACGTTAAGATTCACGATCCGCTCCCTCGCTCGTACTGCTGCCCTCGTTCGTTCGTGATGAAGCCACAACAGCCAGCCTGTCCATCGAAGCAATCATCGTCGCCAGGGGGGCTCGCGCATATGCATGCGCGCAGCGGTGGTTACTTTCGGAACGATGATTCCGATTGTCCACACCCGACCGCTATCTCTCTCCCGTCGTCGCGATGGGGCTGCTCGGCGGAAGATATCTTATTCGAGCCAAGCCAAACCCCAGCTTTGTCGTGGGCTGAGCATTGAGCGGAGCATGAGCATACTACTGACTGTCAAGCTGAGCACAAGAATCAATCACCTCAATCAAGAATCTTCGCTGCACGACCTCCTTTCCCTACCCGATCGAATCGCACGTGCGAGGCAAGAATCTCCACCCTTTATGCACGGGGGGGGGGGGGGGGCGAATCGCGGAAGCGGAAATTTTTCGTTGTGCTTTGGCACCATGCAGACAGGGGCATTCACGATACTCTTGACTGCACTACTCGATCAAATGAGTTCTGAATTGCCGGCTCTTTCAAGCGCACGGCTCACCGACGGTCCACTCGACCATTTCCGCGGGCTTGCGCAGCGCTCACGGGCGCGTGTGTGCATGTGTGTGATCGTTGCTCTAGCAGCAGTCAGTCAATTGAATCATTGCGTTGTTTGGGTGCGTGAATGAATCAGCGATTGCGCAGGGGCAACACGTGACGGCAGAGCGTCAAGATGAGCCCCACGCACTCATCCATCCCTCCATCCGTACAGCGCTACAGTGCCACTCCCAAACCGCTACTTTCTCTCCGTGCTACTCAGCTCAGCTCAGCTCAGCTCAGGGCCTTTCTTCTCTCCTTGACACGACGCGCGTCGCGACGAAGGAGCTTGCCGATCGAGTGCCATCGCGCCTATATACTGGTGGGCCTGACTGTACGGGCCAATTCGAATCAATGAGCGAGAGTGATGCTGGTGCATCATGGCACCCGAACGAGCCGCGCGCCGCGCGGACAGCCGCGGTTATACGGGGATACGTTCCGGCGATGCAGAGATCTGCAGCAACGATGCAAGGCTGTTGAGTGCATGTAAAACCGCAAGCGTGGGTTGCGGATCAATTAACCACTGCACTGAATCGTGAATGATGGTGGATAATTTTGAATGGTCAAGTGAGCGTACATGCAGCTTCGCGAGCTCCTACCGGGTCCGCTTATCACCAATCAAACTGCATCCAGAAGCCTCCTTCACATGCCCATCGACGATTCTCTCATAGCTGCGATCCTGACGCGTCACGTTCGGCCGACCGAAGTCTATGGAGAAAGGCGATCATTGTGCATACATGCGCAAGGTCTGTTCGGACCTGATGCCATCACACATTGCTGGTCCAGAATCGATGTAATTCCTGGAGTTTCAGATGCTGCACCGAAACAGAGGAGGATATGTACCAACTTGTTCGCTTTGCATGAGCCGATATGAAGGTCCTTGATGGGCAGGCAACATCAGTCGAATTTGCCTCCCAGTCGGTTAGCGCTCGACGCGCGCGCTGTCCTTTTGAGCCACAATGCCAAAGAGGCGCACAGAGCTGCCAAGAAGGCAAATGACAAGAGCGGGTGCGCAGCGGTCGCCTCCTGCGCAGCTCCCATTCAGATGGACAAAGAAAATTGGCAGTCGAGTCAAGACGGAGGATGAGAGCGACGCATGGGCAAAAAGGAGGAGGAGGGCAAAAGAGAACGCAAAGGGTCAGAATGCTCCGATCCTCACTTCGAACTGAGCAGAACAAGACATCGCAACTCACGATCAGAGCTTCTACCGCTCCTCCCGCTTGCCTGACGCCCCTATCCACAAATCCGCGAGAGCTCCTAGCTTTGGGTCCCTTTCCGACGCTTATCAACGCCAAGGTACCCAGCACGGCCTCGTGATCTATCCAATTCCTGGCATTCCTGACCAATACGCCCGCAGATGCCAAGCTGCCCGTGTCTGGTCTCGACCCGCCCAGCTTGGCGCCGGGAACGTACGTTGGCTGCTCTGCATCGAGCTGAGCTTGCAGAGGCACGTTGCGCGTGACGATGGGACGATGAGGCAGATTCCAGTACTGCAATGAACGCCCATCGGCCAGTATCAATGCTGGCAGGTCCGTCTCCTTGACGTTGTAATCTGGCACATTGTTCACAGGATTTGGTCGCGGCGAAGCTCAGCGTTCGCGCTGAATGTAGGCTTAAAGTCGCCGGTGCGAACGCGACTTGCGCCTCCACTCACACTTGCCAATTGCGCTCGCCCAACGATCCGCGTCGATCCATGCAAACAGTACCTCTGGCACGCCTGGATTACCGCCTCGGTCTGTGCCACTAGGCGCTGTGCGAGCTGCCAGGGCAAGTTGCTTGAGCGCCAGTAGCTCGCCATCCCTGACAGCAGAGCCGCTGCCTGTACCAAGTGTGGTTCCATCGTGATGCAGATCCGAGAGTGCGGCCAACACCACTCGCTTGGCCGCTTTGTCTGAGGGAACGTAGAGGATGAATAGGTCAGTAAAGATCACGAACATGGTCAAAGAGAAAGCACCCAAATGCACGTTGACGTATAGCCGCTGCAAGAGGTCGCCGATCGCTCACTATGGATCACATCCGAAAAGGTGGCACCAGTGATCTCCGTGACAGTAGCAAAGCGCTTACTGTCTAGCCACTCCGCCACCTTCTTAGCAGCTTGAGCCGGATCCAGTTCGATCGGTATTTGGCTAGGGTAGAATGCGTCCACTGGTCGATCCGTGCTGTGATCCTTGAAGACGAGCAGTCCGCTCACAGCATCTTTCGCCGCTTGAGAGCTAGCCGCGCTGGTGCTGCCCCTTGTCAAGCGCGCCTTGTATCGCTCCAAAAGCTGCGGATCGCTAGACTTGTAGACGTGGACCGGCGTGGTCAAGAGTACCCTCGAAGCCCTCACCACCGCATCGATCTCTCGTTCCGGCGTGGCTGGCGAGTGCAAGTACAAGAACAGCACTTCATCCCTTCGGCCCAGCTCTCCTAGCTCTCTGCCTTCGATCGAGCGGACGCCCGAGGTGGATCCTGCTTTGAGCGCCCATTGCAGCATCGCATCATGAGATCTTCCGCCCGAATACTCCGTCGGCGTTCCTTCGTTGTACCTGAAGACTCGACAATATGTGTCACGGATGTCAGCCGCGCTTTTGCCTTCTTTCCCACATCATGCAGCTTTCCATACTCACATGCGCAGCGTTGGGAATCCACCAACTCGATATGTCCGGCAGACGAGTGGGAAAGCCTCGCAGTCCACTTCAACAGCATTTACGCGGCCTTTGAGTGACTCTGCGAGCTTGATGAACGCCGGCTTCATAGCTTTGCAGTGAGGACACCAGGGTGCGAAAACTGAGAAAAGGTTGGGCAATGGGATGTCAAATTTCAGCCGGTTACTAGCTTCATCTGACCACGTGAGGTAGCGCATTCGCCGCAGCGTAGACGACCCCAGCCAGTCGTCGTGTCCAATCCTTCCTGCGTGCCACGGACACTCACACTTTACAAAGCTGCTACCCCTTCCGCCCTCTTTGCTCAGCCACTCGTCCAAGTCTTTCGGTGTGGCTAGGGGAGCCTTTCCAAAACTGAGTAGCACACCTTCAGGGTTGGGACCTGATGGAGCAGAGGCCGCCTCTTTTGGAGGTGCGGGAGGCGCAGGCGGCGGGGGCGGGGGAGCTTGGGCAGGCTGAGCTGGTGCTGGTGCAGGTGCAGGTGCAGGTGCAGGTACCGGCTGTGCATCAAGTGCGCCCTCTTTCGGAGGTGAGGCAGGAGCAGCTTCCTTTTGAGGATCTGCCGCCGGCGCAGCTTGATCCTGAGGGATGCCTGGAGGTCGAGGTCTATCCGGATGAGGAGGCACATAGATGGGAGCTGGATTTGCTAGCTTGCCGTGAGGATGCGGCGTATCTGAGACGCCTTTGAGAGCTCTGAAGATGGAAGCTTGCTTATCTATGAATACCGACAAGTCCGTGTAGTCCCTATCTCCTTGATATTCGCCTGCCTGCTGCACTCCAGACCGGTACCTGCGAAGCGTCAAGTGGTACATGTCTACATCAGCGTCAGCGTCGGAAAGGGCAATGCGACTCACAATGTGAGGCCGCGGTCGCGGGCTGAATTGCCCACTCACACTGTCAGCCGAGGCAAGTGCGGCACGTTCTGCTCTGCGCAGATGTCCCTCTGAGCATTGCAGTCCACCTGTGCGAGCGTGAAAGGCGCATCCGGGTAGTCCGTCCTCAAATGATCCTTTGTGCTGACGAGCTGATCCCAAGTAGGCAAGAAAGTCTTGCAGTAGCTGCAATAAGGACTGTAAAATTCGATCAACCAAGCCCCTTCTTTGATGGACTCGGTCCAATTGGACGCTGTCAGCTGCAGCAGCCCGGCATGAGTCGCTCCCGAGAGGCTGGTGGTGGTGCCGACTGGGGAGCTGAAGCTAGCCGCTGGAAGCACGGCAGCGAGCAGCCAGCTTGAGAACATCGACCGCAACAACATGCCCCACTATTGCAAGCTCGGAGCTTTGATGGATGGTAAAGTACGCCAGGGGCTGCAGGCGTCGAATGAAACGCACGGGGGATTAAGACGATGTAGGGCCCTCTTGAGCGGTGATGAAGTCAGGGCGAAATGATGGATCCGGCAAGCGTGGGCCGACGTAGGTGGCAAGAGTGGGCGAGGGTCCGACGGATCGTGCGAATCGAGTGGACGTCTTGGCCGACCATTCGACTCGTAACGCTTGATCCTCATCGACGAGCAAGCACTCACGACTATATGCATAAAATCCCGCGACCTCTTGGCGCGCTTGGCTCCGGATCTCGCACGAGAGAGAGAGAGGTGAACGGTGATTTGACGGAGATCCGCGGGAGTTGGAGGCCTAGCTGATGCTTTGATGAGTAGCTGACGCTGACGCACACGAACAGGACCCTGAACTAGCAGGCCGCGGAGGGATCACTTGATCATCTTCGGACACGGATACCAAATAAGCTGCAGAAAACCGTAGAGAAGCACCTGTTTTCACTGAAGCGCTCACACTCACCTGCGACTGTCACTTGTCTCTGTCCGAAAGCGACGATTGTGGGTCGTGAGCTGCGCTTGCTGTGCAGCCTGTGGTAAGAGATCTCTACTCCCTATAGACTATAGCTGCACATCGGCTCGATCGGACTGAGCAATCAGAAAGGCGCATCCATAAATGGCGCGCGTTCAGACGCCCTTCATCAGTCTCAGCTTTGTCAAATCGATCGAAGAAGCTGCGGCGCCAGCGTCAGAAGCACCATAGATCGTGTCTCACTTTGCCATATAAGGATCACCTCATCTAGTTGCGCGCTTGTGCTGGGATCCTCACCCCTAAAGTTCTAGCTCAGACGTATGTTTATCGCGTAAGCGTACAAGGTCGTTCGCTCCTGCTGCTTTCCCAGCTTTCTATACATGGACTACATCGTCGACCAGCCATTCGACGTAGCATATAATCGCTCAATCTTTGCAAGGCTAAGAGGGGACGTGATTTCGAGATCCGGACTGCATCGTGTGCAAGTGGTTATCCACATTCCGCTCCATCACCGCACATAGCCTACGCACTCACACCTCAAAAATGCCAGGAGCTCCGGCGAGGGGCCAGGTGGCCAGTGGGAGGACATGCAGCAAGAATGCCAAGCATGTTGTCATTATCGGTGCAGGAGCCGGTGGCACTTGCCTGGCTGCTAGACTGGCTCACAAGGGCTATAGAGTCACAGTGGTAGAAAGGCACGCCGGTGTAGGTGGAAGATGCTCGCTCGACTTTCATCCCGAAGGTCATCGATGGGATGTCGGTCCGAGCTTGTACCTTATGCCAGAGGTGAGCATACAATCGAGCCGCTCGATAGTCTAGCATTGAGAACACCGCTCCTCTAACGCTCCCGCATTACTTGCACAGATCTTTGACCGGGCCTTCGCCTCGATGGGTCGCTCGAGGGAGAAGCTGGTGCCCCTGACCTTAGCTTCCCCAGCGTACACAATCCACTACCACGACGGTCGCTCCCTGCAGCTTTCCTCCGATCTCACAGCCATGGGAGCCGTGCTGGAGAAGTTCGAAAGACCGTGCGGCAATCCTGATCCGCTTGGCAACTTTTTGGAATTCCTCAACGAGGCTGGACAACACTACGAGGAATCCATTCGATGGGTATTGGGTGCTGATTGGACTCATCTGCTCGAAGCGCTCACTCGGTGGGAGATGTATCCGATGCTCTTCAAGACCCGCATCCTGCACATTTGGACCACCTTGTACTCCAGAGCCAGGTGATTACGAGCACGCTGTGATTGGGCAACGCCTACTATTCTCTCGCTAACCAAACTCCTGCTTTTGCTTGGATTCGCAGCTCATTCTTCTACAGCGATCACATTCGCCGCGCCATGACTTTCAGCTCAATGTACATGGGGTGAGCTATCAGTGGAGCACAAGCCAGCAGTGTGGTATGCCCCTTTCTTACCCTGCACATCTCGGCCACCAGAATGTCGCCCTTTGACGCGCCAGCCACATATTCGCTTCTTCAATACGCAGAATACGCAAAGGGTGAGTGACAGCGAGGTCCTCCAGGGCTCTGGCTGCGCTATCACTCCAGACCCGTCCTCGCGCTGAGGGCGCGTCCTTCGCACTTGTCGCTCTCAGGGGTTTGGTACCCTATAGGAGGCTTCCAGCGCGTCGTGGCTGCCTTTGAGCAGATCGCCAAGGAGGAGGGCGCTTCCTTCCTCTTCAACACGAACGTGAAGCAAATCAAACTCGATGCTGTAAGGGGCGCAGCAAGCGGTGTGGAGCTATCGGACGGTCGCAAGATCGAAGCGGATGTGGTGGTGAGCAATGCGGACCTGGTCTCGACGTACAACAAGCTACTACCACCATCTCCGTACGCCGACCGTTTGACGCGCAAGGATCAGACCTGCAGCAGCATCTCCTTCTATTGGGGCCTGAAGGAAATCGTCCCCGAACTGGGTGGCCACAACATCTTCCTGGCAGAAGCTTACAAGGAATCCTTCGACGAGATCTTTAGAGAGGGCAAGCTGCCCTCTGAGCCTTCCTTCTACGTCAATGTGCCCTCGCGCTTGGACCCGACGGCTGCGCCGTTGGGTAGAGACACGCTCGTCGTCCTGGTTCCATGCGGTCCCCTTCCCCTCGATGCATCGACTTCTCGTGCAGAATTCGAAGTCACTCGAGCCAGAGCGCGGAGACAAGTGATAGCTACTTTGAATGCTCGACTAGGAGATCGACGCGCTGAGAGGCGAGCGGAAGCAGATGGAGGCGTGTTGAAAGCTTTCGACGAGAAGACGGCGGACGCTTTCGACATCGAGTCGCTCATAGCTGTGGAACAGGTCATGGATCCGTTTGATTGGCAGGAAAGATTCGATCTATTCAGGGGTTCAATTTTGGGTTTGAGCCATACCATTCCGCAGGTGAGCTTCGTCTCGTCTCTTTTGTGCGCACGGACACACTTGCTTGCGCGACCTGATCGACTCGAAACGAATGTCACGTCCATCCCTGACCCATCACCCGCAGGTGCTATGGTTCAGACCGAGCGTGCAGCATGCCACATACCGCAACCTGTTTTTTTGCGGCGCGTCGACTCAGCCAGGAACGGGGGTGCCCGTGGTCGTGGCAGGGTCTGCCGTCGTGGCAAAGAGGATAGACGACTTTTTGAGCAAGAAGAGCAGCAGTGCTTCCTTCTTGCCCCGCTCGCTCGCGAATATCTGCGCTATGATTGCTACTCTCATTGCGCTCCTTGTCGCTGCTTTGCGATGAACTTGATTGCCGGAAATCCAACGCAGAGACAATCGTTCGTACTTTTCCCAAGACCTTTTGCATGATGCTTTGCCCTCACTTTTGCTGCTGAATCGTTGTCGCATATGACCCGACGCAGCATTCATCGCGATTCCAAATGTCAACTTTTTTGAAATTATGCAATCGTGATGATGTCGGAAGGCTGAGCAAGGGCGTCAACATTGCAACACGAGTAGTTCATCAAGAAAGACGATGCGAGAGTGATCCTTTGCAAAAAAAAAAAGGAAGCTAGATACACTAAGAGGGGGCGGGGGGGAAGGTATTTGCAAAAAGGTGGCAAGGGGCCCGAGAGAGGCTCGTCTTGAAAGACGGAAGAAGAAACGAAAAATTCTTGAATACCGTGTACACTGTAAGGCGTCTACTGGTGACCAGCGACGGTAGCCTCTGGGCTGTGATTACCGTTGGCCTCGGCGGTCTTGAGTGTGCCAGCGCCGACACCGGAGCTGTGCGCACCGGCCTTTTCGGTGTCTGGAAAGTCGGTAGCTTTTCCGCTCTGCAGACCCAGAGCTGCATAGTCGACCTTTCTCATGGAGAAGAGGTGGATCATTGCAAAGACGGGCTTGGCGAGGATGTCCACTGCGAGGAAAGGGGGAGGTTGTTGAAGGGCGCGGAAAAATTGAGAGTGATGTGGAGCGTTAGAGGTGCGGAGAGGTGATGAGGCGCATTTGTGATTGGAAAGATTGCTCAGAAATTACTCACAGACGCCGTAGAAGACCATCTCGCCGGCTGGCGAGATGGTGTTGGATCCATCGCAGAGACCCCAAGCGATGGGGTAGCAGAACCACAAGAAGGACAAGATGGCCGCACCAGTCACGTAAGTCTTTTTGATTTCGCCACCGTGTCTACGAGCAGAAGCGAGACCGGGACCGTAGAGGACGTAAAAGACGCCAAACATGGCAACGTTGCCAAAGGTAAAGTATCCCCACTTGTAGGTGGATGGAACCAGGGCTCCGACTAGACCCGTGATGATCATCACTTCGTCCGCAAAAACGGTGCCGAAAATTGCAGAGAGGGGAAGACCGGAGACGAGGAGAAGCTCGAGGAGCAAGAGAGGAGTGGTGATGACCCAATCGATGTAGCGAACTGAAGGTGGTTCGAACAGCAGCGATTGTCAGTCTCATTTAGCGTACATTGGGTGCATGCTTGGCCCGGGAGAGTTCCGCGGTCAGTTGGCGCCACTCACCATACCAGATTGAGCGAGTAGCCCGGGGATTGGTATCTCCGTGAAGGTACTCGACGGGGATGGCGGTAGCACCGAGGTCAGCGGCCAAGGAAAAGTAAGCTACAGACGCGGTTCCCAGAATAGCGATGGTGAGGTAGTGGAAAGTTCTTTGACCCGGAGGAATCGTGAAGGCCCATCCCATGGTGATGAGCATGGTAAAGACCATGATGGCAAACACTGCCCACAACCAACTGGATGCTCCAGTGGTAATGTCGATGTCGGCCACAGTGGGGTTGATGGAGAGCACATCGTTGCGCGAGACGAGATTGTTGAAGTGCTCCATGTTCGGCAACAGGAGTTGTGGTGCTGCAAGGTGAAAGGATTTGCGGTTCAAAGGTCACGCAAGGGCGGTGAGGGGGATGATAGTGGGAGGAAAAAAATGGGGGCCAATGGTTGCAAGACGATTTTGTACTTGAGCTTTGTGAGCTGGGCGCCTGCATCTCGGTCGCCTCCGATACAAGCCCGATGAAGCGTCTGCTACCAGCGCAAGGTTACGATCCGGACAAAGACTTGCGCTGACGATCGCCTGTTGCATCATCTACACGGAGGCGGGGGGATTTCAAATCACCGCGGCTAAACGAGAGTTGCCTCGTCTTCAGGGCTGTACCTCGGCATGTCCCGCCTGCCACTTCGACAGCAGACCGGCAGGGTCCATTGCCAAAGTTGCAATCTGAATTGCTCAGGGCTCCAAGGGCTAAAGCCACGAGTCGTCTTCACAGTCCCCGCTAGCCAGCCGAAGAGATCCGGCATCGGCGCTAACCCTCTACGTTGGAGCGCTGCCGGGCTCTCTCACGTCTCGGAGTTCATAGGCGGACTGAAGGTGCCCTGGACGCTGTCGCCAAAAGCACCATGACAAACCGGCTCGAGTCTCAACCTTATGCCCAGCAGCCAACGACCAGGCATTCGTTGCACACGCGCCCGCACCCGCAGATTCGTCGACGACAACTCCGACGAAGCGGTCGTGAGCGGCCTCGATGGCTGCATGCTGATTAAGAAATTCAGCTTCGTACTTGTGACTGTTGTGCTCGCTGGGTCTGACGAGCTTGATTCTCGACTCCGATCCGGCGGCCCGTCAGTCAGAGTGCTGTGGGGTCAAAGATGAATGCACTTTTGAGTACTTGGCGATGGTTAGACCCACGCTGATGACGTAGGGCCAAAAGCAGAATAAGCCTCAAAGATTTCGGCAGGATCAGGGCAAATCATTCCGGGAGAGCTTGGGGAGTAGACCCCGACCCTGCCTTACTTCAAAAATTTGATTCCTTAGCAATGCAACGACAGCCATCAAGAAGTGGCTGGATGGAGAAGCGAGAACCTTCGGCATGACGGCTGGCTGTATGCAGTCGGACCCGCCGGTATTACTCGCACTCACAACACTCACGACTCTCTTCTAGTCAGAGCGTGACTCAGCTGCACCAGCCTCCTGGAATGTGAATCTCACTCAAACTCACAAATGCGTCAAGCCGCGGCCAGTAGGCAGCAGAGGCAAAGGCAAGTCTGCAACGCTTGGACCGAAAGCCTGCCTGCCTCCACTTGCGATCGTCAGGCGGACCAACGGCAAGCGCTTTGGTAAAGCGGATGTATGCGAGGTAGCGTCGGTGGCCATACAAAATCCGTCAGCAGTAGTCTAGTGAAGAGTCACGAGTGTGATGCTGCACTCGTGACTCGACTTCCACTTGCGTGCCAAGTCGCACAACATATCCAAGGATCGGCGGTGGAAAGTCATGAGTGTGGGTTTCGATGCTCTCTTCTGAGCGCAAAAGACTTTTGACTGGTGTACTACACCGATTAAGCCCTCGAGATCGTGCGTGTTCTACAAGATCTAGACTCTGAAGAAGTATGCGTCACCTGGCCCTGACCGGCTGTGTGCTGCTGGCTCTACCGCGACAGAACATACGAGGACAAGCTTGCGACCGCGGACCGCGGTGAAGGGGCAGACCCACAACGTCAGTCGTGAGTCTGACTGCATGGCCCTTGGAGCGGGTGCTCTTCACGATCCGGATGGGCTCCCGATCGGACGATGAGAGAATGATAGCGCGAAGAGCCCACCTGGTGATGCAGGGTCTTTGCTAAGCACGCACAGAGATGCATGTTGATGCACTGGGCCGATCCGGACACTCGTGAGTCGTGACTGTGACTGCTGCAGCTGCTGCAGCTGCAGCTGTGCAAGGTGGAGGCGCTAAGCGGCGCTATCAAAAATATCAAGAATCCACCGACGCGCGAGGGTCGAGGTGCGTGGGCAGATGATGTCATTGCTGCGGTATCGCACGCTCATCCGCACATGCGGGTACTTTTTTACGTGACTCGTTACTCTGCTGACTCGTGACTCTTGACTTGATTTCAAGATGGTTTTCTTGATTAATTGTGACCCTGACCGCATGTACTCATGCAGGAGTGCGACTGTATATGCATGCAGCTCAGCTGTCAGAAACGCGCGCCGGCAAATTCACGGCGCGTGTTCTGAGCCTCTTCTGACCCGGGACTCGATCTCTGCCTCTGCGCTTCTCTCCGCCCCCTCCACTTCTCATCGTAGGTACAGTACCTTCTGACCACTCAGTGATGCGATCAGAGCACTCCTACTACTGTCATCGCGACCGGCTGCCCCTTCCCGTTGTAGGGATCATGTCGCATCGCTGATCAGATCCGCGATCCTCTCCTCGGCTAGACAGCAGCCGGAGCTTGACCAACCCTTCCTCCTCCTGCATGGGTCGGCGTGCCTCAGGTACAGTACATTGACCAGCCCTCCCGCACGTCCCTTTGAAGCTCGAAGTCGCATTTGCTGAACGCCGGTGTGCTTTCCCTGGGCTACGACAACGCCACGCTCTTACAAAGACGGCCTCCGCCTCGAGATCGGAAGCGTTTCCGCAACATATCGTAGTGCAACGCAACGGCGGCGCGGCCTTACGACTTTCACTCCCCCAGGCAAGCTAGACGTGGCTGTCAGCCCCTCCGAAATATAGCTGGACCGGAAGGCAGTAGCAGCTAGTAGCAGCCACGTTTACTCCTCTTGACTGGTCGGACACGCGGCTCATTTCAGCTTTGTACTCGAGGCAGCACACATCCGATGATAGCGGCGCGGCTTCACCGCCCTCAAGCATCACCGCTTCTCATCAGTAACGGGTCGCATTGCTGATCCGACAAGCGTACGCGATGACGCCCGGCCTTCTCACTCAGAGAGAGCGCAGAGATCCTCATCCGTATTTGTCAGGCAATTACGCACCGGTCAGGACGGAACTGCCGCTGACAGCTTGCCGCTATGAGGGCCATGTACCGGATGAGTTCCGAGATGGGCAATACTGCAGAAATGGTGGCAACCCTTTATCAGGCGAGGACGAGATGAGGGACGCGCACTGGTTTGATGGCGATGGTGAGTGATGCTAAGGCCTATATGCGATCGAGGTTGGTGAGGCGCAGCCGCAAGCTGACTCAGATGCCATCACAATGCGGTTCAGGCATGCTCACTGGAGTGCTTTTCAGAAGCATGCCGGATGGAAGTGTCAGACCAGAGTTCATCAATCGCTACGTCTTGACAGATGTGCTGCTCGCGACTTCGCCCCGCTCGACTCGACCTTTACTACCCAGCATTGCCACTTTCTCCTCGCCCTACATCCCTCTTCTGAGCGTCTTGCTAGGCGTCCTGCGTACACTCGCGCTCTGTCTCTTGACCTGGCTACCAGGCTCGGGCAGCTCGGCCGTTGAGGAACACGAACGGAGACTCAAGCGGATCAGCGTGGCAAATACCAGCGTGTGGTTTCACGATGGGAAAGCTTTTGCCGGGTGCGAGAGCGGTCCGCCACTGCGGGTGTTGCTGCCGGGCATGGAGACGGCCGGATGGTGGTCTGGACAAGACGCTGCAGACCGGGATGCCGATGACTCTACAGTAAAGACTAAGCATCGCAAGTCGCACGGATGGGGCAAGTCTGGCGTGGCAGGGTTGTTTGCAGAGATGACAACGGCACATCCGCACGTGGACCCAAAGACTGGGGAGCTGCTTCTGTTTCACATGTCTTTCTTTGCGCCATTCCTCAGGGTCAGCATCATCCCGCCCAAAAAAGGATGCGTTGAAGGCGACAGCAGGTCTCGAGACCAGCGGCAAGGAGCGCAAGCACCGCTTCGCGGCGTGGAAGTACCGGGCATTGCGCAGCCCAAGCAAATGCACGATGCGGGCTGGTCATCAAGGCACGGCATCATGCTGGACTTGCCGCTCTCGCTCGATCCTCGCAACATGCTGCGAGGTAGACCCATGCTGCACTACGACTCTGCTGGCCCTACCAGATTTGGCATCTTTCCGCGAAAGGAGCCCGGAAAGGTCGTGTGGTTCGAAGAGGCTCAGGCTTGCCTTATTTTTCACACTGCCAACGCTTGGGAAGAGCAGAGTGAAGATGGTCGAGAGACTGGTGCGGTGAGCTTGTTGGCTTGCAGACTCAATAGCGCAACGCTAGTCTACAGTGCTGGCAACACCATACCTCCGCCTCACGCGCTGCCGCCTGGCGGCCAAGCGGAACAATGTCGTCTCCACTACTGGCGCTTTCCCGACATGGAGCAGGATCGTCAGCCAGCACCCACTTTGCCGCGACGGCCAAGCCACTCTTTTGCGCTCAGTGCCGTGCCTTTCGAATTTCCCACGATGAATGAAGCCTACGCAATGTCCGAAGCGTCGTTCGTATACGGCGCATCTATGCGTTCAGGCTCTTTCGACGCTGGCTTGGGACGACAAAGCGCCAAGATAGATTGCTTGGCCAAGATCGATGCGGCCAAGCTTGTTAGGCGGGGACTCGAGCAGGGCATCGGGACAGAGGTAGCAGGGTTTTGCGTGGACGACCGCACGGTGCAGGACATTCTTGACGAGCAGGAAGCGCAACTCAAATTCGCACACGGATCTTCATCCGACAAGAGCAGCGCTTCAGCCGCCATTCGGATCTTTGCACTGCCTCCCAATCACTTTGCTCAGGAAGCAACCTTTGTACCGCGCAGAGGTGCAACGCAGGAAGACGATGGATGGCTAGTCTTCTTTGTCTTTGATGAGTCTCAGCTGGACGACGATGGGTGCGTGCTACACGATGCGACATCTGAGCTTTGGATCCTGGAGGCGAAGACGATGCGCGACGTGATTTGTCGGGTCAAATTGCCTCAGCGAGGTGAGTGAGCCCGCCATTCATGCCGGATTTCCTTGACATGGCCGCTGACGTGACGTCTTTTGGTTGCGTTTGTGCGTGTTCAGTCCCTTATGGCCTTCACGGCCACTTTTTCAACGCGCAAGAGATTGCTTCTCAAGAGCCTTTGAACGATGAGCAAATCAGAACTTGGATACTGGCCTCTCAGGGAGTTGTGGGCCCCGGTATGGGCACAGGTGGCAAGCCGACCGTCGACCTCTACGCCGGACCGCTCGCTCTGCAAAGACGAATCACTGCTGCGATGCGCTCCACGCTAGAGACTTGGCTCCTTTGACCAAGTGTGCGCCTGGGATGCTCAAAGATAGTGCTCTGCGTCGTTTGGCAACAATGCTCCGCCGTTCTGGATCGTGCATATCGTCATGCTTGCAATTGTACCATAGCCGCATACACGCCTCTTTATCAACACCAAGGACTGTTCTCTTTCGCCAACAAGGTGTGAAAGCTTGATCTGAAAAGTTCTTCAATCCACTCTTTTGCTCGATTTGCCTGTTTCTCGTCAGAAAATCTTCTGGTGACTAGGAGCTCGAGTCACGATGTGAGTGTAAAGTGCTCTTCTACGCTACACCATTCGTGATCCGTGGATCGAGAAGTCTAGACAAAGGCTTGCAGTTTCGACTCTTCTGAGTCCACAAGAATCAATTCGATTGAATCGCAATCTTGAATTTGGATGGACGTCCTTCTAGGTCGCTCAGAAGAGAGAGGAAGGGGCGGCAGAAGTCACGTGAGACAAAACTAACGTGTCGATCGGCTCGCTCTGGATAGGATCATGCGTGCGCGTGTCGGGCAGGCAGTCAGTCAGAGTCGCGTGAGTTCCCCACAAATGAATTCGACCCATCGCGCGGTCGGCTTCTTGGCTGCATGCATTCATGCCGTCGTGCACTGACGACTGCGAACGGGACAGATTCGCAACGTGGATAACTTCTGATGGTCAACACTCAAAACTCTTGAGCGTTCCCATGCGACCTTTGTCTGCTCTACGTTCCACGCACATCAATTCGCGAAAGCTGAAGAAACAAAGGCTTGGAGACGTCTCGTGGCCGCCGTGTGTTCTGCACAGGACGTTCGACGAGGCTCATTGCAGAAGGGCATACTGGAGCATATAGAACAGTCACATTTTGCGCAAGACGGACAGGTTCTGCTGGGCAGCCAAACAACGTGACTCGTGCCCCCTTGCATAGTCTGGAGTCCAAGGAAAAGTGCAAGAGCGACATCGATGCTGTACTGCAAATTGCAATGAGCTACGCGGCGACGTCTGTGGTGAGTGACTAAGCTGTTGCCCCTTGGTCTCCTACTGTGCTTGCTTTGATGGATGGCTTCCTGACTCTGCCATGCGTATCTTCTCGGCCCCCTTCCGCTGCAGGACGCCCTTGCGGACCTGGTGGCGGACACTGTTGCAAGCAACAAATTGTCTACGTCGAGAGTGGAGCGCATCACGACGCTGGCCACGCTCAACCTCGATGTGAGTATTCGGCGGAGTAGCTTGGAGAGCAGAGGCGAGGAAGACGGGCGCGGAAGGAAATGCTGTCAGCGAGCGCACAGACGTAAAATGGTTGTTTGGCGCATTTGCCCTCGGCACCACGGCGTAGCGCCGGACACTCTGCACCCGTGTAGCAGATCAAGCAATGGTGCTGATCCTTCCGTGCTCTGCTTCCCCCGCGCAGAGTCCAGAAGACGTAGTCAATGCTCTGCTAAATGCGCATCGCACTGCGAGGCCGTCTACAGTGGTTTCGTCACTCTACCTCTACGACGCAGTGGTACGCAGAGCTCGGGACATTGTCAAGAAGAAGGGCCAGGGCTGCGAGATGACAGGCGAGGCAGGGCCAAGCACCTCGAAGCAACGAGTATGGTCGTCGGACGCGCTTGCGCGTCAAGCTCGCGCTCTGCTCAAAGCTGCGAGCGCCTCGGTGGAGGAGGTTGTGATCTCTTCCATGCGGCACTCTAGGCCTGAACAACGGGTTGGTACGAGGACTGAGCCATGACATGGGCAGATATGGGCATCTTACCAGCGCTCCTTTCACGCGCAGGAAAAGGTTTACAAAGTTCTCGACATCTGGACAAAGACGTCCACCTTTGATTCGGACCATCTCAAATCCATTCGGGCGACTGCCCAAAAGGTCGAAGAGAAGGCCAAGGCTGCAGAAACGCACTCAGCTTCTTCAGATCACACCAGACGTGCTTCGCCTGATAGGCCAGCTCGCCATGCACCCAAACAAGGTCAATACTCATTCCAAGACAATATGTCTCGTTCGTTGAGTACAGCATTCTGTCAGCTTGGCAAACATGAAGCTTTTGGAGGCGTCGCGGTTGTGATCTGCCAGCCGATGATGGGCTCTCAAGCTGCTCTCTCATCGAAATGCGCCTGTACCACAGTTCCGCCGTCTGATTCACACACACTGAAATGAAATTCCTTTTCCCCTCCTGGTCTGTCTGATGCGAACAGGTCCTGAAAATGCGCAGGCGTCAGCATTCGCCGCCGGCGCGCATCCTGCACCTCTGTCCGCGACACATGCCTCGACTGCATTGCCAAGCCAGCTATTGGCCCTTCTCGGTGACGCGGGCAAGCAGGAAGAGTTGCGGAAAGCTCTCGCAACAAGCCACGTCAGGTCGTCTCTTGATGACAACGATTCGGAAATGAAGGATGCTCACGCTCTCGCGGTCGAGGACATGTAAGTCATGTTGTCAGTATGCTTGGCATCGAAGACGTCGTCATGCTGAATGCCCGAAACTGCAGCCCTGCAGTCCTTACTGGAGCAAAGCAGGATACTAGTAGGGTATCCATGCTGGAGCTTGACCCTGCCCAAGTAGCGCTTCTGAAGGACGTCGCAGCCCAAAATGGGTTCAAGGACTTGGGCATTTCAGTCACTCAGCCTTACGAGCGCAGAAGTGCTCAGCAGGAGCTGCAACCGCCGGTTACAAGCACCCATGCGCGTGCTGCGGACCTGTTCCGAACGGAAAATGGTCCGTCACATGATCGGCGCGGCGATCGAGTAAGCCCACAGGCACAAGCCTCACATGCTGCGCAAAAAGCTCAAAACGAGTCTGCATCCAGCCGTCCGCACATGGAGACCCTAGTGAGCGCCAATTCGCACGCCAAGCGGAAAGATGAACCAGGCTACGACGAGCTTGTAGACAAGCGAATCAGACTCGAGCATGAAGCAGGCACACCTTCGCTCGCCATGAGCGATCGACCAAATGATGCGCAACCGATCGGCAACGACTTGGCGGCAGACATGTCCACATTTGAATTTTCGACCTTTGACGCGACGAGGGCCGAGAGCTGGATGGACTTGAGGGAGAGATGGCAAAGGACCAACGGCTACGCTCCGAGTCAGACCGAGCTTTTTTGGTGGATCAGTGAGTTCGAGCTCATTCTTGGTTCCTGTTTTCGATTCACTAAGGTCGACGTCACGATTCTTGTATGTCAGTCAATATGCAACAGTGGTACGCTTATCAAGCAATGCAAGCGGCTTCGACATGGCAGTAGCCCATTCATTGACTTCGACCTCACAAAGCTCGACTCGGCTTCCAAAATGTCTGCAAACGGATCGTGACGGTCCACGAGGCAGGCAGAGTCTATAGGTCCTTCTTGATTCCTCGTGCTGTTGTCTTCGTCTCACAGTCAACATTCAGGAATGGGTTCACAGATCTCAAGTGCGCGCGTTGAAATCGTTGCCCCCCTCCGCATCAAGCGAGACTCGCAGCGCTTCGAGCGTCAACCTTCAGCGCAACTTTACGAGTGAGACCCAGGAATGTACGGCGTAGCAATCTCGGACGTGCTCTGGGCATGCGTTGCTTGCGCAGAATTCATTCGCATACCGCGCGCGGATTGATGTCGGCTTGTCTATACGGCGTTTGCCAGTGGTGTCGGCTCTTCGATGCTGCTACTCGAAAGACATTCGGAATCACTACAACTCGCGACGTGCCAATCAGATATGTGAGGCGTCAGCTAGAGTTGAGCCCCTCAGTGCTACAGGACAGTGTTTGGGTGGTTTCACTGGGGCCTCAAGGGTCGAACGACGTGCGCGTATAGCGTTGCGGATCATTGCTTCAACTCAAACGGGGTCATTTTCCGCCACCTTCCCTGTCCAAATGTCCTCTGTGCTTCGGTCAAAAACCTGTGCCCATTCCAACGTGCGAGAGTCTTCTAGAATGACGCTAGCGTGTAGTTCGATTGCCATCCCTGTCTTGTGTCCTGTTCATCTAGCGGCTACCCCATAGGCAGACCGGAGAGGTGTGACCATGTAGTCCGGTTCTCACCAATGACGCATTGGGGTCATTTGCCAGGCAGTCAGGTTACTTGGAAGGGTCCATGTCCTTCGTGTGCTGGCTGCATGTGGATTGGCTAGCCCAAAGGTGACTGACGCTCAGCTGTCTCAATACCACCATTGTCTGTGTGTGCGTCTGGGAGTCTTACTAGGTAAGCGATATCAGTTCCAGCGGGGAGGGTAGCCTACTTTGACAAAGTTTGATCTTTGCTTCAGAGCACTCTACATACATCCTCTCCTTCATCGACGGCATGTATCATCGGTCCAAACAGCAAAAGGAGGAGGCGCTAAGTAAGCCTGGAGAGAATGGAATGCGGGACGGCCCAAATTGTGATTTTTCTTCTCAGTATCGCATGTCATCATTGACGTAATTGTACAAGAGTCTTTGAGTGTGTAGCATGTAACCACAGCCCGCGACGATGATCAAAATAGCTGTTCTGCTTTCGAAGTAAACAGTGGCTATGCAACGCGTCTTGCGGCGACAATAGACTGATTAAAGGAGGGAGCCAGCCGAGATCCGATGGGAGCGGACGGGGGCAACTAAGTACACGAAAGACGAACATGAGGGTGAGCATGGAGGAATCATACAAGATGTGCGTAAAGGGCATGAAGAAGTCGAGGAAAAGGAGAGGAGGGAAGTGCGAACTTGGTTTTGAAAAAATTTCTCCGGCGACGCGGATTCGAACCGCGGACCTACGGTGTTCGTCATTAGATGCATGATGCACCTGACGGCTGTATCAATTACAAACCGTCGCCTCTACCAACTGGGCCATCACCGGACTGCGCCACGCTTGCGCGTTTGAAACCATATGATCTGACAGCCAACAAAGTCACTAAGCCGGCCCGAGATACTGTAGTACGACGCGACCTTCCTAGATTAACACAGCAACAGCAGTGGGCAAACGCGTGGGGAGTTAGTTGATCGACCATCCAGCGGTTGCTCGCGGCTGTGCAATAGCGCGCATAGGTTCATGCATGGCAAACGTTGAGGTGAGTGGCAGGGGATGGGTGTCACTCGTGACTTGAGGAAGCGTACGCGCTGCCTGCTGATGGATGTCTATCAGAGCTCAGCAACAGCAAGAAGGTTGCATTCCGCTCGCTTGCACTTCTCTCTTCCATCACAACTTGGTCATGCCTTTAGACAGACCAGTCGGGCTGCGCATCTGCTAACAGGCTGAGTTGTGCGGCCGTCCACGGCAGCCGGTTAGTGGCGAGGACGCGCGGGAGGTGCACACTGGAAGAAAGAGCAAGCATCATCGGCAGCCAAAGCTCATCGCAACAGGATTAGGCGCTGTCTGCGCAGAGCACCCACAAAGGCTCAGCGAGCTCATCACGGTGCCATCGCGATCACAACTGCTACTCAGATCTTTTATACCGCGTTCCCTTCTTTGCCAGATCACCATGAACATCTGAACAACCGGCAAGAAGGACAGGAGCACCAGGCCAGAGGATGCCCCGAGCGTGACACCATCTGGCAAGAGCTGGGCACACGGATCGAGTACGCGTCAGGGCGCCACCGCCATCAAGACCGAACATTTTGGGTGTTCGCTCGATCGAGTTCCTATCACAGCGGCCCGCTCCATCCACGCAGCCAGACCGGAGCAGGCGGAAGCGCTGCTTAATTTGATTCGGTCAAGCCCGGCGTGAGCTCACCGATTACAGGCGCATACTTGCGTCGACACCTGGCTCTGTACCTGACCCCACTTTGGGTGCGTCATGCTCGCGCGAGGCGATTCTTCCAATGCGGCTACGCGTGGCATGGGCACCGTCAACTCAGCGACTCAGCCAGGTGTCCTTGACGCCGCCATTGAGTCACGAGCAGCCGAGGCGCCGATCTATCAAGCATCAGATCGGTCGCATGGGAATCAAAACGAGTCCAGTGTCAGCCTCGACGCCCCCGCGCACCTAGCAAGAATATCTCGCTGCCAATTTGGAATGTCCAACAGCGCGTGCCAGCATGAGAAGCTGAAACCCCTCTCTCCAGGATACGACCAACCCATTGAAGAAGTGCGCACCTCGAATGCCCCTTTGTCGCAGAATCGCGATGCTACCTCAGCCTCGCGAAGCTCCAAGATGCGCAGCGGCTACTTTCAAATGCTCGACTTTAACATCGGGTTGAGGTGGAACGCTGACGGAAACGCCGTCCCTTTCAAGACCGCGATCATTGACGACGAGCTGCACGGAGAAGTCAGGATCGATGAACCGGTCTTGCTAGATTTGCTGGAGTCGAAAGCTGTCCTGCGTCTCAGAGATATCCACCAGTATGGTGTCAGTGCGCTCTTCGGTCAGACTGCTCCTGTTACCCGTCTAGAGCACAGCATAGGCGCCATGTTGATCGTTCGGCGCCTCGGCGGGTCCGTAGAGGAGCAAGTTGTAGGACTACTTCACGACATCTCGCATACCGCTCTAAGCCACGTCATTGATTTCAGCCTAGGCGGCACAGGTGAAGGGGAAAGCTATCACGAAGTACACAAGGAGCACTACCTGCACAGCACCAACATCTCGGAGCTGCTGGCGAAACACGGCCTGAAATTGGAGAAAATTGCGGAGGAGAGCAATTACGGCCTAGTGGAGAGATGCTCGCCTCGCCTATGCGCGGATCGATTGGACTATGCCCTCAGAGATACAGTCGCTAGCGGAAATTTGAAGAGGTTGACGGCGCGAAAAGTCTTGTCAAGCATCGTTGCTTGTCCCAATCCTCAACATCCGGATCGAGTCATTGCGATGACAGATGTGGAAGCTGCTCTGGCGTTATCTCGAGCCTATATGCGAACGGACGCTATGATGTGGTCTGAGCCAACGCAAGCCATGCTTTCGTCACAAGTCGCCGACTCAATCTGGCAGATGATGCAGTCAGGTCATCTGGAAGAGTCTCATCTATATACACGAGCGGACAAGGAATTTTGGGCCGAGATGATGGCATGCGCGCCTGTTGCAATCAAAGACAGGCTACGCGACATTGAACAAGCTTTCTCGCAAGCAGGCGAAGAGAAGAGGCAAAAACACAATAAAGTCGATTCAGAACCTAGCACAGATGATCTGACTGCAGACGACCCGTTCCACGGCTTGCCTTCCCTGATACCGCTCCCTCCGAAGACCAAGATCCGGATCATCGATCCTGATGTGCTGCATGGACTTTCAAACGACTCGTCGCAATCTGCGGGAGAAGCAAGCCTACTACGTCCTCTTTCTAGCATCACACCCGCATACAAAGCAGAGATCCAAAGATATCGCGTCATGAGAGGTCAGGAAGACAAGAGCTGGACGCTCTCGCTGGACGCCGACAGATTGGCCGACGGAGTGAACTTGCTCAACGCGAGCAAAGTGACATTACAGACTTGACGCGAACGAAAAGCACGTACGATGCGGTCGTTCCCAATTGCGGTTACAGGACCGTCGCTTTCCACTTCAAACCGTCCAATTCAAATGTACGCACGCACCTCGCAAACAGCCGAATGGCAACATCCTTTTAGCGACGAAATTTGGCACAACATGCAATGATGAGTCCTGGCGCGATGCGGGCACCGGTGCCGGTCTCGAACGGGGCACAACTGTATCAGAGCAGCCTTGAACAAATTTTGCGGTCACACACTTGAAGAATTCTGTCGAATGCTCGGCCAGCATGCATTCGGTGAGCGGCGCTACTATAGACTTAATCTTGCCTTACGAGCGACTCGGCAAACACAAAGTCCGCTGTCATTGGTCTGCGCACTGGGACTGGCAGTCTCTAACTGTCAATCATCGTGTATGTAGTAACCATGCGAGTCGTAATTGGAGTCGTAGCAATAGTCCGCACTGTCTGGTAGAGAGACCGCGCCATCTCCAGAAGCTGCAGCGCTGTCGGAGTCGTGATCAGACTTCTGAGCAATGCTTTGTCGCTTGACACCGACCTCACATTCACCCAAGCTAGGCTTCTTCCCAGATTCGATCGGTGGTACGCCCAGCGGCTTCTTTGCTCCGCGGAGGGCGCGAGTTGACCGGCGCGGCTCTTTGAAATCAGATTTCGGCGCCGCGTCGTCAGCGACGTCGCCGTCTGAGAGCTCCGAGTCATCCTTTGTGTCCGATTCGTCATCCGCAAAGTTGGGGTCCTCGTCTTCGTCAGTCAGATCGCGGGCTTCCAGCGGCGGCCATTTCGTGCAAACGTCGCGTCGGTTCCTGACCACTTTGCGTGGCGGCACCCATTTCCCGGCCAGACTCATTTTGATGCGCTTCTCGACTCGAAGATGCTTGCCTCGCGCGGCACGCTTGCGGATGTCTTTCAACAACCACGCAAGCTCGCCCACGATCTCAGCTTGATCATTCGTGCGGGCAACTATGAGCGCTGCCTCAAAATCAGCGAGTCTTTGAAGACCAGTCGTCAAAGCGATGTTTGCCGGGCTCGAAAAAGGGTTTCTGCACCTCAGACCGTCTCCATCTTCGTCGTCGTCGTCGTCTCCGTCCCCGTCCCCGTCCCGTTCCTCATCTCCGCTTTCGTTCTCATTTTCTGTCTGGCTCGCGCTCATCTCGTCCTCTCGGTCCATGTTGTCCTGTGATACCGAACTTCCACCGCCAGCGACTTCACAGACCTTGCGCAGAAGGTCCATACGAGGCCGATCGCGGTCCTCGAGCAAACGAAGTTGACGGATCCACGTTTGAACGCTGGCGATGCGTCGTTCAAAGTCGGAACGGGGGATTGAAAAGGGCTAAGACAAGCAGATCTAGGTTAGCTAAATGCCGCCTGCTGGCCAAGCGAACAGAGTGCTTACCTGATTCTCGAAGATGCCTACCACCGCGTCCCCACTGCTAGGATCCGTCGCAGCGGCGTCCTGTGGGGGTGCGATATCGGCTTGTATCTGGGAGCTCGATGCGCTTGATAGACTACTCGACCCGCCATTGCGGCTCGTATGCTTTCCGTTTGACTTGATTGTCGAACGCGTTCGTGTGCTACTTGGCTCAAGCGCTACTTCCGATCTGACAGCGTCAACAGACGCTATCAACGCTCGGTCACGGAAATCTATCTCGCCACACGGAGCTTGACCGGGAAGTACCTCAAGGGCGACGTCTGTGTGAACTCTTTTGAACTTGATAGTGCAGATGTCTTCTTCCGAATGCAAGTAGTCCTCTACGCGAGGATTGGGCGCCTTTCTGTGTGCCGGAAGATAGGTTGATTAATGAGCAGGAGAGCTTGCACGGAACGCAACACCGTATCTCACAGCTTCATGGCCCCAACGCCTAGTTCCTCGTCCGAGCAGTGTTCGCTAGAAATGCCATCAAGGCGAATTTTGGCGCCATCTATGATCTTGTTGAAGAACGATTCTGGCAGACCCCAGCCAAAGTGGAGCGCCATTCTCGCGTGTTCTAGCGTGGGCGGCACGCCTTTCTCGTAGAGATCGAGAATCGCTCGCTTATGACCGCACGCAATGGTGTGCTTCATGACAATGTCCGCTGTGAGATGGATCATCCATGATGGTCAGCAGTGTAAAGCCTCCTTGTTTTCCCTGAGTCTGTCAACCGCGACGTACCATGAAGGCTATCAGGGGCAAAAAGCTGGATGACCGCGTCGCCAGGTGTGGAGTAAGTGTTTGGCCACATTTTGGTGGACCCTTGCTCTGTGATTTCTTTGACGATATCTTGCAGCTTTGTCGGCACGATGTGCCCCTTACCATAGTGGTCCTTTATTTCACGGCCATGAGAAGACTTTGGTTCGAATTCCGAGATGCTTTCAAGTGATAGAGGCGTGGCAGTAGCCATCTGATGAAGGTACTTGCGCTTCGCTGTTCCGTTGCGCCAACTCCTTTTCTCACTTGCTGCCTGCAGCGCAACGAGCCCTTTCGCCCGATTTGGGACGTTGGAGAAGATGCTCGCAGTTCCGTACGAGTAGGCTGTCCAATGATCGCCGTCGTCAGATTCTGAATCCTCCTCGTAGTCCGGACTAAAATCATCAGTTTCATCGTCATCGTTGTCATTTTCCGCTGCGGCTGGAGCTGGGGGCGTCCCTTCACACACGAGCTCATCTGCTCGAGTTGAATGTATCCAACCGCACTTAGTACAAGGTGCATAGCGCTGTGCTCTTGCCGACAACTGCAAAGGGGACACGATGGAGCTTGCTGGTGCAGAAAGTCGGTTTTGCTCGGATTCGAGTCGCGCTTGCGAATCAAGAGGCCCGAGGTCTTGCAAGGGCTGCGTTAGATGACATCCGAGGTCGTAGCGGATACGTGAAGCCTTTTTCAGGTCACCCTTGGTGAACTTGCACGCCAGCGCAGAGCAAGGTTGAGGATGTACAGCCCAGGTTCGTAGTTTTCCGGCTCCACTGCGCTGCACATCCCAGTATTGGTAATCGAGATCGGACACGCTGATATCTAGCAGCAAGGGAAAGTGGTGAGACAGCTAGGACGGACCCGGCCTAGAGATGCACGTGTCCCAAACTCACTGTAGCATTCTACCACCTTGCGCAATAGATTCTCAGCGTCGTGGCGCCATGGGTGTGTCCCAGGCCGCAATAATGACCTGTGTGTACAGCAGGGAAGTCTGTAAGCGACGCTACACATGCGTCAACATGGCTAGAGTATCACCCACTTCAAGAGGTCACCCTGTATGCGGGTCGTAGAGACATTAGCTCGCATTGCCTCGACCGATCACTCGCAAGAGCGCTACCCAATTTACCTGGAAGCTCTCCCTGACCAGATGGGGAAGCGTCGAAGCGAGCAATGCACGACCTTGACTAGCCCCCAGGACGGAGTATGCATACTCGAAAGGCAGCACCGACTTTTGAAAGTTACTGAGCAGTATTCTGCGTAGCGTAGAAAGTTCGACTGGTGGCGTAAAGATTTGCCCGGTCAGTGCTCGAGCCGTGGTGCATGATCGCATGGGTCAAACATACCTTTTCGACCAGCCAACTCGGTCTTGACCCAGCGCAAGGGGTGTCCTTCTTGCTGCGCCATCCAGAATGTCGTGCAAGCTATCTGATGTGTGCCGTTAATGCCATCGAAGTCTATCTCGAGCTGGCGGTACAGCGGTCCCAGGGTCATGTCGCCGCGCCATTGCTCAAGCCGCCGCAGCAAATCGGTAGCAAGGCTCCTGAGGTCAAATGCAAGGTAGCCCATGGAGTCCAAGTGTACGAGAGCAAAGTAAGCCTCGCGCGTGAACTGGTCTCCCTGAACCTCCAAATTCGGTCCGTTGTCTTTCTGCCAAGAGCTGTCCTCGAAGGTCAGCCTCAAATCACAGATGACCGAGGCAGCGAAGCTTTTGGTGATCACGACCAGCCCAGCGTCTTGCAGCTCCTTCAGCTTAGCGGCCACGTTTCGCACTGTCTTGAAAGGTTTCAGCCTCATGACCACCCGCTGACAAATCCAGTCGCTCAGGCGGGGATGATCCTGCGGCCGAAATCCTGCCCTCCAAGCCGCGTTAATGATGTCAGGATCACTAATGAGGTGGATCCACGCCATCCAGCCCCCTTCTGGAGGTGAAGGTTGGGCAACCAAATGAGAATGCGTAGTCAGTCGCACCTCGGTTAGCGGATTGATGCTGCTCAAGGTCAACGGCATGAACTGTCCGGCACATTGCCACATGTCAGCCTCGCAGGTCGGTGTACAAAGCTGCGAGCTCCACTCACGTTATAGTCATCAAAGATGGCCAGCAATGCGGGCTTGAGGACCTTGCGGTGGCGCGGTAGGCAAATGTACTCTGCAAATAACCTTGACTGAGCGTTTTCTGCCGATCGACTGGTACCATCTGCCAACCTTCTCACTCACCATAGAAAATCTCTTGGTCGAGCGGCTGGAACGTCATCTGAGACCCGTACAACTTTGCGCCTTCGCCAATGAGAGCCATCAAGGTCGTGACGAAGAGCCCTTGGCCCCACTTTGGCACGGATGGCATCACGCGCTCCGGCTCAGCGCCAAATCCTGCAGCTGAGCATCTTGACACCACCTCCTGCACCAAAGCTCTGGAAAGGATAGCGCCGCCATCCAGCAGACGCCGCAGAAGCCAGGGATCGAGCAGCTTTGGGCGGCAGATGGCGTTGAAGATGACGTCGTACGGAGCTGAGTGAGCCCACAGCCAAGCAGCTCGCACATCGTGCAGCTTTCCGAAAGCTAACAAGCGTTTGCATACAAGGACAATATTACTGGGCTCCTCTAGCTCAACCCATATCTGGACCAAAGAGCACAATGCTCATCATGAGCGTGACATTCCTAGCTGGCAGGACCATCATAGCTGTCGCTATGGCTAGCTCACTCACTCACTTGCAGAAGAAGATCATGCGGCAGACCGTCGAGCGATGGCCGCACCCTGGCATACCCCACCTGTGCCGCATCATTTGTTGCGGCATGCTCGTCGATGTCACCTTCCCTATCAGCCAACAGAAGTCCACACCTCTTCACAGCTTCTGCACGGCTGGAGCGCGTTTCAACTTCCGCCGCAGCTACTCCAGAGAGTTGCGTACTGACAGTCAACGGCTCCAGATCGTCCTCGTCCTCGCCCGCTTGATAGGGCTGGCAGGGGTGCACTTTCAAGTGATGGTAGGGATGTATTTTGGGCAGTTATGAGAGTGTCTGAGACTTTAGATTGGCGTCACTGATGCGGATCGGAGACCAGCGGATCTCTGGGCGATATCTGACGATGCCCTCTTCAGCACGCCCGATGTATCTACACTGAGTGGTCGCGTTGGCGTACAGCAGCTCAGCGTCCTACTGCTACGATGAGTCGTAGTGAGCCGTTCGAGGAGCCTGGCGAGCTCCGCTCATGCGTGACATGCTAAATGTAGGAGTCTTGGTGGAGCACAGAGAATTGTAGAAGGAAGCGCTTCTTTCAAGTCTTTAGCGTCACATTCGGGGCTGTGTGGTTCGTGCTTGCGAGGATTCGCGCTATATCTGCGCAACCCCATTCACGTGATTTCTGATTTTGGTAATTGCACAACTTGGCGCGGTAAGTCGAGTTTCAAATTTGACTTCAAGGGATGATTTAAGAGTTGTATCACAATCAAGCTACAAGATCTGGCTCACAACAAGCCTATCAGCAGCAACAGAATTCAAAACGTTCACATTTGATTCGTAATTCTGAATTGCATCGGCCCTCACAAGCAGCGCATACAATTTGAATCGTGCTACGCTCCACCGATAATTCAAAATTGCGCACCTCCACGGCATGCATCCGATGCTGGTCGCTGCAAGAAGGCTCCTCGATCAGCTTCAGCATCAATCACCAACAAGTCTCAGAAACATTCAAAACATGCAAAGGCAATGAAATGACATTCAAAGGAAAAAGTACACGAAAGCATCCTCAAGCCAATAAATGCAGATCGACGGACAAGGCACCAGTATGCCATCCAGCCATGGCAATATCAAAGACGAAGAATTTCCTCTCCTTTTCCTCTTTCAGTCCATGATGACCTCCCTCGTTCGCATCCTCCACATCCGTCTCTTCAAATCGCGCAAAAGTCGGCGTATCCTGCGTTGCGCTAGTCACGTTACGAAGTCTGCATCTCTGTTCCAGACGTTGCAATTTTGAGGGGCGTGAGGCGGAGTTGGACGACGGATTTTGAGAAGGAGCAGGATCAGGCGCACTTGCTCGAGGCAATGGAGGCGCACGACCTCTTGCGCCTGCCAGACCTATCCTGAACCCTATTCCAGGTCCTCTGTTCCTCATGGCCCGTCCAAATTGCACCCCACCTGCCGCATCTTCCTCTCCCGCTCCAAAGGGCAAGTTCCTCCCTTCCACGAGCGGATACTCATCCCACGTTCCCCGAGCACCTTTGCTCCACTGGCCCCACGTTCTCACTCTGCCCGTCTCGTCCAACGCTCCGAAATGATAGTCTCCACAAGTGACCTTGATGATGCCCTGTCCCTGCAATTCAGGCTTGAGCTGGGGTAAGGTTGCAGACGTAGCATCGTATCTTCCTTGCAGGACTATGCCGCGCTTAGCAGACGAAGACGGCTCGCCATATAAAAGACCAGAGCCGGAAGAATCGACGCTGTATGCCACGAAACTTCTGAAAGCTGCGCTCAAATGGGTGATGCGTGTGTCGTCGGACAGGAGATGTCTTGTATGCGGCAAGTCCCAAACGTTCCCCGAGCCTTCGCCCGCCTTTCTGATCATCTCAGGATCGCAAAATCCTCGCAGCAATTGCCACACTCTCCTCCGAGAGGCGTATTCCCCGATGTACCGACCCCGAAGGCTCTCCAAACGCTCTTCAGCATCCGAATACATCCTACCAGCAGCGCTATCGTCGCTGTCATCGCTGTCTGTTCCCGCCTCCTGGTGATACAGTGGGGTCCTGGGCTCCTCCACGTCCAGCTTGTAGACCAAACCGCGCTGAGAAAGCGCATATACCACATTTTCTCCTGCGGCAATTTGAACCGGATGTTCCGGGTCCAACACAAACGCCGTGCTGCCGAACTGCGCGCGCTCATGAGGCAAAAGCAATTCTGCGGGTGGCTCAGGAGGCAAGCTCGGCAGCCTGAAGGATCTGCTGGGCTTAACGAGCAGCGAAGTGTCGTCTGCTGGATCGTGCTCGGCGTGAAACCCTTGCAAGTCTGTCTCGTGCAAGTCGGTCCAGTTGTTCAGCCACATGTAGATTCTTGGGGGATCTCGATGATCTAGATCTCTGCTGTGTAGAGCCCTTGAATCACGCTCCGCGTCACTGACTGTCTCCGAGCCGGTCAAAAGTACAGTGTGCCCACCGCCGCTGACGACCTGTTTGATGTGCGCTGGTTGATCCAAGTCGAACACATCGTCCAAGCGAGTCGGGTATTTTGGGTCGTGCCAGACGACGCACTCGTTCTGTGTCGTAACGGCGACGAGCGCTGTGCCTGCTGCCAACAGCCTGGCTTGTCTCCGCTTGCGTGTCTCATTTGTGTTGGTAGAAGCGTAGCCCAAGTCCAGCACGGTAGGAGTCGTCACTGGCCTCGCTGGCATGTCCATCGTGCGGATGGTGCCCCAAAGCAGCACATTGCCCGTGCTCGTGAGAGCTGCGAAGCTCCAACCCGCCGCATGTAGCTCTACGGGTGCACCTAGCGAGACTGAAGCCTCGCTCAGCAGCTCGAACTTAGGATTAGGACCCAGATAGCTATCCAACGCTCGTGGATCCTGCTCGCTGTGGTACGCCTTTGCCAGGCAAGCGTCTCTCCATCTCGTCTGTAGAGGGAAGGGCGCGCCGCCTTCGTAGTTGATCAGTCGACTGAGTAAGGAGGGCACACCGTTCCTTATCCCGCCGTACAGCTCTCTGCCGACTCCCAGCCTCCCATCCGAATCCTCTCCGCACGTCCAAATTTCCGGCCGAGTCAAGCCGATGTACAACGATTTCCATCCATTGACTCGAGCAGTTGCGAAGCGTGGGAAATTAAAGTCGCGCAAGAGCAGCCTGTGCCAGAGAGCTTGGTCGTTGGTGAGCCTATGTAGCGATTTGTTGACAAGCCCAAGTCGATGCAGGTCGGCTTCTTCCAGATGAGGCAGGACCCCGTCCACTATCACCTCTTCCGGAAGGTCCAACAAGGCAGCCTGGCCTGCGCTGAACATGGTCGCTACAGATGATCTGAGCTACGATATGATCAAGGCGCAACGAGGGATGTCACTTAACGGCGCTCTGCTGCTTGCTGTTGAATTGTGAAGTGGCATGTATGCACGCCAGGATCCTCGTCGAAGGGAGGATTGATTGTGGTTGATTTACGCCTGGCTCCTCCGCATGGATGAGCGGTCTGCACCGCCACGGCTCAGCACGAATCCGTGCGCGCGCGGCTCAGCGCTGATCGAGCGAGAACCTCTCGCGCGAGAAGCTGACCTTTTTGGGCGTGCACACCACCAAAGCCTTGAATCTGAGTCATGTTCAAGCACTCAGAGTATATAGGAATTCGTGATTACTTTGACAGCCCCACTTCTTGATGAATGCTCACGTAGCCAGTACACTCCTGAAGCAGCAAGAACGTCGATGTTTAGAGTATTCACGATTGCTTCCGCTCCATCCGCCTCTTCTGACAAACTTGGTAGGCAGCTCGGCGCTGCGTAATGAAAGCGCTGCGTTGCTATCGTCTCTTGTCGCTCATCCACGCGCCCCCACCGCCTTCACTTCGGTCATCAAGCATTCCTTGCTCATTCCCAACCCCTCGCTCCTGCGCACAACCTCGCAACATGTCGAACGAGGCAGGGTCCGAAGATCTCTCGCGCTATCCGCAGCCCAGCGCATCACAGTCATCGGAAGTGGTTTCCAAACTCGAATCTGTGCGATCACGCATAGCCTCTTCGAGCCAGACGCACGCAAGACGTCCTCCTCGTCTAGTCGCCATTTCCAAGCTGCATCCTCCTTCCAGCATTCTAGCAGCATATCGAGATGCCGAGCCTCGACAATTGCATTTTGGCGAGAACTACGCGCAGGAATTGAGGGATAAAGCCAAGGTGCTGCCCAGGGGCATCCGGTGGCACTTTGTTGGGAATTTGCAATCGAGCAAGGCAAAGATGCTCGCCGGTGAGTTTGCGTGGACGGCTTGTGCAAGCGAGAATAGTAGTAGGAGATGATCTGGTACGGAACCAGCACGCGAGCTGAGATCACTCCCTCCTGGCCGTAGCCATTCCGAACCTATACCTGCTGGAGACGCTCGACTCTGAAAAGACCGCTACCTTACTGGACAAGGCGCTATCCAATCGTTCTTCTACCGACTCGCAGTCCGAGTCCACCAGCGAGCCACTGCGAGTCTATTTGCAGGTGAACACATCGGGCGAACTGAAGAAGTCGGGTCTACCGCCACTCGACCCGCAAGGATCCGACGCCGCCAAGGAATCTCCGCTCCTGTCTCTAGCAAAGCACGTCATTCTCCACTGCCCGAATTTGACGCTTTCAGGTCTCATGACGATCGGATCGCGTTCCGCTTCGAATTCGGACGACTCGGAAGCGGAGAATCAGGACTTCGCAACACTTCGGGCCACGCGAACCGCGCTGATCAGTCGTTTGCGCTCAGATTCCGAGCTGAGTTCAAACAAAGACGCATCACGCAAGTACGGTGCTCTCCTCACCACCTCGGACTCCATTGAAGAAGCTCAACAAGCACTAGAGCTGAGCATGGGCATGTCTGGAGATCTGGATGCTGCTATCAGGTCGGGAAGCGATAATGTGAGGGTAGGAACGGACTGTTTTGGACAGAGGATGAGCGATAGGGATAAGGCTTACGAGGCTATGAAGCATGAGATGGATTGGGATGTGGAGAATGGCAGACCTGGTCAGGTGGATGGCGAGAAGAAATAGATAGCGCGTTGCGTGTATGCGTGGCACGGGCAGTTGTGAGCCAAGGGATTGTGTGTCAGACGTTGAGAAAACCGCTGTGTGAGTCGTGACGTGATCAGACGATCAAAAGATCTATAGAAAAGAACTATCGATTGCGTCATGTTTGTTATATTGTACGGCGCACGTCACATGACGCTTGCGTCAAGTAAGGCGCACCCTGCTCAGAATTTGAGAGGAATAAACTCGATCCAGTAGCTGCAAAGATGTGCAGAGTCTCAACTGGTGAGCCATCAACAACGTATGCGCCTGTGAACAATCGTTGCGAGTCGAACTCACCCGTCTGGGTCGAGAGCAAAGGCGATTTCGTGCATCTTGCCATCTTCGAGCTTCTTTTTGAATTGAACGCCCTTGGACAAGAGGTAGTCTTGCGCTTTCTGCACATTGTCGCACGAGATGGCAATGTGGCCTGCGAGCAGGGAAGATGCACGATCAGGCGGGTCAGCCGTAAGGGGCCTCCTCAGGACCGAGGCTCGCATTCGAATACTTACCAAAACCCTGAGGTTGATCATTTCCATTGTGAACCTTGTAATTCTCATCCTTTTCAGTACCCTTGTTCCAAGTGAGTTCCAGGATACCCTCTCTATGACTCTGGTTCAAGCCCTTTTGGTTTTGAGTAAATGCCAAAAAGAAGAGTTTGAAATCGCCTGCATCGTGCTCGTTGATCAATTCCATGCCGATCACCTCGGTGTAGAAACGAAGACTGATTTCCGGATTCTTGATGCGGAACATGGTGTGGTTGAGCCTGTAGGAGGCTGTCTCTGCGGGCGTGGATGTGGACGATGCAGCAGACGTGCCGGATAAGTTCCGCGAAAACATGGACGACGAATAGGAACGAGTAGCCATGGAAGATCGTTGGCGTGCGATCGATGCATGATTTGGGAATCCAGAGGGAGGCGTAGAGGAGAAAGAAGTAGTGTAAGCGGTGGACGCGTTGCGGAGACAAGCGATCGACGGTCTCTGCGTTCGCCATGCTTGAACGTAGGGTTCTCGAGCAGCAAGACGCAAGACACTGCTACGTCCAAGGAACAAAGAATGCGCACCTGCTGGAGCCGACATGTTGGGCTGGGGATCAACTTCGAGCGATGAGAGGGATCCACTTGATTTGAGGTCTAGTGAGAGGACAATAGTGCAACAACGGATTGGTTGATGGTGGTGAGGAAGCTGGTATGGGTGCGCGCAGATTCTTCTGAGTCGTACACAATAGAGACTGCGTACGAGCGACCCTGCTGATTTGATCCCTAGCTCGCTCAGACCCGCGGCCCACAACTGGTCCGTGCTGCCGCTAGAGCTGACGACTCAACGATGAGCGCTGGCCCGCTTATTCGCATGTGGAGCGGCGGATCCAAAGTGTGAACTGCGCGACACCCACAACGCTTTGCAGCTTGATCGCACGCTGCTATAGTCACGAGTAGTTCGCCTATACAGCCACCTCCAGTAGTGCGAGTGGGTCAACATGTGGAGGCCCGTCAGACCCTTCCTTTCCCTCTTCTGCATGTCGCCCGACATCGAGCAGACAAAGTCACATGCAGTGCTGAGGACACGTGACGTGAATACTCGTACGAGAACCGTTCAACGATCAAGCTTATTTGGAAATTTCGATTCACGATTCGTTTTGCCGAGGCAGAGATCGACCTCCCACAACCTCTTCTATATTTGATATATGCATGAGGGTGGACATGCATACAGGCACCGCACCGGCAACGTGCGGGTAATCATGCACAATCTGAATCAGGCCATCTCGAGCTCATCGCTCGCTCGCTTCGCGGCCCGTCCGCACTTTGCGTAGTTTGCTCCTCTCCATCTCTATACAGGAGCGAGCATCAGCAAAGAGATAATAATAATCGTGAATCGCGCTTTTCCCCCAGCTGAAGCACGCGGACATATGTGCGATGTAGATGTATGCACCACCGGCTTGACAGCAGCTTCTCAAACAGTTTCACATTCTTTGATTTATGATTCTGATTGTTCCATCTCCGCTTAACTCGTGACTGAGCTGGACTGAGGTAGAGTGCGTTCCTTCTATGGTATAGTAGTCACGTCCCCGTCGTCAGGGCTCGTTTCACCAGCGAAGGTCAGATCGCATGCGTTGCACGCTGAGGCCGCTTCGGTACGATGGGGGTGTGGATCATGAATCAAATCGATTTGCGGGCGCAAAACGACGAGCCACAGCACTCGATCGTGTGAGGATCTGAGAGGGGATATGGCACGACATCGGATCATCTGTTGCCCCCCTTTAGCAGCTGTGCGCGCTCGTGCTATAATAATAGAGAGGGTGGATGCAGAGGCATTGCACCTGCAGCAGTGGGTGCCGGTAAGGGGGCATGTACATCGGTACATCGCGCGGCCAGAACATGCGATTATATGCAGAGGCAGGTACCGGTGCATGTTCAATTTTGGAACAAGTAATCTCCTCTCACCTCATAGCATCACCCACTCACGACTATTGTGACTCCCGACTGACCTGCTATCCGATTGCCAATCCCTCCCATCCCACACCCATCCCTTCGTTGCCCTTTCTCCGTCCACAGAAGCTTACTACTCTCCACCACGGGAGTACCAGACGATCGTTTGTAGCTCATCGCCCCCACCCGCGCAAACCTCCAACATGACGGCATCGACGACCTATCCGCCAGCATTGGCGAGGTACAGACACACAGCGGCGCCCTACGCTCTGATCACCGGTTCCACAGCCGGCATGGGAGAAGCGTGGGCGTACGCTCTAGCATCTCACGGCTTCAATCTGCTTCTGCACGGTCGTTCGGAAGAGAAGCTCTCCTCCCTACGCGATTCCATCCTCTCGCAAAACGTTCAGATCACTCCCAATCTCGACATTCGCTACGTCATCTGTGACGCTTCCCTCGTTCCCACCAACATCAAGCCCATCCGAGAGGCGATTGGAAAGATTGCAAATTTGGCAATCGTGGTGAACAATGTGGGAGGTAGCGGAGGTGGATACGACTCGATCGAAGAGGCGGATCCTGAAAAGCTGGAGGATGAAATCGCGACGAATGTCACCTTTCCCTCGCTCGTAGCCAACGCCACACTGCCCAAACTGAGACAGCAACAGCCAAGCTTGATGGTCAATGTCTCGAGCATCAGCGGCCTGTTCCCCACACCATTGTGAGTCATGCCTTTCGCGCCATTTGTCTCGCATTTCCCAAGCTAGTCCACGTCGAGTTGTGGCGCGCGCGCCCGCGGCAACGTAGCCTATATAGCTGAGACCTGCTCCTCCCGATTTGGCACGCGTATACATCTCCACAGCGTCACGGGATACAGCGCTTCCAAAGCTTTCAACCGACACTTTTCAATGGGCATCTACCACGAAGAGAAGGCTCTTGGCACACAAGTGGACGTCGTTTGTTTGGGTCCAGGCGTAGTGGTGAACAATCGAGGTGTTCAGGGAGGCGGAACATCCATGGCTCCGCTCGCTTCCACCTGGGTGGACAATGCCATCAAGACGATTGCGCCCAAACTTTGGAGGAGCAGGCCACCCGCTTGGTCTCTGCCTCATCCCCCACACAATATGGCAGCTCAATTTTGCAAGCTGTTGCCAGAAAGCGTAGCTTTGGGCTTGTTCAGAAAGGAAATGATCGGTTTGAGGAATAACGAGGGGAACAATAGGGCTGGGGGTGGAAGTTCTGCCAATGGCACAGGGTTCACCCACCTCAGCGCTAGGGCCGAAGCTCGTTCAAAAGCAAAAGCCAGCGCAACTGCCAGCAAGTCCAATCCTCCAGCCAATGCAGCTTCGAGGAGCGGACCAGTGAGCGAGGTGACTCAAGCTGGGCCCGCATCTGCTCCTCAGCCCGAAAGAGCGCCTGCGAGCGCTCCAGCTCCCGCTCTCACGCAATCAGCAGCAGCCCCTGCTAGTCCGAGCACCGCCGGAGTCAGCGCTGCCAAAGCATCGCCTCATCTTTCCAAGAAGAGCGTCGACGAATCTGCAAACCCAAAACCTCCTGCTGCTGCTGGTCCTCCTACCACCGAAATTCTCGCCGCCTAGATCTGCAGCGGTCCCCCCCCC